TTAAAAGAACTTGGGTAAAGTAGGGTCAGGCTGACCCGAAAACTAGATATACATAATGTCTTATGAGTGGAGTGCCTTTTAGAGTTTCAAAAACTAATACATTTTTTAGTGAAAATGGTACCCAAGGATAGCAAATGAAAAATGATTTGAAACAATTCCATTCTACCTAATATTAAGGAATATAAAGAAATAATAGGTAATTTAGTATAGACTCCAAATAAATATAGAAAGAAGCTAATCTAATCTCTCCAGATAAGGGTAAAGAGTTTGATTGGAATTCCTTTAATCATTTTTCTACTTTTTCTGGTATACCACATAATCACACATTTTAAACTAATCAATAAGAAATACCTCCTAAAAAACAATAACAAAATGAAGATCAACCATTAAGTTTCAAAGCAAAACATAATAATTTAAATGAATTTGATTTACTAACATATTCAATCTAAGCTGATAATTAATAATTTTTATCACATAATCCAACACATTCCTCGTCATAACAATAATCAATTCATTCTTAATTTAATACTTACAATCCATAATTAAATACAACAACTTAATCTTTGGCCTAAGTTTAAAAACAGGCTTAAATATAATCATAATAACAAAGTAATTAATAAATAAATTAGTAATAATAACAATTCTAATTGTTAAATTTGGAAAATAATACTTTTGGATCTAATAATTAGTAATAATTTTGGGGATAATAATCATATTAATAACCATAATAGCAATAACCTTAATAATATAATTAAGCAAGTAGTAAGCCACCACTTCCAGGAAAATAAAATGGTTAAGTTAATAATCAAAATACAAATTAGAAATAACCTTAAATATAACAATAATAGATGATTAATTAAAATAATTATCAAACTGTTAATTGTAATCAATAATAAGGATAATAATAATTACTTTACTAATAATAATAAGGATAACAATAATTACTTTACTAATAATAATAATAAAAATAATAATAATAATAATAATAATAATAATAATAATAATAATAATAATAATAATAATAATAATAATAATATCAATATCAATATTATAATCAAAATTAATAAAATTTTGGATTCGATAATTAAATTAATAATAATAATAATATATCAAATAACAATTAATAGATATATTAAGGATTTAATAATATTTAGTTTGCAATAGATTAAGGAAATAATAATATTAATAGTAATAACAATACTAATAATTATTATAATACTAATAATAATAATTTTTATAATACTAATAATTATAATATTAATAACTAATAGTATCATTAATTTAATACAACAAACTAATCTTCAAGTTAGAAATACTAAAATAATCCATTTGCAAAAGATGAATAAGATATAAGGAACCTTTATAATACTCAATAGCCAGGGAAGTATGATTAGTTGAGAAACAATCCTTATGTTTGATTAATATAATTATGTTCTGCTTGATTTTAATAGTTTCATGTTATGGCCGATTAATAATACAAGACCTTGAGAATTTGAAAATGTAGCCAGAAGAATCTAGACTTCCTAGAGAGCATTGTACAAATCTAGGTTCAAAAACAAAATATGGTTATTTGCATGTTCCAAATGGTGCAATAAGTTTTATATATTACCAAGGAAAAGGTCAATAAAACATAGTATATATAAATGGAGGGCCAGGAATATCAAGTTAAGTGTCAAATTATTTGGAGATAGGGCCTAATTCTGGGAAATGGAATAAATTTAGTAATTTACTTTTTTTGGATTTGCCAGCAGGAACTGGTTATGGTAGAACTAATACAACAAGAAATTTAACATATTAAGATGTGGCAATAGATTATGAGATAGCAATGACTGGGTTTAATAAATTGTGTAATATGAATTATAAAGATGTGATTCTATTTTCAACTGATTTTGGTGCAAGATTTGCATTAGCAATAGCAAATAGAAGCAAGAATATAAAATGTGTGGGGCTACTAGATCCTTTTTTAGATACATTAAGTATAGTTGCAGAGATCCCTAATTATGCATTTCATATGGGTGTAATTGATTATTAAGAGTTAATATATTTTGAGAAAGCCATAATAAAATTAAGTGATGATATTAATAATGGATATTATTCATATGAAAATGATTAATTTCTTAAACTATTATACTATTAAAGTGGGAATATATCACTTTATAATGTATTAGAATAAAAGCTATATTCAGAAGATGAAGATAAATTAGAAGAGGCTTTAAATAATCCAGAATCACTCTATTATATTCCTTTTGAAACAGAATTCGTAGCTCGTTCATAAAATGTGTTTGATTAATTTAAATATAATTTTTTTGAACCATTCGATAACAGTATGTAAGTAATCATCAAATATTTAGTATATAGCATTTGTTGAGTCATAAAAACATTTTAGTATATTAATCATAATTTGATATGCTTATTCCTCCTTCAGGAACAATGAGATGGTTAATATCAATTGAATATGAGTTGGATGATTTTTTTTATTAGAGTTCATTGACTAAATAAATGAAAGATGATTAAATTATTGGTTTATGGAAGAGAGGAGGTTATTTAGAATATTTATTTGTATTGAATACAGGATAAGTTATGCATAGAGATAATAATGATACTTCAATGAGTTTAATTTAATAATATTTGGAGAATATTATTTGATTTATATTATTTAATTAAAATGGGATCATCTTGTTGTGCTTAACAAGTGGCCGAAGAGTAGGATAATGAATTAGAAAATAAATACAAGTACGATCCTAACAAATAACCAGCTAAGGGAGCATTTAAGAAATAAAATGAAGATAAAAAAATGGTCAAGTTTCCAACTAGAGTAAGATAAGAGGATGATGATAAACATAAAGGTGACTTAGAAGAAAGTCCTATAGGAAATCCCTTAATTGAAGAAAATGTTGTTGCACCAGATGCTAAATCTCATAAGTCATAACACACTTAAAAATCTCACACAACCAATAAAAGAGGATTATTTAGCAAGTAGGTAAGTTAATTTGTAAAATGCGAAGATGAATGATTATTTTATTTATTTATATATTTCCATATTCTTTTAACTTCTTTCAATAATTCTTATTATTTTCTCTCTTTTCCAATTATTATCAAACACACATCTTCAACATTTATTGACAACAATTTTAAAAATTTTTTGTTTCATCTTTTATAGTATTTCTTTCAGTTTTAGATTACACAAAAGCTTGCAATTCTTTATTTTCACATTTAAATTAAATGAGAATAAAAAGCCATTATCACACAACTATGAAAAACAACATTAATAACATTCATTTTATTCTTTATTCAAAAGAAAACAATTAATTTTATGCATACTTCATATAATTATTTAAATAACATTATTTTTAGTAGCTTTTCTAAAAATAGCTTTGAATTTTAATTTAGAATTCAAAAATACCTTAGTTTTCTTAAAAATTCTTTAAAGGCATTATGAAGTTTAAAGATTAGATTATTATATAAATATATCTATTGATATATGTATCAAAAAATAATCTTTCAACCTTTAAAATGATTTTATATATTCATAATATTTATTAAATATTATGAATATGACAAAATAAAAATTAAAAGTTACTTTAAATAATTTATAATTTTTCGATAAAGATATATTATATAATAAATTTAATTTACAAAATGGAAGTGTAAATTTACAAAGTTTTATAGTAAAAAAGAATTAACTAATATCAAAGTAGATAATATTATTTTTTTAAAAGCCAGAATGCAATCTCATAATAATTGAAATCTAGAAATTAAATAATTTTGATTTGAATATAATATTGAGCCTATTCCTGAATTGGATAATCAAAATGAACTTAACAATACTTTGCTTTTAGTTATTTAATGAAGTTTGTTAAAAGAATTTCAGATTAAAAAGCAAAATTGATTTATAAGGATAAAGAAGAGAGAAATAAAATTTATCTATTTATTATCATGAATTATATTTTTTAATTAGTAGATTTTAGACTTCCTCATATGTAATTGGATCTCCACTCTTCAATTTTTAGTGAAGTAACTTAATATTTTTGTATGACTATAAAATTTACAATGTTTTATCATCAGTCAAATTCAAAAGTTGTTTTATTTCATCATCTAAATATGAAATGATTGATACATAAAGGCATATTCTTTTGATTCCAAACTTAAAATTATTGTAATTTCATTCTCATCATGTTAAAATTGAATTAGTTTTTAACTATATGAGTTTAATGTCCATCTCCTATATGAATAAATCCATCATTTTTCTTAAAATAGAACTTATAAGGTTAATTAATCTAATCTGTATTTACGTGCACATTACGAGTGGAAATATGTCTCTTAACATGCTTACTCTATTTAATAATTTTGAAATGTCTATCTATCTGTTTACTATTTAATTCTGATTCATTATCATTATGAATGGTAGTAGGAGTGGATTAAGGTAGCTCTTTAATCAATTTTAGATTCAGTTTTATTCGAGTACCACTAACTGACACAAACTAAGAACAATTATTTATTTGTTCTTTTTCATTCGATTAAATAGGTTGTGTTAAAGTTTGTTGTGCCTATAAGTGTTAAAAGTATGGGAACTGGTAATACATGAAAGGAAAAAAGATTTATTGGGAATTCATTAACTGAGGAATATACAATGGAAATGCAAGTTGTTAAGCATTAAAGTTGATTGGCATAAGGTCATTGTTATTCATAAAAAAATTATTTAACTTGAAAAATACAAAACAAGTCCAATCAATATACTCAATCAATAATTTTTAAGAAATTATTAAAACTTGCTTTTTTAATGGAATCAATGAGAGCAATTATTTAAACATCATTACTCAAGGCTTTCTTAGAATTGATAAAAATCTTTTCATTCTTTGCTTTTTATTGTTAGCTTTTTAGTCATTCATTTATGGATTGATTTCTTTCTTTGTAATAAATTTTAAAGAAAAGACTCAATACATAATTAACTTAATTTCATTTTAATTTGAGACTCATTCTAATCATAAATCAAGTGACTATAATTCAATGTAGAAAATGAGCTCTTTTATAAATTCTTTTCTTTTTAGATTACATAATAATCCCTATAATCAAAAAAATTTGGTAAGAATATGAGGAATGCATAAAATTGAATTCAATATTTGACTTATATTATTATAATGTACTATATTGATATCACAGATTTCAAAATGAAGCAACTTATTATCCAAAATAAACTTTTTGTTAAGCCTTTGCATTCCATTCAATTGATGTACTTTCAAATATCATAACAACAGTAGAGCCTAATAATTAAATGAAGATGATAAGTACCCATTTCAAATCTACCAATTTCTTAACCTTTTTTAATAAGTACTCCTTTATCAGATGATGAATATGGAGAATTAACTGATAGATTTGAATAATTTCTATAGCCATTTTTGTGATATGTATTTGTATTAGTAATCAAATCTGAATCGAAATTAACTTTCATTGAACCAACATTAGTTGCACCTATGAATATGATATACATTAATCCTTGTTCCCATTCTCCTTCAAGAACCACTCTTTCATTACCTTCATATAATCCCTATTTTATTAAATTAAAAAAGATAGATACCTATTTAAGACTGCTTTCTTTTACAGGTGCTAATTTCCCTGGAATATGCAACCTACTTCTTGCTATGAAATCAACTGGACAATGATAACGATGATAATCACCAGGTGCAAGATAAAAAATACAAGACCAAAGATTAGATGATTCTTATCTTTTTTTAAATTCCATTTCATATCCCTTAATTCCTGTTAAGAATTATCCAATTTAATATGTCACTCTTTTTACAAGTATACATTCATTTTTTGTTATTTTACTAATGGATAAGATCTTTGAGTCAGCAGGACTAATTAATCCAGACTCAATTTTTCTTGGTTTAATTTGTCTGGTAAAGAATTTATTGAATGTTTGATAATATTATAATGGATGGATCATGTCTTATCTTCTTACTTTATAGATTTCACTGAATATTGTGAAAATGGGTATTCTAATTTAAACATATGAATTTCACCTTAATATTAATGGAATATAAAGATTCATCACATATCCTGTTATTTGTGACACATATCTGGTAAATGGCAATTCAAAAAGTTTTTTAATTATTATCAACAAAACTAGAAGTTTTAGATAATAGATCTAGAATAAGAAACATCTATTACATTTTAAAATTATGTAGTGAGCAAGTCAACTACATAATTAAGGCCATATAGAACCAGGACTAAGATGGAAAGATTCTTAAAATGGGTTTATTTCATCAATTATTAAATGTTTAATAATTCATTTCAATATTGAGTTGGTTATGGTTTTAATGATGCACTTATTTTTTTATATTTAAGTAAATTAAAAATCCTGCAATGAGCAAGATTGTAAGAAATACACCTAGCAAAATCCATTATTGAGTTGATTCCTATAAATTATTCGAATAATTCATTTCAATTATTGGAAACGGATATGTGAGTTCTTCAATCTCATTCTCTATTTAAAATTATACTTTTCCAACTACACTTAAATACTTTGTTTATTGATCTTTTATTATAAATGTGACAGTTGTAATATTACTCTATATATTTTAATCAATTGTTTATGTATATTTACCATAAACATTTGTCTTATTATTGACATAATTAGATTCAAACATACATGCAATACTCTTTTCACCTATAGCTTATTGTATTCTTACTATAAAGTAAATACGTATTAATGTGATATCTTTTTTTACTTAAATTAGATTTGGAATATGGACGATTAAATTATTCTCCACTTTATACCAATCTATTGATTTATTACTTATTTCAAATGATGTTTATGGAATTATTTCACCTTAATCAAAAGTTTATTATTTAATAAAATAAGATGAAATTTTATTCTTGTTTTCATCTTAAGTATGACTTGATATTAATTTTACTAAGAAATAATATGTACCTGCTTCTAAATATAAGATTGATTAAATATGTTCTTAGGATGAATTCATCATTTAAATTTCAAATATTTATTTAGCAAGATTGGTTTAATTTTTTGTTCCTTAAACCATTATATATCCTGAACAAGTGAAAACTTCTAAGAAAAGTTTTGATTTTTATTGTAAAAAAACTTCATAATAATTTGGTTATCCAATTTTAGTAAGTTAATATTATGATATATTATCGATTAAAGCATTCAATTCTCCATTAGTAATTATAATTCTTATTAGACTATTATTTTGTAAGGCTTTGATAGAAATATCATAGAGTCCAAAAGAATCATATAAATGATATGATATAGCTTTTGGATATTTATTATAATAATTAATTGGTTTAATGGAATTATGACTAATATCAAAGTATAAGTTGTCAATAGATTAATGAATATTTTAAATTTGTAGATTAATAAATTTAGTTTGATTATCAGTAGTTTAAGTGATTGATTAATATTATAAAAAGATTGTTTCATGTGTTTTTATATGATAAGTCATCATTTGACCTAAATGAATTGTGTAAGACTTTTTATATTATCTAGATGCACTAATTTTAAAAATAGAAATCGATGCTAAAGATTCAGCCTTAATTACAATTAAAGAATTTGAAGAATTCTTTTTTTAGAAAAATATTGAAGTATCATTTGAAATTCTTTTAGTTAGATCAGCTTCATCATTATGTTTAAGTTCTTAACCTTCTTTTAAATACAATTTGATGTCGCCACTTATTATTTAGATATTTACTTAAATATCATCACGAGAATAAAATCTATATTGAGAAGTTTGTGATTCATTCAAGACTTCTTACCATTAAAGATCATCATATAAAGTAGTTTAATAAAGTTGACTACTAAATTCAATTAAACCTTTACTACCTCCTAAGATGGCAGTAATTTCAATTACATAAATACAACTTACTTGATCACAAGTAATCACTTAAAATGATTTCTATTTATCAACAATTTCATTTATAAGCAAAATATCATTACTGTTAATATTTGTAAAATCATGATGAGCATTTAATTTTTTTGCTCTAATTTACAATCTACCTTATAATGCAAATACAATAATTCTAAATTATTCATCATTTGGATTATCCCTAAAAATGTAATAATGTGGTATATTTTCAGGAAATATTATATCAAATGGAAAGCCAAGAAAAGCATTAAAGAATTTTGCATCATCAAGATTGTAACTAATTTAAATTTCACAATCAGCTTATCCAAAAACACCAATAATATAATCATCTTTAGGTAAATAGCGATCTAGTTGTTCTTCTAAAATATATGTTGATCCTAAAATCTCTGTCCAATAAAAATCAAATTCAAATTAATTAGGTCTTTTGTCTTTTCCTTTAGAGATCCTAGGAATAACAAGATCTCCACCTCCTTTAATATGAATGTTAACTTAAATTAATTTAACATCTTGTGTCAAAGTTAGTTTATAATATTTAGTTAAACCTTTTTGAATATTATCAATGATTGGATCAGAAAGAGTCAATAATTTAACATCTTCATAAATTCCTATGGTGTATGTGTCATTTTAAAAATGAGGTTCAATAGGTTTGACTTGAATATACAATATTTAATATTTATCAGATTCTGGTATTGTAATACTTTAAAATTAAGTAAAGTATGAATGAGAATTGAATATTTCATATTTCAAATCTGGATTATCTTTATTACCATAATAAGCTTCAACATTTGCTTGACTTCCCCCATATGAGTACCATTACACAGAAATCTCTTTTTGATTGAGAATATAATAGAATAGGGTTTCTTATTCAAAAGTCATTGTTTAAGGATATCCTTCATGTAATTATATTCTACTATTATTGTATTTAGTTGTTATAGTATAAAAAATAGTACCAGATGAAGAATATACAGACATGTAAATATAACATAGATTTTATTCATTGATTTATGTAGAATTCTATTAACATTGCAAATCAGAATCAGGAATAGTTATATTTTTACCATTCAAATAAATATTGAAATTTTTGATATTAGGATGTGTATTTTTTTGATCAAACGAAATAAATAGTTCTAAATCACCAATATCATTTCCTGAATAAATATCTTTAATAATCGTGAGATTTCTAGATTGCATTGGTAATTTATAATATCTAAACTTTTTTTTTGCAACAGTTCCTATAATTTATTATCCTACTTAATAAAATTCAATATCTCCATGCAAAATATATTGAATTATAAATTCTCCATGATCATTTAGATTTTATACTCCTATATAATATTATTTTGCATAATTAGGATCATCAATATTAATTTAGATATGTTTAGAATCTTTCCATTAATAACTATTACTATCTGGTATTTCTTTATTTATTAGATTAGACTTTACATACATTATATAATTTCCCTCTATATTTTATAATGTGATACTAAAATTCTATTTTTAAGTTAATTAGATTTAAAAAAAGCTATATTGATTACCTGGTAAATATTATTATGGTACTCCACTTTATAATTGAATGAAATAAGTCTGATTGATAGTTTAAAATCTTTCAACTTGTGTATAGATTCCATATTAACAATGTGTATAACCATATATACTCATATAAAAAGTTTAGTTGTTATTGGTTGCTTTCAATTATGAAGAACTCTTCATTTCATGATTACTATCATCAGGGTATTAATTAGATAAACTACCAAACATTATGCATGAACCATTATATTGAGTTAATTAAAATTTCACACTTTTTATATTAGTATCATTAGGAATATTGTATAAATAATAATTTAAAAATCCTTCTTCAACATAAAATTATTCTTATTCTCCTTCCCTTAAAACAATATGCTATTCTCTACGTTTAGCTAATATACGAAAATGTGTTTTATTATCACTTTTTAATCCAATCAAATAATAACAATATTAACAATTTTAATGTATTAATGATAATGAAGATTATGTTATGTGAATAGCTGTATCAGTATCATTACTTTCAAAATCACTTATTGTAATTTAACAATCTTCACTAGTACATTTTTTCAAAAACTTCTCTACTTAATTAGCTGTAATTTAAAATGTAATTTATTCTGCTTCTTAGATTGGCTTCAATTTAAATTAAATTATCTCATTTTCTATCAATTCACCACTATCATTAAATTTATCTATTTACCTTAATGGAATATTGTATTCCAATTATTATATTCCATCTAAAACATAAGCAATCAATTAATAACCAGAAACAACTTCACTTGAAACACCAATATAGAAATCATTATCTGTACAATTTAATGCTTATCTTTCTTAATATGATATTGCAAGTTATTACATAAACCAAGATTCTGTTTACCATTCATAATAATCTAATAATTTTGGTTATCTAATTTTCTATATTCATTTTTATTACGTATCACATTCTACCGCTACTTTTGGATTACCAATTTATGGTAACAATTATACTATCAAAGTACGATTTTATAATTTTTCTGGATTATGTATTTTTAATCTATATACTTTATAATCATAAGCATCAATTGCATTATCTACTAACTCATTTAAACTTATTGATTTCACTTATATAATATTTTAATTTTATTACCTGCGTCATTTGCAGTTGCTATGCCAAGCATTAAAAGTAATGCATACATATTTTATATTTATTTTAAATTATTTTTCTACAATTATATATCTAATTTCTTTTTTTTCATTTACTGTCTATCTCTAAATATTCAATTGATTATTCCCTCATATTTAAATTAAATGAAGTGACAAAATGAAAATTAAATTTTATTTTATAAAAAACTATGGGTCAAGCAGTTAGTTCAGATAATCCTCTAGATTTTAAATTTGAAATCCCTATTCCTAAATATCATAAGGATGATAAAAAGAAATGGTAATCTTAGGATTTGGAAAGCATTAAAAACCTTAGAATTTATACAAATTTGGATCTCAATGATCAGGAATTTAATTATTAGAGTATAAATTGTTCAGACTTTCCTGAAAACGATTTAACTTCAGGATAATATTATTATGGAAAATTAGAAAAATAAAAAAGATAAGGTTTAGGAGTATTTGTGGATGAAAATAAAAAAAGTGGAATTTATATGGCTTTTGGAAATTTTATTGACAATAAACTTGATGGACTTGGATTAACTATATATGATGATAATACTTATTATCATGGAAATTGGAAAAATGGAGCTTGTGATGGAATTGGTTATTACAATACAAGTTTTGGAGATTTCTATCTGGGATAATGGGAGGAAGGAAAATTTATTAAAGGAATTTATAGAACGTATAACTTAAACTATTATTAATAGATCAGATTTTGAATATTGGGGAGAAGTTAAGAATGGATGTTTTCATGGTTTAGGAAGATGTTATTATTTTGATGGAGCAATAGTATAGGGAGAATGGAAAAATGATTAATTAGATGGATTTGTTAATCATTATTTCCCAAATAAAGATAATTATATTGGCTATTATAAGAATTCTCTTAAACATGGAAAAGGAGTACTTTATGAGGAGAGTGAAAAGAAAATTTATTAGGGAGAATTCTTTTTAGATTAATAACATGGGATTGGAAAAGAGATTAACATAGAGAATAAAGAATTTATCTCTGCTCTTTTTTATAATGGAAAACCTTATAAGCTTATTAATAAATAAATATATGCTGGAAATGGTACAGGAAATACTTCATGGATACTGACAGAACCTGATTAAAATTAATAAAAGAATGAAGAGGGTTTACTTATCAGAGATGAATCAAATTTTGAAGAAATTATTTAAAACAATTAATTAGATTTTGTATTCATTTTTTATAAATATATAGACTGACATTTTTGAAAAAAAGAAGACTTAAGATAGTTAAATTGATAATATCTTGAAAGATTGTAAAGGATATTAAGAATAGTATGATAAATTAGAATAAAGACTCAAAGATCTAACAGTTTTACATGAACTATAGAAATGGCATTATGAATAAAATTAATAAGAATTTCCTTTACATTTTCGATAATAATATAAAGAATATCTAAAAAATAAATAAAAATAATAATAATGAAATCATTAAATTTATATTTAATATTATTGATGATAATAATAATTTTTTGATTGATAATAAATATAATATTATCATTTTTTTACACATGCTTATCATTTTTTTACCCATGCATGATAAAATGCAGATGAAGATGATAAGATAAAAAAAATGCTATAAAATATACTTAGTAATTTAGCAATGAATTTGCTAATTATATAATGATTACGTATAACCATAATTAATGTGAATAAGAGATTAAGGAAAGCAGCTAAAATGACCATTAATTTAAATGCATTTTATTCAATATCTATAATACTGAATAGATTGAACTTAATAGGGCCAGAGTTGACAAAATTTTATTTAAGAAATGCAACGCTAAAGCCAATTAAATTAGTAAACATTTGTCCAACTAGAGTATTAGTAAAATGAATTACAATAAATTCCATTAAGAGCCATGATTGCTATAAATATGGTTATTTATTACCATAACCTTCTTCTGCTAAAGAAATTAAAGTAATACAATCAGGTAGTACATTTCCCATCGCAATTAAACTAAATCCCAAGAATGTCTTATTTAATTCTGTAATGATGGCCCAAAATTATAAGAAGTCTATTAGTAATCCAGATAAAAAGAATATCCATACTAAAGAACCTAAAATACAATATAATTGTATATAGAAAAAGTATTATGGAGGAGTTCTTTAAGAAGGAGTGGTTGTATTAATAAAAATAGATATACCAAATCCAAACATTAAAGCTAAAAAATATACCCACCATGGAGGAAAACTAAATACTACAGAAACAAAGAAAGCAGATCCAGGTATTGGGAAAACTAATATAATTAATATTAGAATTACTTATAGCTTAATTTTTATCAAATTGATCTTCTTAAGGTTTTGGTAGAGTAAATTTCAATATCATCTATAAAGGATATATAATAATAGCCCTGACTTTTTCATGAAATGATAATCTTTCCCATTTCTATTTTTAAGTTTCCATGTTTGCCATTGTTAATTATACTGCTGATCTAAATTTTTTAGCTAACATTTTAACTCTTGTATCTCCTGAAACATAATTTAATCTTATCAAAGGAGTTGACCATTTTACTGGTTTTGCTGCTTATTCCATTTCTGACTTTTTATCCCAAAAATATACTAGTTTCATATCATCAAATTTCTATGCAATTTCTAAATCATATTTAGCTTCATTAACAGTCTAAACTCTTTCTCCCATGTTATCTTTTCTACTTTTTAGTATTTTATCTCTTTCTTAATAGTAGACCAAAGAAACTAAAATTAAATACAAAACTGTAAGTGAAATACTGGAAAAATAGGAAATCTAACCTATCACTCCAAATACCATAATAACAAATATTGAAATAATTTGAAATCCAACATTCCTCCAAAAATGCACTGGATCCATCTTAATTTAAGATTTAGATGTTTTAGTAATTAAATACACACCAATACTGCATAAGAACTATAAAATATAATTATTGCTAATAATTTACAAATCCCGCTCCCATTGTAGCTCCTATGTTATAATCTATACCTCCAGGATATGAAGATGCCACTAAAGCTGTTAAGACATCTCCTGCACCATTACCAAAAGCTAAAAGAGTGACTCCTGCCATAATCTCAGAAATTTCAAAACGCACTTTTACAGCTTCCAATGAAGGAATCAAATATTCTTTTATTACTTCACTTATTCCATTGTAAACCAAATAGCCCACAAAACCAGATACTATTAAAGTTGTCTAATTTTTATTACTCTTTTACCATTATTGATCCATTCAACCAACAATAACTCAAAATGCTATAATTGAAATATAAAAAATCATGTTGGCAATATTATTGAGCAATAAAACATTATTAACTATGTTCAGTTGTTGACATTAAATCAGATTTCTAACATTATAATATCTTTGGTTCATACGAAGCTTCAACTAAATGTTAATACATATTATAAATATTTCATATTATGGGCAATAATTGTACCTGTTGGAAACATGACCCAATAAATTAGATTGAAGTTAGAGGCAATTAAAAACCAAGATGGCAAAGTCTAGAACTTTTAAAGAGTTAGGAACAAAAAATCATACAAGTTTAGTCTTGGATCCGTGGTTGGTAGGCTCGTTAAAGAGTTTGGAAAATGCAATTACAAAAATACAATGATAGTGTGAATGAATAGTTAAGAACGTAGCCACTGTTTTTAAGGTAGGTATTCCACAAGTGTGATTAATGTTGGTTAGAGACAGCTGCCTCTATTTGAATTTGGAATAGAGGATATAAATGATTAACTTGTTAATTAGAAAGTTCTCAAAGCACCAAGTAAATTAGAAAATGGGGCAATGTATTTTGGAGAGTGGATAAATGATTTAAGACATGGGAAAGGCATATTAATTTGTGAAGTATATATTTGTAGAAAATATTCAAGGATGGATCTAAATATGAAGGTTATTTTTATTAAGGGAATGCTCATGGAAGAGGCAGATTGATACATTCAAATGGAGAGGTTTATGAAGGTTAATGGGAGAATGATGAAGCACATGGTTTTGGTACATACATACATGAAGATGGAGCTACATATATTGGTCAATGGGAACATGATTTGTAGCATGGGAAAGGAAGTGAAAAATGGCCAGATGGAAGGTATATGATAAGAGTAATTGTAGTTATTTTGAAGGATTCTATAAACATGGAAAAAAAGATGGATTAGGAAAATTTGTATGGATTGATGGAGCTATATATGAAGGAGAATTTAAAAATAATAATATTGATGGATATGGAAAATACACCTGGCCAGATTACAAATATTATTAAGGTTATTGGAAGAATAATAAAAAGTTTATCATATTATTATAAATAGAAATGGAAAAGGAAAGTATGTGTGGCCAGATGGAAAAGTTTATGAAGGAGACTTTGTTAATGATCAAAAACATGGTTAAGGTATTTTGAAATTTCCAGATGACAGATAATATGAAGGAGAATGGTATAATGATAAATAACATGGAAAAGCATTACTTAAACTACCAAATGGTAAAATATCATATGGACAATGGAAAAATGGAATTCGTATCAATTGATATACTTTTAATCATTTATAAATAATTATTCTTAAGTCTTTCTTCTTAATTATTGAATTTTATGGTTTAAAATATTATCTAATTTTTATGAACTTTAATGCCTGTAATCTTCCTCTTTATATAACTAAAAATATATTGTCTTTTTATTTTTAATAACATCCTTAACCATTTACAATGGACTTCTAATACTAAAAGTATTTCTTCTAGCAGAGCGAACACTTTTTGCTTAATATGTTAGATTTCTTTGTTTAACATATTTCATATCAATTTAAAAGTTTTCAGTTTTATTTAATTATCTAGATATCCTTTCAGATCGATTTTTTTCTCTCTATAAACAAGATTTTCTTAATTAATCATACAAATGCATTTAATTTGAAGATTATAATCTTTAAATTAAGTTACTTAATTAAATTTTTAATACAATTCCATTTTCAGAATTGCAAATCACATTATATTAACGTTTTTCTAAATTTAAAAAACATTCATGATCCCCAAAGAATTATCCCTTTTGCAATAATGCAATTTATTTCACACTTTTTTTACCATTCAATTAATTGTCATTGTTTTTTGTTATTAAAAATTCTCCACTTTTTATTAAATATATTTCTTATTTATTTTCTTGACCTTGAAAATAAACAATCTATCTAAATTAATAAGGGAAATTTTAAAAAGCAATAAAGAGGATTTCTAACAATTTTAGAGATATATTCTAATATTTCATACATGCATAGAATTCTTTAAGTTATTAATTTATTTTATCTTCTTATTCTTTTTATAAGATTTATTTATAATCCTTTTTACTTAAAACACAAAATATGCATCTACTATCACAAATAATGCTAGCAGATCTTAAACTATCACTCAACAATGCCATCTCTCCAAAACTCTACCCTTGAACTAATTTATTTGTATTAAAAGATCTCTCTAATAATTTTAATTCATTTACTTCATTTTTATTAAAGTTGGTCTATCAAGATTTTCTTCTCCAATATCTACTTTTGGATCCTTATAAACATAAACAGAAACATTTCCAATTAATATAATAAAAAAAGAATGAGCTCTTTCTCCTTATTCGAAAACTACTTAATTCTATATATCAAAATAATTTTTACTTTCTCATAAACTTCTAAGGTTATTCTTTTGAAACATTCTTTTAGTATATTTTCTCCTTGCTCTTCTTAAATTTATTTGAAAAATTAATTTTTTCTTGCAAATGTTTTGATAATCTAATTGAGTAATATTTTACTTATAGATCTGCATGATTTAGATGTTCTGGATTCTTTTCTAGATTTTCAATACATTCAGAAATCTTTTCTTCTAGAGATTAATCAAAATTTTTTGATCTATTTTCTGAAATCTACTTATCTTCAAATTGCAACATATTAAAATATCCAAAAATGATTTTTTAAATGATGAATTAATGTTTGTTTATGTAAATATGAAAAGTATATTATAAAATTAATTAATCAATTCAATCAATAGTACCTCTACCATTAATAGTTTTATAACTCTAAACTAAAGATCTCAATTTATCATTTTTTTCTGATGGTGCCAATCTCATAAATCCTCCCATCTATTTTGGCATTTCCCCATATCTCCTTAAATGAGTACCATTCAAAATATAATTTAAATCTCTCTATAATTGTAATTTAGAATTGTTCATTGTATTAATGACAGATTTTCAACCTTATTCTTCTTAAATTCTTCTTTCTAACACTTCACAAAGTCTTTATCGATCATAATTAGGCCATCTATCAAATCAAATATATCATCAATTAACTATTATTTTATCAATTCATCTAAAATATAATCTCTAGCTAAAGATGGAGAAACATTAACTTCTAATAGCCAACATTTTTAATTTGTATCAACTATAATATCTTAACCAAATAACTCAAAACTATTAGGATTATTTGGTATTTCTGATTGACAAGCAACCAAAGACTTTAAAATAAAATCCTAAACTTATTCCCAGATTTTATTCCAATCTATATTTTAATCTATTAATTTTTCTCTTAACTATCTCAAAGATATTTTGCAACCTCCTAATTATTATTCCAAATATTAGATTTATACATGAGTCTTTTAAACTGCAAAATTGGTTAGATGAACAAGTTAATTTTTGAGATCATTGTTATCTAAAGTAAAAGGTTAAGTAGTTTAACGAGCAAATCCTTCTTTATATAGAAATACTTCTAATGGATTAAAAGATGTTACTAATACATAAATTCTCATATCAAATTTATGTCCCTTCAATAAATAGGATTCTTAAGATATTTTTGTAGTACAACTGGTTCAGATTCATTACATCTGATATAGTTCATTTGGATTTATTGCCAAAGGATTTTATTTGTATATACATAATAAAGATTCAACATTATCTACTTTCTCTATATTTTAAGAAAAAATTGAAAATATATCTCTCATTACATCCAAATGATTATAATGAGGACTATTATTAAAAAACCCACTAAATAAATGCTAAAAATTAGGTACAATATCTGAGTAATCTTCTAGTTTTGAATCATCTATGCATTAAAGCATCCTCTAAATGTATTTTAATTATGGATTCTTTGGACGATTGATAATATTTGGAGTTATTGCTTTAAATATTGAGTTTGAATTAGTTGATTATAATTATTTCACCTTAAATTCATCTAATCCCTTTTCTTTCCATATATTTTTAATTTCATCCATTTTTTCTTTATCAGTCAAAACAACCTTCTATTTATTTTCAATTGCTACTTTCTATTTTGATTATTAATCTACTTTTCCATTTTATTTAGCTCCTGATTCTTTATGTTTTGTTTGTTTTTCATTAGAAATTAATTCGTGATCACTCTCTATTTCTTGAAAATCATCAGCTATTTCATAAGAAATATTATATTAATGTTTGTTCAAAAAAAATAGAGATGTAGAATTTGATAAATATTTAGCTCATAGTATTTTAAAAAAAAATATTATAATATATAATTAGCTGCCAAACACTATTTTAATAAATAGGGCTTTAAGTTTATGCTAAGAAAAGTACATATTTTTGTAGTGTTTATAATAAATGGGGGAAAGCTTATTATGCAAGCTAGCATTAATTTTTTTTAAATCAACAAAATGTTATATTTTCTTCGTTTTATTTTTTTGACTCTATTGTTAATTGTTTTTTTAAAGTACCTTTATGATTTAATTATTTTTAACTTCCAGATTAACTTTTCAGATCTTATCTTCTTTAAGATTACTTACTTCTACTTTATTTTGTAATAAATTAATTTTTTGATTAATTCTTTTACACTACATTCATTTGAATTTTGTGTGAAATTTCATTATCTTCTTCCTTGTTTTTTATTTATTTTCATCTTTATGTTTTGATTATTATTCATTAACAACTTCAATTTCTTTATCAATATCATCATTTATTTTTTCCTTTTCAATTAATTTATTTTAAAATTGTTAAATTTCCCTTAAATAGTCTTCTTTTGAATTTCCTGTCAACTCTTCATTATTTTAAAATTAATTAATTATATAATTGTAATGATTTTATATTAATTGATCTCTTTGAAAGAATTAATCTTTCTCTTCAATTTCCTACTTAAAAGTTTTCTAATTTCTAAATTGAAAATTTTTTTTATCTTCTAATTCATTTTATTATTAACCATTATAATATATTTCTTAATTTGGGATTAATTATTGATTTTTCTGTTCTTAATCAAAATTTTAAATTTAATCAAATTCCTAAGCTTAATCTTATTTTTATTAAACATTAACTCTACTATGATCAATCTCATTTTAAGGAATTAAATTCTAGTGATCTTTAGATTCCTAATTCTTTTCTTAAAGATTATTTTTAAGTTTATTTTAAACATCTTCTTTTTTTGAAAAACTTTAAGATTCTACATAAAAATTTTAATTGGTATCATAATTATTATTACTAATTTAAGATCTTTCAGTTAAATCGAAATAGTTTTTTGAATTTTATTCATTTTAATTTTTAATGATTGATTCTTCTATAATCTTATTGTCATATTCATGCTAATCCAAGATATCTGTTTAAATTAAATTATTTGATTGAGTCTACGAATTAATCAAAAAAATTTGACTTAATTCTTCTTTTTTTTCTAAATGATTTATATTGCCATCTAATGATATTTATTTAAATTCAAAATTCTATTTAGTAGTACTACTTTTGGAATAAACATTTGATTATTCCATTTAAGATTAAGTTTTAATTGAAGTTAATTATTTGCCTATAGCTGGAAGATGTTCAACAGTTTTTCCTAAACTCTCAGTTCTTATTTTTTTTTTCTTCTTCTTTCTCATAAGTTTTTCTTAACAGTATTTAATTAAGGTTTTGGAGGAGGTGGAATGTATCTGTGATTTATCACAGCTCCAATTATAAATTACTAATTAGAAACATCAGTCTTTTTTAAAACATCCTTCATGAAATCTTGTAATTAATTTGGTTTTTTAGGTTATAATTTATTTTAAGGATGAGTACTTGTTGACATTGCATCAGATTAATTTTATTACTATTACAAAACTTTTATAAGCATTTTTAAGTTTATTGAGTAGTTTATTAATAATTTTATTGATTAGTTTATTATTCTAATTTCTCTTTATTTTACTATTCATTTTTTTATAATGGTAGTTTAGAAATGTATACATCCAAATAATTAGCTGGTCTATTTTTAATATCATTTAAAAGAGCTTAAAGAGCATTATTTTAATAGATTGGTTATTAAATGAAATCTTCAATTTGAATATTAAAAGCAAAATTTTCAATGGCTTATCTTTCTTTAAGTTCTACCTCAATTAGACCTAAAATCTTTTTAGCCTTTTTATTCCATTAAGCATCAGCAGTAATAAAGGATTTTATCATAGACTACATATCTTCTAATTGAAATGTATCCAAATCATAAATTTCTTCATAAGGAATTAACTATGGAAGTTATGCCATTATTTATATAATATATTATAAAAGTTAATTATATAACATAGTAAAATTTACTATACTTATGTTCTTTAAAAAAATAGAAAATGTTAAAGAATTCAGCTCTTTCAAATTGTTTACTTTTGTTTAAATCATTTTAAATTAAAATTTCAAAAAAAAAAAATAATCAATTTTGCATTTACAAATCGAAATTAAATTACAGTATTCAGTAAATTCATATTTAATCAAGAAAAATTAGTTAAATATTTTTGTAAAATAGATTTAAGTCTTGACTAATCTATAGGTTTAGGTAACGTATCAGCAAATATAGACATTTCTTCTTGATTCGAATCATAAGCAGAATTAGCAACAATTACTGGAGGTTTTACATTAATTGAATTAAAAAAGGATATTATCTAATATTCTATATATTATTCATACCTTTTAAGTTGCCTGTAGACCATTTAGTTATGGCATTTCTATGTCCATTAATATCAATTAATAAAAAGGATGGCATTTTTTTTATTAATACTTATTGATAACTAAATCTACAGCTTCGATTCCATTGTAGGCAGAATCGCTTGTAATTTGATATTACAATAAAATAGTTTTTAAAGCTTGAATATTAAATGGAACATCATCAACAAGTAATATAGATGAACATGTACAAGACTTTTAATTTAAGTTATTAATAAGTTTAAAATCTAGACTTTTATTCATTGATATACAGAAAACATCATCACTTTTAGCATATGATATTGATTCATTATCATCTTTTATTAAATGAATATCCGAAATATAAAATGATATGTATGTATATTATTAGAGAGCTGATTTAATTGAAAATTAATTTTTTTTTAATTCTGTTTATACTAACCCTTGAATTAAACGATTGGAAATTTTCAATCCAATTCCCGAAGACAATTGATGTTGAGTCATCCAATATCCACTTTCATCAGATTATACTGAATGCAATTCTCGAAAAATAAAACTTAATTTTTATTCTGAAATCCCAAAACCTTAATCTTTGACTTTTATTTTAATGTATTAATGAAATTATTTAAACTTGTTCTTAAATTAAACTCGAATGTGAGTATTAGATGGAGAGAACTTTATTGAATTATTCAATAAATTTATTAGAACTTAAATAATTCTTTGTTTATCATTTGTCACAATTTAATTTATTAAATTAACTTTAAATGTTAAAAGTATCCTTTTGCTTTTGCAAGCTTATGTGTATAATTACTTTATGTAATCTGCAATTTCACTAATATTAAATTTAGAATAATGATGCACAAATTAATTGGATTGCATAGCTGCATAGTCAAGTATATCATTAATTTGAAATAGTAATAACTTATTAGAATTTAAAGCAGGCTAAACATATTCTTGATTCATTTAATCATTTAATTTTGTTGATAATCCTTCTAAGAGCTATAAAGAACTATTTAAAGGTGTTCTTAATTCATGCGAAAACGAATTTAAGATACTATTTTAAAATTTAATAAATTAAGCTAATTCTTTCTTTTTCTCTTTGCTTGATACATTTTAAATTAGCACTATTGTAACTTGCTCAGATTTAAGAAATTATTGTTACAAACTAATTTTTACTACTTTTTATTTAGAAATGCCATTTTTGCTTAATTCTTTGTATTTGTATACAAGGTTAAATTATTCATCCTTTTAATTTAGAATTGCTTAAATAGGATCATCTATTTTTAAGCTTGACAAAAAAGTTCTGTTTGATTTTTAATTATCATTAAGATTGTTTAAATCTTCTGGTGCTTCAATATGATCCAGTAACATCCTACTTGAATTTAATATATTACTTAATTAATTAATTTTTTAACTATATGCTAATTTCTTCTTTTTTTTCACAGCCAAAGTTTTTAAAATATTATTTTGCAAATTCATTAGTATACTTAATACTTTATAAGGGATCAAGTAACATTATTCCGATAGGTAGATTATCTAGGATAGATAATTCACTATCTAATTATTTTAATGATACTATTAAGTGTGCTGAAGAATTATACTATAAATTATTATTATGAGTATCAGATTTTTGGATATTTCTTGATTTCTCCTTTTTAGATTCTATATATGATTTCATCCACAAAATACAAGAAATAATAATTGATAAAATAGTTTAAGCAGCTTCAAATATATTATTTTCCCAAAAAAATATTACTCTGAAGACTTGAGAGATTATTAGTAAAATTCTAAAAGCTTCATTTAGCCTAATTTCTATTTCTAATTCACAACTTAAAATTTAAGTCAATACCAGAAATAAGAATGCAAAATTAGTTTACTATAAAATTTGTTGGACGTTGATAAATGAAATAAAATAAACTATTTTTCTTCTTAAATATGGCTTAATTAAGAACACAATACTTGCAATTATCTATCCTATAGTTATTGTTAATTGTAATCTATTCATGTCTGAGTTGAAAACTATTAATTATATCAAAATTAGAATTCCGCTTATAAGTAAAGCAATCGATATCAAGAATGAATTATCCATAGTTGAATTATACTGATTATTAATATTTAATATTTACATAAAATCAGAATCTTACAGGCAATTTTATGTTAGTATATTTCAATTTATAATCACCTTAAATATTTTTCTAAAATGTATTGTAAACTCATTTTCGTAATTGGCTTTGGCAATACATCACTCATAAAGCATCTCTAACACATTTGAATACATTCTTAATTATCATAAGCTGAACACATTACTATTGTAGTCTAATCACTTTGATCTCCAAGAATCTATTTAATTTTAAGAGATGCTTCGAATCCATTTTGTTTAGGCATCTCAATATCCATTAAAATCAATGAATAAAAAGGATGACAATTATTACTCTTAATTCTTTATTTAACAATATCTATAGCTTATTAACCATCATAGGCACTGTCTGCTTGACAATTCAATTCATTTAAAATCATCTTTAAAGCATGATGATTAAAAGGTATATCATCAACGATTAATATTTTATTACATTTACAAATTATTTATTTAATAAATTTAAACTCTCTTGTTGTCAATTAACTCAACTATCTACTAATTTAAGCATCTTTTAAATTTGTTTCTGATACTTAACTATTATTTTCCTCTTAAAAATCCTCAATTGTAAAAGAGATAATTGTACCCTTATTTAGAGTTGAATTTATTTTTAGCCCTTTTTTTAAAGATGATAATCCGATAATCAATTTGTTTGCTACTTTTAATCCTAAACCAACATGAAATTGATTATATTCATTTTATAAATTATCTTATTCTATATTCATTTATAATTGATTCAGTTATTCTTGTGATAAACCTAACCCAGTATCAATTACTTAAATTAAAAACATATTATTTTTTATATCTTATACTTTTAACACAATTTCTCCATATTATTAAGTAAATTTAATTGAATTATTTAATAAATTCACAATCACTTATTTCATTCTTTTATAATCATTATTTACCATATGTTTATCTTAAGAATTTATTTCTAATTTTAATTTTATATTTTTTTATTCACAAGCTTATAAATACATTGAAATACAATCTTACAATAAATCTTCTAAATAAAATAATGAGATATCCCAATTAAAATCATTTATTTCAAATGATGCATAATCAAGTATATCATTAATTTAACAAAGCAATAAATCAGTTTGCCATTTTATTGGTTTTAAAATATTTTCTTATAAATCTGAATCCACTTTCAAAATTACAACCTCCAATAATTATTGAATACAATTTAATGGAGTTTTTAATTCATGAGAAAATGAATTTAGTAATTAATTCTAAAAAATATGCTTGCTTTTTTAATCTAACTTCCCTATTTTAGAAGTCTCATCTAATAAATTAATTACAATTTAATTATGATGCTTCATAAAATGAAATCGAAAGCATCTTTTTTTTCCTTTATGATTAAATTGGATTCTATATTTATTCTTTGAATATATATTATATTACATCCATTAATTATTATGAATATGGGACAAAATCATTTTACTATTGTAATACACTATTTATAGGATCAATCTATTAAAGAAAATTATCATCTAAATGTGGCAAACTCACTCTTTACTTTTGATGGAATTTAGATATTAACTAATGGATTCTAGTTTAACTTGGTCTTGTTAGATTTCCAAGACTTGCAATTTTATCGTTAATGCATCTTTCATTATGTTTTAAATATTTACTTCTTCAATAGCTCTTTTATGATAATAACAACATTATCCTCTGTAATTTAGGTATTTGATGCTCTTTCTAATAAGGATCTTGCTCTCTTATTCAGATATTAAAAATCATGCTCTAATGTTAATACAACAAGTCCAATAGGTAAATGATCAAAAATTTATATTTCATTATTTCTTGGAGTTTATGTTTTGTTCGTAAGTATTCTTTCAAATTCATTAATTTTTGGAGTAACCAATTCTAAGTCTAAAGACTTTGTAAATGATTACTTGCTCTTTACATAATAGTAGAAAATTATGATCAAAGTATAGATAAATGTGGTTGAGATTGCAAAGAAAAAATTAGAATTATAAGCATCAAACTAAATGATTATCTTAATTATGGATGAAAATAGTAATTCCAATATTATTGGTAATTCGAAAGTTGAATTATTTTTGATCAGTTGATAAGCCAAATAAATCCAACTCAATTAAAATTGAAAAAGTTATAGTTCCATTTTGCTATATTTAGAGTTTTCTTAAATTAGAAGTATTAGCATAAATTGAATGAATTACTAAAGTTTAGTTTATTTCATAATACAAATTAGTATTGTAAATAATAAAATGGAACCATAGATGGATAAGGATATATATTCTTTGAAAATTGCACTGATCACTATTGCTGCAACCGAATTGCATATAATCTAAAATATTATAAATTTATGTTTAATCATTAATAATTAAATTAATTTAGAAAAATAGATATGATGCAAGGCTTTTTATTATAAAAATAAGAAATAATAGATACAATTTCATTTAATAAATATATTTAGAATATTAAGCAAATTACTCTTCTAAATAGGTTTTGGTAAATAATCATCTATCATACATTATTTAGCAATTAATCTGCTTTCCAAATTGTCGTATGCTGTGCACATAACAATTTTAGTTTAATTTTTATTTTTTTCAAGCAATTCTGTAATTTTCACAGCAGAATCAAATCCATTCATTTTTGGCATTTCTATGTCCATCAAAATTAATTAATAATAAGGATGACATTTATTTGTTTAAAGCCGCTTGTTTACACATTAAAATGCTTCTAAACCATCAAAAGCATGATCACATAACTAATTAAAAGAACTTAACATTATTTGTAAAGCTTAATGATTAAAAGGAATATCATCTACAACCAAGATTTTAGGACACTTACATCTTAAAGCAGATATAAATTTATACTCTGAATTTGTCATTGTAGACATATTACAACATAGAGTTTTAGATGCTCTTGATTGACAATCTAAATCTTATTCCTCAATTAAATCTTCTATGTAAAACGAAACATTAGTTTTTTAATTTTAAATAGATGATATCTTTAATCTATTGTATCCTTTTATAAAAGATTTAACTTATTTATTAGCTACTTTTAATCCCAATCCTATACATTTTGAGGTAGTTGCATCAAAATAATCATTGTTCTATTCAAGAACATGATTTATTAATGCCAATTATGTTTAAGTAAAACCTACACCATTGTCTTTAACTTTTATTTTTGCTAATTTTTTTTCGTTTTTAATTTTTTCTTTAGCTTGAATAATTATATTTCCATTTTGAGAGCAAAATTTGATTGAATTATTAATAAGGTTAACTAAGACTTATTTAATTCTCATACAATCATTACGAATTGGAGGATAAATAGTGTTTTTAATATTTATATTAATATTTTTCAATTTGCATCCTTATTCATACATTTCAAGACATTAATTAAAGAGTTAATCAAGTGTAAATACAGAATAAAAAGAATGAAAATTATCAGTTTCCATTGAAGCATAATCTAATATATCATTGATTTAACATAAAAGTAAATCATTTTGATGAAAGATTTAATATAAGCATTTTAATTATTGTTCATCTTATTATTTAACAATTAAACTTTCTAATAATTATTGAGAACAATTAAGAGGGGTTCTTAATTCATGAGAAAAAGAATTCAACAATTAATGTTGAAATTTGTATTTTTTTTCTTGAATTTATCTTTCAATTTTTGATGTAACATCTAAGATTAAAATGATTACAATATTTGGTAATTCTTATTTTTAAATTTAGAATTTAACACTTCTAATTTTTCCTTAAGATTAATAGTTAGTAATTAATTTACTCTAATAAATTTGTATAAATATATTACAGTCATAATTGAACATCCTTTTTAATTATTAATGATATGTTCTAATGGAGTGATTTTGATATCAAGACTTGAATCAAGATTTACTAGATTAAGTGGATTAATCAATTTGGAAACTTATTTTTCAGACTTGTTTTTAGGTGAATTTTTTTAGCTTAATAAACTAATTTATGAATATAATTGAATACCCTTTTAAAACTGAATTTATAAGATCTACAACATTATCTTCATTAGGTTTAATACCAGTCAAACCATATATTTGATCTATAGCTTTTTCATTAATATGTTAGAATTCATATTTACAAGTTAATAACACTACACCATGAGGAATAATATCTAAAACAACAAAATCAGAGCATAAAGTATTCATTGATCTTCGAGTAGTTAAAAATCTATGAAAATCTTCACTAATGACTTTTTGAGAACTTTATAACGTTTCTGTGTTGTTGTTCTATTTTATATGAATTTGGTATTCATAATAAAAATAACAAGCAGTGAAACTTAATATTCCTTGCATATGTATAATTGATTCATATGTATCACTCTTCCAAAGTCTCCAAATTTGAAATATAGAAGTAAGGATTATAATTATACAGTGGAGTAAGCGTATAATTTTATGAATTTTCAAGAATTTTCTAGTTACAATGAACCAACCTAGAAAATGTATAAAGATGTATGATGAATTGATATAAATCAATCCAATAATGAATATATTAAGGGATAAAACAGTTTAAATAATGAAAAGTAGTTTCTTCTTAGTCCTAAAAATAAAAAATAAAAGTATGATAGCCATCAGTAATCCTTCGATTACAAGTTTAAAAATATCAAGTTCTAAGCAATAAACAACAATAGACAGTAAGGTGTGTATAAAGAAGAAGGATATCACGATTTATTCGGTATTCATTAATTTAATTGAAATATAATCAAACTTAGTCAATTAAACAATATTTAAAAGAATGCCATAATAAATAAATATAATATTTTTATTTTAATAAACTACATGAACTTAATTATTGGGTATTTTATAGACTCGAGAGAATTAGTTTAATTAATCATAGTATTCTATTTAAATTTTAATCAAATTATATGTAATTCTCTCCTAAAGTCATTGTATTAGTAACAGATAGATCTCTTGTTATCATATTAGTTTTAAGATTGACCTTAAATAAGAAGATGAAATAAGAAAACTAATTGAATTCATATATGTAATGTTTATAAATTAGAAATGTTATCAACTGAGCTAAAATAAAAATAACAAAGAAATTAGTGTGATTATAATGTTATTCTCTATATCTAGATATTTGAGTAAATATATATTCAATTAAAGTTTTCATCATAGCATCTAGAGTAATAATTTATTAAAACAATTAATAAGATTATATACACACCAATATTTGAAATGATCTAAAAGCTTAATATTTCATTATTAGAAGAAATGATGCATTAATCATTATAATGTTTAACGGGGTATATATGTCTATAGAGAGAGGATTAAGAATACTTGATTTATAATTAATATTATTAATAAATAAGACGTCATTATCAATGAAATTAGATCAGAATACAGTTTGTTTAGTTACAGGGGGAGCTTCTGGTTTAGGATTGGCTACTGTTTTAGCTTTTTTAGCAAAAGGATGTAAAGTTGTGATTGCTGATTTCAATTAAGTAATCTATTTTATCATTTCTATAGGAAGCTGGGAATTAAATTTTATAAGAGTAGAATACTCCTAATTTAAAGTTTTTTAAGACTGATGTTTCAAATGAAGAAAATGTAATTTAATTGATCAAATACACAGTAAATGAATTTGGTGCAATTCATATTGTTGTCAATTCAGCTGGTGTTATATCTGCTGGATATTTAGTTACACCAAAAGGAACTATTCCTGTTGATGAAATGATGAGAGTTTTAAAAATCAATGTTGTCGGAACTTTTAATGTATCAAAACATGCAGCTGTAGAAATGATAAAGCAAGAACCATAAGGAGAATTTAAAGAAAGAGGTGTAATAATAAATATTGCCAGTCTTGCAGGAATAGAAGGATAAAAAGGATAAACAGTTTATTCTGCAAGCAAAGGAGCTGTAATAGGAATGACATTACCTATGGCAAGAGATTTAGGAAAGTATGGAATAAGAGTAATGACATTGGCACCAGGAGTAAAATATTATTTAATTATTTAAAGGTGTTTTAAACTCCTATGGGACATAATTTATCTGAAAAAGTGTTAGCTCCTTTGAGGAAATCAGCTGCTTTAGACAGATTTGGTCAGCCTTCTGAATTTGCTGAATCTGTAATTGGAATTTGTTAATGTTCGTATTTAACAGGAGAAGTAATTAGATTAGATGGAGGAAGTAGATTACCAAATTTCTGAGTATACAATAAACATTAATTTTTAATATTGCTTATTATATAATTTATTCATATACTCCATGAGTCTTTTTCTCTTCCATCTAATTCAAATCCAAATTGAATAGAATCAACAACTTTAGGTCCACAAAATATACATTCACTAGCAACAATTTTATCGAACTTTTCTTTTGTTTCTCTTAATAGTTTTTCTTCATCTGGAGTTAATGTGGATTATGGTCTTTATTCTTATTTTGCTCCTCCAAAAATATTCATTATTTAAAAGAAGGATTAACCATCTAATAAAATAATAAAGTAATAATATATACCTTATTATTTTTTACTAACATTTTAATTTGGATTAGATTTTACTAAAATAGATTACATTGTCATATCATATTTCTCTATATTAGCAATATTTGCTTAATGTTAAGGAAGGGATTTGATTTTTGTAACTATGCAATCCTAAATAATATTAAATAATTATTCTTACTTTATGAAATCCATGGTTACATGGGAATATATAAAATGTATCATTAAATAGTTATTTAGCACAATGATCACATTTTTATTATGTATCAATTATTAAGAACTTATTCTTTGTCATTTTTAGTTCATTCTTTAATTGATCTGAATTAGCTGATAATTTTTTCATTTCATCTTTTAATTTTTCTATTTCTTCATTATACTTTTTGAGAGAGTTACAGATTTCATCTTTAAATTATTCAATTTTAATATTTTCATTAAAATGAGGAAGGAGATCTTCAATTTTAATTAGTTGACTATTTTTTGTAAGTTCAATCACTTTATCAATATCTTAATTTTAAGATAATAATCTTTCTGCAATCATCATCCATAATTTTTTCTTTTTCTCATCATCATCTTCAGGTTTTTAAGCATATTCTTTTGCTTTTTCTATCATTCCATAATCTAAAGCTAAAGTAACAGATTCAGTATATAGAGACATCATTCCATATATAGTGATTTGAGCATCTATACAACTTGCTTATTTAAATAATCTTAATGCAAAATCTAAGTCAAAATTGACTTTCTCAGTCTTTTTTAATAAAGCTTCTTATTCTTATAAATATTAATTAAGTTTATCTTTCTATAATGGTTAAGTTAAGAAAAATATTAATATATTATGTATACTTTTATCAGCGCAATCCAATTTATTAATTGAATGTTCTAAAAATCTAATACCAAACTCTCTTTTATCAACAGGAATATTCATAAGTCCACCAATAATTTTGGTTTAATCAAATTTCTTAATGTTCTTTTATAAGATATCTAATGTTTATTCTGGTTCATGTCGCATAAGAATGAATGAATATTTTTAGATGATTTCCATTGAACTCTTTTCTTTTACATTATTTAAATTTTTAATTGCCTCTTTATAATTTTCTTCATTAATATAATGTTAAATAATCATTTCGTAATTATTGTTTAACTTAGCATATTCTACACAATTTTACAATCTGCCATGACTAACCATAATTTAATAAACTAGATTTTAATCTAACTCTAATTTATATGTTTTGAGAAAGTTATCAAGATCTTCATTTAATTAATTTAATTATAATTTTTTTTCTTTAATATCTTTATCTCTCTATGTATCTGTTTCATATGTTCTTGTTTCATGAATAATTTTTTCTTATTCATTTAATCTATAAATTAATAATTCTGATAGCCATCCCAAAACTAATGTTCTTTCAGTTTCTCCTTTTAAATGATTAATTAAATGTTTAAGATATTATTCTAAACCTATTCTAGCCTTCATATCATCACAATTAAGAAATTTCAAGAATATTTCTTCAAAGTTTTTTGAAGATTTTTGATAATAGGAAGCTGCTTCATTATATCTTTTCAAAGAAAATAATTGATCACCACATAAACCAGCAATATATTAAGTATATTCTGAATTATACTTTTTAGATATATCATATGCTTCAATATACATTTTTTAATCCATTAATAATTTCCATGCTTCTTTATCTTCATCTTCAGTTTCTATTTTACAAAATGTTCTTTCAGAATATATCCAGAATACTTTATCATCTTTTTCATATTGCATACCCATTATTCTACCCATACCTCTAAGTTCATATTTTTAGACTTCTTATTGAGTAATTTTACTAAAAATAGTCAAAGAATCTGAACTAAGAATAAAATAATGAAATTCTGTTAATCCGATCTATACTGGCATTTCTGAATAATTATTCATAGTTTTTAATTATTTAGCTTATTGTAATATTGATTCATTTAAATCTTTTTCAGGAAGAGTGAATAAATTTAGTGATTTCCCATTTGTAAAAAGAAATGAATTTTTCTTTTAGGATACAGCTAATAAACTTGTATGATAACGTAATGGTTATGATTCTGCTCTTGCAACACTTTATGGATCTTTGTATTTTGAAAATAGAATGCTAAGACTATTTAATCCATAAAAGAAAAACACACTAAAATTGGTTGATACAACTACACAGGCATATTTGTTATTATCATACACTACTGTAAATTGTTCAATTTAATTAATTTATCTTTCATTAGGAATAGTAACCATTAACTTTGCTTCTTCCTCTCTTACATCTCCTTATCTACAATCAATTCTATATATATATATTTTTGAATCTTTTGTAGCTAATAGAATTTCATGAGTATCAGTTTCATCACATTAATCATCCCAACCAATACATTTAATCTATTTACCCTTTAATTATTCCATTGATCTAATTTTCTCTGATCTTACATTTATATAAAAACTTTCTCCATTATCCGATACTATTAAAGCATGTGGTCCAAATAAAAATAATCTCTCCAATATTATATCCTTTCTCTCATTCTTTTTACCTCCAAGTAATTTTCCTGTTAATCCACCTTATTGAACTTCTGGCAATTCCATTTATACGCATTAATCATCTTTCTCTGGTCTCCATCTATATATATTATTTTATCTTGTAATAATCACAAACATTCTTGAAGATATTCCCGCCTACTTTATTTATTCATTCTTTGGAAAATTAGGCATATCAAATGGCTTATTTACAAATAAATCAACTCTTGTTATCTCTTCCTTATCAAATCCAACATCTTCAGGCTTTGTATTTAATCTTATATTTATACCTAATCCATGTGATCATCATTTATCCATTAATTATCATCCATTCTCCCTTACAACATTATTATTTATTATTATATTATTAATACTTTTTTATATATAAATCAATCTATTTTATCATTCATCATTTGGAATTATCACACTAAAACGATATGATTTCCTTGGTGTCTCCCATTTTCTTACTAAATCATTTATTTTTTATTATTTCTATTTCATATTCTTAAATGATCTTTTTTTGTAAAAATTTAATAATTTCAATCTTTAGGTCTTAATCTTTTAAAATTTCATTATAAACTCATATGGATAATACATAAATCTTATTAATTGATTAATAGGTTTTAAAAGCAAAGTATGATGTTTCTATTCTGTTTATATTACAATATTTTCAATATTATGACTAATCATATATGAACTAAAGTTTTTAACAATTTCAAATTATTCTATGCCTTACTATGCTTTTAATTAAAAATATAAAATTTATAAATCTTGTATTGATTTATCAAAAGGTATTATGGCTTCTTCATTGAAGATTTTATTGTACAATAATTCAATATTCTAATATATGCAATCTTATATATCAATCTTTAATGATTCATCAGTATCAATTAATGCAATTTTAGGATTTTATTAAATGCACATTTTTTTATATTTTGATAATTTTGCAGACATAAATTTATTTGCAGTTATCATACATTATTATCTGGTAGATAATTTCAAATTTAAAATTGAGTTATTATCACTTGATGCAATAGAGTCATTTATATTATTTTACTTCTAAAGTGATATGGCTTCTCCACTTTACAAAGAACATCTTGGTAATTATATTGATTCTTATCTTTTAAAATGAAATGTTTTATTAATTGGAGATTATTCATTAATATCAGACTTTGCATCATCAAAATCTTACTCATAAGTTAATTATTTTGATAATTAATTTTAAACTAATTTAGGCTATTCATTTTAAAAATAAATAGAAAATTATTCTATGATTTCTCTATCACATCTTGTTGAAAAAGATGTTTTTCCTCTTTTTTTTGATCTCCTTCTGTATTATCTCTATTATTCTTGAGTATATTGATATCTTTTGATGATCAATTCTCTATCAATACTTAAAGATAAGTTTGGGCATTCCTTTAATCCATGATTATTGGTATTACAAGCAGCACAATATTATCCATATATTAAATGTTTACGATTTATTTGAAGTACAAACTAATCTCTTAAATTACAAAACTTTTAGTAATCTTTTGGATATTAACGTATAATAGACATGAAATCTTACTAAAATTTTTAAATAACAAAATATTACCTTACTTAAAACAAGTAAACTTACATATCCTATAGCTTTGAAAGTTTATGCATTATCATTCTCTTCTATGAATTCTGATACTTCTAAAAACTAACCTTGATTCTAAACACTTTTCAAAGAAACATTTAAAATATTTTGATATTGCAATTAACCTTATTCAACAAAACACAAATGAGGTTAATAAAAATCACTTAAAGTATAAATAGAGAATGTATTCTAAGGTTAGATTATTTTCCTTTTAATAAATGGAGACAAAGAATTCTATAATTCTAAACTGAAATTTTTAAATAAAAAATCACAATGTTTAAAAAAAACATTATTAGCTTATTTTTTCAATTCTTATTTTAATTCTTCAGATAATTCATTCAATAAAGTTTCTTCCTATTATAAATCAATTTCAGCTTCTTCTTTCCATCTAAAAGTTAAATATTCTCTGATCTTGTATTACAAAGAAAAAGGTATATTTCTTTAATGCATATATCTATTGATAACTCTAATTTTTTTGCTTCTTTCCATAAAATTTTAATTGATTTCTTTAATAATAGTGCCTATAGCATTTATACTGTATGAAAACCATAAGCAAGCGCTTAATATAAAAAAAATAGCAACAATTTTTTCATTCCATGTTTTTGGTACATTATCACCATATCCAATCGTAAGCATAGTAACAATAGCAAAATAAAATGCTTCTAAATATTAAAATTGCCATTGTTAATGATCTAATTCTTTCAAAATAATCCAAGAATTTCCTTAGTTTAATGAACTATTAAAAAACCATATACAAGAAAATAAGTGCAAAACATATATTAAATAGATAAGCAGCTTAAATAAATTAATGAATGCTTTTTATTTTTTTGTGAAATATTAGGATTCTTCACTTTTTTATAACGTTTAGTTAATTTGATAGTGTTGTGTAAGTGATATTAAAAGTACTAAATATTAAAATTAATTTCCTTCATTTTAAAGAAAATAGATTAATAAAAATATTAAAGCTAAGTCTGAAACAGTTTAAAGATTTAAATTGACTTAAATAATCTTCCATCTATCATAGACTGCTTATCCACTCAAGTAGCATATGGTATTTAATCTGAATATATTATCAATAATTAAAATAATGATAATAGAAACAGTAAGTCCTATTAACTTGTCAAATAAAATTTAAGGGTTGTATGCAATTTCTAATGGAATTAATATTAATAAAAGCAACCTAAAAAGAATAGTCCAATAATCCCAAACAATTTTTTTAAGAGATTCAGGATGTATTTAAGGTATTTTAGATAGAATTTCATAAAGATGTTTTCTGCTTTATTAAGATTTTTCTTTGATCCAACTGATAAGTGAATTTTCATGAGATGATAGAGTATTCTCTCTGAATAATTTAGTAACATTTCGAATTTAAAAATGAGGGTGATTGTTTAATTTAAGAATTTACATCATCACTTAACTAAATAATATTGATGATACCTATCACTTGAATTATCATTAATTAGTTTGATATGATTTTCATTGACATTAGATAACTTAGTTCTACTATTTCTAATACGTTAAATGAATCGTTTCAGATAAAAATATTTCATTAGATTCGTGCCTGCATTTTTACATGTATTTTTTTTGTTATCATCATCTTAGTTGATTAATGGCTTTATAAGGATTAAATAATTACTTCACAATTTCTGCGAGTATCAATATTTATTGTTGATTTTATTGTGAAATTGTTGGTACTAGGATTTCTAGTTCGTATTCTTGAAACCAAATCTGCTTCCAAGTATTCTTTTTCATATTCGTTTTGCTGTTCTGCCTATAATTCAATTTGAAGATTCTCTGGCTATGAACTTAAAGCTGAGAATATTATATCAGTGCCATTCATTTATAAAATAATATACTCATTTAAAATCTCTTTTTTTCTTGTCGATATCATTATTTTCTTATTTTTTAACTTTTCTTCTTTAATTTTATCATCATATTCTTTCTATTCTTTAACTATTATCTATTACTTCATTTTCTTATGTATGATTATTTTAGAAATCTTAAAATTATAGTTCCTAATAAGACTGAAGAGATTAAAGTCAAATTTTACAAAACTTATTATTTGTAATTATTAATATAAAGAGTAATTATTCTACATTCTCTTTATCTTAAATATTTCGATAAAAATAAGCTTGCAATTTTATATTCTCTCTTTATATAATCAAAATTTTATTTATTTTTCCATCTTTATAACAATAATCTTTATCATTCTATTCAAATGTACATTATTCTTCAAACTATTTTCTAATTCATTTTGGTTCACTTTTTTTTTTGAATTATTTATTTTATTAAACTTTTTTGCTAAAGGCAAACTTTTTTTTATCTATTTATATTTTATAATAATTTAAATATCTATATATTATATATTTGTGAATATTTAACCATCCACGTAATAGAGTCTTTTTGTTTTTTGTTACTGATTAATAAATATTATATTATTGTAATATGCTTAAATAAATCAAAGAAAAACCACTTTCATAACTAATAGTAGAGTTGTAATAGAAATATTAAGAAGAGAATGACTAATCAAATTTATTCTAGAAACTTTATCAATAGTAAGTAGAATAAGAAAGTTCTACAGAATCATCTAATATTGTTCCTGGTCTTCTTTCTGGATCTTCAGGTTCATCATCTTCTCATTCAGGTGAAGGTATAACTTTATATATATCATAGGAGTTGAAAAAAAAATAAAAAAAGGTAAAAAAAGTCAAAATGTTAATAAAACAAATTAGGATGAAAAAAAAGCAGCAAGAGGAACAAATGACAAAAAAACTTTATAAATGATTAGAAATAGAATATCAGCATAAAATTCAAGAGATAGAAAGAAAGCTTATCTTTAAAAATTAGAAGGAGATTTCAATAAATAATCTAATTACATCTAAGAATTAACAGATTAAGTTAGCTATTTACAATAACAATTAGAAGATGCATAAAAACTTAATTAAATATTATAATCCCAGCAATCTAATTTAATGTGTATAAATTGTGGAAATAAATAATTTATTTTTGAAGAGGAAGCTCCTATTTCTGTTTCTAAAAATAAAGGTTTAAGTAAATTAGGATTTTCATTTATTGTTATTATAACTATTCTCGCTTGTTTTAGTATTAACTTTGATGCCTCTTCTCAAAATTTTAGTGCATCTCCACTTATATAATAAGATAAACCATTAATAAGATAATTGAATAGCACAGATCAACAATATGGAATTTTAGAATAACTTTAAAATGGTAGAATTAAAGGTATGACAGATCTTATGGAATATAATTCAGAATATAATTATAAATTTTATGATACTACATATCGGGCTATCTTAAATACAAAAGAAAGTTTTGTCAATGAAATGATTAATTATAATAAAGAAAAGGCAAAATAAGTTAATGATTAGGCATTAGCCCCACTAAACTATCATAAACCATAAGTAGATTCATTTTATTGCCCAACCGTTTATAAATATGATAACCAAACTTAGGGGTAATATTATCCAATAAGTTTAGTAAAATATAGGTCAAATATTAAGATGAAAAATGGATTCATTTAGTTATTCCTAAAAATAATGTCAATATATTTTATCAAAACCATGATAAATCAATTATATTAAAAGAAACTTATGCTGATTCAGATGGTGATATCAGAGAAAAATATTAAGAAATTTGGTGTTAAGTAAAAAGTATCAATGACTTCTATATATGAAAAAATAACTTTTTTTTTTTTATTTTATTCTAACCAGTCTACTATATGTTTCTAATAATTTCATTCAAAATATTTATTATACATTTTTTTATATCTATTAACCTAACCACCAATCTTAGATTTAGATTCTTAAAATTTTAAACATAACCTCTCGATAAACATATTAAAGATTCAGTAATTTTTAAAAATTTTAACTTCAATTTTATATTTTATGTTATAATGCACAATAGTTTAACACCATCTTTATTTTTTTTTATTTTTTAACTATTTCATATATCATTTGATGATTTCTATTAACAAAAATATTATCTTATTAATTATCTTAATTATCCTTTTTCTAAATATTAAGAATATAGTTGTTCCATAAATAAAATTTACGAAAAGCAAAAATAATGTACAATTTGTTGTCCTAACACTCTAAAAAACTATAGAGCTTGATAAATTAATATCATTTCAAACTAAAAGGATATAAACAATTGCAACTGTAAATAAAACTAATATTTCATAAAATTCTGAAATATTTATGATATCTTTATTAATAAGCTTACTTAATTTTATTGAATAATTTTAAATTCTTTAAGCTATATTTATAGTAATATCTTTTAGATTTAAAAACTGATAAATTAGTTTTAAATCGAATACTTCGATATTTTTTTAAAAGTAATGTTTTCAATAGTGAAATAATAATAATTCTAAGTGGTTTTTATTTTTTATATATATGATTAATTATAGCATATTATTTTATTTATAAATAACTCCTAAATTTCTTCCATTTACTTTTAAGTTTACTAATTAAAATCAGGTAAATTGACAATAAAATTAAAGATTAATCAATGATATGTATTAAATCAAGTCGCTTATTAATATGAGAAATAAAAATAATTATGAACAAATAAATCCAAAATATTAAGTACAAATTAAAAATTCTAAATTCATGGCCAAATACCTTTTTTATTTTTATTAAAATATACTTCATATTTAATTAAACTTCAATTGATATAAAAATGTAATTATATTTGGAACCCAAAGTAATTTTCAATCATCATGCTAAATAAATTATATCATAATGATAAAATAGAGTAATACCTCTCTTACCTTATAATTATTTAAATCTCTAACTCATTAATTAATTTAATTAATTTTTAAAATTATCAAATTATTACACACTATTTTAACTTTTTTGATTATCTTCATCAATTAGTTTTATAGTTTTTATCTTTATTTATTTATAAACAGGAGATTTATTCAAAATTTTCTATTGAATGATCAATATTGAATAATTAGTAGTTTATCCTAATTATCTTTTTTGGATAGGTCTTCCTGTATTTTTTAAGGATAAAATTACATTTATTTCATTAAAAAGAAAAAAAAATAATGATTAGAATAAATTTATAATTATTTTATAATATTTAATTTTGAGAGATTTAATGAATTTTTAATTTGATTCTTTTTTTTATTGGCTGAGAAATAAGAATAAATTAATAAAATTCTTCACTATGATCCAGGACTATAATGGCTTGGTTTAATTTTAGATTTTCTAATGATACTTTAGATATGATCTGATCTTTAAGTTTTCTTTGGTTTTTTAAGTTTTGTTAAAACCTTATCTAAATTAGAGTTAACAAAGTAATATGTAGTTATAAAATACCTATCTAATTCAAAATCAATTCTTTAATTTTGATTGTCGTTTAATTTATGTGAAAGAACTTCATCCAATTAATTAATAGTTTCTAATTTTGATTAAGTTATAATTGGTAGTTCTAAATCCATATTTGAATATGAATTAGAATTATTTTTTCTAATTTTATGTACACTAGAATTTTAACCAGTAACAGATTAAGTGATTTAATTTTATTCTTGTGAAATTTGAGAAATATGTGTAAATCTATTATTTGAAATTTAGGTAAGTCTCTAAAAAGTTCTGTGTCTATTATCTGCTTTTCTTTTAAATGAATTTTATGCTCTAAGAATTTTAGGTTCAGGTTCAGAAATTTCTTAAAATTTGACTTTCTTTTATTCTATACTTTATAAATGATTATATCTAGATGATTTAGGTGTTTTAGTTTTATTTAATTAAACTTCTGAATCATGTTCACTATCTGAATCACTACTAAATTATTCAAAACCTGTAAAACCTCTTTTAACAGATTTATTAGATTTTTAACTTTTAATTGTTTTAATAAGTCTATCATTTTCATCATCATCCATATTAAATCCAAGTGTATCTAAATATTGATCTGTTAAATCATCTATTGCTATCATATTATCATTCACAATCAAAGCTAAAGCATGTTCTCTAATTATATTTCTTTAAAAATGTTTTTAAGTTAAAACTCTTTCATGTTTAGATCTATTCATATCTTCTGATATCATAAATTTTTTTCTTATTCTATCTTAATTGAAATGGACAAAAACTAATGGACATCTAATTATATATATAATTTAACTTTTTAAATTGGTGTGTCCATTTACAAATGTAGCATACTTCTCCATAATTTTATTTTTCTTCTGAAAATAACATTTAATCTCTAAGCATACAATAATTTTCTTCCTCAAGTGAATCTTCTCTAATAACTCTTAAGAAATCTTCATAACTATAACTTATTATGATTTTTACTTAATAAAAGCAATTTGACAAAATTTAACTGATCTAATTGTATATTCATATCTTGCTTATGTAATAAACTCCTTTTCTCCAACGAATTTACCTTTTTCTATTTTAGTTAGTATAGTTTCTCTCAATTTTTGATCACCTAAGTACTTAGAAATATAAGAATACAAATTAGACTTAGCTCTCCACTTTAAAGAAATATTAATTTATTAGCTTATTCATTTTAATAAGCTATAATTTCTTCAGGAGGAACTTTAATTTCATGAACAAAAGAACATAATTTCTATACACTTTTTAAAGATAATGTCTATTTAATAAGTCTTGATTTCTTTAACATATCACAATACATATCTATAGCAACCTATTCTTTTAATTTTTTATCTAAATTGTTCATCATTTTTTCTCCAAACTCATTATATTCTTGTTCCATTTTAAGAAAATATTCAAAATACTTTCTAACTTATAACATTAATTATTTGTTAATATTTTTTTTTTTAAGAAAGTTATTTATATGTATCATCTATTATTTAAATTATTATTCTTTTTCAGTTAATTATTTAAGTATATTACCAATACTAGATATAGTATAACCAAAAAGACCACAAATAACCATTGCCATAATTATCACATATATTCTTTCAATATCAGTTTAAGGAACTATATCACCATAACCAATTGTTAAAGTTGTAATTGTACTAAAATAAAAAGCATGAATATATTTTGTAGACCATTCTGCTTCTGTTATATTTTTAGCATTTAACCAAGAATTTTACCCTTGATTTATTTCATTTTCTCCAATCAAATTCCATAAACAAGCACAAAAATGTGATACAAATAAAACTAAGAAAATTGATTTGAATAATTCTAAAAGAGTTTATACATTATTTGATGGATTTGTTACCTCTTCTATTGATTCTATCATAGATTTAACTTTTGTCACTCTTAACAATAATATATATTCTGTGAAAGGTACTGAATAAGATGATAAAATAAATGGTATTACTATCATTAAATCCCATAATAATGTAGAATTAGCATAATGTTTAAGAATTTATTGTTTATCTCTATGAATTTATCCTTAACTATAATATGCTGTAAAGAATGTTAAAATAATATCCATTACAAATGTCCAAGAAGGTAAAGTTTCTAAAAATATTCCTGTCAATAAATCTTCTCTTTCAAAATCAAAGCCTAATTTCATGGGAATATAGAATATATTAATTATAATCTGAGTTAAAACAAAAATATCCCAAAGCACTTTAATTAGAGAATCAGGATCAACTACAGGAATTTCATTTATTAACCATCTAAAGGATTACATCACTTACTCAACTTTATTTAATTTATGTAGTAAAATATCTGCATCACTAGCAGCATCACAAATTAAATTGACTATATTATTAGTCAAAGATTTAAATTTCACTTCTGTTGAGTAAGTTTTCATTTATTTATTAAATTTAGTTATGTAAAACATGATTCTTAATCCTCCATGTACCCACAAATTTACTTTTTATTTTGTTTCTACATGTAGCATACTACGACTTTCTTCATCTTAATCAGCATCTGGACTTAAAAAACCACCTTTTAAAGTCTATATTTCTGGTAACTATAATTCAATTTTTCTATTTGAACAAACATTTGGTTCAAAAGAAGCATCTTCACTATTATTATCACAGTGTGGCATTGTAAAGTCTTAACGAAATTTTAAAATCCCTTTTATTGTATGACTCTTAATATATCAAATTCTTACTTCCTCTATTTTTATTGCATTAAAACTTAATCCAATAATTAAGACATTATAAAATATAAATAATATTTACAATTATTAAAGTATATACTTAATTAATACTGACTCATAAAATGATAATGAATTGGATATTACTAAATAACTGATATGTTTAAGCTTAGAAAATTTGAATTTTAACATTTTTATATATCTGAAAATTGGAATTAATTGAAAAATAATCAATTTTATTTTATTTATATTGTTGGCAATCAAAATTTATGAAAAATCAATTTTCATACAAAGAGTCAATGAATATAATAATTTTGTTGTTTTGTTTGTAAATTGCTATTTTTTAAATAATACCATTTATAAACTCTTATATCTACAAATGTATACATGAACAACAGATCTAATCTTCTTTATTATTCATATAAATTGTGTTTTCAAATATGAGATTTTTTTGTAGTTTCTTTCAATTTAAGATTTATTAATAAATGTAAAAAATTGATCAACATCCAAAACTCAACTTTGATTTAGACTTAGAACTCAGAGCTGTATAAAATGAAGATTTTGAATAAGAATATTTAGATCATTGTCTAAGAGATACCCGAAGATAATTATCAATGAATAATAATCATCATTTTCACAGTTAAACAAAAAGTGAAAAAAGCAACGATGGTTATGATTTTCGAACACCGAAAGTAACTACACATACAAATCTAAATAATATTGTTGCATCTGAAGTTTAATAAAGTAATACGATTAGTCCTAAATACATAAATTAGGAAAAGGCAAAAAGCACAGGCTCAAGTATAATGCAATTCTTTTTTATAAGACGTTTTTTAGAAAAACTTATGTATCAAAGAAAAAGATTAGAGAATTTAAATATGACTCATTTAAATCTTATAGATGATAAAGCTTCAGATAAGTAATGATATTTTAATAATTCTGTAGAGCTAGTTTGTTAGCTTACAAATAAACAAAAATATAAAAGGGATTAACAATCAATTAACTAAATAAAATAGTGCAAACTAAAATAGAAATTAAAGAAAGAAGATGGGAAAGCTTAAAGAAAACATTAATAGAGAGTAAATAAAAAATAATAAGATAAATAACTAATGTGGTAAGTAAAATTCCTATTATTCAACCTGAAAATGATTTCAAACTTTATTGGGATATTTTTGCATCATTATTCAGAGTGATACTTGTAATTTTGGTGCCTTTAGAAATCTCTTTTGAAACTAAAATTCTATTTCAGAATTATATAGGAGTTACTTTGACAATTCTTATTATTTTACAATTGGATTTATTTATAAGGATCAATACACTTTGTTATTAAAATGGTAAAGCAATAACAGATCGTTGGGAGATTATAATTCGTTAAATAAGTTAATCTTGGTTTACAGATTTTTCTTTATTAATAATATTAGTTATATTTATGACAAATTCTAATGCTTAAGATGGTTATGATTTATTTTTACTGTTTTTATTAACTCAATATAAACACATTTTTGAAGCTTTATCAAAAACAGATTAGATTTCATATTTTACAAGACCTTAAAGAGGTATAATAGGATTAATAAAATTTATAACTAGTTTATTTTATATAATGCATATATTTAGTTGTATTTGGTTTTGGTTCAGTAGTATTGATAAATCTAATTCATGGATTGTAACAAAAGAATTAGATGGTTAACCTTGGTAATTATAATACCTTGAATCGATTTATTTTGCAATAGTAACAATGCTTACAATAGGTTATGGAGATAATGTTCCAAAAAATTCAATTGAGAAGATAGTTACAATAATATTTATATTGGGTGCTTGTAAAATTTAAATTAAAATTGTAGGTTTATGGTTTTCTTACAGTGTGAATTTTATAGGTACAATAATGAATGACATTACATAGAATTAAGTTGAAAGAAGTTAAAAGATGAGAGTGATAAACAAATATATGACTTAAAGGAAGATTCCATTTAATTTATAACATTAGTAAATATATTTATTAAGATTTAAATTAGAGTCAAGGAATATCTAACGTATAGATGGAAAGAAGATGATGAAGTTGATTTATAAGTTGAATAACTTTTATTGGAATAATTATCTGATGAACTAAAAGAAGAATTAGAAAAATAAGCTTATAAAGTTTTTATCCAAAAATCAGAGTTATTATAAAATGAATTTTCATTTGAATTTAGAAATGCACTATTTAAATCTATTAAACGTAAGATTATTGAGCCATAGCATACTTTTTCTAGTGAAATTAATGGATAATAACATCTTTGTTTTGTAGAATAAGGAGTTTTACTCTATTAACACAAAGATAGAAAATAAAGATCAAAAATGAATGCTTCTGTTTGTTAAGGATAATTTTTTTGTGTTAAAGAATTCCTTACATAAACATCAGAATATGAAATATTCAAAGCTCAAAGTTATGTTAGTTTACTTATTTTATCAAAATAGGATTTTTTAGAAACTTTGTAAGATTTTCCAGATGATTTTCAAAAATACTGCTAATTAAGGGATTTATATTAATTGGAAAATGAAAGTTGCTAAATTTAATTTGGTAGTTTTTGTCCTGCTTGTTATAAATTTGATCATTCTTTAAGAAATTGTTCTTAAATATAATTAATTTTAAATAAAGAAGTCATTATAAAAAAACATTAAATAAGTTAAGATTAATCAAGAGCATTTTACTTAAGAAAAACTTCTGATAAACCTATTTAAACTAGAGCTGAATTAACATATGTTTAGGAATGTGCTTTATATTTTTTAACAGAAAATCAAAATTAAATAAATGAATAACTGAAAATCTAATTAGTTTATGATTAAGAAACAGAACTATATCAAGCCAATTCAGAAACACATCATCTTTATGATCCTATGCCTTCTGTTAATATTTTCTAGGCTAATGAGATCCATAAACCTTAATAAAATAAAACATTTCAAAAGAGTGAATATGAAGAAGAAAAATCAAAAGAAAAAAATGAACATTCCAAAACTAATTTATTATTAACTCAAAGTTAAAGAATTAGTAGAATGGGATCATTAAATTCAAAATAGCTTTAAAGAAAATTGACTAAATCTCCTTCTATATTATTTTCTATGAATGAAATTGCAGAAGAGCCAAGTGAAACAACATTTATAGTATATGAAAGTGAACGTGTCAAAAATACAAATAATTTTAATTTTTCTATGGGAGAAAACATTAAATCTATATATAATAAACTTACGAGATTTTAAGATGATAAATCTCCATCAATCAAATAAGCTATAAATTAACTTTAATACATTTATTGGAAATATAATGCAATTACACTTGAAGATTTTGAATCCTTATTTAATTATGAATATTATTTCTCTTAATAAAATTCCATTTTTACAATTGATATGGCCAATAAAAATTAACATACTTGGTAATTAGAAATCTTAAGCAAATTTTCTAAATACCTTTAGTATCCTTATTAATTTATTAGTAAATTTCTTAAACTTAGAAGAATTTAATAATAATGTGCTGCTATAAATGCAGTCACTAAATTTAAAAAAGCACAAAAAAAAATTTGGCTTATTTAATTAAGAAATAATCTATCTTCAAAAAAATTAATATCATCTACTAAAAATATTAAATTATGTAAATCCAAGATGAACTCTATTGTTCCATATTCTGGAGACAGTATGTAATCTATTTAAATTAGCTAAAGTTGATGTATTTTTTATTTTCATTTTTGTTCTTAAAATTAACTTTTATATAAAAATAAGCATTATTCATTGTTATAAAGTTTAATCAATCAGTGTTTCCGATTCTTCTTGGATCACTTTTTCTTAATCTTTTTGTATAAGCTGTGCACAAGACGAATATTAATGTTCAAAATAATTTTAAAATCTTTAACTCTTTGGTGTAATTGCTTCTCCTCCTGTTGATAATCTTGTTCTAGATGATGAATGAAGATATTCTCTTTTTGTTTAAGCTTTACAAACCTTATCTGATTTAGGAGATTTACTCTAATCTTAGAATTATATCTAGATCTACAAAGGAGACTTAATAATTTCTTTTTAATCATAAAGACTACGAAATTTATGAAAGAGTATCATTTTCTATTCTATTGTTTTTATCTACAATATATCAAATAATCACTTCTCTTAAAAGTTCATATATTTCTACACTTTAATTCTATGGGTTCTTGTTCAATATTGATACNGAGCCAAGTGAAACAACATTTATAGTATATGAAAGTGAACGTGTCAAAAATACAAATAATTTTAATTTTTCTATGGGAGAAAACATTAAATCTATATATAATAAACTTACGAGATTTTAAGATGATAAATCTCCATCAATCAAATAAGCTATAAATTAACTTTAATACATTTATTGGAAATATAATGCAATTACACTTGAAGATTTTGAATCCTTATTTAATTATGAATATTATTTCTCTTAATAAAATTCCATTTTTACAATTGATATGGCCAATAAAAATTAACATACTTGGTAATTAGAAATCTTAAGCAAATTTTCTAAATACCTTTAGTATCCTTATTAATTTATTAGTAAATTTCTTAAACTTAGAAGAATTTAATAATAATGTGCTGCTATAAATGCAGTCACTAAATTTAAAAAAGCACAAAAAAAAATTTGGCTTATTTAATTAAGAAATAATCTATCTTCAAAAAAATTAATATCATCTACTAAAAATATTAAATTATGTAAATCCAAGATGAACTCTATTGTTCCATATTCTGGAGACAGTATGTAATCTATTTAAATTAGCTAAAGTTGATGTATTTTTTATTTTCATTTTTGTTCTTAAAATTAACTTTTATATAAAAATAAGCATTATTCATTGTTATAAAGTTTAATCAATCAGTGTTTCCGATTCTTCTTGGATCACTTTTTCTTAATCTTTTTGTATAAGCTGTGCACAAGACGAATATTAATGTTCAAAATAATTTTAAAATCTTTAACTCTTTGGTGTAATTGCTTCTCCTCCTGTTGATAATCTTGTTCTAGATGATGAATGAAGATATTCTCTTTTTGTTTAAGCTTTACAAACCTTATCTGATTTAGGAGATTTACTCTAATCTTAGAATTATATCTAGATCTACAAAGGAGACTTAATAATTTCTTTTTAATCATAAAGACTACGAAATTTATGAAAGAGTATCATTTTCTATTCTATTGTTTTTATCTACAATATATCAAATAATCACTTCTCTTAAAAGTTCATATATTTCTACACTTTAATTCTATGGGTTCTTGTTCAATATTGATACTATGGAATTCATTAAATTTTATTAGTATCCCTGAATTTCTTAAAAAATTCTTAAAGTTAATCTTTATAATAATAGATCTTATGGAAAGTTTATTAAGGCTGTTTTCAAAGTAGGCACAAGAAACAAGGCCATATTAATAATATTCACCATTTTAAAACTATCTATCACTAAACTGAAGTTATATATGAAATTTACTCTAAGCAATTTTATTTTCTAAAAATGCAGGTTTTAAAACTTTTTATGTCTTTGATGCTGATGGCCAATTTTTATAAATAAGATAGAAATGGAATTTATATATTTAATAATAGCCATGTTTCATAATTTCTATGACTGTGTTTGAGTAAAAAAAAATTTTTTAATCGTAAAGAGGAAAAAATTTTCGAGAAATCTTCATTTTAATGAATAAACTAATGAGTGATAATAAGCATTTTCATTTTAACATTATAAGTTTGTATCTCAAAGTTTGAGTAATATTCGAAAAAATCTCTGAGATTCTTTTCCTTAATCATGAATTATAATAAAAACTCTATTTCTTCCTAGTCATAAACTTAATTGTCTTTTGAAAGGCTACTTTTCTTTAAAAATCGCAAAAATTCAGAGTCTTATTTGAAGATTTCACTTATTTTTTATATCATTTATTATACATGTAATTAGGTTATTAACATTGCTAAGAACTTTTCTATTATTTAATTTTTTCAAAACTGAAAATCAATTATTATAATCATAATAATTTCTAGAGTTTGCGATACAATTTACAATCCTTACAGATAGCTAAATTTTTAAATTGTAGAAAATCAAAATGCAATGAGTAACAATAATTTATATTTTCAATAAATATAAACTCAAAAATAATTTAATATCATAAAAAAATAATAATGCTTATTTCTGTATGCAATTAGACTATAATTATTAGATTAATACTCTTAAATAAAAGTATTTATGCAATAGCAGAATAAATGATTCTATAACATTTTTGTTAGATAAAACAAGCAAAATTTAATTAATAAAAGCCTACAACAGTTAAATAAACGGTTTGATTTCATTCTTTCCTTATGAATATAAGAACTACTTTTTAAATTAAAAGTTAAAGTTAGTAATTAAGATTTACTCAAATTATAAAATATGTTGTTTATTAAACAAATTCAATTTCTATTATAAGATTATGATAAGAAAGTGTGCTATAATTCAATTGATAAATTTTGGAAAATTATAATCTTAATATTAAAAATTGATTGATTTGTATATTATAACAGCAGAAAAACATTTAGTAAATATTTGTTCTTGTATCAATTTTAAATTTGTGTTTTGGTGTATAAATTTTTCCCTATTTAAATAGTTTTATTATAATAAAGATGAAAATAATAAATTAATGATAGCCAAGAATAGCTAAAGATAAAGATATAAATAATATTTCTATAGGAAATAGATTAAATTATAAATTTCTATGGAATTATGACATACATATTAGAGATTATAATAAAATAATAATATTTAATTGGAAATGAGATATGATTTGTAAAAGATGAGATAAAATTTATATTAATTTTTGAATAATAATAAATAAAATGGATAATTATTTCACAATCATAAGTTTACTTGGATTGAGAAACTAAAATCTTCCTCCTTTCAGGTTTGAAATGATAAATATTATTACAGAGAAGCTCGTTTGAAGAGGTATAGATCAATTAAGAAGATGGTTGAGTTGATAGAAACTGCTGGTTGGACATAGCCTAAAATTCCATATAATGCTTTTTGCTTAAGTTCCTAAGATCGTAAAATATATCGTATTATTATTACTTTAGCTGAATGGGAAGATGATATGACTTATCCAGTAATTGAATACAATAAATTTGGCTATTAAGCTGTAGCTTTTGGAATTAACTTAGTATAAAAATGTAATTAAATATAATAGTTCCTGTATGCTTATAATTACAATGTAATTACACAAAACATCAGATTTAGAACATTTAGATATTTATTTCCAGTAGTCTAATGTGTGATATTTGGAAAAATATACTTTGAATATAAATCCGAATTAACCAAAGTTAATTTGTTTGATGAATATGTTTAATTAAGAGCATAGGAATTAGTAAAAGAGAATGAATATTTATTGGAACATGAAGGTATCAATATATTTTATGAATATATTAGATATCAAAAGATTTGTATGGTGGTATGAAGATTATAAAGAAACATTATGTAGAGTTCATAGATAAGCTAATGATCATGCTGCTACAGATTTTAAAGACTCTGAATTGATTTTATAAGATTTCATAAGAAGATATACTAATCCTAATTCAGCTAGACCATTAAATATCTAAGAAAAGGGTGTTTTATTCTGAAAATATTATTCATTAAAAAAAATAAATAATGTAGAGTATGTTTTATTATTAAAGGAGAATATCAATTATTAAACTTTTTATATGTTGTACAGATAAATATTTTCATAATCCTTTGATTTTATTTTCAATAAATTGTTTTTCAGCTTCACTAACTTCAATTGCAAAATCTTTAACTGCAACAGATGAGCATTTTCTAGATTTAATTTTTTTAGTTTTAGTCAAAAATTTAGAAATTCCTATCCATTCACCAAGTAATGCACCTTTTTCTATTTTCCAGATTGGAATTTAGAATTATTTAGCTAAAGCAACAACTAATTTTTTATATGATTCTTCAGTGCAATCATCAGCTAAAACAACAAACTTAGCCTATAATGCATAGTATGAAAATTAAAACTTATTTGCTTTCAATAGCTTTGCATACTTCATGTACACCTTTTGATAATTAACCTCTATGTAATGATGTTTAGACAACTCTTTTTAATGTAGTAAGTTCTTCTGATAATTATTCAACCTCTGCCATAATAATAAATATTTTAAATCTTTATTTTAAATTAAAAACAAAAAGAGTATAAACATTATATAAATAAATATCAAATACTACTATTGTGAAAAGTTAATTAAATGAAAATTTCATTTTAAGATAATCTAATAGTTGTCTTATTGAAATTAAGCGGAAGAATCATCTATAACTAACTTAAATTTAAGATTATCTGAATGTTCAATTTTTACAGTCTTAATTATCTTTGGTTCTTCAGGATAATTTAATTTCAATCTAATTTTTAACATCTTTTTCTCCTCCTCTTTCTTTTAATGTATTTTAAGATATAATTCTTTTTTATTTTATTCCTATTTACATTTATAAACCTCCTTTCTTTATAAATCTATTAATTATTCAATTTTAAATGATTGTCTCTAAAAATGCGAATAGAAATGCCCATAATCTGCTCTAACTCCATCAAAGACAGATGCTCTATTTTTATTAATAAGCATTAATTTAACTTTCTTTTTGTTCTTCTTAGTTCTATCCTAAATAAACAAAGTACGTTCATTTGTAGTATAAATAAGTTAATTATTTTATTAAGAAACTCCGATTCTAGTATAACTATCCAACATCCAATCAGAAAGCAAACTTATGTTTTTAGGCCATAGAATTTACTTATCTTTGATAGATTAATACTAGTCATCCATAAATTCTATAACAGTTTAAGATATTGTAGGTGTATTGAATTAATATGCACATTCAATATCTTAACAAGAATCAAATATTTTAAATCTATTGTCTTTTAATTCATTAGGTTCTTCTTCCTTTAATGCAACTCTTAAATCTCTAAGAGTATTGAATATATTTGAACAACTGCTAAAATTGCTAATAAATTACTCTTCATCTTATTTTATTAGTTTTAATTTTAATAGTTCACGCTACTTAATTTATTAAATCAGATGAAGAGAAATTAGGTTTTCATAATATATCACTTACCTAGAAATATCAAACTCAGGAAGTTAGATGTTGAGTCTTTTTTATCTTTTTTATTTGTAGGCTCTCCTAGGATGGAAAGCAACATTCAATCGACAACTAATTGTCAAATAAAAATGATTATTACTCATCTTCCTAAGCTCTCATAAATACTCTCAATAAAGGTCTTTGTAATCTCTCAACTTTTGCATTATAATACTCACCACAATAGTTCAATTAATTTAACAACTCATATTATCGTACATAGTTCTTAGTGTTTGACAGGTTATTCCTAATATCCAGTTATTATATTGCATTAGAATCAATCCCAGCTTTGCAATCCTCTTCATCACAAGAATATTCATTCTCATCAGGATAAACTATATTTGTATGGATGTATGCTGAGGGAATTTCACGAATTCTTTACTCTTCACTCTCAACAATCTAATATTTTGGAATTTCTATCTCTTTTTATAGAACAGCCATCTAACATTATACACTAACCATACATTTTATAGTTCTAAATCCCAAACTTAAGACTTCTAAAGGGCCATATTTGGATCAACCTGCCTCATTAAAATAAAGATTTAATATTAGCAAATATTTTAAACCAAAAACAAATAATTCAAAGCATCAGTTAACATATGCTTTCAATTATTCACAGATTCTTTCTACTATTTATAAAATTCATAACTCAATTGATTTATTTTTTATTTTATTAATAATCTAATCATCAATGTTTTTCATTCCATTTTACATATATTTTACAATTCTTATAACTCTCATAACTTTCTTAATATTTTCTTATTCCCTTCAGTTCAAATTCTTTTGTCTTTATGTCTTTTTTTTTTGACTATTAACTTATTTATATCTACAAATTTTTTTGCTTCTCCTTCCTTTCAAAGCAACTTATAAAAAATCCAGACAAAAGAAATAGACTAAGTATCAACTAATAAAGACATTTATCTCAGTTGCTAATATTTTATAACTTAAATAGATGAGTTCAAAAAATAAAATTTTCATAATATATATAGACATTTTTATATAAATTCATAATTAAGAAAATAGACTAAAACATAAACATTTTGATTATACCATCCTTTCAAATGTTATTAGGATCAAATTTTATTCTTTTTAAGCTTTTAAGAGACCTAAAGAAAATTATTGTGTTGCTAAATAATTAGGATAAAAATATCAGATTTTTGATATTAGAAATTTATGAATTCATTAAAAAAATCAATAATTCAAAATCAAATAATTACTTACGATATAATTTAGGATTGTAAATAAGATAGATAACATAAATTATTTTTAAATACAAATTTATTTTATGCATTTATTTTTTTTATCGAATAATACTAGAAAGAAACTTAATTTTAATAGAAAAAAGAGATAAAAAATGATTACTTTATTAAAAATTGTATAATGTAATTTTAGTATACTCAATTAAATGTATTTAGTTCACAAAATAAATACAATGTAGATAAAAGCAAAAATAAACAAAATTAAAAAAACCTTTAATATTAAACCTCTATTTGAGCTTATTTTTTTATGTGATTCTTATAGTTCTTTACGTCCTTTGCTAACATTTAATGAAGCTTCGTCTGTATATTTATCAATTCTTTCAATCATAGTTTCTTATAATTTCACCATAACTCCAACTCTTTAAAATACACCAGCAATTTCATTTAACATAGACTCAATTTTTTACATGGAAACCAATTTTTCTTCATTCTATTTCTAATCAAACATTTAAATAGTTTAATGATCAGTTTCTTCATCAGTTTCATTCAATTTCTAATATTTTTGATTAAAATTTCTCTTTATTAGTCTATCTCCATTTAATCTATTTCTTTTTTCTTCTTATTGTTTGATTCTTAATGTATGACTTTATAATAACTTAGATTAAATTGTATAAATTAAATACTTTTTTAAATGAATCAGATGTTTTCATAGCTTTTTGCTGAACAAAATCAAAGATTGATTAATGTAAATCATTATTCAATTGAGTTTTAAGTGAATTTAGATGTATATGTATTTGACTAATATCATCTTTTACTTATGAAAGAATAGTGTTTAATTTGTAATCTTGATCATTAAAGAGCCCAGTAGATTGAGATGCTAAAATTATAACATTTTAATATATACTTGTATGGAATTCTTAGAGTCTTTCATTAGCTGTATCAACTTTTTCTTTTGCAAGTTTGGCTGTAAGTAGAAATTCTAATTAAAATAAACAATTTTATTACAATTTGGTTATTCCTTTTTCATTGCAACAAGTTTAACGTGTACTTTAGATAGAAATTATTGAGTGATATCTCTGTATTGGTAATTTGCAATTTCCATAACGTGGCAATTAATAAATATTTTTTTTATTTATTTAAAAATAAAAGTAAAGAACTTAATCAAAATCAAAATATTATTACTTAATAATAGAAAAAAACTTGATTCCTATTTAAAAAGAAATAGATTGACTATTGTTTTAGTTAATTGAAAAGAATTAGAAGTAGTGTATAAAATAAACTAAGAAAAATAAAAAATTATAATTATTTTTTTCTTCATAGATTTATTATTCTGCTTTCTTATTCAACTCTCTTAATTTAGTGTTCTTTATACTATTTTTTTTTTTTATAATCAAAACTACATATCCTCAAACAAAATTTTGTAAATTGATTTCCAAAAAATTCTTTTTAAAAACTTAAAGGAAGTTATGACATTCTTTATTTTAGCAAGAGAATATATCTCTATTTTATAGTTGAAATAAGATATATTTTTTCTATTTGTATAATATTGTTTTTTTAACATATTATGATTAAAGTATTACTGATATAGTTAACGTTTTGAAATATAGTTTAATTGAATAGTTATATCCTTCAGAATTATTATTATCTAATTAAAATTTAACTCTTTCAAAAATTGTATTAATATAGTTTACATTCTTTAGAGGATTTTGGACATCAAAAATCGAGATTTTGATATAATGAACTCCCTTTTGAGGACCAATTTTACATTATAATTAAAATTTATAAAAGATTTAAAAATTGTTAGAAATTGTAAATTATTAGTAAAAATCTAATTTTTTTGGTTGTTAGATAATTGTACATTAACTATTCATAATTATATAAAGGAACTTTGATTATTAAAATGAATTATATGAATAAATAATTTAAATATTCTAATTAAAAGAAATTAATCAATTTAATCTCTCATCATAAATACTTGAAGTTCCAAATATAAGATTACTAATTGACTAAAATGCAATATCTAGATCTTCACTATATACAGATTCAATCAAAAACCCTTTTTAACTAAGTCTGCATAAATCATATAATTCTTCAAGACAATCAGGTTTTAAACTCAAACCTATACCAATAACAATTAAAGATATTGATGGTCTTTTACTAGTAAACTTTTTCATCCTCTCAAAGGTTATGTTACTCAAATTATCTTCTCCATCACATAATACTACTATCCATTATTAGTTATCCTTTTTTACTGCTTTTTCATGAATCGAATAAGCATGTAATATTGCAGATAACATAGCAGTCATTCCTTCAGCCTTAATATTTTTTGATCTTTCTATTGCATTTCTCAAAAATGCTGTATTTTCTGATTTATATGTCAAATCAAAAATAACTTCTATATTTTGATTGAAACGCATATAACTGATTCTATCTTAATCTTAAAGATAATTATCAAATATCTTTAAAATACCACTATTAATATAAATAAATCTAATATACTTTATAGCCAACTCTTTCTTAATATTTTCCATCGATCCAGAATGATCAATTACAAAAACAATATCATTGTTCTTTTTTATTTCATTTAATTCTAATAGTTACTCTATCTTAGGTACTTTATATAGAAGATTTTATGATTAGAAAATTTCCTTTAATTATTTTAAACAATTAATTCTAATTTCTGGATCATAATATTTACTAGTTTCTAAACATTCAGTAAAAATAAATGCTGCTTTTTTTATACTATCATATCTTTTAATAAATAATCCCTTTTCATATAAAATTCTCTATTTTAGAATTCCAGGAGGAATAGGAAAAGAATCATTTACTTGAGCATCAGATCTATCATAAGAATTCTCATATTTATCCGATAATTATTCAGCATTTGAAATCTCACCTAAGGCAGCATTAGAATCCTCTAAGTTTAATAAGACTTTGCACTATAAAATATGACTTATAATCTATCTGTAGAGTAAACCTTTATTATCCTTTTAGTCTAAAGACAATGTTATATTTAGGCATTTCAAACTTTCCTAATAAAACTATTTCTTTTGATCAATTTCCATGCTCTGATTGTTATCAGCATACTCACTTTATATAATGATATCTTTATTACATAAGAGCATTTGCTAATGAGAAATTTCTACTAGAATAAATATCTTCTAATTAAGTAGCTTGAATTTCTCTCTCAATTGTTGAAACTCTTTTACTAGTAGATGACTATCTAAATTCACCAGAAATATCTATGCTTATTCCTTTTTGAATTCTTTTTATATCCTATTGTTTACCATCTCCTAAGAGCATCTTTATAATAATAAATAATCAATACTTTTAAATCATCTTCACAAAGAGCTATAGAATCTCTATAACATTATATGGCTTCAATGTATCTTTTTTATCTTCTATGAATGTTACCAATATTATTCAATATCATTCCCATTCCTTTATTGCTTTTCATTTTTTGAAATAATGCTTTTCCTTAAGCATATTTTATCAATAATGATGTATCATCTCCTTCAAAATATCTATCATTTGAAAAATTCAACACTGTCACTAATTAATCTAAAGCATCATATAGAAGGTTAACTTCTAAAGAACTTTATCTAAAATTAGAATAAATCTAAATAGCTAATGTATCTGAGGCAATCTACGCTTTATTATTATAAATTAAGTACCAATTCTAGTTTATGAGTTAAATCATTTAATGGTTTTGAAACACTCTGTATTATTCGATAAGATATATACCATGCTATTACACACATAATAACTGCTATTGGAATCGCTATTGTCATTATATTTTAAAATGTCTCATTTTATATACCACTTGAAAACTAATTTAATAAATATTATTAATAAGTTACAAAATCTAAAAATTGTTAATAATAATTAACATTATATTAGAGAACTATGCTACTTAATTAAAATAAAGGATTTATAGAATCATTTATAAATGTTTCTTATTCATTTTACAATACTTATTTCATTGTAGATACATTTGATTTGATTGAACTAACTAATTAAATATATTGAGCTTCCTAAGATGGATTTATGAGATCATAGAATAATTGTACAAATTCTGTTTAATTTTAATTTGAATTATTAAATACTATATCTAATAAATTTGGAAATCCATAATTTTTAACTATAGAACCATTTATATATTGTGTAAAGGTATTTGTAGTAAAAATACTTAAATTTTAATTATTAAAAAATGAATAAATAAATCCCTAATATTTAATATTTTAATAAAGATTATTAACAAAAACTTATTGTCCTAATACGTTGATTCCTAAACAAACTATTCCAATAAAATTATTACTATTCCCTAAAAGTGAAACACAATTTTCTATATCAGTTTCAGAAATTGGTAAAATTAAGAATGCTGAATGCATATTTGTTTCATTAAATGTCTTTTTCATATATTATAATGGAGAATGAGAAAAAAGATCATTATTTTCAATATATGGATATTGAACAAACATTTGATTCTCAAAATGATAGTAAATATAATTCAATTAAAAATTGCTATTATAAAGAATATGTAAGATCTGAAAGGTTTTAACAATATTTTACAATTAGTTATATTATTCTAAGCTTAAATCTTCTAATTATTGATTGGGAGTAATTAAATTATTAATATCCACTATTCCCCAAGATATGCAATATAAACATTATTGTGTAACATTATCATAATTAAGAATAAATTAAGTTTGAGTTGAGAGCATAATTACTTAAGGTACTTAAAGTGATTTTAAATCTAAGTTTTTAGATTCTATGGATAGAGTCCAAAATGAATGAATAACTTAGGCTCTAATTGTGGAAATAGTTTAAAATATAGATTTTTAAGAGTTTCCCAAAAGAGTGGCCATTGCTATTTGCATAAATCAGTAGTACATGTTTGATAAATATATTATTGTTTTGCTAAACTATTTGCTCCTTGATTAGCCCAATATTCAGAAAGTAACAATATAATCAATATGGAAAAGAGTGTTGTTAATAGGATTCCAAGCATCAAAGGTATTAGTACAGTTATCAATATTTTATGAAGCTTATTCTATTTTTGCGATTTTATTTTGAATTTTAGTTTGTCTTCTTTTTTTTCTTTAACATTCATTTTAGAAAATTATAAATAATTTATAATAAAATGATTTTTATTCACACAAACTAAGAAACAAAGAATCCTCAATCTTATTAATCGATATTTGAAATAAAACTAATATCTTAATCAAGGATTTATTTCTTATTCTTATTGCCATCAATTTAAGAAACATCAACACTGAATAAATCAAATGGTTCAGGTTATTATTATTTTTTGCATGTTAATTCTACTAGCAATTATTAGATTTCGTTTTTGGTCTGAAATTAAATATAAAAAAAAATACAATAGCAACAACTGATTATTTAGGTGGTTTAGAAAAAGCAACTTGACTTTCATTTGAAAAATATGAGAATGGATTACTATAAGATCTTTTTGGTCTTTTATTTTATTACAGAGGATCCTCCATTTGTTTAATTAACTATTTTTTTTTTATGTTACTTATCTAAATTTTATATAATATTATACATCAAAATGCTAAAAAAATTCACTTGACATAGACATAATGAAATTAACACATTCTTCTCTAGTCATATCATAATACGATGTTTTTTTGAGTTGTATTTAATTTTTAACAAGTGGTTTAGAATCAGCTCTAGCAGTTTAACAATAAGGAGCTTATTCTAAATTTTCATCAGTATTAATTTATAATTCTTTTAATTAAAGTTTCTTGAACTTAGATTAAGGAACAGATTTTTATGATTATTTTTAATTAGAATTATTTAATTGGGCTGACATATTTTCTTTAGGTTCAGTATCATCAAGTCTAACATCAACATTTGATAATTATTAAGATTATCTAACAAAATATGATGGTTATGAATTAACTCTTTCATTATTTGAATTAAATCTAGGACTGAATATACCAACAGCAATATCTTATTCTTGATTTAATGTTATTGAATTGAACTATTTTCTGGTTTTTAGTTATTCCATATAATTTTAATTCTATTTTTTATAAAATTATATTTCTGCCATCAATTATTCATTTTTTTAATCTTTAAGTTAATTAGAACGTATTAATAACTCATTAGTATCTTAAATTTAATCATATTTTTTAACTAATTCATTATATAATTTGTTAATATTTAGATTATTATTTTTTTCTTTTTCAAATAATTCTTTGAATCCTTTAACCATCATTTCCATTTTATGTAATTTTTCTTAATAGATCATTCTTTCATTTTTACTTAAATATTTCAATTATTATGGTTCTGGAGAGAATCCATATCCTAAACTACTTGTACCATATAAATCTTAATGCATTTATTCCAGTTTACCTCTATGATTTTATAATTCTTTATTTAAATCAAGATTATTATCTGTTTTATCAAGATATTCATTAAATACAAAATCTGAAATAGAAATATTTGTTACCTTTCATATTCTAATAATTAACTTAACTTCTTAATACTATTCTCATTTTAAATATTTCTCTTTTCAGATGATAATTAACTTCTCTTAAAGCATTATTATTTTCTGAAACACTTTAAGCTTCTGATGTAATTTTCTATAATACTCCTCTAACACTTTCTAATTCTTCATGTAATTTTAAATTCTATTCTGAAGGTGTTACAACTTCTATTAATTTAACTAATTAGCCCTCTTTCTCTTAGATAGGTTTCATGCGTTCCAATTCTTGAATTGCATACTCCTTATCATGAATACTACGTTTCAACTCTATTAATTTATATTCCAAATCACTAATCAAATCTTTATAATAATTAGATTGTTCTTCAGCTATCTATTCCTGTAAAAGTATCTTAGTTTGTAATTGACTACTCACTTTTTATTACTTTGTCAAAGCCTACATTAATTTATTGTTCTCTTCATTTAAATGCTTAATCAAATCAGGAGTCAAACCTTATTCACTTGATAAAGTGCTTCCATCTTTTATTTACTATTGTTTATCAATAATTTCATTTATTACTTGACATTTTCTGTTGTCTAATGCTAATGACATTGCCTATTTATTTAATTTTAATGCATTCTCTAAATCACCAATATATTCTTAAAGAAGCTTATTTTCTTAAGATAAATAGTGTATTTTTGATTACTAACGATTTGTCACAAACTCATTAACTTCTGTACCCAATATCATTTAATAAATAATATTGACAAATATTGTTATAAATTACTAATTCAATTTAAACAACCAACTAAAAAGTATTACTCATTATTCTCTATATTAATTATATTCAATTCTGAAGTATATGAATACAAATTTTATAAATATTTTTAACGAATAGAATATTAAAATTATGCCTCAAGAATCTATCGAAATATAAATGTTAAAGCAATAAGTTTAATTATTACAATAAGAACTTCAATAAATTCATTAATATGGCAATATTCGTACACTTTGGAATAACATATTCTCTAAATTAGAAACCATTACATTTACATCTCAACAACCAGTCAAAATATATTAATAACTAATGTTTAGACAAAGCTTATCTCAAGATTAAATCAAACCTGAATATATCTCATCAGATGCAGCATGTCAAACTGAAAATGATTAAATTAGAATAAATCTATAAGACATTATTAAGTCTTGTATTTCATCAATCAAAATTGAAATGAAAATACAATAAGATAGGTATTTCCAAGATAATTTAAATTAAATTCAATAATGCTTAGAAAATATTCAAAATTATTCAAAGCAAAAGCTAATTAAATCAAATTAAAAGATTAGATCATCTATTAATTCATCTCTTTAAATACCAACTACGTTTATTAATTTGTCTACAAAAGAAAACTATATTCCAAAACCTATAAGTAATTTAGAATAAGAAATAAAGGTATTAATACAATATAATGTTTTAGGATAGTTAAATTAATGAATTAAAAAAATAGAATCAAATTCTCAAGTAGGATATTTAAAACTTATAATTAATTTAGAATTAATTAAGCATACAATTAGAAGAGAAAGAAGCAAAATTAAAACTTTTAAATTTTATGGTTCTGAATTAACAGTAATAAAAAAATGAATTTGGAAATATGTTTATTGATAATTTTAGATTATGAATAATTTAAAATATATAATTATAATCTCATTCTTCGATGAAACTATTGTATTATTATTTTTTCTTTCTTTCCTTCATATTTTTATATATCTGATTCACTTTTTTATCTCCTTTGATTATTATAACTCTTAATCATTGTTTTTATTTTTAGTAATTTGTCCACTTGAAAATAAATAATATGATCTAAAATGTTGATTCTTACCAAGGTTCTGGATAATGTCTCATTTAATAAAAATGATCAAGATTAATTAATTATCATTTAAGTAATTCTATCTTCATAATTTACTTTTAAAATTCATTTATAATTTTATTTATAATATAAATTTGATAAATAACTAAAGATATATTAATTAGCTTAGATCGCATGACCTTAAGTTTTTTAATATTTAATTTATTTTCTATTAAAAATATGAAGATATGTATTTTTATTATTTATTATAAAATCATTGCTACTTTTATTAGAACTCAGAAACAATTTCATCTTCTGATGATGAAAGAATCTTATTTTTGGATATAGTTTCTGTACCTGTTGAACTATTACTACTAGTTGATGAACAAGATTAAGTTTATTTTTACTGTAAAAATAATTTAAATGTAACATTTGGAAACATCTTATCAAAGTTATCAAATAATATTTTTAGAAATTTGACTGATTATCCTATTTATTCTAATGATGATATATCATTTGTTTATGCTCTCATAAAACAAGGAGCAAAAACTATTGCCAAATTATTCATATTCATATGATTAAATTCAGAATAATTACCAACACATTACAGAAAACTTACCATTACTGTCAACAATACTCTATTAAATCCAGGTAATTTTCCAAATACTTCTTCTAATAATGCTATCTCTGTTTAAGGAGTTATTTCTAATTATTTTTTAATAGCAACTTACATACTATTTAATTACATATAAATTTTAAAAGGTCTTATGGAATTAACGGATCTGGTAATGATGTAAAAAATCTCTTTATCATACTACATACTATTCGTGCATCCTCTACTACATTCAAACATTCATAATTCTCATTATTTAACAATGTATATAATTATTCTTCTTCATTTATTGAACCTTATTTTCTAAAAATATTTGGTTTTAAAAATCTATCGGCGTTTGTTACAAAATAAGACAGCAAACAATCAAGTATTATTGGAATTCCAAATTGATTTAATTTTTAATCTGTCAAATTTGAGCCAAAAGGCCCTTCTTATTATTTTATTAGTTGATTTGGCTCTTACTATTCTATGAATTAATTTGACTAAGGCACAAAATTAATCCAACTGGCTTAAAAATTAGGTATTTTCAGTAGATCTTCTACTCTTAAAATAAGTTTAAGCATACTCATCAATATATTTAGTTTTCTTATACCATAATTATCCTCTCTTTGAAGTATTTAACCATAGTCCTGTTTTGATCATCAAACTTGCTTAATATAAATAAAACTATATTAATTGAGTATAGTATTTGCTTGGAAGTTATTTTAACATCTTTCGAAATCTACTTAATTATGCTTATCCATCTTTTTATGCTACTATATATACTATGGTATAAGTACTAATTATATTGCCATCAAATATACTTTTGATCTATTTTATTATCTAATCTATTTATTATATGATATTCAATCTTATTGTGATCAAATTCATGTTATATATTTCCATCAAATAAAAAACATATGTTTTATTGATCAAAACCTATAAACTCCAATATTTAAATACCTGAACTTTATATAAAATTGCTCTTTTCTATATCAGATAAATTAGTATATTTAGCTATTTGCAACTTGTTTTAGTATTCTTTATCCAATTATGGTTAGTGTTTTTCAAGTACTTGTTTAACAACTTTAGCATTCATTTTTTTATAATTCTTTGATTTATTTAATATATTTATAAATCATTTATAATTCATTTTCATCCTTAAATCGTTTGAGATTTTTTATTTACTATCTTTTCTTTTTTCAGATTAATGTGTGAAAATTATATTGCTTTCACTAACATTAAAACATATTACATCAGAATTATATTATTAATTAAATTACGTTTTTATAATTTATTCACTCATATTAATATTAATCATTCATGTTTCTTAATAACTTAAATTAACAATTACCTCATTATGTAGATAAGTTCTCCATAATCAAAAATTATATTTTTATTAATATTACAATAATTTTATCCTTCTAAATTTTATGTTACTTTTCTTAATTATAAAATATAACATGACATCATGAATAATAGTATTTGTTATCCTAATTTTTTTTAATAAAATTCCAAATTTTGATGTTTAAATTCTATATTTTATTTATAATCTAATTCACGATCTAATGTTTTAGATTTTTTCATTTAAATTAAATGAATAAAATTTAAACGAACATTCATCAAATATCAAGATTTTAATTTTCAAAGAAAAATAATATCTCAATAAATTTAAAATCTTCTATATAATAAAATCGTAAATTAAATATCGAATAACACATAATAAAATCAATTATTTCATTCAAAATTTGGAGTCATATTTCTGGAACTACTTTTCCAAGTTTTAAAATTGGTTTTAATATAACTGTTTTCTTTTTCAATTTTAAACTATTTTTTAAAGTATTCAGTCTACTATTTAATCTTTTAGATGGATTATGCTTTATTTGTTCTGAATTTATTAGATTTCTTTTTTTATTTAAATATTTTTAAATAAAAATAAATGGATAAAGCATATACTTTTGTAATTTTTCAAGAAATTATAATTGCCATTTTAAATTAACATTTTGATGATTGTTTTTAATGATTTCATTAAAATTTGAATTTTTAAAGAAATAATCATAAGAAGCCATGACTTCGAAATCATATAATCTTTGTTAATTAATTTACCAATAAAGAGGTTCTATTTAAAAGTAAGCTTTTTGAATAGTTGAATCATTTTCATTAAATTCTAGTTCTCTTTAGAGCTAATGATATAAATTAGTTATGTTTTCAATCATATTATCATTAAAATCTGCCACTGTAAATAAATTTTTATTCTATTTATTTTCTGATTTTTAACTCTGACTACTACTATTACTTTTCTCATCACTCTCATCACTTTCCTTAATACAATCTTTTTAACAAATAATCATGCTTTTTGGACTTCTACCTAAACCTGAAGAGATGTTTAAATTAAATATTGATTGTTTTCTATTTTATAATGCTTAATGAAGATTAGCTCTGACTTCAATAAGTTTTGAGGTATTAATAACTTAAGGTTATTAATCAATATTAATTAATTTTTTAGATTTTGAAACTGCTGCTGAAAATTTCCCTTCATTCTCAACTTTTAAACAAGGACTACAATCTGCACTTGAACTAAATGATTCTTATTCATAAACCATTTGAATCTTTTATTATTCTTAAATTAATTAAATATTATCAGATTAAAATACTTAAGCAAATTACTAAATCAAATCCTTTTCTAATCTTGCTTTTTTAATAGTTTACTCACTTTAAAATCTTTTAGAATTGTTTCTATTTTTATATTTTCTTTTTTATTCTCTTGGTAATAAATATCGTTTTAAAATAACTTCTTTATCAGGTGTATATTGTATTTATGGACAATTTTTTAAATTATGGTCAAATTTAAGACATGCAGGGCAAAATACACCATTTTCTATTTATGGAGGATACATATTTAAATTCATTTATTCTTTTATTTCACAGAATTTCTAAAAATCTTCAGGATAATTCTTTATTGTATCTAAAAAATCTTTTTTTGAAAGTATTAACAAACTTACATAACCATTTGATTTAAAATATTCAATATTAGGACTTTAAATAATAAATTCTCTAACACAAAAAAATTATTCTTATTTAATTTAAGAATTCATTTTAGCTCTCTATTTCCTATCAGGATGTTAATAAAGTAAAATTCCCTATTCTATAAAACATAAATTTATTTAATTATCAAAGTCTATTGAAAATGTATTTTAGGGAGGTATAATTTTTCTTTTAATTGACTTTGATAAGGCATCTTTAAAGTCTTCTCCAAAATTTTAAAGAAAAGCTGATTTTTTAATAAAGATTTTATGAACTTCTTTATCTAATTCTTCCTTAAGTTCATCAGACAATTATTCTAATAGTGTTTATTCAATTTCTAAATCAACTTCATCATCTTCTTTCCATCTAAATGTTAAATACTCTTTTATTCTAAAATACTTAAAAATATTATATACTTATGTTTCATATTAAATGGTATTTTTCTTTGATCCATATATTTATTAATAACTCTCATTTTTCTATTTCTTTCTATCTAATTCTAAAATATATCATCTATAATTCCCCCTATAAAATTAACACTATATGAGAACCATAAACCTATAAAATGATATGAAATTTTACATGCCCCTAAAATAAATATTATAGTCACAATCTTTTCTATTGAATTTTTAGGAACATTATCACCATAACCAATAGTTAACATTGTAACTACAGCAAAGTATAACGATTCTAAATATTGTAACTCCCAAGTTTTTATATCTAAATTGTTATATCTTATCCAAGAATCATCTAAACTTATTTAACTAAACCAAAACCAAATGCAACTAAAAAGATGAAGTATAAATAATAAAGTAAATATTAATTTAATTAAATTTATTATTCCCCTTAATGGTCTTGTTAAATAAGAAATTTGATCACTTTTTGCAAAAGTCTCATAAATATATTTAAATTATGCTAACACTACAAGCAAAAAGAAATTAATATTATTATTATTGATTTCAGATACAATCATGAAAATTATCAGTACAGATGAAGTTGAAAAATCAGTCAAAAATTCTTATTTCAATTAATGAATTAGTAAATCCCATCTATTTTAAATTGCTGCTCCATTTCTATATGATAAAGTATTAATTCGTATTAGAAAGTCAATTTATAATATTACAATAATTAAGGCTGTCAAATAAATATAATGTACAAATAGTATACCAGGGTCAAATGCTATCTCTAATGGGATAAGTAAGACTAAAATAATTCTAAAAAAAGAAGCAAAGAAGTCCCAAATCATCTTAAAACGTGATTCAGGTTAAATTATAGGAATTTTGTTTACTAATGTAGTAATAATGTCGAAAATGTTTTTCTTCATTATTTTTAATCTTGATTTCATTTATTCATAGAGACTTTTATTCCTTAAGCCAGTATCTTTCCTTAAAAAGGCCTTCATTTTTCCAAAAGATGATCCTTAAATTTTGCATTGATGTTAGTAATTAAATAAGTTTTACCTATTTAAAATAAAATATACATATCAGCAGCCTTATCTTCTATTAAATTAAAATGAATTTCATTCATACTTAATATTCTTTTTCTGCTTGATGAAATTTTTTCAATGAATCTACGAATATAAAAACTACACATCAAGCTTGTTCCTGCATTAGGAATACTACTTCGTCTATCTTATTGTTAAACAATCTTGCGAAAAAGAAGTTCAGAACTTTAAGCAGATGTAACAACCTCATCAAAAGGTGTATCTGGGGTTTTGTGAAGACATTCAGCTTCAATACTTTTTGAACTAATTGATCTGCTAATGTGAGGATATGTTGTATTAGGCTCTTTTCTAGATTCTCTTAAACAATTATCAAGATATTATTATTCAAAATCTTCATTTTGGACAGCTCTTAATTCAAAATCTTAATCAAATTCAATATTAAACATACTTTATAAATAAATTATTAACTAAATTTATGTTTTCTTATGATACTTCTAAAATTATTTAAAAAAAGCTTAAATTATAAATCATAAAACAATATTAATAATTCCCTTGATTTATTGAACTAGGTGCTAAATTACAAGTATTTTACATAATGAAACAAATTAATTGAGATCATTACTATTCATGAAACATAATTCAAGAATTATTTAGAATTATTTATATATTAATATTCAAATTTATAAATTAATTTTTTTTTTTCTATTAAATATTCTTATCAGACATTGAGAACCTATTATTCAGATAAACTTGGTTTATTTTTATATTTTAATTATTTATTGGAAATTATTTCATCTCTATTATATTTTGGTCAATTTCTAGTATTTTCTTTTAAGATAAAATCAATAATTTAGAATTATAGTATTTTTAAGATTTATAATAGTGATAAAGTATTATATTGATAATAGATCGTTAATATATAAATTTAAATAATATATAATGAATATTTTATGTATCAATGTATATTATTCTCCTAAGAATATTGAACCTGTCATTGTGGTTTAAGACAATAAAGAAGATTAATTATTTTTTATTAAAAAATTTTTCAAACTATTAAACTTTAAATAAGTAGTAGGGAATAACGAAAGAGAAAATGATTGTGGTTATTTAAAAGAAATATGAATTGATAAATTAATTGATAATCAAAGTTTATTTAATTATTATTTTTTTCAACAAAATAAGAAACAAAATGCAATAAGGTTTTGATCGATCGAAATTGATAAATTATAATACAGAAGAATTTGATTGTTCTATTTGTTTATGTGTGGCTAAAAATCCAAAAGAATGTACTTAATGTGGTTATATTTTTTGTGGAAAATGTATTGATGATTGGATAAAAAGATCTAATAAGTAAATGATTTAGATATTTTGTGAGGTTGGAATGTGTAAATCGTTGTCCATAATAGCTAGAAATAAAAGTTATATCAAAGACTTTGAAAAAAATTTATGATGATTTAGAATTGAGATGTAATTTTATAAATATTATATAGGTTCTAATTGTTCAAAAGGAATAAAAATAAATTTATTTGATAAACATGAATCAGAATGCAATTAAAAGTCATGTATAAAATGTATAAATTATGATTAATGTGGGAAATATTTGGTAAACGAAAGAGATGATAAAGTATTCTATAATAACTAAAAAGCATTGTGACATCCATTGTTTATTTTTTGATAAGGTGAAAAAAGTAAAAACAAAATCTGAGATTTATAATGTAGTAAAAGAATTTTCTTAATTACATGAATTAAGACAAGATATTTATAATATTGATAAATCTATAGATAATTAGATTTAATCTGTAAATTTAAATCCTAATTAATCAATAAAATGGGATAAAAATAGAATGGGATCTGGTATGGAATTAACAGATGGAGATTAAAAGGTTTTTTTGAGGGAATAAGCTTATATGTTTAGAACAATAGTAGCAAATTTTGGATTTGAATCAGGAATAGTATATTGGGAAATTGAAGCAGATGATAGAACTGAAAATGAATTAAAAATAGGTATTACTACACAAAGAGATTTTAATTATGATTCAGCTTTTTGTGATTTTGAATATGGTTGGGCATATTATGGTTTAGCTTAAGTATTCATTATAATATAAATGAAATAGTTAAGACATAATAGTAATGCAACAGGTCCATCATTTGGTAAGAGATTTAAAAAAGAAGGTACTTTAGGAATCTGTTTAAATATGAATTAAGGAACTTTAATGTTTAGTTTGAATGGAGAATATATGGGATGTGCATATAAAGATGAAAAATTAAAATAAGGACCTATATTTCCAGCAGTTGCTTTACTTCATTGTGCTGGTTGCAAAATTACAAATGGGAAACCTGTTCCATAGATTTTTTTATAATGATTAATTTATATTAATTATTTTTCAACTCTATTGGCTATGCTAATCAAACATTTTTACACAAAGATCTTCTTCCTCTTATTAAAGTGCTCCTCTTCTAGTAGGATTTCTTTGTTTATTATAAATTTTATGTTGAGTATCTATTAATTTCGATAACTTAAAAACTATCTATAATTCAGGTCCAAGTTTTTAAATTAATGCTTTATTTTAATATACAGAATCACTTGATTATAATATATCATCATAAGCCTTATTTTTATACATTAAATTATTACATTAAATATTTTTGAATAAATTAAGTAATCTCCAAAAAGATTAGGTTAATTTCTGCTCATCTTTTTATAATTAATCATTTCAAAGAATTCTTAATCTGTTTTATCTATTTTAATTAATTAATTTGTTTACCCATTGCCTCAGGAGATTTTACTATCTGTTCTAAAAGTTATCTTGAAGGCTACTTTGTATTACTCTCAAGATTTATTAATGGTTTAGGAGTGAAATTGAACATCAATAATTATTTATAATTAAATACTGTCTCTTTTAATTTCTCTAATTCATTCAATTTTAATAATATATGATGAACATCTAATTAATCTATTATATTATCACTAATATATTTTTTATTTTATTTACAAAGCTTTATTCATCAATATTACTTTTGGCTGATTCTTAAACAATTTACCACAACTTATATAATTACAGAATATCTAAAAATCTAAATAAATTGGTTTCTGCCTTTCTATTATCTTTATTATTTATTTTTAAAAATAATCTATTCCTGAGATAAATTTTAATTTCTCAGCCAAAATATAGTGTTATTTAATTGTTTCCTTACTTGATTTTGAATGATTCGTTGTTTTTGATACTATTGCCCCAGTATTTATAAATAAATTCAGTAAATTATATCTTTGAGAAAGATCCGGTGATAATTTATCTTCTGCTTATTAATTATCTAATTCATCTATTTCTGCATTAGAATTTATATGCAGATGATTTTCTCTATGCTACATAAACTCATTAATCAATTCAAGATTTTCTTGGTGTTATCTGTTTTGAATACTTGAATCTAATTGAAATTCGAATAATTTATTAGCCAATTATATCAAAACTTAGAATAATTGTAGATCATACATTATATTCTATTATACAATCCAACAAGCAATCCAATAAAAAAAAAGAAAGCTTATTATATACCTCCAAGATTCGATAAAAGCTCATCAATTTTTTAATAACTTCTAGTGAATTATGTTTTAAACGGATTTAATCTAAAATTAAAAGTTGCATAAGATGTATCAAGATAAGTCCCAATATCTGACATTTCTTTCAAATCAGATTAATCGATTAAAAAAACATTATCTTCTTAAATATCACTTCATAATTTCAAATTATACCTAAATGGCAAGAGACTCTCATCATTAATAAATTCATATTTCCTAAAATAAATATTAGCTTTTCTATTCAATTAATTTGGTACAAATGTAAAATAAATTTGATCATCTAAAAATGCTGATCGATATCCTTATTTGTAAGGATTGATAAGCTAAATAGTTAATGATGTTAATACTTAATTAATAGTATAGATTTGTAATTTAAAAGAGCCAGTATTTTAGAAATAATCATGAATGGAATTTTCAGTGGCACATAAAACCTAATGATTGCTTATACATTATGAAACAGTGAGAGTTAAATATTAGAATTCATTACCTAAATAATAAGTTTTAACTTTTACTTGTGTAAGTACCACCGACAAATAAAGTATTGTTATACCTAAATAATTTAAATATTTTACTGTGGACATAGAAAATCCCCAATGTCAAATTTATTGAAATCTTACTCAAAATTAATTCCATATTTTAGGAAAGTGGTTTAGAATCTGTCAGTTGTACAAGGCACTAATGGGATTAATGTAGATATTTTATTTTATTAACCATTAGGTAGTCTTTAGTATTTTCTTGAATAGTATTTTATGAGTTTACTTTTATTCCAGTGTTAAATTAAAAAAAGGTGATGTAGTAAAATTGTTTTACTCTATTTTAAAAGCAAACATGAAATCGGATTAATCTAATTAGATTGATTAGACTTCATCCTCAAATTTATTAGCTGAGATAACTCTTAATTATTCCTTTAAGAAAAAAGATTGTAAGCTTTAAGAGTAGAAATATATCATTAAAAATAACACTGCCAATGATATTGTACCTCCTAATTTTGTTCGGAAATAGGCTTATTTATTCATACGAAGAAATACGATTTAACCAAATACATCAACTCTCTCTAATCCTTACTATTTCGCATATTATTACCCCATTTTAATGTGTTCATTAATATTATAAATTAAAGATCAATCATTTGTTCATTATTTCTTCAGGAACATTTTGAGTATTTCTTAAAATCTGTACAATGTTTGAATTCGCTCTCAATCTTTTCATTACATCCAAATCAACCAATTTATACAGTTTCAAAATGACTTAGAATTTCATTATCTAATTTCTTGATCAATTTTTTATTTACTCCATTTCAGGATATAAATCAACATTCTTTTAAAATATCAAATCATATGTCTTTTTAAATACTCTCTATGTATATTCTATTATCAATATCAATATAAACTTTGACTTCTAAAGAAAAATCTATTAAATTTTCTATTCTTTTTATTTATAGTTTAATTTCTTCATTATTCTTAGTAATCTACATCTTTCTATTTATCTAATTAGCTCTTTCCAAAAGTCTTAAAATATATGCTTTTATGTTTAATATCACTATTAACAACTTTTTGTTATCAGTCTTCTTAAATAATTAATACTCCTATCTGAATTAATATGGTTAGAAGCATTATTTATGAATCTTAGATTTTACAAATCTTTTTTGTTAATTTAACAACTAATACTTAATTTAAAACAAATGCTAACTTATAAATTTATTTTATACTAATATTATAAATCCTATAATAAATAAGCAAGTCTAAAATAAGGTTCCTTTCAATTAAACTGGATTGTTTCTTTCAAACGAAATAATAATTTTACTTTTACGATAATAAATGCTTTTAGATAGTATCAGAATCTCTTCCCAAATTCCTAATTTTTGTCGTCTATATAGTATCTATCGAAATAAAATTTTAATTTTGAGCTTCACTCCAAATTCACCAAGATGTTCTTCATCTAATAGAATATCAATCAAAACTATCTTAGAATGATATTAACTGAAATAAATTTTCCAAATCTATTATTTTATTTAGGAACAAACGTTAAGTAACTTCAATCATCCATAATAATAGATAGATCTAAATTTGTTTATAGAATTGATTGCCTATTTTTCAATTGATATTTTACTATATTTATTACATACATCTATTAATTGAAATTTCCATTCTCCTTCGATTATTACTTTTGATCATTGTCTGATTTATCAACATACTTATTTTATTTGCAATGAGTAACTTCGATTTTAAGATTCTTAAATTGTTGGATGAATTAATAAGACTCCATAGCCTTAAAAAATTGATTAGAAACGCTCTAAAGTCTATGGAACTAAAGGACGTTATGTAATATGTAAAATTTTAAATATTTATTCCATAAGAAAACTTTTCATTCTTTCTAAAGAATTCTCAAATTTAGTACCTCTACAATAAATTTATTGTAAGCTGTGCTTGATCTAAAAATTTATTATGTTCAATTCCTAATGCCTTTATAAAATATTAGTCATCCAATTACAAATTCAAAATGGTTTTCATTATAAACTTAATTTTACTAAGTAATGTTATATTTTTGAAGCCAAATACTTGATAAAATTAGTTGAAAAAATAAAAAAACAGGAAAGATTATTGCTATTGAAGTATAAATAAGAGTTTTAGAGATATCAGAAAATAAATTCACAAAATGAATAAAAAGTAGATTTTTATAGGTGATTAAGCATAGATGATGTCGAAAATTCTTAAATATCTTATCAATATATGTTTTATGTTGATTTGTTATTTATATTACAATAAATTTAATTTAATATTGTTTTAAAACAAATGTTTCACCAATAAAAATTTATGTATTCTTTAAAATCTTCATTCTTTTATATTCATCATCAAGTTAATAATATTTTAATTTAAACCTCTTTCAAATTTAGTGATTTAGGTGTCATTTTTCTTTAGAATATTTTTTATAAAAAATAATATTCAAATTAACCTCAAAAAATATTAATTATATTTCAGGAAAGAATATTTTATTTAAAATTTTTATCAATGGAAAACTAAAGAATTTGGACAAATCGGTCCAATTTTATAAAGCAGCTAAAGAATGATTATTAAGTTAATATTAAGGTTTAAAGTTAATTTGATGAATAATTAAATGTACCAATATTATTTGATATTGACTGTGCTTAATGCTTTAAGTTGATTCGCAAAAGAAAGTTGGTATCATAAGTTACTTAAATTGATCCTTATATTTCAGAATAGTATTAAAAGAATTAACATGAATGTTTTTCTAAGAATTTGTACTATATTCTTTTATAATAGATTCTCTATTGAAAAAAATGGTGATTAATTATAGATTTTCAAACATTAAAAATGCAAAGTTCATTAATTAAAAAAGCCTTAAAATTGTTAGATTTGTGACAATATCCTCAATAAGAAAAACTATTATAAATGTTTAAAGTGTAGAGCTTAATTTTTCTTTTAAAATGAATATTACCCAATAGTAGAATGTCCTGAATGCAATTTAAAATTTTGTAAATTATGTAAAAGAAAACATCATTTATTTAATTATCATGTTTGCACTTGTTACTATGACTTTGGTTATACAAATTCTTTTTATTTATTATTGTTAATAGTATTTTAGATACTAATATTTCCAATTTTAATTTATGCTAAAAGTTTTTAAGTAGGAATGGAAATAGCATCACGCTTAATTCCTATAGTAATAGGATTATATTTTTATGTAGGAAAATATATTTTTTTATTATTAATATTACCTTTGATAGGATTATATTTAATAGTATTTTTGATTTTATATTGGATTTACATATTACCAAAGAGTATTTATTTAAGTGTACTAGATATTTATGAATTATTGGCTTAGATTTATAGAAATATATATTTAGAATGATTTAATAATATGTAATACATATTAATACATATTCTCTGGATTATAAGAATTATATATATAGATAAATTAATAATGTCAATGATAATATTTAATAAGTAGTTAAATATGATATTTCAGAAGTATTGAGAAACGATAGTAATTAATAGAGGATATGGAGTAGTGAATGATAAGTAATAAAAAGATAGAGAAGGGATTAATATGTGAGTATAATGAGAGTGAGTGATTAATTAAAGTTTTATATATAATTAAAAAATGAAGAAATAAGATTGGAAATTCATGTAGGTGTTTGGGGATAAGGCATCCTCAGATAATGTCAGTGATGAAGATATCATATCTGCAGTATAATTTGATAGGAGTGGGAGAGTTTTAGGATTAGGAGACAGAGCTGGACGATTAATAATATTTGAGGTTCCTTAAAGTAAAAAGAGAGATAAGGCAGAATATTAGTATATGTATAGTTTATTTATTAGATATTTGACAGAATTGTAATCACATACAAGAGAATTTGATTTTCTAAAGAGTACTGATATAGAAGAAAAGATTAATTAAGTTTAATGGTTGAGATCATAAGGTAAGAATATGTATGTATTGACAACTAATGATAAAACAGTAAAGTTGTGGAAGATCAGTGAAAAAAATGTAACTAAAGTTATCAAATAAAGTGGTAAAGATTTAGCAATGCCTAAATTATAAGTTGTTGAAAGTGGATTAATTCCAAGGTAATATATAAATACAATTATTCAAGTGTAAGAAAAGTATTTCCAAATTTGCATAATTATCATATAAATTCATTAACAGCATCAAATAATGAAGAATTTGTTTTAACATCAGATGATTTAAAAGTATATTTATGGAGTGTAGAATAACCATCAAAAGCATTTGTAGCAGTAGATCTTAAACCAGAAAATTTAGATGAATTAAGTGAAGTAATTACATCTTCAACATTTCATCCTACCTTGGATAACTAATTCTTATATACAACTAGCAAAGGAATTATTAAATTATGTGATATGAGAAAATCAGGAATATGTGACAATACAGCTATTACTATGTCAGAAACTGAAGATCCAGCTAAAAAGAATTTCTTTACAGAAATAGTCACATCTATCTCAGATGCTTGTTTTAGTAGAAATGGAAAATATATATTTTCAAGAGATTTCTTAACTGTTAAAGTTTGGGATATTGCTATGACTAATAAACCAGTTGCTACTGTTTAAGTATTTGAACCTCTCAAATCTAAATTATGTGATTTGTATGAAAATGAATGCATCTTTGATAAATTTTCAATTTAATCATCACTTGATTCAAATAGCTTTATCACTGGTAATTTTAATAGTACATTCCATATTGTTGATAGATTAGGTAATTATATCTATATAATTATAGGCGAATGTAATTCATAATATGAATTGAATTTCAATAAAAAAACCATTGTCAGACAAATCCCACCTAAATATTTCGAGAATTTAGGATCTTAATATGATTTCAATAGAAAAGTTCAGAAAATTAGTATGTGTTAAACCTAAAATCTTGTTGCTATTGCTTGCCTCAATTGTCTCTATTTTTATACAGCCTGACAATTTATATATATTATTTACAAAGTATCATAGATATATATTCTAACATCCTCTCTCCTTAAAACTTTAATAACAATTTTTCATGATTATAAAATATTCTTATTCTGTTTATTCTAAATTTTCTAATTATTACAGATCTTTCAATCAATATTCAATCTATTTCATTCTACTTATATTTATCTTTCTATAGCATCAAACAATATCAATTACTTACACTTCATCTTTTCTAAAATTGATTTTAATTATAATAATCATTATTATTATTATATAAAGAATTAAATAATCAAAAATTAACCATGCAATAACATAATTAAATTATAAATAAAAAAATGAATAACATTCTTAAGAGAATATTGAAATGTGGCAAATGTGTTATTTATTATACTATCATATACTATCATTTTTTTGTTTTGTATTTTGCTCCAAGAACAAGTTGTAATTTACCTCCTGTTGATCTACCTAATTGAGTTGAACATTTGCTTAAAATATTATATAAATTCTATACATGCAAGTCACTATCCCTCTAGCATGGGAAAATACAGTGTTATTAGTTGAACACTATGGACATTTTACATCCATGAAATATGAATTTGGTGCTTAAATCAATCTCTTTAATTTATGCTTTCTCTTTTCACTTTCATATTAAGGTCTCAATAAATCTTGGTCCATTATTTAAATTATTTTTAAATTAATTTATTTATTTATTTATATCAAAAATACTCTAATGAAGAAGAAGACCCATCAAAATACAATCTCTTTCTTAATACAGATGAAGATTCAAGATTCGTTCTCATTAGATATTGTCAATCTAAAAATTGAACCAAATAAATATTAGATTCCTTAAATTAAATTATTAACTTTTCATAAGGTGAATTTTAGATTCAAGGATAATAATAATTTATCTATATTGACCATTATATCCAAATCATTAATAAATATCTAAGAAAGAGAAACACTAAAAATTGAATTTATAAACATTTTAGTATAAGAGTATTAGAATTTATAGATATTGGTTCTTTAGTAGTTATCCTAAGAATTCATAAAACTGCTTAAATAAATAGAATATCATTATAAATTTTGAATTGTTGCATCTGATTTCGATTCAAATTTATAAAAATAGAAACTAGACAATATTCTCTTAAATTCACAAGCCTATATTAAAATAAATAATTTTTGTATTTTAAGAGATCTTGAATTATTTTATTACTCATTTTGGCATTAAACTTAAATGAGAAATGAAAGAATTGTAGCAAAAATTTATAATCGTTTAAGTATCATTATATGTTATGAAATTTTTATATATGAAATCACTAAGGATTAATATATACTAAGAATTATTTTAAAATATTAGATTTAGTTATAAATTAAACACAATCAGAACTTAAGAAATCAATTTTGCCTGAATTAATAGATTTTCTAATGCTATTTATGCTCTTTATAGAGTCTTTTTTAGATTATCTAAAATTAAAAAATATCTAATTTATTTGGTATTTAATATTGAGGTAAATAAATAATTTTATACTCATTTTTTTTTTGAGAATGGATTTTGTATAGTTTAAAATAATAAACTAGAGAGATCTGAAATATTATTTTATAATGTTCCAATTATATTGTATATCAATTCTACTGTTGTGATGATGGATTAATAAAAATTAGTAACTATAGCAATAGCTGTTGCAATAACGTACATATATAATTGTATCAGTAAAATGAATTTATAAAATATATTCTCATGAGATAAGGCATATCTCACATATAAACTATTATAAGTGTATATTCTTAAAAACAAATCTGAAATTAAAATGAAAGGGAAAAGTAGAACACTTATTAGTAATGCTAATGAAATTCCAAAAATTAACTTAAGGATTGTTAGTCCAACATTTTTAAGTTTAAAGTCGGACTTAACATTTTTATTTTTCTCTACATCTTAACTTTATGTCAATTTATTTTTTTCTTATCTCTTATTTTTAATCCCTCTTTTTAAACTTAAAACTAATAGAACAATATTAACACTCATCTTCCATTTCTTCATAGATTCTGAATTCCAATTATATCCTTTCTTAGGTTTTTCCTTTTTTTCATAATAAGGATTCCTAAATTATATTCTCTTCTTCTAATATTTGATAGTTTATGAACTTAACATGCCCTTTTAAATTTTAGAATTCTCTTCCTTTTCTCCATGATCTGTAGTATTGATTTCAATTAGTTTATCTGATTCAGTGATATTTTAAATAACTAATTATAAATGTTTTGGATCTTAGGAAGAGTCATCTTTCAATTCTTTTTTATTATTTATGCTGTTGGATGGTGAAAATATATTTTGTGCTTCAAATTTATTGAAATCATTTATAGAATCTTTTAGAGTATCATTAATTCTATTTAAACTGTTATCATCTGTAATTTAGACCATCTTAGTAGTATTGGGATCCTCAGCATCACCTTAATGATTTTAGTATTCCCTATAAATTGGTTTATTCATTATTTATTATATTTTTTTAATAATTAAGAATTCAGTAATGGTCATTCTATTTTTTTTACACGTATAAAATTACATTATTTTTAAATATATTATTGTTTATGTTAATTGTAAATATAGTTCTATAGAATATTTGTAAAATTGTGTAATTATTATTTGAATATTCAATAAGAATAGAAATAAAAAGGAAAAAGAGAAATAAATAACATAATGGAAATGAAATGAAATAAAGTTTGATTTAGTAGAATGAAAAAATATCAGAAAGTGTTAAAATAATTAAATATTTTATTAAAAATGGGTTGTGTTGCTTAGAAGAAAAAAGTAGAGAAATAAATATATAAAATGGAAACTTAAATAAAGAAGTTGGTTTAGCAGAATGAAGAGATGACAAATTAAATAAATTCAATGAGAGAGTAAGAATAAATACTTTCACAACTTTGTGAATAAAGATCTGAAAGATAAGTATTGATTTAATAATCTATAGAGAATAGATTTGACTGGTTTAACAGATGAATTAAATACTCGATTTGAAAAGATGAGAAGTGATTTAAAAGAAATAGATAATATTTGTGAAGAATAAAAATAAGCAAAATTAAGAGAAATGTTAGAATGGAAGAATGTAAGTAATGTTTTTATGGTGGTAGTTATTTGATAAATTAGATAATGTCTCTAAAAATAATTTATCTCAAATATCAGAAGAGGATGAATAATGATTATTTATTTTGTATTTATATATAAATATATATATAAAAGAGTGAATAATAATATCATAAATACTACTACAATATTCTTTAGAGATCATTTAATTGTATTGGTTTTGTTAAATAATCTTTCATACCAGCTTTTAAACATTCAGTTTTCTATTCATTACTTTCATATGCAGAACATCCTATAATGGTGACATTTATTCCGAATTTTTAGGATAACTCTAATAATTTTTAAGTTGTTTAAATTCCATTTATACTAGGCATTTCTAAGTCCATAAAAATTAATTTATAAAACTAATGATTAATTTACCATTTTTTCTCACATTTTTCTATTGCTAAATATCCATTAGATGCTGAGTCTACTGAATCAAATCCTCTTATAATATTATATTTAATATACAATCTATCTAATTTCAATCTCATCATTTCAATATTCATGCAAGTATCATCTACAATTAATATTTAAAAAGTCATAATGGCTTTAGTTGATCTTTTAAATATTGATATATGATTATGAACATATACTTTATGAATACTTTCCTCTTATTACTATTACATAATTATTGATTCTTCACTTTCTTGATTTCGTTCCTCCAAACTATTCAATGATTAAATTTCATTAAAATCTTAATATCCTATTTGAAAATAAAAAATTGAACCTAAAATTCTATTTAACAATATACCTTTTTTATATTGTGATTTAAATTTAAGACCACTTTACAAATCTTAATTCAAATTTTAAAGTATTTGATTACTAATCAATAATCCTAACCCAACTCCTGATTTATTCATCTTTTTATGTTCTTCACTATTTCCTTTTCCAAAAGCTTAAAATATTTTAGCTTAATCTTCTTCTGTAATACCTATTCCTGTATCAATTACTTAAACATCCAATTTTGTATTTATTAACGAAACTTTTATTGTAACAGATCCATCATCTGTAAATTTGAATGCATTTCCTAAAAGATTAATCATTATTTATTTTAATCTACTAGAATCAGAATAAATAAATCTTGGAGCTTTATTTTCATAATTTATAAATAGTTTTATTGATTTCTTTTCTGCAGTAACCTAAAAAAGCTCTGTACAACTCTCAAGTAATAAATTAAAATTAAATTTAGCTTTGTTGATCTTAAATTTTCCAACTTTTATTTAAGCTAAATCTAATAGGTCATCACTTAAATTTAATAAATACTTTGCATTATCTAAGGCAATCTTTATTTATTTTGTAATCTTTATAGGATAATTTGCTTTCATAGTTCTTCTACATTCCTTTTCCATAATTAAGGTTTATGATTAATGTTTCTATTCTTCATCTATCCCAAATTCCAACATTTCTATTATACAATTCAAAGGAGTTCTATATTCATGACTCACAAAAGATAAAGTTTTAGATTTTTATTTACTATATTCTTGTAGAGCTTATATATAATCTCTATGAGTTATGTCTCTAATTAACATCAAAATGTAAGGTGTATCATTAATTAATGCATTATACAATTTAACTTCAATAGTTCTTTTCCTATTTCCATCTTAAGCTTTTTAATATCCATAAACTACTACATGTTCCTAAATTAATTCATTTTAACATTTCATCTGCTTTTAGAATTCATTTTTACACATCTGTGAAGCTAACAATCTAAACTCCTATTCCAAAATCTTAATATATTTATATTATATACTGATTCTTCACATAAAGTATCACATTTTTTTAAAAAAACACCTCCTCTATATTCAAAAGAACTTAAAACAGAATTCTATCTACAAATTTCTATTTTTTGAGATGCATACTATGAATTTGTTTATGATCGTTTTTAATTACGTAAAATATTATTAATTAAATTACATGGAATTGGAGTTTATTGAAAAGTAGAAAAAGAACTCATTGAATTTTTTTAATCTTATTAATATTTTTATTAAATATCGCTTATTTATTGTTATTCTAAATTAAATATCTTTTAAAGAATTTCATTAGATGTTTATGCTGTTGATAATCTTAACATATTTTCATTATGATATTCCAAATCCAACTATTTTTCACATACCTTAAATAATCCTATTCCTTAAGGAAATATACTTAAAATCTCTAATTTATTATCTCGTGGACTATCATTATGACTAGGCTTATATTAGAATTTGACGCTTGAATGATTATTTGTATGACCTGCACTATCTATTACAATTTTATCATGTATTTCACCTTATGTATAACTATCTATGTTCTTCTTTACCTTTTTAGGCTTAGAATTATAAATTAAAATTAGCCAATGAATTAAAATAGTTACTATTGATAGATGAACTTCTTTCAAACTATAAATTGAACATAATGTAAATAAAAGAATGTCTGAACCTATATTATGAATAATCAATAACTTCTTAAGTTATATCGTTTATAAATTCATTCTTGTATTGAACAACTATTTAGCATTACATAAGGCTAAGACTGACATAGAGCTTTAATTAGATCCTAGATTTATGGCTAAAAGCAAACTCCATTGTTACAACAAATCAAAATATTCAATATTTTCTTTGATTTAAGTGTTGAAACATAATATAATTCTTAAAACCTATATTAGTACTATCAATCCTGATATAATATGTGGACCATTTCCAAAGATATTCTAAAACATTACCAAAAGAGTCACAATAATCATTACCAAGTTATCTTTAAACACTCTTTTTAAACTATTCATATAACAAAAATTAATTTTTTTATATATTCAATTTAATTATCACCAAATACTTAAAGACTATTCTCTATCTAAATCATAAATTTCTATATAATCATTCCTCTCCACCTATCTTTTCATTATTCACAAATTCTATTTTTATTGTCAATTCGATCTATTTAGTCTTTGTAAGTCTTTCCTTGATCTATTTCTAGGTCTTTCTATTTCAATTATATTCAAATGTGTAATAGTAATCAATATCAAATTTTTATTATTTAAATAAAATTTACAATCAAATACATAACATTAATTATTTATAAATTCTTTCGCATTTTTAACAATATTATAATCTAAAAAAATGGTAAAATATTGCTAAAGTTGTAAAGTTTATATAGCGTTTATAATGAGATTAAAATCTTCAAATCTCATTTGTTAAATTGCTCTTTTTCAAGCATTTGAAGAAGAAATTATAGATTAAAAGATTTCTATTTTGTAATAGTCTCAAGAGAATAAGGTTTAAATGTGTACAATTTTATGTGATTAAGTAAATTATAAAAGAAATATAATTTTTGATTGAATTTGAGATTAGTATCTATAAGAACAATTATCTAGATTACCTTAAATCAAACTAAATACATATGATTTGAAGTTTAAAATCTAGCATATGATTAATTCGTTTATTGTTTATTGGTCTATGGATTAAGTAGTTGCAAAAATTTTGAATAATATTTGTGATTTTAGAAGGTGAGATATTGATATTCCCAAAGTTGCAATTCCATTATAAGGATCTAATAAATTTAATTATTTTAAATTATGAAGATATAATGGAAAATTTACAAATGCCATTTATAAAGAAAATCATTTATTTCAATAATGAGTGATGTACTTAATATCTTAATGCTTTATTTAATAGGAATTAGGTATATTTTATTTAAATATATTTTTAGACTTTATGTAGCTATTGATCTAATTAATTACTGTAATTCCTAAAATAAAATTAGAAAATACCCCAAAGAGGGTAAAAGTAAACAATCAAGAACAAATTTAATCAAGAAATTAAAATCATATCTTCAAGAATCTAAAAAAAATATGCTTGATAAAAATTAAAATCATTTAAATTGCTATATATTTTTACACGTCATTTTATTCATTATATAGACATTAGATTTCATTAATAAATCTAATAGCTAAAGAGGACTAAGTAGTATTGAAATCAAAAAATCTAAAACTTAAATATGTAATTTAAGGAAGACTGGTATTATATTTTAAAAACAAAAGAGGTGATAATGATTAGGGAATGTAAAAATAATAAAAACTAAATTCAAGAGGTTTACTAAGACAACAAAATTTAATTGAGATAATATGATTTTTCATGATGATTAATTACTATAAATATTAATATCAAAATTTATCCAATATTTTGAATAAAACTATCATAAAATAATTGGTTAGAATAGTATTATTTCAAATATCAAAATTAAATACATTAAATAACTTATTTAAAATTAATTTTGAATCGTTTGAGTGAAGGTTTAAATTTGAAATTTAAATACTAATGGCATAAATATTAATGAGCATAATTTTTGGATATTAAGAATTCAACCGTATTTGCAGTATTTAATCATCAATTTTCAAAATTAATATTAAAGTTTGTAGGGCTATATACATAATATTTTATAAATCAATTATAAAAACAAAAATCTCTCAATAAAATCTAAATAATTTAGCCAATTAAAATTCTAGTAATTTAAAGAATTAAGAATTATCTTAAGTTAATTAAATAAATATTTAAATAAAATAAATATTCTAAATATATTAATGGATAAAAGATTCAAGCATACATTAGTTGCCCATAAAATATGCCCATATAGCATGAAAGTTCTTACAGTAATGCGTCATAAGAATGTGAATTTTGAAATTAAGTTCATAGAAACTCACAATAAACCTGAATGGTTTTTAAGGATTAGCCCACTAGGTAATGTACCTATTTTAATAATTGGTGAAGAAAGTATTTTTATTAATGATTATTAGTTGTTATATCAGAATCAGCAGCAATTATGGAATACATTGATGAAATTACTCCTCCTAAATTAATGCCATAAGATCCACTTTAAAAAGCTATTGATAGAGCCAAATTTGAATTTTCGAATGAACTTATTAGAAATCTTTATTCTTTTATTTTCTCTACTGAATAAGAAGTATTTCTATTAATAAAATTTTAGAAATTTATTCGATAAAAAGAATGGTTAATTAAACATTTCAAATGGATTGAAGAATGGTTAAAAGATGGAAGGTATATTAATGGAAATTAATTGTCTTTGGTTGACCTAAATTTTGTTCCATTATTTGTAGCTCTAAATATGCTTAAATCTACTTTACCATGTGATTTGTTGAAAGATTTTAAAAAAGTAATTTTTGTTTCTAAAATAGTTATAAATATATGGAGAAGTGATAATATCATTGCCTTGCTCAAAAACTGGAAGAGTTCCTGATTATGAATTTCTGATGATTGATGGAATTAAAAATCAAAATACCGTTCTTTATAGATCTAATCCATCTTACTTTAATAGTGATTACAAGCCTTAGAGATGTTGTTTCTTTCGTAGTTGATATATAATTTTTAATCATTTTTTCTTCCTTTTTTATCGATTTTTAATTTTCATATACTTAAGAATTTCATTTATTCTTCAGTTAACTTTATTTTTAGGTTGAATCTTCAAATGTAATTTATTTATTATCATAATGTTGATTTAAAGCTAAAATTTATTACAGTTTAAAAAATAGTTTACATATTTTATAAGCTTGGAATATAAATATTCAAATTAGAAAATTCTGTTTTCTAAAAAAAAAATTTATGTTTAAATTAATTCTTCTTTTCTAATTTTAAACTCTATCAAATAAAAACACTAAAGAAAAAATTCTAATTGCTTTTTAAATTTAGACAAACTAAATCCTTCTGAAAATTAATTGTAATTTTCAAAAATGAAAAGAAATATAAAAATCAGAGAAAGTAGTATTAATTATATTGTTATAAAAAAAGAAGTTTTAAATTAAAAATAATAAAATCCCATTAATAAGAATTTAGAAAATATATAATAAAATATTAAAATTAAGCATATAAATTATATTATTGTAATTAAAGATCCCTTTAAATTAGATAATAAATATATGAATAGGCAAATTTTTTAATTTTTATTATATGAGAATAATCGTTTTAACTAAAATTTTTTATTGATATTAATGAGAACAAGATTAGTTTTTATTTTTCCGAAATGTTTGATATAATAGGAAAGCTCTTTTTGATTTACTAAATTATAGTAAAATTATATATATATATAAGGTAGAGTTAAGGAGTTCATAAAACTTCAATGAGGAAGCTAATATATAAAGAAAGAAAAAAAAGATTTACAAATTTAATTAGGAAGACTTATGAAATATATTCGATAAAGTGAACTTTAATAAAATAATAGAAGACTGTGTTTAGATCACAAATTTATCAACAAGTAGTTTATAAATATTGATTTAATATTCATGAATTTACTTAAATTTCATTATTATGAGTTTCAAATATCTTATAAAAACTCATCTTTGCATTTTTAAGAAGTTTTCCTAACTCTGAATCTATTTATTTAGTCAATTTAAAATTAATGCTTTTTTAACAAGGATTTATATTATTACTATCTTCCATTTCTTCTGTCACTATCTTATATGCCTAAAATTAATTACTTTATGTACCTCTTAAAGAGATGTAAAAAGATCTTCATTTAATTGATAAGCATTTGCTTTAATATATGATTATTTATTTAAATCATCTGCCACTTCTAATCTTGTTGGAACAGTGTGATCATATCCTAAAGTAATGACAGGCTTTGGACTAAAATTGAATAAAATTATTTGTGGCTTTTATAATAATACAGACTTTAATTTTGTTATTTCTTATAATTAATGTAGAATATTATGTAAATCCAGTTCACTATTAATTTTTAACCTTTGATATAATAAATTAAATTTACATAGCTTTATTAAAAAATTCAGAATTATCATTATTAAAAAAGTATCCGCAGCTCATTTGATTAATCAATATTTTAATATTTAACTTTATTGGTTATGATCTTTCCATTAATTTATCAATAAACTATTTCCACTCTGCCTTATTTAAATCAGCAGTCTATAAATTTTAAAGTTTTTTGCTTAATATACTTAATTCTTCTGGAAGAGATCCTCTTTAGTTTGTTTTTGCAATTTTTCTCAAAAAGGTTTTATTTGTAACTTCTTTAAAATCATAAAGCTTATTAGATAATTCAATCAACATAGATGTTCTATTATAAAAGGCGATGAAGAAACCAAATATTAATTTTGATATTTACATAAATCCTCCAAGATAAGATAAGAGATTTCCAAATTTTAAATAACTTCTATTAATAGATTCAGTAAAGGGACTTCTTCTTAAATATAATGTCGCAAAATTATTATCTGTATCTCTTCCAAGTTCAGTTAAATCTCTAAAATCTTCTGCTCTTCTTATTATCAACTCTTCTTTATTTATTTATCTATAAATATAAAATAAATATCAATACTTGTAATTTAGTAAACTCTCATCATTATTTACAATATATTATCTATAATAAATATTAGCTAATCTTGCTAATTTTTAAGGTATAAAAGAAAAATACATATCACTATCTAAATACATAGTTTTATAGTCTTTTGGTTATTATGGATTAATCATAGTGTTTATTTAGAAGAATTATAATTTAAACTAACCTTCTTTTTTCAAATAATCATTTTTCTCCTATTCATTTGCACATTATGGATTCCAATGAGAGGAATTTGAATTATTCTAACATTCTGTTACTACAATCTTGATAAATTTGAATATTTCACTTGAATATGTACCTTCTAACTAAAATGAATAATTTTGACTATTTATTAAATTTTGTTTACGCCGGGCATAACCAATTATTCATTCCTAAATAATGGTATTCATTATTAAAATCAAGATCAATTCCTGAATTTTATACAACTTAGTTAAATCGATCTAAAATGCAAGGTTAAAGGGGTATTTAAATTGTTGTTTTATTTAAGGATCCATCTAATGATCTTGTATGTATTCTAAATCAATATATTCTTACCTTTATTCTACTGATATATTGAAAAAAGGGTTAGTTGTAAAATTGTTTTGGTCGATAGATAATGCAAACATTGCATTCTCATCATTCATTTACAATTAATTTGGGTCATTTGAAAAAGTAGTCTATGAATCATAAAATACATTTGCTCTGTTAAAAAAATCGGATATGTTTGAAAAAAAAAGTATGCTTAGAAAGCATATTATAAGAACGGATGAACAGCCACCAAATGATGTTGTATAATTAGCATTCTTATTCATGTTTAATGTAATTGTTTATCCGAATATATCGATTTGTTCTAAAGTTTTCTATAAAGAGTTTATCATTAAATATTTTTTTTTATTTAATTATGAAAACAAGCTTTAACTTTATCGAAATTTAGTTTAACTTTATTCTGAATACAAAACCAATAGTAATTATTATGAAAATTAAATTTTAATTATTTTTTATTTAAAATTATTCCTACTTTAATAAATTTAACCACATATATATAATAATTATGAGATATATGCTAAAATGTAAAATCAATCACTTAAATTTTATTCTTCCTGATTATTATTGATGCTTTAGATTTCATTAGGTTATAATTCATTTTTACATTATTATTAACAAGGCTTTAGAATGTGTTTTACTTAAGATCCTATAAGTTAAGTTAGTTTTAAATTAATATTCATTTAGCAAATATTTGATTGCGTTTTTTCTACTTCTTCTACTATTTCCTTATAAGCCTAAAATATTATTAATAAATTTACTTCTTCTAATTAAATAAACAATTCTTCATTTAAATTATCTTCTTTGCTCTTAATATAGGATTGGCCAATCTCTAAATCCTCAACTAAATAACGAGATGGAACTATTTAATCTTTGCCTAGTGTAACAATAGGTTTTGGAGTAAAATTAAATAAAATTATTTAAGATTTTCTTAATAAAACTGATTTAAGTTTATTAATTTCTTATAATTAATATAAAATGCTATGCAAATCTAACTCCTTATTGATTTTATTCCTAAAATAATATAATTAAATAACTTACATAGCTTTTTCTAAAAATTCTGAATTTTTATTTTTACATAAATAACCAAAAGTTAATTAATTTATAAATATTCTAAAATTAAAAGAAATTGGTTTAGATTTTTTGACTAATTCTTTTATTTATTGTTTCCATTCAACTTTTTGAAACTATTGAGAAGTAATGAATGGATTGACAGAGTTAAGTTCTTATTTTCCTAAATCAGATCCAATTTAATCAGTGTTTTTCAATGTTTTTAGAGTATAAAGTTTTTTTAAATTCTCAGCATCTTGGAAATCATAAAGCTTATTTGCTAGTTCAATTAACATAGATGTTCGATTATAAAATGCAATAGCAAACCCAAATAATAATTTCATAATCTACATAAATCCTCCAAGATAAGAAAGCAATTCACCTATCTTTTAGAACTTTCTATTTATTGTTTCTGTGAAAGGACTTCTTCTTAAATAAACAATAGCATAATTATCATCCTTGTCTCTACCAAGTTCAGTAAGATCTCTAAAATCTTCAGCTTTTCTAACAATAACTTTTTCTTGATCTATATTCCTATATAAATGAATATTATTATATACTAATATGGCATTATACTTTCATCATTATTAACAATAAATTGTCTATAAAAAACATTTGCCAATCTAGCCAGTTTAAAAGGTACAAATGAAAAATACATATCACTATCAATAAATACACTTTTATAATTTCTTGGTTTTAATGGATTAACAACAGTATTAATTTAAAAGATTTATAATTTAAATTAAGCATTTGTAGCCAGATATTTTGCTTTATCTTCTTAAGAACCACAAGTTGGATTCCATAAACTATTGCTATTTGTATCTGATATCTTACAATTCTTAACTGTTATTTTCAAGAATTTAAATGTTTCGCTTGAATAAGTTCCTTCCATTTAAAAAGTAAAGTTAGATCTTAAATTTAACTAATTTTATTATTTACTTTGGACATAACATTTTGTTCATTCCTAAAAAATTAAATTAATCAGTAAAGTCTATTCCTTGTAACTGAAATATATTATTAAATCTTTCTAATGTACATGGTTACATTGGTACTTCTATAGTTTCTTTAATTAGAGAACCATTTTTATTTCTAAAGTTAATTCTTGATATTTTAAATAAATAACATACTTTTATTCTACAGTAATATTAAAAAATGGATTTAAAGTGAAATTAGTTTAATCAATAGCCAGAGCAATCATAGAATTACCATCATTCATTTCCATTAATTCTGGATCATTAGAAAATGCTATTTCACTATCATAAAAAACATTGTCTTTTCCAAAAAATTAAACAATGTTTGAAAAGAATATCAGGCTAAATAATAAAATTATCAAAATTGATGAAAAACCACCAAATGCTGTTGTATAACTGGAATTCTTATTCATATTTAATGTAATATTCTGTCCAAATATATCGATTCTTGAAAGAGCTAATATAATAATTGCTTTTACANAGCTTTTCTAACAATAACTTTTTCTTGATCTATATTCCTATATAAATGAATATTATTATATACTAATATGGCATTATACTTTCATCATTATTAACAATAAATTGTCTATAAAAAACATTTGCCAATCTAGCCAGTTTAAAAGGTACAAATGAAAAATACATATCACTATCAATAAATACACTTTTATAATTTCTTGGTTTTAATGGATTAACAACAGTATTAATTTAAAAGATTTATAATTTAAATTAAGCATTTGTAGCCAGATATTTTGCTTTATCTTCTTAAGAACCACAAGTTGGATTCCATAAACTATTGCTATTTGTATCTGATATCTTACAATTCTTAACTGTTATTTTCAAGAATTTAAATGTTTCGCTTGAATAAGTTCCTTCCATTTAAAAAGTAAAGTTAGATCTTAAATTTAACTAATTTTATTATTTACTTTGGACATAACATTTTGTTCATTCCTAAAAAATTAAATTAATCAGTAAAGTCTATTCCTTGTAACTGAAATATATTATTAAATCTTTCTAATGTACATGGTTACATTGGTACTTCTATAGTTTCTTTAATTAGAGAACCATTTTTATTTCTAAAGTTAATTCTTGATATTTTAAATAAATAACATACTTTTATTCTACAGTAATATTAAAAAATGGATTTAAAGTGAAATTAGTTTAATCAATAGCCAGAGCAATCATAGAATTACCATCATTCATTTCCATTAATTCTGGATCATTAGAAAATGCTATTTCACTATCATAAAAAACATTGTCTTTTCCAAAAAATTAAACAATGTTTGAAAAGAATATCAGGCTAAATAATAAAATTATCAAAATTGATGAAAAACCACCAAATGCTGTTGTATAACTGGAATTCTTATTCATATTTAATGTAATATTCTGTCCAAATATATCGATTCTTGAAAGAGCTAATATAATAATTGCTTTTACAATTGAGAAGAATATTGATGCCCATCTCAACCAATAATATTATTTATTAAATTAAAAACACACATTATATACATATTTATTTATTTTGTAATAATATTTAGTTATTATAAATAAAATTTAGATTGATCTCATAAAATATTGGTGATATTGGATTTATATAAAGCTAAAATTAAATATTTGCAAATAAATTAATCTTCAAATCTGTACATATTAGAAAGAAACTTGAAAAACTTTTTAAATATGAATAAATTTTTAATTATTGAACTTATAATAAATTCCTAATATATATAAGTAATAGAATAAGAGATTTCAATAATTAATATATCTATACAATAATTTTAAATGTCAGAAGGGTTTGATTTCCAAGACAATTCATTTTCTTAGTAAATAAATGAACCATTACATTCAAATTATTGCTATTAAGTAGATAATGATTAATTGGAAAACAGATAATACCTAAATGAACCTGAGAATAATATGTTAGATTAATTTAGTTAAAAATAATAGAGCAATATTTTATTAAAATAATAAGAGGAAGATTCAGAGAAAGTTGATTATAAAAATTTACCTAAATTAATTGGAAACAATTTTCAAAAATACATAGAGTAAAATGAAAAATAAATTTCAATTTCAGAAGGCTTGAAAAAATTTTTAAATGAGAGAAAAGCCAAAAAAGACAAAGATAAAAAGAAAGATAAACAAATATCTACAAAAATATCAGATTTAAGATTGATTTGTTAAACTGACAATAATTCAAAAGGAATTTTCAAGAAGTATATTAAAAAATAATTTATAATTGATTTAATTCACAGTACTAAAATAGAAAATCCATTAAAATATATAGATGGAATAAGTACTTATTTTGCTGCTGCCGAATAACCAGAGAAGATGATTAGCAGTCATATTATTAGTTCAAAAAGAAAATAATAAAAAAAATGAATGCTATAAAATATATTTTTAATAGAATTTCAACATTTAATAAATTTCTATTTTCCATTATAAATTTAATTTATATTATGCAATATTTACCTTTTCTGATGTAGAAGACAATCTAATTTAAAATCAGTATGATTCTTAAAACAATTAATAAAATCATTATCAATAGTATTAAGAACAAGTATGTGAATTTTATTATAAATTTAAAAATAACTATATATATTAATTGGTTTCAAAAACTTTAAAGATTTCATAACTTATCAATCCATAATAACTAAAATTATCTTATAAAAATTTTCTTAAATTATTTGGAAGAATTAGAGTACTAAAAGGAGTTTAAATTCTCAAAGATATATGTTAGAATTCTAGATAATCAGAAATTAACATAAAAGTTTTATAAGAAGTGTATAAAACTGATAAAAAATCATATTGCTATTTTCAATCATTTGTTGAGAAGGATATGTTCATACATGCTTTTGTAATAAAACTGAGAATCCTATGCTTTTAATACCAGCTATAAAAATAAAAATTATTCTAATTTTATAAGTAACTATTGGGCTGCATCTTTGGAACCAGAAAATATGATTAGAAATTTTACGAAAAATAAGTATTATTATTCTCAATGATCATATAAAATTTTCAATTATAAATTTTTATTGTATAATAAAAATTTAGATTTAATAAAATATTTTGAATTGTAATTTATATAATTTAAGAAAAGATCTAATATTAAAGAACTGATTTTTTATTAGTGTCTAGTTTAAAAATTTATTGTCTTAATATTAGATTTAAATTCCAATGATAAAAATATGAAATATTTAGATTTAAAAAATAATTTGATGTATTATTCACAGAGTGTAAGGAAATAAGTTGATTGAAACCTGACAATTAATATTATATATTGAATATGTTTTTATGTTTTATGTAATAATGAATTCATGCAAAGGTCTTTTTTGTCATAATATTATAGAAATCATCAAATGTGACTTAAGCATCTCCATCTGAGTCAGCTCTGTCAATCATTTCTTATAATTCTGAATCATCCATAGTTTCTCCTAATTCTTTAGCAACCTTTCTAAGATCTTTTAAGGTAATAACTCCTGCTCTCTCTGAATCAAACAAATTAAAGACTTTCTAATATAATTTAAGGTATAATTTACTTAGATATCAGCTCTAGAATCTCTTTCACTAATTCTAGCAGTCATTAATTTCAAAAATTCTGCAAAATCAATTTAACCACTTCCATCTGTATCTAAATCACTAATCATTTAGTAAATAGTTTGATTTTTTGCTTCAAATCCTAAAGAAGTCATAGCAGCTTTTAATTCTTTTGGATCAATTGATTAACCTCTAATTTAATTATATAAAATAACCCGTCTGTATCAAATAAGTCAAATGCTTCTTTGATTTCTAAGACTTCTTCTTCTGTCAAACCAGGTTTAACAAATTCAGCTGGATTGAATTTACCTGGTTGATTCTTTTAAGCAACTGGAGCTTATTATGGTGGTGGTTATTATCCTCTTCGTGCCATTTATTAAAAATATAATTATTTATTAAAAGATATTTACTATTTTATTTCTGTATTTCTAATATTTGTTTTTCTTTTATTAATTAAATAATATAATAATACTATATGAATTCGTTTTTAAAGTATTAATATACTTCTTATGAACAATAAATAAGTATAATGTAATAAAATATATTTTAAGATTCTAAATTCATTATTCAAATCTTAAGTATATTTGAATAAATAAAAACTATAATTTATATATCAAATAATAAATGAATATTAATGATAGAGATATGGATATTGATCCTATTGAATAAAAACCATCTATACCTCATGTTTAAGACGAAAAATAGGCATTTTTTAATTTTATTAAATCAATAATTGGAATTGGAGCAATTACATTTCCATTTGCAGCTAATAAAGTAGGATGGTTAGGTTCTATTATAATAACAATTCCAGTACTCTTTTGCACCATAAAGTATTTTTATTTACATTTATGATCTAATACATTCTTAATTGAAGTGGCAGATTATTACTCAAACAGAAAATTACTTTTTGGAGATGTAGTTCAATTAACTTTGAAATGGGTTTGGCCATAGATAACTAATATAATGATTATCCTGTCCTAAATTGGAGTTTGTTGTGCCTATCTAATATTTTTATATCAATCAACTAATGCAGTTCTTAATTAAATAAATATTCCTTTGTCAAAATTAACAATTTTCTCATTAACCTTGATTTTGATTATTCCTTTGTCCTTAGTAAGAAGGATGAAGTACTTTCATTATGTAAGCAAACTAGGTTTTTATGTTAATTTACTTACATTCATTGTAGTTTTTTTTGATTGCTTAAATTTAATATATATCGAAGGTATTACATTTGGACCTAGTATTAATTTATAAAGTAATATCTGAATATAATTAGATACATTTTAATTTATTGGAATAGCCTGTTTAACATTATAATGTAATTTGACTATTCTACCAATCAGAAATGACATGAACAATAAAAAACCTTTTTAAAGATATTAAGAAATCTCACTTTATTTATGTTTTTTTATTGCAATTTTTATTACAACTTTTGCAATTTGGGGTTACAAAGATAATTTAAATTAAATAATAATTTTTAATATTCAAAATCTTTATCTAAGATCAATTACAATGATTGCTTATGGAATTTGTATATTAATGACATATGCACTTTAACTATTTCCAGCTGTATAAATCATTGAAGAACATTTTTCATAACTAACTTACAAACAGTTTGATCAATCTGAAGATGAAAATGAAAGTGTATTTGTTTTAGATAAAATTTCATTAATTATCAGAGGGCTGTTAATGATAATGATTTATTTCATATCATACAAAATACCTGATTTATCATAATTTATTAATTTAATTGGAAGTTTCTTTGGTTCATTTTGTTAAGTATTATAGATATTTATTTAAATAGTTTTTGATACCATTATTAGCACATTGGATTTGCTTTAAAAATTAAGAAACCAGTCTTAGATTAAAATTAGAATATTTTTTTATGTCAATTTTTACAGCCTTAGCAATAGTATTTGGATCATATGAATCTATTAAAGGTTTAATGTGAATAAAATTTATAATACAATAAAACTTATTGAGATTTAACATTATTTAATAGCAAAAGAATTTAAAATCAATATGATTCAATTTTTTAAACTGAATAATGTCCTTAGATTAAATATCTTATTCCAATTCTCATTATATTTTCCATCTAAATTATCTTTAATTAAATCTTTCTTTAAAATTCTCTGTATTTTCAAAAAATAAAGTGTATTTTTTCTGGGGTATTTAAATTTTTAAAGTATTTTACATTATGGATTTATTGTCATTGTTTATGTTAAGACTCTATCAAACAATGAATCAAAAAGAACTTTAAACTAAATTAAAGCATTACCTATTTTAATTATATAAATTACTGCTAGTATATTGTTCTTCTCTTTTTTTTAATATTTTATTTCGAATTTAATTTTTAAAAAGAAATGATTGAGTTTTATTAAGTTACTGACTTTTTTTGAGAAATAAAGTTGATTAATTAATCACTTGATAAATGGGTAAAAAAATTAAATAAATTAAAACAATTGAGACAAAAATTAAAAATATGGAAATGAATATTGCACTAAGTGCTATCTATTAAATTTCTTAATGCAATATTTGATTTAAATCTTTCATTTATTCAGTAATATCATTCTCAATTTACAAATCATTAAAGAGAATCAAATAATAATTGATATTTCTAAGCTTTTATATTGTTATTACAACATCTTTTTCATAAACTGTGTTATATCTGCATAAAATATTGATTGTATTTAAATGACAAGAAGACTCTACAGTATTGTTTTAGTAATAATTAATTAGAGAATTCCAATCTTCAGAATTGAATCCTGTTATTTCTGAATCTGCGAAGTTTTTAAGTTGGGATGAATTAGATATTTCTTTATTTTTATAATTTGTCAATAATAATTACCCTTTTTAATCAGCTATCATAATATTAATGGTTTCAATCCTAATCATATTATTCTAAAAAATTATGTCTGAACAAAAAATTCCTTCAACATCCAAATTTAAATTTAACATTGATTACGTCATAGTCATAGAATAAGTAGGTTCATTTCCAAAATATTTATAAACATCACTTAATTGAGTATTATTGCGTTTATCTTTTTGTAAATTTAGAAAATGTTATTGATACCAAATTCTGTCTGATGGATGGAAATTTTCTAACTTTACCTCTTATGGGTAAATATAATAGAATTCATAAAAATCTATTGAAGATACAAAATAAAATTAATTAGGAATAAATGGATCATCAAGACCCATCATACTTAAAATAATCGAACTTATTAAAAAAGTATGATTTCTAATTATGTATTATGTTTAATCTTCTAATGGTTCAATATCGTTTTAATTAAGTGCAAAATACTGATAACATGGAATAGAATAAGAATGTTCAGGAGGCATATGAGTGGAATTATAGTCACATAGACGAGTGATTGGTTTATTGATCCAGATATTATTTCTTAATTAAAGCCAATATAATTAATTCAAATTAGTAAGAGTAATTTACGCTTGTATAATTTATGAATTTATACTTCTTGTAAATAAAGAATTGAGTTATTCATTAATTGAATCTGCTGAATTTGTTAAGTGATTAAACATCTACTTCAGCATACAATCCTTTTCTGAATTGCTTAGTATATTCTAAACATAATATAAATTTATCGTCTAGGTCAATATGATTGAAGGAATGATAATTGCCAAAATTATACCATTAATAATTAATATCTGGGTTCTCATTTTAAATTTTCCTAAATTTGATCGAAAACAACGATTTAAAAAGGAGGTCTAGATCTTATTCATAATTTGAGAGATTAATAAAAATAATATAATAGATGTCAATTACATTGTTATATTTAGCTTGATAAATAAATAATTATCAATTTAATCTTTCTGTAATAAATTATAACATTAGAATCCAATGAATTATTAACTTTGATTATTATTTATACATGTAATGTTAAATTTAAGCTTATTTATTAAATTACCTTTATTAATAATACAAAATATTAAATAAACATTTCAACTTTAGAGAGATTTCTAAAAAAAATAATACCAAAGTTTAAGATTAAATAATGGTTTCAATTTCTTTTTTTCTAAGAAAAAATACTACTAAATTTATTTTTTTAAGTATTGATCAATGAGTAAAATATTAGAAATTTCAAAATGCAATCAAAAAAATTGGAAAAATCTACTTTTTCAATTGTTATATCAATTCAATAAAAAGAAAAGAGTGTATAAAGTATATTTTAGAAGACTAGTTCCAAAGGATTTAAAAATTTTTTCGATTTTGAATTAAATTTGTTTAAATTTTTACTTAATCCAATATTTTATGAGTGATTATAACATTTAAAGATTTCCTATTATCATATAATATAAATATTTTTACTTTGAATATAATAATTATATGGAATTGGTTAATTTAAAAAGAAAGTTACTTAAAGTATTTATAAATATTTGAAGAAGAATCATATGTTAGTTAAATTAAAAATAATTTTATTGGATTAAGGATTATAATGAAAAGAATACTGATAGTTTAAGATTACGAATATTAATTTATAAATAATGAATATTTAGAGATTCAATGATATAATATAATTTTATTAATAATAATAATGAATCAATAATTTTTTGGCAATTCAAGGTTGGCAATCCAAAGAGCTTAATAACTTCATTTATTCTTCACAGAGTCAGTTATATATGACTAATTTAAATACACAGCAAAAATGCCTCAATATCCAAAGATTGTATTTTTGTAATCAAATCCATTCATTAGAAATTTAGTGGAGAAGTATTGAATTAAATATACTTTTAGATAATTTGTTTAATATTCTATAATAGATGCTTAGAAGACAGGTGGAGAAGTAAGTGATTAAAATATTGTTAGGACAGTGTTGCTAGATTGGCTGAATAAGTTCAATTGTAATCAACTTAAAAAAATGGTGCATTGTTATTTGGATTCCCTAATAGTGCTGTTGAAGCTGAGAAGTAAATATTTAAATGAATAATAATTAGATTAGATCGTTTATTAGATGGTGTCAATTTGGCTATTAGATTCAAATTATCTGAATCATTAGCATAGAAAATAGCAGGATCTTATTTATCATGTTAATCATGTGGCAAAGTATTCAATACAAGTTTACCATTTGTAACTCCAACTCATCCAGGATATTAAAATAATGTAAAAAAGAAAACATATGAATTTTAGTGTTAAACTCCAAGTAAATGTGCTTTAGAATAAAGTTCTGCCCCAGCTGATTAAGTAAATGCAGAAGTTGCCAATTATTTTTAATAGAAAGTATAATATCGAATAAATTATATTAGGGCGCTTACCTTGAATATGAAATAAATGAAGAGCATTTGTTATATGATTCACAAGAGTTTTTCGAAAAATTAGACAACGCAGTTGCAACACATATCAAAGTATGATATTTTAAACAAAAAGAAAATTAAAATTATTATAACAATAACTAATTCTTATTTTCAGCTGAGATATATGAATTATAGTGAAAAGCTGAGAAAGTAAAATAAGTTTTTATAATTGATAATTTCATTGTTATTGTTTGCTTTTTCTTTTTTACTACTATTTTATTAGAAATCTGTTCTAAACATTATGTTTATAGATTTGAATTCCTAATGCTAAATTATCCATATGTGTTAATCTCTATTATTAAGATTGAAGTACATTTGATTGTTCTTTACTTAGATCCGTCTAAAATGTTAATACTATATTACATTTATTCTTTCGTTAGGTTAAGTTTATATGGGTTTTTATGTATCATTGTATGCATAGGTACTAATAATCCTAGTTTTACGATCATTTTTAATATGCTAGCTACTTCTATTTTCTACACTTCTTTTTAGATAAGTAATTTCAGATCTCTAACTAATACTACTATGTCGATCTGATCTTTCAGTATTTCCTTGTTTGAATTTTAGATTGCTTTTGTGTCTAACATAAGTAGTTGAATCTCTAGAATTAGGAATAGGTTGATACGTATTGCCTAAATATTTAGATTGCTTGACAGCAAGTAATTAAGCTAATTAACCTTTAGATTAACTAGAAGGTTTTTGGGAGATAGATTTTTGGTTTTTGGAAGGTAAACCAGTTTTTTTTGGAGCAGAGATTTCTCTATGAGGAACAGGATCTTAAGATTTGGTTTTACCTTTTCTAGGGTAAATATTCGATAAAATTAATACGTTTATGATTTATTTTGATTTCTATCAGAAAACGCTTTATTTAGAAACATTTCCATAGATGAAGATCCTCCAGTTTCAGCAACTTTTGAAACCTATGGCTATTTATGTTCTTTAGACTATGATTATTATTAAGATTATTATTATTATTAAGATTATTATTATTATTATTATTATTATTATTATTATTATTATTATTATTATTATTATTATTATTATTATTATTATTATTATTATTATTATTATTATTATTATTATTATTATTATTATTATTATTATTATTATTATTATTATTATTATTATTATTATTATTATTATTATTATTATTATTATTATTATTATTATTATTATTATTATTATTATTATTATTATTATTATTATTATTATTATTATTATTATTATTATTATTATTATTATTATTATTATTATTATTATTATTATTATTATTATTATTATTATTATTATTATTATTATTATTATTATTATTATTATTATTATTATTATTATTATTATTATTATTATTATTATTATTATTATTATTATTATTATTATTATTATTATTATTATTATTATTATTATTATTATTATTATTATTATTATTATTATTATTATTATTATTATTATTATTATTATTATTATTATTATTATTATTATTATTATTATTATTATTATTATTATTATTATTATTATTATTATTATTATTATTATTATTATTATTATTATTATTATTATTATTATTATTATTATTATTATTATTATTATTATTATTATTATTATTATTATTATTATTATTATTATTATTATTATTATTATTATTATTATTATTATTATTATTATTATTATTATTATTATTATTGTTATTATTGTTATTATTGTTATTGTTATTATTATTGTTATTATTATTGTTATTATGAGTTTTGTAAGAGATGCAATAAAATTTATTGTTATACATCTTAATTATAAGTTTATGTTGGTTACTATTATGAATATAGTTTTTATTTGACTAAAGGGGATGATTTCTATTATTCAATTTATAGAGTTTTGTTAAATAAATTCTATTTTTCAATAGAAATGGTTTTAGGTGGGACATCAGGTTTGATTTGTTTTTCTCTTAATTGTTTGAGTTTGAGTAGATAGTAACAGGTGGTAATACAATTGTGTTTATTATTTTAAATCATTTAAAGAGCTTCTTCTTCTGAGATATTATATTAAAGTAATTGTGAAAGAATAGTAGAATCGACATCAATTTTAAAATTATCCAATCTAAATAGTCTATTTAATAATACTTAGTGTTTACTCCTTATGGAATAGTCATTTTTCCAGCGAAAAGGATGAAATCATGTTATCGAATTTCTGGGATAGAGATTCTTTTGGAGGGATCTTTTTATAGAATTCTTTTAAGTAGATCAGCAGCTTAAGGAGAGACAGTTTTGGGTAATTTATAATCAGAATGTTTGATTTTTTCATAAAGTTATTTAGTATTTTGATCTTCAAATGGAACACAACTAGAATAAGAATATAAATGAATACCCACAAATCATTGCATATAAGATGATACCGCATGACCAAATATCAGTTTTTAATCCTTCATAAGGTAAACCACTAACCATTTCTGGTGCAGCATAACAAGGACTTCCACAAGGAGTATGTAATTTTTGATTATTTTGATATAGATTTGATAATCCAAAATCAACTACTTTGACTTATTTATTAGAATCAAGAAGTATATTTTCAGGTTTTAGATCTCTATGTACAATTCCAAGTTGATGAATATATTCAATAGCATTAAGAAGTTAAAAGAATATACGTCCAGCTTCACGTTCTTCTAGACGTGACTTAGATACAATATGTTCAAATAATTCTCCTCCTGGTGCATATTCAGTTATTAGATATAATTTAATTTCACTTTCGATTATCTCTTATAACTTTATTCATATACCTCATATAATTAAATGATATTGGGATGACGTATTTTACGTAGAATATGAATTTCACGTTGAATCCTCACATAATCAGCTTCATTTTCTATTTTCTCTTTCTCTAAGATCTTAATCGCTACCTTTGTAAAATTGAAGTGAGTTCATACTTTCTCATTTGTGCATTTATGAATTCCTAATTTCACTTTTCCAAAGGTTCCTTATCCTAAAGTTTTGTCTACAATATAATTCTATAATGGATTGAAATTAGGGTCTTTGAATGTATAGAGTTTTGGCATAACAGAATTTATAATTTATATTAAATTAATATTGATCATCATCATCTAATCTTATGGTTATTCAATGTTTCTAATGCTAAAAGTAATGCTTAAGTTCCGTTTCTTCCTCCACCTTAAGCAACTAATGCATGATATAATTATTTCACTAATGCTAACCCTGGTAAACATAAATTCATTCTATTAGCTTCATTTATCGCTATATTTAAATCTTTAATAAAATGTTCTACATAAAATCCTGGTTCAAAATCTCCTTTAACCATTCTCAATCCTAAAACACTCCAAGCTGTTGAATTAGCTGCACCACTCTTGATTGTATTTATTAATTATTCCAAATTCAATCCACATTTATGTCCATATAATAAACCTTCAACTGTTCCTATCATATTACCTGCCAAAACAATTTAATTCACCATCTTAGTATGTTAACCTAATCCAGCATTACCCATCAATTATATATTTCCACTATATACTTTTAATACCTCATTTATTCTATCCAAAGCTTACTACTAACCTCCACACATCACTACTAATCTTCCTTCACGAGCTCCTATATCTCCTCCACTAACTGGAGCATCAATAGAATCTATTCCTCTCTCACTTGCCTCTTTAAATATTCTCTCTGCTAATTCAGGAGATGATGTTGTGTGATCAATTAACAATGCTCCTTTCTTCATATTATTTAATATTCCTTATTCTCCTAATACTACCTATTCTACATCCTTTGGATATCCTAACATTAAAAACACTGCATCGCTTTTTTCAGCCAATTCTTTTGGTTAAACAAATTCTGCTCCGGCTTCTATTAATGGTTAGGCTTTTGCTATTGTTCTGTTGAATATTCGTAATTTATGCCCTGCTTTCATAATATGTTTACACATTGATACACCCATTACACCTGTCCCAATCCAACCTATATTCATTTTTTTTATAGAATCAATATTATTATTTCTCAACTTAATTAATTATTTTATCTATCCTAATTTCTCTCATTAACAAATTCTGAAATCATTCTGTTTGAATTGTTTCTTTTCTATTTCTTTAAACATTTATTACTCTCTTAATGTATTTCTTTTATTTTTAATATCTCTTATACAATTTTATTATTTTTATCATTTACCTCATAAAAAGTCAATTTTAATTATTTTTACTAATAGATATTTTCAATAAATATCATCTACAATCATTAATAAAAAGCTTATTTTATTATAGTTTATAGTCTAGTGTAATCAATCAATATTAACTTAGATTCTTTTTCAACCATAAAATTAAATAAAATAATTATCTTGTAAAATTTATAATAATTTTCCTCCACTTTCTAACTGTAAATAAAAGTATCTCTAAATTTTATTCAATTAATAGAAAGTATTCACACGGCTATTTCATAGATTTATAAAGAGTAAATCTAAGAGTAGCAATTTAGAATGTTTTGTTTCATTTTTCAATAAATTAGTATAAATTTGAAAAGATTTATACATGTATAATAAATGAGTGCTAATAATACATCAGTGTTCTAAATTTAATGAGAAGATAATAAATTATCTACTAAAAAAAGATTGTTGGAATTGTGATATATTTATTTTAAAATGCTAAATTATACAAGTTATCTCTTTGTGTAAATTTCAATAAAAAACACTTTTTTTCTAGTGGAGATAATAATGAATGAAGAAAGATCACTATAATACATTATAATCAACTCAATTTCCTTAGGAATTTCAATTTTATTATTAGTTTTGGAGACACTAAAAAAATAAAATATTTATGCAAATAATATAGGAGTGTCAATGTTATGTGTTCTTAATATGGAATTTATATATAAGGATATTCCTTAAATAAATACTCTTTAATTAGGTACTTTTATAGTGATTCTGATAACACAATTTGAAGATGCATAAAAATGGCATAAATTTATGAAGCACTTAATTCTGTTTTATTTTTTTATTAGAACGTTCTTATAATAAAAGGAATAACTGTACATAACAGAATTGTTGACATGTATTTTATGGTAACCTTTAAATCATTGGATGTTGTATTTGAAGAAAGAGAATGATTAGATGGAATTTAAGAAGTAATCGTTAGATACAAGTAAATATAACTTAGAGCAAATTCCATAACTTGTTAAAGATTAATCAGAATAAGATGAATAATGTAGTAGTGTATTTAGGAGTTTAAATATCCAAAATAATTTGAGAGAGTTAAAATAAATAAATTTAAAGAATCCGTTTGAGTAATACAAGGAAAGTTTAATGAATATATATTCAGAGAAGGAATTGGTATCATAGAGATCTACAACAAATTTAGATATACCTTAGATATGGAATTTATTACCATTTGGAATAGGATTAATGAATAATGTATTTGAGATGGTGATAAATAATTAAAAATTATTATAGTATTTAAAAGTATCAGATAATGATGGAAGAAACATAATTTTGAGTTTAGATTCATTATTAGAAAGGTAAATATTTATAATGAAAATAAGTTGTGAATCATGGGAAAGTAAATCAATAAGATAGGGAGGTTCTAATTAAAGCAATCGTTAGAGTAGAAGATTCTTAAAGGGTCGATAGTTGTCAATGATATCAAAGAGTTTAAATGAATAATGTTCAATCAATATAGATGGAGGTACTAATACAAATATAAATAATAATGTTGCTTAGAGTTCTAATACAAATAATTAGATAAGAGATGAAGTTATGACTACGAAGACAAGATTTAGAAATTTAAATTTACTGTTTAAGAAATTTGCATAAAAATCTCCTTCAATGACAAACAATGCAGATTATTCTGTTTAATCAATTGGATAAAATATATAAATAATCAAGATTATTTAGGATGTTGGGACATTGAAGTGTTATTTAAGAATCAAAGTTTATGAAATTGAAATAAATAATCAAATACATTATCTTTTTTTGATTGAAAACATAACTAATAAGGAAGAATTAAGGTAATTAAATATTAGATACAAATATCAATAAGCACTTTTAAATTCATTATGTCATGAACTCAGAACTCCTATGAATAGTACTTTATCGTAGTTAAATGCATTATCTACTTTGATTTAACCCAATATTAGAGATAAAAATTTATAGCCAGCAATAATTTCAGCTAAAAAACTTATGTTTTAATTAAATGACATTTTAGATTATGCTTAAATTGATTGTAAAAACTTTAATTTGAATATTTCTCAGTTTGATTTATATGAAATATTTGATATTTTGAAAGAGTTGTTTAATTAGGAATGCAAAGAAAAATAATTAGATTTTTAACTTAATACTAATGCTAATTATATTATTAATAGTGATAAGGAAAGAATACTTAGAATTTTAGTTAATTTAATAGATAATTCAATAAAATTTACAAATTAATTTGGTTTAATTATTGTAAATGTAAATGAATATAAATCATGTATAGTTTTTACAGTCGAAGATAATGGAGTTGGTATGTCTGAAAAGACTTTAGAATAAATTAGAAATAATTTTGATATGTAATTTTATGATTCATTTCTATTCTAATAAACTAAATTAGGTTTAGGATTGAAAATTTCTTAATAAATAGCTAAATTTTTATGTGTTAATAATAAATTAATAATAGATAGTACTGAGAATGTTTATACAAAAATAACATTTAAAATAGAAAATCATGAAAACTGTATTAGTCAATAAAAATTACCATCATTTTAAGGTTGTAACATTACAATTAGTTGTAATTGTATTTAAATTCTAATTGTAGATGATATAAGATTTAATCATAGTGCTATTGAAGCACTTTTATAATAACATAAAGTAAAAATGGATAGTGCTTACAATGGTTAATAAGCAATTGAAAAAATTAAATAAAAATTGAATTCTCTATGTTGTAAAACTTACAAACTGATTTTTATGGACATTGAAATGCCTATAAAGAATGGGTATTAGGCTTCGTAAGATGTAAAAATATACCAATTCATTTGAATAGATTACTGAAATTTTGATTCAAGAAAATTTGAATGAATAATGTGCCATAGTGATGTGTTCTGCCTATAATGGAAATGAGAATAATGACAATATGAAGAATTGTGGCATTAAAGAGATATTACCTAAGCCAATTGAGTAGAAATAACTTAAACAATTACTTGATAAATATTTATTATGATTATATTTATTAACAAATGGAAATACTTATAAAATTATTGACACTCTAATTAATAATTAAGGACTTCATTGATATAGCATTTATTTGGTAAGATAGCAATTTAATAACCTTTACTCTTAATGTAATCTCTCTCATTATAGCAATTTTACTTTTAATCCTTGATTATTGGAAATTTTCAATCACTTATTAAAAAGTTGGTTTCATGGGATTATGCATTATTAATTCAGAAATTCCGTTTTAATAAAAAATTAACTTTGCCAATATTGCTTATTTTGCATACTCTGCTCTGATTTTATTTAACATTTATTCAAAAACCCTATCAACTAGACTTATTGTTCACTTTTAATTATTATACATAACAATTAGAGCTATATTTACATAACCAAATTATGAATTACATCCTATTTTGATTATTGTCTCTTTATAACCAATCAATCATTACATAATAAAATGCATGTGTTAGAAAAAATGTTCACAATTAACTTAAACATTTTCATAACAAGATTTTAAAATTAAATAAACCTAATTTGAATAAGATTAATTATTATCAAGTGAAAGTAAAAGAGACTTTATCAAAGGTGACATAAATGAGAGCATTATTCTTAAAGCTATCAATCAAGAAATAGAATCTCCACAACAAGAACATAAATGTATTGGAAATAATAAAGATTGTATGAATTAAAGAATTATTGTAAAAAAACAACCAAATAATTTACCAACAACGTTTATATCAGATTCAATATAAAATTTGGAACCATTAAAACTTGAGAAAAACCCTAGTACAAAGTATTCAGAAATAGTTTCAATAATGAATAATCTACCCTTTGGTATATTGTTTGTAGATTAATCCTTGCAAGTTTTAGATTTCAACTAAAGAGTAACCTAATTACTTGGTCTATCTAATCCTAATGATATAATTTCTTTCTTAGATTAGGCTATATAGAGGTATTACAAATTGATTATAAAAGCGGAGATTTTTGTGAATTTCGATCATCAAAAAAAGTAAGAAAACCTTAAAAATCACCCAGTAAAAGAACATTCCTAAAATAACCTTCAATTAGTCCATAAAAGAAATACTTAGATGAACATATTCCTGATGTATTGTCATAATATAACAATAATACATCATAATTTAAAGGAGACAGTGAAGGTAATATAGGAAAAAATTTGAAATCTGTTTTTTAGAATTTTAAAAAAATTCATTAAAGTTAAATGACATCATTGTCTCGAGACAATTTTTAATACATAATAAGAATGGATAATATGAATAAGTCTAGTGGTAAAATCAAATATAAGAGTTTGAAGTTAAAAATATTTTAATTAGAAGGTTTTGTATAATGGGAATCAGTGGTTTATTTATTCTTTTTAGAGAATATCACAAAAAGAGAAGAATATAAATTGTTAAATCATAAATATAAATTCTAATAGGCTTTGCTTAATTCTTTATGTCATGAGTTAAGAACTCCAATTAATGGAACAGTATCTTAATTATATGCTTTAAAGAATTAATTATCTTAGAGTTTGATTGAATCTCATTTAGATCCAGCAATAGTATCAGCAAAGAGATTACAATTTCAATTGAATGATATTCTAGATTATGCTTAAATATAATGTTCATCATTAACTTTAAATAAATCTTGTTTTAAATTGTAGGATGTCTATTAATAACTATATGAACTATTTAATTTTGAATGTGTCTAAAAAAACATAAAATTGATTATTGAATATGCAAATCATATCTCAATCTATACAGATAAGGAAAGATTAACTAGAATATTCATTAATTTATTAGATAATTCAGTTAAATTTACTAATTAGGGAGGGACTATTAAAATATCTACATAGACAAATCCTCATTATTATAAGTTATAAATAGAAGATGATGGATTAGGAATTTCAGAAGAGATAATATAAAAAATTGAGGAGTAGGCAGAATTATTATTTTAAGATTCTATACAATATAATTCTAATAAATTAGGTCTAGGTTTAAGAATTTCATAATAATTGGCAAAATATCTTTATAAGGATTAATTTTTTGAGATAGATTCTGTCTATGAATAGTATACAAGAGTAAGTTTTAGAGTATCAAATTAAATCCAGAATTGTTCAAAAGAATTTGAAATTGATAAACAATAAATCACTTAAATTTTCTAATGTGATTGTAGCAAAATATTAATTGTTGATGATATAGGTTGCAATCATTTTGCTTTATAAGTATTACTTAAGAAATTCAATTTAAAAACTGATAGTGCTTATAATGGAAATTCAGCGATTGATATGGTTAAATTAAAATTATAGAAATAATGTTGCAGAACTTATAGATTAATATTTATGGATATAGAAATGCCTGGAAAAAATGGGTTTTAAGCTTCTTAAGATGTAAGTAATTTTTATATGTAGATAAATTAATTATTGAAGGAACATCAGTTAAATGAAAGTTGTATAATTACAATGTATTCAGCTTATTCAGGTGATGAAGATGTGCTTATAGCAAATCAATGTGGTATGAAAGAGCGTATCTCTAAACCAACTGATATCCATAAATTAGAATATCTTGTTAAAAAATACATACTTTGAATGATATATATACGTATATATATTCTCTTAATAATTTATTTATAGTAATGCAAAATGAGACTAATAAAAGAGTTGCTTATTTTTATCATCCATAAATAGGAAGATATCATTATGGTAAGGAACATCCGATGAAACCTAAAAGAATTGCAATGGCGCATAATTTAATTGTGAATTATGGGTAATTATATATAAAGAAGTCTTAGACTATATAGAAATCTTGATGTGTATATGAACCGTTAGGCTTCATTAAAAGAGATGGAAAAATTTCATGAGCCAGAATATTTATAATATTTAAGCCAATTTACAAGTGTTAGAAGTTAAATTGTGAATGAGTATCAACACTATAACCAACAACCAAATATCACACATTTTACGAGTCACATTTACAACGAATTTGATTTGTTAGATTATAATATACCACACAGTCATGAGCCAATTGAGACAAATAATAATTATCCTCAACCAAATAGTTTTAGAGTGGGAGACTCAACAGACAACCCTAGCTTTCCGGGATTATATGATTTTTGTCAATTGTCAGCAGGAGGATCAATAGATGCTGCACATGTTTTAATTTCATAAGATGCAGAAATAGCAATAAATTATTCAGGAGGTTTGCATCATGCTAAAAAAAGAGAAGCGAGTGGGTTTTGTTATGTAAATGACATAGTAATAGCAATTTTGGAATTATTAAGAGTGCATTAGAGAGTACTTTATGTGGATATAGATGTTCATCATGGAGATGGAGTAGAAGAAGCATTTCTTTTGACAAATAGAGTAATGACTTGTTCATTTCATTAATATGGAGATGATTTTTTTCCAGGATCGGGTGATATTGATAGTTATGGAGAAGGATTAGGCAGATATCATGCTTTAAATATTCCATTAAAAATAGGTATGAATGATGAAACCTTTACAGAAATATTCTAGAAAATAATCACTTAAGTAATGGAAATATACAGACCAGAAGCAGTAGTTTTATAATGTGGAGCTGATTCTTTATGTCATGATAGATTAGGAGGATATAATTTATCAACAAAAGGTCATGGTGCATGTGTTGAATTTATGATTAAATACAATGTACCTATTTTAGTACTTGGGGGAGGAGGATATACAATATAAAATGTTGCTAGATGTTGGGCATATGAAACAGGATTATGTTTAAATAAAAAGATTGATGCTCCTATTCCAACATCTGAAATCTATTATGAATATTATGCACCAGATTATAAATTACATTTCCCAATTAAACAAAATGTAGAAAACAAAAATAAGAAAGAAGAACTATAAAGAATAGTTGAAAAAATATATGGTTATTTAAAATCTATTGAACCTGCTCCTGGAATATCTTTTCATGATTTACCTTAATCTTTTTATCCAGATATGAATGTTGAAGAAGGTAATATATACTAATAATACTTCTAGAAATTAATCCTGATTAACGTTATGAATAAACTCTAAATTAATTTGAGGGAGCACATTATGAAGAAGGAAGTGAAATCTTAGTAGATCCATCAAATGGATTCTCTATTCATAGAAGAGAATGATCAACTATATATATTTTAAACAATTTTTGATGATTCATTTCTTCAACAAAAGATTTACAAAATACATCTATTGAAATTTCATTCTCCTTTCCTTTTAAACTATTTAATATCAATTAAAATCTGTCTCTATTCCTTCATCTCCTATTTATTAAACTATACCCATTAATTCTTTTGTATCACAATAAATCCTGTATAGTTCTCATCAAATACTTTTACACTTCATACTATCTCCTATTTGATTAGTTTCTTATCTTTAAGCTGTATCAATAGATTAAAATAATCATCCTTGCTCAACTTTTTCTTTACTTATAAATCATTTATCGCTTTCTCTGATAATAAATAAATCTCCTGATGAATGGTAAATCTAATCATCTTTCTCTATTTATTTAACCTTAGTTCCAACTGATAAAACCTATCATATCTATTTCGTTATACAGAAATAACGATTCAAACTTTTATACTGTTTTAGAAGAATATATTTGTTTTAATTAAGTATTCATAATAATTAGTCAACTATCAACTTATTTTCTCTAATTCAAACTTTATAATCCTCTTTATTCTCATTCTCCTATATTATCAAACCTTTCTATTGATTTTCTGTCGATATGATTTTCTTATGACTTCTAGATGTTGGTCTTACATTTTGATCCATCATTTTACATACCTAATATATCAATTCCATCTCTGGCCCTAACATCTATATCAATTATGAATTCATTGTTTCTTTTTCACTTTTATTCTTGAAAATCTCATCATATGCCTATATCTCATCTATTTATTTTTTACACTATATATTTGTTAATAAACGTAATTATTTAGTGTTTATGGCAAAAAACTAGCTCTTTTTTTCTATCTCACTTATTATGGAACCTTTTCTTTTTTTGTTTATCTCTTCATCTTCATCATCATTTTAGCATAAATCAAAAATTCACCTTTTTTATCCTTTTCAGTTTTATGCTATGATTCTACCATATTTCTATCAATCTTCAAATCCTCATCTTCCAATGTAATTAGTTTCTTAGGAGTAAAATTAAACATAACTAACTGCTTTGGTGTTAATAGTACTTCCTTTAATTTATCTATTTCATTCAATCGAGACATTATTGAATATATATCTGACTAAGAAATTATCTATTCACTTAATATAATATATTATTTCTTACTATGCTTTATTCATTAATTTAACTTTTGGAACATCTTTAAATAAATAATTGCATGTTATATAATTCAAAAAAATCTATACATCTAATGATATAGGTTTCTTTTTTTGAAACATCTTTTGTAACTAATCTGAAAAATAATCTAAACCACATCCAAAATTTAATCTTATTGAAATTCTTTCTTTTTAAATATATTTCTATTCTTCTCGAAATGATTCAATACAATTAACAAATTAATCATTCTCAGTCATTATTCTTTAGTTTGAAGTTTATAACTTAGAATCAACTCCTAATCTTTCATTCTTCTATTAATCTGTCAAAATTTACAGATTATCAGTATAAATCTTTTTTTATTCAGAATCATCAATACTAAAATCATATATCCTATTCGACAATTCAACCATGTCTGCTATATTAATTAATTTACATACAATTAACTCTATTATAAATTGTCACTAATAAACCAATAAAAAACGTTACTATCTACAGTATTCCACCTATATTAGAAAGTAATTCATCTAATTTTTAATATTGTCTTAAAAATTTTGTTTTAAAAGGTTTTTTTCTTATCTGTAATTTGGCTAAAGAATTTTCAGTTATTTCTGTTGTATCTTATTAAACATCTGAAGAATCTAAAATATAAAATGTCCTTTCTTCAATCACACTTAAAATTTATTTCAAATTTTATGTACCTAATAGGTAAAAGACTTTCATCATTTTGGAACTCATACTTAGTAAAATAAATATTAGCAAACTTTGTAGAATTTAAATTGAAAGTAAAGGACAAGGAATCATCTAAAAATGGCTTAATGTAAGAATCTTTTGGCTTATAAGGGTTAATATTCTTAATTTAAATTTTAATCGATACTTAATTGACTGTATATAATCTTAATTTAAAACTAGAGTCAATAGGATCATTACATATTGGTTTCCATAAGTTTTGTGAGTTATTTTAGCATTATGTAATAGATATTTCAATAAAATCAAATTAATTGCCTAATAAATATGATATTTATTTATACTTGAGTATGTCCCTCCAATCAAGACATCTGTTGTTAGGCTATTATATAAATATATATATATACCTTGGACATAAAAAGTCTGACAGATGAAGTTATAAATATTACTAGGTAAAATTGATTTCGTAATTCGCAAAAATTTATGTGAAACGCTCTTAGGTACACGGAACTAATTCAATATCGAGAGTTTCTTTCTTCAAATCTCCTTGTGTGTTTCTAAAGTAAAGTCTTAGATGGGCATTAAGCATTACTTTTATTGCATTGTGATATTAAAATATGGTCTTTAAATAAAATTAAGCTATTCGATTTGAATGGCAAAAAGAAAGTCTGAGTCTTTAAATGAAATCGTATCAATGACATCTTCATACTCAGAAATAGAGACAACTTTCAATTATTCTTTTTGAAGGAAAGTAATAAAATTAGTTATGAAAATGAGAGACATTATACTCATAACACCTATTGAGGCACATCCTCCAAATATAGTTTTATAATTAGCTTGTCTATTAATTCTGAGAAACACTAGTTATCCAAAAATATCAAGTTTTGAAATGCCTAATATAGACAATAAATCTGTAACCAGCTGATACTGAATCCATGAGCTAAATTAATTTAGTTTAATATAAATATTTTAGATATTAAGGTAGATGAAAATAGAGAAGCTTTTGGATTTGTTTCCAAAACTTCTTGTTTATAAAGCAAAAATGGGATAAGATTCAAAAACTCATATAAAAATATCAAAGTTTTCAAAATAAGTAGTTTATAAGAACCCATCCACCTATTCTAAGAAAAATTATAATAAATTATATGTATCAATGATCAAAGACCTTGACTATAAATTCTTAAAAGATTAACATTTTATGAGTTTTTTTTAGAGATGCTACGACATTATTCTAAATTAATGCTATTAATTGAAAACATTTTATTTGAAATGGGAATTGCAATTAGAATCTAAAATTCAATAGATTTCCTCTTTTGTAATTCATGAAGTTAGAACTAAAATAATTGGAAAAATATTATTATTAGAAATAATTAGAGTAAAACATTGAATATAAGTAAAAATGGGAAATAAAAATTATTAAAATAGTCACATAAAGTTGATGAAAGGATTTTATTTCAATACTCATTGAATTATTTTATTAAAAACTCAAATCCTTTTTAGGACTATTTTTACTGGAGAATCAAATAAAAAATTGAACAACAAATAAAAAAATTTGTTATTTAGCTAAAAAAAATGTTACATACTTGGTTGTCAAATAAAAATAAAGGGTTATTTATTAGATTAGAGGATAAAGTTAATAAATAATATGGTTAATAGGCTTTTAATAGTTAATTAATTAAGAGGGGTATTCTGAACATAAAGATTTGTATTCTGAATAATAGAAAAATTCTTAATTAATTTTCAAGAGAATTGATAAAACGTTGATTTTTAATTTATATATAAGATACTAAAAATAATTTAAAATAAAGTTTTTAATAAAGATTCTAATGAATAGTTTTTCAATAAAATCTTAAGCATAACCATGTAATTTAAGTGGATTATAAAAACAAACATGTAATATAATAGATTTATATGATATGTTTAGATGAGATTAATTAATAATGATGAATAATAAATAAAATGATGAATAAAACCACGCAATTCAAATCACTATTTTAGAGTCCCTCAACTTCCTTTTGGGATGACTGTAAAGTGGAACACTTTAGTAATGTGAGTTTGGAAGGAATCTTTTAAGCTAAAATGGGAGAGTAAATAAGCAATGTATATGTAAAGGTGAAATACTCATACCTAATAATAATTTAGGAAGATGTACAAATTTATTTATGAAACAGAAATAATTTATAGCAAATATTGAAAATGCTATAATTTACATGATTAAAGATGGTTGTAATGATGTGGGAGTAAAAATACTAAAGGGAATAGTGTGGTTGGAACTTTATGGAGAAATTAAAGAATTATTTAATGTGTTAAAGAAGTAATGCATTTAAATAGACTTTGTATTAAAATATAAGGTAAAGAAATTGATGGCAAAAGGTACATTTGCAAATGTAAGTACTGATTTAATAAATTTTAGGTGTTTTTGGCAGAAAATATAAAGACAAATGAATCTTTTGCAATTAAGTGTTTTGATAAGAATCAAATATTGTAGAGTTCTAAAAATTTATAATCTCTTTAAAAGGAATTAAAGATACTAAGATTAATGAAACACAAATAAGTAATGACTTTAATTGAGACATTCGAGACAGTAAGTTATGTATTCGTAGTACAGGAACACTTGAAAGGAGGAGATTTGCATGATTATATATCAAAAGTAGGATAATTATCAGAGAGAAAGGTTCATTCTGTGATAACTCAATTAGTAAATGGACTATGTTTTATTCATTCTTAAGGAGTGATACACAGAGATATTAAACCAGAGAATATAATTTTAAGGAATTAAGATAATGTAGAAGATTTAGTTATTTGTGATTTTGGATTAGCAGATTTTTATAATTTCGATGGCAATTATTTATATAAACATTGTGGTACTCCAGGATATGCAGCTCCAGAAATTTTAATTGGTCTACCTTATGATTATAAAGTGGATATATACAGTTTAGGAGTAGTTTTTTATACTCTTATAACAGGAAGAAGACCATTTTAAGGAAAGAATACTGATTAAATCTTTTAATTAAATGAAAAAGGAGAGATTAACTTTCAGAATCTCCATCTTAAAGCTGAAGGATTAAATCTATTAAAAAAAATGCTAGAATTAAGACCAGAACATCGCTATTCGTTAGCAATGATCAAATAACATATCTGGTTAAAAAGAATAAATCTTAAAACACATTTAAGTTTACAAAATATCCATTTACCAGAAACTCTTAAACCAGGAGGTAGCATTACTCCAAGAATAATTATGACTAAAACTTATAATGTAAAGTAGGTTCTCAAAACTGAGCATAATTAAAGCACAGAAAGAAAACATTACTAGTAATTTGGAGGTAGATATAATATTTCTATTGGAAATTTCACAAATTTATAAAAAATCATATCTTGATTTTGTGCATTTTATTTTATTATCATCATATATTTCAATATCATAAATTCATTATCTTTTTGTATTAATAAAGAATTTATATTATTATTATCATAAAGTAAATAAAAATATCTTTGATTATGTAATTTATGCTTTATTATCTTGTATCTATATTTTATCAAATCAGAAAATCGGTACAATTAAATTATTTATCATATCAATCGCTTACTAACGAATCGATCAAGAATCTCTTAGAAAAAAAGAGCAACTTAAAGGATTACTATTAAAAATTAGAGAAAGTGAAAGTTTCATTAAAGGAAAAGTTGTGAAAATTGAATCTACAATCAATACATAAATACATAAAATTAAGTAAATAAAACATAATTCTAAAAAGATTTGATCACTCTAAAAAATTAATTTTTGGTTCAGTATCTATTCTTAAAAAAAATCCTTCAAGCTGATAAATAGCTATGGTATATCCCTTTGTTTATTCCAAAAATCCCTATTGCTTTTTTAAAAAGCTAAGGAAATAGATTTTTTTTTAATTTTCCTGTAAATTAAATCATTCATAAGATTTTCATAAGTAGTTGCAATAAAAATATTTCAAAAGCAAATTTTAGATCAATAATTTCTACTATAAAATAGTAAGAATGTAAAAATTCAATTTCTACACAATATACTTCCGATAATAGTTTTCTGTCGATCATTTTTTATATATATTGCACCATATTCATTGCTAATTTATACATTTTATTAGCCATTTAATTTGAAGCTGGTTTATTCCCTTTGTTTGCAAATTCAATTAATTAATCTTATGCTTTATCAAATTTTTTTGATCTCTTTTTTGAGATTCATCTAAATTTTCCAAGTAAGCCAAATAGTATTCATTATTTAATTATTAAGGTTCATAAATTCAATTCTGTAAGAATGAGATAAAAATAATTTTGTAATTTGTTCATTTTTAGGATTGTCTAATTAATATAAAGCCCGTATTTGTACAACTTATATTAATATAATTTTACTGAATATAATACTTATTCAACCTATGAAAATTAATAAGCTCATTCAATAACTGATTTTATATCAAAAGTTATTTTCTAGATTGCAACTTTTAATTCTACATTTTTAATTTAGGTATTCATAATTTGATCTGTAAATTTATAATAATCTACTCATTTCTTTATTGGAATGCAAATTGTTCAAAGAATCTTATAAACGTTTAGAATTAAAAATAATTATAAGAAGACTGAAAATATGCATTTATAGATATATAATCATTAAACACTATCTGATCTTTATGAGAATAACTTATCTACTAATTTATCTTAAGCTTTTTATTTTAAGAATTATTTAGAGTTTGTTTTGCTCATTATTTTATTATTAATTAGTCCATATGGATCATTTACTTTAATACTACGTTTTCTTTCTCCTTATGCAGATACTACACTACATCTTGAATTAGTCCTACTATCTCTTGTCATATTAATAGATTTCTCTTTTAAAGGTATTATTAGTTTGTATTACATAGAATTGGCACTCTAAGCATGCTTTAATTTGTTAGCATTATTGAATTAACTAATAATATTGATTATTTTTGAATATTCTTAAGTATTTGTCTATGTCAATTATTTTAAGCTTTTATTTGGTTATTTAAGAGACTGATTCATTTAATTACTATCTTGAGTTGTAGTAGTATGTGTGTTACGTCTTTAGGTGATATTTGAAGTTATTTTAATTGGTTGTTTGAGAAATCCTTTAAAGTCATCAAAATAATAAGAAGGCATCGAGATTTCTCTTTTTTTTATTTTTTATGGCATTTTCAAAGTTGCATTGTTCCCAATATCTGGATTAAAGAACTAAGCTGTTTGTTAAAATTGGGCAAAGCTTTAATCAATACAAGACATTCAAAAAAATGTGATTGTTAAAAATATAAATTACACATCTCAATTATACTATTAAGGCATTTAATATTGGAAATCTCCGAGTTTTTCTCTTCTTATATAACCAACATAAGGCATAACCTCTATCCAAACCTCAAAATTAACTGTTGCATTACGCAATTATTTATGAATATCTTTAAGAGGATATTCAGCTCTTTAATTTTTCAAGACAAGCTTATTTATAATTTAATAAATTACTTTAGATGAATTACTCCAAGTGCTAGGGTCATCTGGTCTTGAAATAATTTTATCATAAATTACACAATCTGATTAAAACTATTAATTTATAATAACACATTACTCCTTTCTCTTAATGTTCATGATGAACATTCACATACAAAAATAATTGTTTTAAATTCCAATTATATACAGGTTCGAAATCTAATTATATTACGTGTATCAAAAACCTGCTTCTAAAGAAAATTTAAATGTCACCTAATCCCAATCTGTTACACCACCATTGTAATAAGTAGCCTTATAATGATGACTAAAAGATATAATCATTTTATCTGCAATACAATTTATCTGCACTCAATATCTTTAAATCTACTGTTGGCTTTCCAGTCTTAAAAAAATATGCTGTACCCTAATTCAATAATGACAATACGACTTATCTAATAAGAGTAATATACCTAATGTCCAAGATGTAAAGAACACGATTTAATTAAAACGAGCTGTAATCGAATACATTATTTAATTATTTATCAATAAAAATCTCTTTATTTTCTAAAATTCTATATTGCCTATGATTCTACTTTCTTTTCTTTCTTTAATGTTACTTAAAAAGCCAGATCTTTTCTTATCTCAACTTTAAATGTTAAAGCTGTAATTTTTATTTATTTCAATGCTTCTCTCAAAATTCCATTTATCTTTAAAGTTATCAATTTCAGTTAAAATACTTTAGCTATCTTTTCATATCTTTTTTTAGGATTGAGATGTTTAAATACTACTCTTTTTAAATATTTCTATCTTTATTAATTTGCCATTTTCTTTTATACATAAACAACTCCCTTTATATGTTTTATTGATAATAATTATTAATGGTTTCTTTGAATTTACAGAATATTAACCATATTTGATAATCTCGACTTTATTCTAATTTATTACATAGCTACTCTCATTAAGTATCTTTAATATAATTACTTAAAATAATCCAATTTAAATGTACCAGCAATACATTGCTAATTAAACCTATTTATTTTTCTTGTTAATTTTAGCTTAAATTCTTATAAATAATATTTCTGCAAACTTTTTTTTAATTATTCTAATCCTTTTAAAAATGGATATAATTTTTTATAGTTATTCAGATACTCTTAAGTGCACTCATCAAATTTAGATTAAGTTGATACTGAATAACTAGTTGGTTTAAGTATGCTTTTCTTAAAATTAGAATTGTCTTTATTGATTAATGAAAAATTCTATTGTGGAAGTTCTTCATATTTTTTAATTCTATCTTCCTAAGGCCGAAATGTTGTATTTTAAATTAAAGTGCTTTGATAAATAAAATCTAAGATTCCAAGATTATAAGGTTAGTTCAAAGAAAAAGTTGGAAATTATTGTTAATCCTCATAGGATANTTAATGTTCATGATGAACATTCACATACAAAAATAATTGTTTTAAATTCCAATTATATACAGGTTCGAAATCTAATTATATTACGTGTATCAAAAACCTGCTTCTAAAGAAAATTTAAATGTCACCTAATCCCAATCTGTTACACCACCATTGTAATAAGTAGCCTTATAATGATGACTAAAAGATATAATCATTTTATCTGCAATACAATTTATCTGCACTCAATATCTTTAAATCTACTGTTGGCTTTCCAGTCTTAAAAAAATATGCTGTACCCTAATTCAATAATGACAATACGACTTATCTAATAAGAGTAATATACCTAATGTCCAAGATGTAAAGAACACGATTTAATTAAAACGAGCTGTAATCGAATACATTATTTAATTATTTATCAATAAAAATCTCTTTATTTTCTAAAATTCTATATTGCCTATGATTCTACTTTCTTTTCTTTCTTTAATGTTACTTAAAAAGCCAGATCTTTTCTTATCTCAACTTTAAATGTTAAAGCTGTAATTTTTATTTATTTCAATGCTTCTCTCAAAATTCCATTTATCTTTAAAGTTATCAATTTCAGTTAAAATACTTTAGCTATCTTTTCATATCTTTTTTTAGGATTGAGATGTTTAAATACTACTCTTTTTAAATATTTCTATCTTTATTAATTTGCCATTTTCTTTTATACATAAACAACTCCCTTTATATGTTTTATTGATAATAATTATTAATGGTTTCTTTGAATTTACAGAATATTAACCATATTTGATAATCTCGACTTTATTCTAATTTATTACATAGCTACTCTCATTAAGTATCTTTAATATAATTACTTAAAATAATCCAATTTAAATGTACCAGCAATACATTGCTAATTAAACCTATTTATTTTTCTTGTTAATTTTAGCTTAAATTCTTATAAATAATATTTCTGCAAACTTTTTTTTAATTATTCTAATCCTTTTAAAAATGGATATAATTTTTTATAGTTATTCAGATACTCTTAAGTGCACTCATCAAATTTAGATTAAGTTGATACTGAATAACTAGTTGGTTTAAGTATGCTTTTCTTAAAATTAGAATTGTCTTTATTGATTAATGAAAAATTCTATTGTGGAAGTTCTTCATATTTTTTAATTCTATCTTCCTAAGGCCGAAATGTTGTATTTTAAATTAAAGTGCTTTGATAAATAAAATCTAAGATTCCAAGATTATAAGGTTAGTTCAAAGAAAAAGTTGGAAATTATTGTTAATCCTCATAGGATATATATGTTTAGAGAATTTGTTATTAATAATACTCTTCGTCATCTGCAAATTTCTAAAGATCAGTATGCTAAGATTACATAGATTGATTGGCAAAGAAAGCGTTGATATTATTACTTTTAAATTAATCTCTTTCAAATTTACAGATATGTTTTAATATTATATCAGCAATAGATTGCTTAAATTTAGGTTACAGCAATTACTCACATAAACCTTTAATTTCTTCTTTATTTTCTATCAATAATTAATCAATTATCTTCAAAATTTTCTATGTATAATTTATTGATCTATTATTAAATATAGGAGTTAATTATTTATTGTTAAAATGTACAAAATATGCAATTAAAGGAAAACCATATGTTTGCATCTTAATTTGATATTCTTAAGTTAGTTATCTGTTTATTTTATCATTGTCAAGCTGTTATAAATTCATTAGAATACACATTAAAGAATAACCATAATTCAAATTAGCTGTGAAAGGATTCCCTGCTACAAATAAAAATTATAATGTTTATGGAACATGTTAGAATTCTTTAATGCTCTCAATTTAATTGTTTGATAAATTTAAATATTGCAAATTCGTAAATTATTCTAATCCATCTAATTTAACTATTCTGTTTCCTGTAAGATGTAATTTCGTTCTAATTTAATAACCAAAATCAGATACATATTTTTAAAAGTATTAGAATATCCAATTGTTTGTATCCCAAAATCGCTCAAAGTTATTGCATCTGATTTAATGTATTATTATTTCTAGTTGATAATTTCAGATAACATTTTAATTATTCTTAAATAAAAAGAATTTATAAAATCAAAAATGATGGTTAACTTTAGTAAAATTTAAGGAGAGATAAATTTATATCTATTACTTAAAACAAGCCTAAGTAAGTAAAATAAAATAATTATCAATATTTATTCTATATAATAAATATACAATTTTAATCAAAAGATATTAAAGAATGGAATTAAAATCTCATCATTAAGCTCAGTTAATATACCTAGAATTATATGAATTTTTACAATTGTCTTTGATAGAAAATTTTCTAATGATGAGAGTAAAATAAAATTCAAATTTTTTATAAAGCAAAATAATAGTATCCTGCTTAAAGTATCCATCAAAAACCAAATGAGTTTTATACTCAAAATCTCTGTAGGACGAAACTTAGATACACTTGCTATTAGTGTTCCCAAATATTATTATTAAGAATAGATGAAAAACATCAACTTAAGTTTTAATTTTGATTTCCATCACACAATTTTATATACTTAAATAACTCTAGTATTTTAAGGCTATCTTATTAATGTATTCATTTAAATTTATTTATTTCACTAATTTATTTGATGTATTTAATTTCCCAAGCAAATATTTTATGTTTATGAATTAAGACAGTTAAAAAAATTTTTTTTTTTTGTATTATTTATTGCTTTCAATAATATCGACTAAGTGTTTAAGCAATTTTAAAATTATTGTTTATTGAGATAATATGTCATTGTTGATTCCAACTAAATCTTCCTTTACTAAAAGTATTATTGGTTGATTTCCGAAAAAGAGTGAAAAATTAAAATTTAGTAATTTGTTTTCGTACTTAACAAGAATTTATTAATTGATAACATCTTGCTAATTTATTTTATTTTTATTAATTTATTAGTAAAAAAAGTCTTAAATTGGTTAATTATTGCATTTTGCGGAACGTATATATTAATAAAATGTATCAAAAGTTGTGGTTGATGGTAAAATAGTTTATAAAACCTTTTTTATTTTAAAAGCTTCTTCATCATAATGCAATAGGACAAATTATCTATTATTATTTAATATTTATTAAAATATTTTTTCCCATTTATTATCAATCAAAGTTAAAATAAACTATGATCTCTTTGCTTTATTAAAGTTATATAAGTAATACATCCACACTACATGTAGAGTTGTGGTTACTACCATAACATCTAAATTTTAAAAATCTCCGTAACGAAAGAAAAAATAAAATCTTATTCCCAAAGTTACAATTGTTCCAATAGCTGCCTCTGGAAATTCTCCCATTAAACTATTTAATATATTTGCAGTCACTTAATTTCCACCATTGTAATTTTATGAAATTGGATCAGTAAAAACATCGTATTAAAGAACATAAAGCGTAAAAATCATATTTATTGCTGACTATATAAACCTTAATTTTTAACTATTTTGAACTTTTACAATCAATATTATAAACAACATTGAGATATGTGGATATAAANACTCAAAATCTCTGTAGGACGAAACTTAGATACACTTGCTATTAGTGTTCCCAAATATTATTATTAAGAATAGATGAAAAACATCAACTTAAGTTTTAATTTTGATTTCCATCACACAATTTTATATACTTAAATAACTCTAGTATTTTAAGGCTATCTTATTAATGTATTCATTTAAATTTATTTATTTCACTAATTTATTTGATGTATTTAATTTCCCAAGCAAATATTTTATGTTTATGAATTAAGACAGTTAAAAAAATTTTTTTTTTTTGTATTATTTATTGCTTTCAATAATATCGACTAAGTGTTTAAGCAATTTTAAAATTATTGTTTATTGAGATAATATGTCATTGTTGATTCCAACTAAATCTTCCTTTACTAAAAGTATTATTGGTTGATTTCCGAAAAAGAGTGAAAAATTAAAATTTAGTAATTTGTTTTCGTACTTAACAAGAATTTATTAATTGATAACATCTTGCTAATTTATTTTATTTTTATTAATTTATTAGTAAAAAAAGTCTTAAATTGGTTAATTATTGCATTTTGCGGAACGTATATATTAATAAAATGTATCAAAAGTTGTGGTTGATGGTAAAATAGTTTATAAAACCTTTTTTATTTTAAAAGCTTCTTCATCATAATGCAATAGGACAAATTATCTATTATTATTTAATATTTATTAAAATATTTTTTCCCATTTATTATCAATCAAAGTTAAAATAAACTATGATCTCTTTGCTTTATTAAAGTTATATAAGTAATACATCCACACTACATGTAGAGTTGTGGTTACTACCATAACATCTAAATTTTAAAAATCTCCGTAACGAAAGAAAAAATAAAATCTTATTCCCAAAGTTACAATTGTTCCAATAGCTGCCTCTGGAAATTCTCCCATTAAACTATTTAATATATTTGCAGTCACTTAATTTCCACCATTGTAATTTTATGAAATTGGATCAGTAAAAACATCGTATTAAAGAACATAAAGCGTAAAAATCATATTTATTGCTGACTATATAAACCTTAATTTTTAACTATTTTGAACTTTTACAATCAATATTATAAACAACATTGAGATATGTGGATATAAATTGTCAATATTTCCCTAAGCAATCATCATAACAATTTTAAATATTAAAGAATATGAGAATAGCTTAAATTAAAAAATTCTTTGCTATATTTGATGATTTTATTGGTAGAGGTCTTCAATATTTTTGTTAAGAAAAAAGCATGAATATTTATTCATATTATTTTTATTAAATTCTTAATTTTTTATACTTCCCTTTTAGTACTTATGATGATACCTCATAGTTTAATTATTAACTTTATATTTCAATAACTGACAAAAATGCAATTTTTAAATTAGATAACTTCAGTTTGATTAAATATCAATCAACTAAAAAGTGTAAAATAAAAAATCTAAATTTATTTATTCAATATGATTTTTAACATCAATCTAGCTCAGTTCTACATTCTCTATAGAGTCTTGAAAATTAACAACGCAACTACATATTTCAGAATAATGATAGCTATTATTTATTTAATCTATATTTACTTGTAATTGCTTTGTATTTCAAACAACATTATTCTCAAAATCTAAAATCATTAGGAATTTTTAAATTCCTGTTAATAATGCCTCAGCTTTTGTTATCTATTATTTATTAATAAATGACTTGATTGATAAATTAATTTTTATAACCTAATTCTATTAGAATAGTTCTAAATACAAAAATAAAAATCCATACAAGATCAAAAGTATTTATATGGGAAATCTTCTATGTCAAAGTCTATGCCCTGAACAAGTCGATGGAAAAAAACTTGCAAGTTTATAGACCATTGATTAAACTAATAAAACAAGCGAAAATATATATTCTTCAAGAAATAACAATTCTCACTATACAAAAGGTAGAAAAGATCAAGTACTCGAATAACCAGTATAAATTTTGACAAAAACAAAGAGAGATAAAAAGTCATATGAAGATTAAGCTTCTTAAACAATATGTATAAAGAATATTAATGAATTGGAATAATAAATTAATGATAAGGATTATTTATTATTAATTGGTCCAACTGGAGTTGGAAAAAGTAAATTATTTAATTAAATGAAACTTGAATAAATTAACTCATAATTTCGAAATCGTTCTAAATCATTAGATGATATAAAAAATAGTGATATAAATAATGAAACAAAAATATTTAAAGAAGGTATTCTAGGTAATTAATATATTATTGTTGATACACCATCATTATAATTATAAGATGATATAGATACTAGAGAATTAATTATTAAACATTTTTAAGATTATATTTCGTCAAGAAAATATATTTCGAGCTTTGCAATTGTTTTGAACTTTGAACAAACTTATTTGATGAAAGCTAAGGCTTTGCAAGTTGTGAAATATTTCAGAAAATTTATCAAAATCATTTCAATTATTATTGTAAATATGGAATTAAGTGAAAATGAGGAAGAAGATTAATAACATTTAATAAATAGTTTTAAATTCCTTTAATACAATCAAATAATATTTATTAAAAAGCAGATGAATTAATAACAGATATTAGAATAGATAAAGAAAATTAATTTTATAAAAACAAAAATAGATTTTGAAGATACAATATTTGAAATGATTAAAATACAAGATCTTAAGCCTATAATGGACTCAACATAACAATGAATTTTATTGCTTTTATATTATTTTTATGTTATCAATTGTCAAAAATTTTATATTTTTACAAATAGAACTATTTTTTTTCTTTTGTTGTTTTTATTCGAAATTGTTTTTAAGGACTATATTTTGCTGAAATTTTATTAAATACAATATTTGTAGCTTGATTTTCTTTATTTCTATTAGCAAATTCTATTCAAAATTTCAATAATAAATTCAAAAAATTTAATAATAGAAAAATAATGGATCTGACTCTTTGTTTTCCATTTCTTATTTAAAATTAAATTAAATTCATTAAAACGATTGAAGTTAGACTACATCATTATAAAAATAAATTTCTTTTTGCATCGGTAGAAAAAAATTCATATCTTCAATAATTTTATTGCTTCTTAAGAATGTGAATATAGTTATTCAAGAATTAAATATTAACTGGAATTTGTGAAACATAACTACAAAATATCTTTTATTCCATTTTTTATGATAAGTAAATCATTTAAGTCCTCTAAAGATAAAAGATTTCATCTTCTTTAATTTTATATAAATTAAGACTATGTTTTACAATATGAGCCAAAGATAAAGATTCATTACTAAAATTTATCCTGATAAATCTTTTACTTTAGAAAACTTCAATCTCTTAAAAAGACTTTTTATCATTTTCTTCTGGTAAGCTTTTGTTTAAAAGATAAATACGATAGTTTCTATAATTTCAATCAACATAATTTTTTTATTAATTCTTTTAATAGAGATAATTATTATTCTTTGATTTTTAAGGTTTTGTATAAAATCTTCGTTTCCTTTTTTAATCAAATTGCTCCTTCATCAAAATTCTTTATTATTGTCTTCATAAAGTTGCTGCTATTATGAATAATATTAAAATCTTAGATAACCTGATAATCCTACAATCCAAAACACAATTATTATAATATTGTGCATTTTTTAATAACAATATTTTAACCTTAAAGGATATCAATTTAATTTTGAGTTGATTCTCCTCTAAATATTAATGAATGTGTAGCTTCAAATTTTTCAAAAATAATATATTTATCTTAAACAAAAAAACAGCAGAATATATCAGCATAATTCGAATTATTTTATATAATAAAAGAGCCAAAGAAGTAAAAAGTTGAATTTTTTATCATATTGATTTATATAAGATTTAAATTATCTAAAAGTAAATCAAAATTAATAGCAAAATAATTTAATAAAATGATCGACTAACTTAAAATTTATAAGGCTGAGCAAGAAAACCTCATAATTAACTCAGATAGAGATAATCAAGAGAGTTGGTTCGAAAGATTGTTTTATTTGAAAATATATACTTTGATGAAAGTTTGCATTAATAATATTTTAGAATGCTTAATCCCATCAATTAAATGAAGAAGAATTGGAAGAATATTTTATTCAATAATCATCACAATCTTTGCATGAAAATTTTTCTGAATTCTTAAAACAAAACAAACAATCAAGTTTAACCACAGTGCTATTAAAATTTTTTTTTAGTAAATTTATTGTAATTTTAAGAAAGGTTCTTAAAAATTTATTGTATTCAATTAATTTAATTGGGGAGCCAACTTTTAATGCCATTAATAATCCAATATGTACTAATTTATATTTCTAATGAAAATAAAAAAACTCAAAATGGCATAATTTTGATTTGTCTTATATTTGGAATAAGAATCATAGTATTACTATGTCAACCTCATTAGAAATTAATGCTTGTATAAGAAATATTTTATGAAAGACATTAATTGGATAAGATGCTATGGCAATTATTAGTATGTAGATAATGAACAAGTGCTTAAAGTTATCAACTTTAAGTAACACTTAACGTACTTAAGGAGAAATAACCAATTTAATTTAAGTTGATGCTCAAAAGATGTTATATGCTTCAAGTAATATATTGAATTTATCTATTATACCGATCTAAACTTGTAAATTTATTTGATATAATAGTAATTACTTTAATCTACATATATAGAGAGATTGGCTATACTGTTTTTGTTGGTATTACGATTATCATAATAACTTTTATTGTAAATCATTTTCTTGGAAAAAGTTTGCTTTTATCTTAAAAGGCTGTTTTAAAAAGTAAGGATGAAAGAATTAAATAAACTAATGAGGTTTTCTAATAAATTAAATTTATAAAAATCAATGCATACGAATAATTATTTTAAAGTAAAATAGAATAGTTGAGAGAATCAGAAAGAAAATGTATTAAAAAGAGACTGGATCATTTTTCTTTTAATGTATTTTTTGGTTGGCTTTCTCCTTAATTGATTTTAAGTTTGAGTTTTGGTGTATATGTTTATTTTGGAAATGAATTAACTCCAAGTAAAGTTTTTCCAATTATAAGTTTGCTTTTAATGTTGGCATCTAATTTATAAATATTACCAATTTCATATAATGCATTATAAGAAGCATTACTATCATTAAAACGAGTTTCAAGTTTTTTAGAAACAGATGAAATTATGAATAAATGCATAGAGTAGTTTGATTTAAGGGATCCAAATATTGCAATATAAATAGTAAATGGTAATTTTAATTGGAACAAAACTTAAATTGAGAAACAAAGTTTAAATATTTTAAAGAATATTCAATTAACAATAAAACCAGGTTAATTTGTATCTTTAATTGGTGATATTGGTAGTGGCAAATCTTCATTAATTTAAGCTCTAATAGGAGAAATGGTTTATGAAAATGAAGAATAATAATAACCTAATATTAAAATTTATGGAAATATTGCTTATGTAGGATAAAAGGCATGGATTTAAAATGGAAGTGTCAAAGATAATATTTTATTTGGAAAGTAATTCCATGAAATTTCTTATGAAAATGCTATTTATTATTCATGTTTAAATTAAGATTTAGAAGTGTTAATTGATGGAGATTCTACTATTATAGGAGAAAAAGGAATTAATTTATCTGGAGGTTAAAAAGCAAGAATAAGCTTAGCAAGAGCAATTTATAGTGATGCATCTATTTATTTATTAGATGATCCTTTAAGTGCTGTTGATATACATGTTGGCAATTTTATTATGAAAGAATGTTTTCTTAATTATTTGAAAGAAAAAACTAGGGTCTTATCTACTCATACTTTAAGCTTTTGTTAGTATACTGATCAAATTTATCTTTTACAAAATGGTGAAATTGTTGGCCAAGGTAATTATTAATAGATGAAATAGAATTAAAAGTTTTTAGAAATCGAATAAAAATTCAAAAGCGAAACAGAAGAAATTACTGATAATGATATTTAGAAAAAACAAAATACAGAAAGCATTTAATATATGAATACTTCTTCTGCAACCAAAAAATAGAAAGAATTTAAAATTGCAGAAGAATTAATTTTAAAAGAAGATCGATAATCTGGAGATATTGATTTATCTGTTTATCAGAAATATTTTGTATATAATGGCGGATTTAAAAATTATCTTCTTTTAATCATTATTATGTTAATGTGGATAATTGCATAATTATTCTCTAATCTCTGGATTGCACATTGGTCAGGAGATTTAACAAATATATATTACAATTAAAGAACTTACATAATTGTTTATTTATGTTTAGGTGTACTTTAATCATTACTAGCTTATGGAAGAGCAGCTTTAATTGCTAATTCTAGTGTCAAATCTACTACAATAATTCATAATTAAATCATTTAAAATTTACTTAATGCTCCTTAATGCGAATTTTTTGAAAGAGTACCTACTGGTAGAATTATGAATAGATTAACTAAAGATATTAATTGTTTAGATATAGAAATTAATATGAATTTAAGTTTTTTTTCTACAAAAATAAGTTAAATTGTTAGTTCGACACTTATTGCATTAATTGCTACTACTAATTTAATTATTTTACCATTAGCTCTTTTCTTTTATTTAAGTATTAAAATTTAAAGAAATTACATGAAGGCTAGTAGAGAATTATAAAGGTTAGATTTAATAAGCAAAAGTCCAATTCTAAGTTATTTTGTTGAATCATTATAAGGTTTATCAACTATCAGGGCTTATTAAAAGTTTTTTTTTTTTTTGAACAATTTTAGCCAAAAATTAGACAGGAATAGATAAATTATATTTGTTTAAACTTATGCTAGTTGTTGGTTTAATTAAATTTTAGGATTTTTAAGCTTAATTGTTAATATGTTTGCTATTATTTATTGCATAATTTTCTCTGATAATGCACCTTTTGCAGGATTAATTTTAACTTATGTATCAAGTTTGGATATTATTACATAACAAACAATTGAAACAATAGGATTAGTAGAAAATAATATGATATCTTTTGAAAGATGTTTAGATTTTACGAAAGTTCCTTAAGAAAATTAAAATTAAAAGGAAACAATTTAAAATTGGCCGAATTAAGGGATAATTGAGTTTAAAGATTTATTTGTAAAATATAGGTCGAATTTACCATTTGTCTTGTAGGAATTTTCATATAAAATTAATTAAAAAGAAAAAGTTGGGATTGTTGGTAGAACTGGAGCTGGAAAATCAACTATTACTCTAAGTTTATTAAGGATTTTAGAGGCTTTTGAAGGATAAATTTTAATTGATAGTATTGATATATCTTAAATATCTTTAAAATAGCTACGATCATCTATTACATCAATTTAATAAGATGCTGTAATTTTTTAAGGAACAATTAGATAAAACTTAGATCCTCTATAATAACATCAAGATAATGATATTATATAAGTTTTAAATGATTGTTGTTTAAATAAGCTTATAAATGAAAGAAATGGTTTAGATACAATAATAAACGAAAGTGGGGATAATTTAAGTGCTGGTGAAAAATAATTGATATGCATTGCTAGAGCCATTCTTAAAAAAGCTAAAATTATATTAATAGATGAAGCAACTGCAAACATAGATTTAGAAACTGAAGAAAAAATCCAAAAAGCAATATCAATTGCTTTTAAAGATTGCACTGTGATTACTATTGCACATCGTATAAATACTATTATGAAATGTGATAAGTAACAATATTATTTTATAAATATCTTCTTAGAATCCTTATCATTGATAATGGCCATTTAATTGAATCAGGGCCTTCAAAAGAATTGTTGAGCAATGAATCCTCTATTTTTTATAGTATATATTAAGAGGTAATGAAAGGTTAAAAAGTGATTATATGATGATTTAAGAATAATTTTGGGTTTAATTTTAATTAATAAACAACAAAAACTATCTACCTTAAATAAATATTAGAGTGAAAATATATAAAATCAAAATTTTGTTTGCATTTTATGTAATTTCTAAAAGTAATCTTTTATCTTCACTCTCTGTTAACTTTTCAAAAATCGTATCTGTTAAATCAATTTTTGTTTATTTAAATTTAATTTACTTGATCTAATTCATTATTTATTCTTACTTCATGTCCTTTGAATTAAAAAGTATTTAGTTAAAATTCATGAATTTGAAACTATTTTTTAAATGTTAATCCATCCTTTGTTAAATCTTGACTCAAATCCATATTAACAATAATTATTGAGATAATATCAATAAATTTTCTCATTTTCAAAACAATCTTAAAATTGTTTAATAATATTTTCTCTAGTATCTATATCATCTTCTAATTAAAATAAAGGAGTGTCAATAATAAAATTTCTCTTTATTATCTACTGAAAAATTTGTTATTATCTCCTTTGGCCCATCAAAGAATCCAAATTATTTAAAGAGAGCAGTTTTGCCTACTCCTGCAGTTCCAAATTCAATTTAATATTAATCCTTTGTTATTGACTCTTTTGATTATTTAGTCAATTAAACTAATTAATCTGTCAATGCAGGTATTTAATCTCTTGATTGTTTATCTTAATATTATTCTCTTCTTCATTTGTTATTTTAGCATTAGCATCTTTAAAATTTGAAGCAGTTTTATTTAATTTGAATTTTTTTAACAACAAATCCCCATTTACATATATTTAATTTTTAAACTTTTTTTTAGTATAAGCTTTTTAATCGAATTAGCTAATAGAAAAAATTCAAAATTCAATAAACAAAATTGCATTTATATATATTTTCTTCAAAAATACTATTCTTTGAAAAGAAATTTTCATTAGACTAAATGCAAATAAAAAATTCTAGTTTTCAAAATATTAAATATTTAGCATTTAATTATTTAACAATAAAATACTATTAATAAAATTCATTTTCTTGTTGAGTACATTATAGGCTTAAAAAGTTCAAGAAATCTAACTTCATCTTGTATTTTAATCATTTCAAATAATGTATCTTCAAAATCTATTTTTGTTTTTATAAAATTAATTTTCTTTATCTATTCTAATATCTGTTATTAATTCATCTGCTTTTTAATAAATATTATTTGATTGTATTAAATGAATTTAAAACTATTTATTAAATGTTATTAATCTTCTTCCTCATTTTCACTTAATTCCATATTTACAATAATAATTGAAATGATTTTGATAAATTTTCTTAAATATTTCACAACTTGCAAAGCCTTATTTTTCATCAAATCAGTTCTTTCAAAGTTCAAAACAATTGCAAGGCTCGAAATATATTTTCTTGACGAAATATAATCTTAAAAATGTTTAATAATTAATTCTCTAGTATCTATATCATCTTATAATTATAATGATGGTGTATCAACAATAATATATTAATTACCTAGAATACCTTCTTTAAATATTTTTGTTTCATTATTTATATCACTATTTTTTATATCATCTAATGATTTAGAACGATTTCGAAATTATGAGTTAATTTATTCAAGTTTCATTTAATTAAATAATTTACTTTTTCCAACTCCAGTTGGACCAATTAATAATAAATAATCCTTATCATTAATTTATTATTCCAATTCATTAATATTCTTTATACATATTGTTTAAGAAGGTTAATCTTCATATGACTTTTTATCTCTCTTTGTTTTTGTAATAATTTATACTGGTTATTCGAGTACTTGATTTTTTATACCTGTTTTATTATAGTGAGAATCGTTATTTATATTTTCGCTTGTTTTATTAGTTTAATCAGTGGTCTATAAACTTGTAATTATTTTTCCATCGTCTTTTTTAGGCCATATACATTCAAAAAGATTTCCCATATAAATACTTTTGATTTTGTATGGATTTTTATTTTTGTATTTAGAACTATTCTAATAGAATTAGGTTATAAAAATTAATTTATCAATCAAGTAATTTATTTATAAATAATACAAAAACAACAATAAATACGAATAATTTGACTGGATTTTGAATCATTTAGAAGAATTTAAAGGAAATAAAAAATTTGAAAAAAGTTAAAATTCATATTTCTCTAAATATATGTTTTGTATTAAGTTAATAGAAATAAACTTAATATTTAATAATACTTGACTGATTATGAAAGAATTGTAAGAGAACTGAAATAACACAATCAAGATTCAATAAATAAATTATGCATAAAATTAAAATAAATGCTTATAATTAGCTAATTTTACATTTAAAAACATTTGATATTAATGAAATAAATTTCAAAGAAATTAAATGATTAAATCTTTCTTATAATTAGTTATTACATTTTATTTATATTATCATCGTTTTCACGGCAATTTTTAAAGACCGTATCTTCAAAATCTATTTTTGTTTTTATAAACTTAATTTTCTTTATCTATTCTAATATCTGTTATTAATTCATCTGCTTTTTAATAAATATTATTTGATTGTATTAAATGAATTTAAAACTATTTATTAAATGTTATTAATCTTCTTCCTCATTTTCACTTAATTCCATATTTACAATAATAATTGAAATGATTTTGATAAATTTTCTTAAATATTTCACAACTTGCAAAGCCTTACTTTTCATCAAATCAGTTCTTTCAAAGTTCAAAACAATTGCAAGGCTCGAAATATATTTTCTTGACGAAATATAATCTTAAAAATGTTTAATAATTAATTCTCTAGTATCTATATCATCTTATAATTATAATGATGGTGTATCAACAATAATATATTAATTATCTAGAATACCTTCTTTAAATATTTTTGTTTCATTATTTATATCACTATTTTTTATATCATCTAATGATTTAGAACGATTTCGAAATTATGAGTTAATTTATTCAAGTTTCATTTAATTAAATAATTTACTTTTTCCAACTCCAGTTGGACCAATTAATAATAAATAATCCTTATCATTAATTTATTATTCCAAATCCAACTTATATATATTTTGACTAAGATCCATAACAATTTTTATTTCCCTTATTTTTTTCTCTTTTATGTAAAAAATTTATAAATGAAATCATTAACCAGTTTTTTCAAAACAAAAAATTAAATATATAATGTTTTTTAGAATTTAAGCCATTAGGTATTCTTATAAATTTTTTACCTCAAAAATTGTAATTTATTATTAGTGTAAATTGAGTTTAATCATGAGGTTTAATAATTTTAATTTTAGAATTCTTATCACAATCCTATTCGTGTAACAGTAGTAGCAAATTTAGCATTTTTTTTTTAAAGAATGGACTTATTTTTCACAATATTGTTTTATTATTTGATCATATATCAAATGTAAAAGAACATCTATAATGAAATAATGATTTTTTAGTGGCTACTCAATCTGAATAGCATTTAATATGTATAGTATTGATTTATTAGTTAAATAGACAATAAAAAAGTATATTGATAAATTAGCTAATATTTAAAAAATAGTATCGAGTCAAGTGGTTTAAAATTTTTATTAATATTTAAGTGTATATAATAAAAGGAACAAATGTTGATAAGATAAATAAAATATTAAATTTAATTTGATGGAATTATGATTAATTATTTATATTGTCAGATATTGTATTCACATTTAGTTTAAGGTAATTTGTGTTTTGTTATCCAAGGATGCTTTAACATTTATTCAATAGATAATCTTTTATTAGGATCAGATTGAAGACCCCCTTTAACAAAGAAAGTTAATTCAGATGAAAAAGTGTGAGGAATAGTTAAACGATGCTAAATAAAAGATAATTAAAGTAATTACTTTAAGGATGTTATCCATTATTCCTTTCTAATCTTTATTTCCTAACAGAACGAATGGAGTTTATCCATACACTAATTCATATGCAAGAACTGCTATTTGCCATGCATCCACCCTTGAATCATAACCCTTCATCTAAATTACTTCAGGTGCCATGAACTCAATTGTTCCACAAAAGGTTTCTCTTCTGTCTTGATTAGAACAAACACAACCAAAATCTCCAATTTTTATCTGATTAAATGATAACATGATATTCTCTGTCTTCAAATCTCGATGCATAACTTTGTTTTAATGCATATACTATATACATTGTAGTATTTAGTGTATATAATAAGATGCTTTGTTCTAAGTATTGAAGGCACATTTACTTCTGGGAACTTATATCCAGGTTATTTTCTTTGAACTTTGAACAGTTCACCTTCATTACAATATTCCATCAACAAGTACAAATTCAATTCATCAGAGTAGCAATTATACAACTTAACTATGTTTGGATGATTAAGTTTCATCTATACTTTGATTTCTTGGATCACTTATTTCTATAACTATTCATCTTATATCTTCTCTTTCTTTATCACTTTTAAAGCAAAGATTGTACCACTCAATTTATCACTTATGTTATATCTCATAGTACATGCACAAATGAACATCTGAAAATTGTCCCCTTCCTAACAATTTGCCGATTCTAAATTGTGGAATCCCTTCAAATGTTTGGAACCTCGATTTGGGAAACCAAGATTATACTGTTTTGTATGTTTATATTCTTGACATTGTCATACAATCTTACGGAGAAACCTTTTTTAGCATTGGTGATGCTATCCTACTAGTCATATTCACTAATGTTGGTGGCTTATGTAATTATTCGGCTGTAGATTTTGAAGATGTTGATTCTTTACTTCCTCCTCTTAATGTTTAATTAACTGAGTCACGCAATCTTAAAAGGTTTTATTCGAGAGTGACTGTTCTAGCTATCAGTCCATTCCATTTCGTCTAGGTTTCATGCATCTTTTAGGACATTGACATTTTCAGGTTACTTTATGTTTTTTCCTACTTCTTTGGCTCTGAATTACCCCTCACTTAAGTTGGTTTTTAGAGATAAAATGATTTCATTTAATTATTATACGATTATTCTCAATTTATATATAAACATTAAATATATTTTAGATTTACTAAAACATCCCATACTTACAACTCTTAAATAAATCATTTTTTCTAATTTATTTCTCATTTCACAAATAGAATTGAGTTCTGTTATTATATGTAAACATTAACTTTCTTATTTTGTATTTTAAGTCTCTCATTAATTTTATTAATTTATTCATAAATAAATATATTATAAAAAAAAAGAATATTATTAAATAAATTAAAGAATAAAAATCAACACATAATTATAACTAAATGTACATAAGTTTCATTTCGTACTAGAAACATCAATAATTATAAAAACTGAAGAAGTGTACATTTAAAAAAAAATAAAATTTGTATTGAATATATTATAAATTAATAGAAATTAAAAATCAATAAATGATTTTTAATTTTCAAATCATGCATCCAAAGATCTATTTTTCAAACACATTAATTAAATCAATTAATTTTAGGATTTTAGTATCATGAATTAAATTATACATCTACACAATTAAATAAAATATATCTTTCCCAAAAAATTATCCATTCTTATATTCTCCTTCTTAAGTAGTAAATTAGTCTAAAAATAATTATAAAAATCAAAATTGTTTACGTGATATTAGAATTAGGATTTAAAATAGGCCATTACCTTACCTTAATCTATCAAGAAGTTCGTCTTCATAAAATAATCCATTTTAATATACTTTCCTGCCTCTAAAAGTTTTAATATTAGAATACTTTGGATCTGTTAATTCCATAGAAATCAATTAAGAAAACTTCAAGTTTTTTTTAATTATTTTCTATTTTGGTTTATTTGAATCAATCACGAAATATTTTTATTTAATTCAAACCCAGTAGATTGATCATATAAAAAAATTTATTTTATTGATTAGTCTAACAAGTTTTGAGATTTAGGATATTGTTGATTGACTAAAAGATGATGCGAAGTCTTAAATTAATTGTTTATGAAAATTAATTTTTAAATAATTCATCATTTTTTAATTTATTAAAAAAGAAGATATGAATTAAGTTAAGATAAATAATAAAATTATATATATTGATAAATAATATCACTCTTCTACAAAGATGTCTTAATTTCCGAAGTCTAAATTACAATATTATCCAATTCCTTTTCCATAATTGAGACAATTGATTTTGATTTTATCGAGGACAGTGTCATCTTCTATGGTAGCAGGCATCTAAAATATAAAAAAATGAATGATACTTTGTATTATAATCCATTAACAATGGCTTTAAGAGTGCCTCTAAGAACTTTGCCACTTCTGGTTTTGGGTAATTTATCTACAATGATGGCACTTTAGAAGCAAGCTAATGGTCCAATATCGTGCCTAATCATAGAGATAAGTTGTTTTTCTAGAGTAGGTGGATGAACTTCAACATCTTATTTGATGACAATAAGTCCAACAGGTATTTCTCCTCTAAGATCATCAATTTTAGCAACAACAGCAGCTTCAACAATATCCTAATGTTTTAAGAGAACTTCTTCCATTGCAGCAGTACTTAATCTATGTCCTGCAGTATTGATAATATCATCAATTCTAGTCATGATATGAAGATATCCATCTTAATCAAAAAAGCCAGCATCGCCAGCAGTATAATATCCAGGTGTATCAGAAAGATACTTAAGAATAAATGCTTGATCATTATTGTAAAGAGTCTACATAAAACTTGGTGGCATGGGTAATTTGATACAAATTCTTCCCATTTATCCATTTGAAACTTCTTTGTTTTCATTATCCATAATTTTGATAACAAAGCCAGGAGATGGTTTTGTAGCACTTCCAGGTTTTGATGGGAATGTGTGAAGATCCATGAAATTACAAGATATAATCCATCCAGTTTCAGTTTACCAATAATGATCATTTATTAACACTCCTGTATTATTGTGTATCCAATTATAAGTGGGGATATCACATCTTTCACCAGCCATTGAAATGCTTTTCAAACTAGAAATGTTATATTTTCTTATCCAATCTCCATTAGGATCCTCTTTTCTCATTGCTCTTAAAGCCGTCGGAGCAGTGTAAAATCCAACAACTTTATGTTTTTCAATAATTCTCCAAATAGCACCTGGATCAGGAGTCTAAACAGGCTTTCCTTCATATAAAACAATAGAGCAGCCCTATAAAAGTGGACCATAAACTGTGAATGAATGTCCAGTAACCCATCCTATATCTGCCATAGAGAAGTAAACATCTCCTTTCTTTAACCCCAAAATATGTCTCATTGTCCACAATAATGCTACACAAGTACCTCCAGTATCCCTTTAGATACTATAATATTATTTTGATATGATTACCCTTTTGGTTATCCAGTAGTACCAGAAGTATAAAGAATATATAATGGATGAGTACTATCTACTTCAATGCAATCAACAGGATTTGCAAACTTCATTGCTGTGTAATAATCGAAGTCTCTGCCTATTACCATACTGCATTGTTTAGTTGGTCTTTATACTATTAAACAAATAGGTTAATGATCTGCTATCTAAATAGCCTCGTCCAACATCAATTTATAATCTACTACCTTGTTTACTTCTAAACCACAAGATGCCGTTATTATTAATGTTGGCTTACAGTCTTTTATTCTACCACTTAATTCTAACGCTGAAAATCCTCCAAAAACTACTGAATGTATTGCTCCTATTCTTGAACAAGCTAACATAGCAAATACTGCTTCAGGAATCATTGGCATGTAAATTATTACTCTATCTCCTTTTGATACTCCTTTTGGCTATTGATTATTAGTGTTTACCAAATTGACGATAAACACCGCTTAACCGAGAAACATTATCATGTAATTCTTTCAATGTGTATTTCAAGCTTCTATTTACCATATTACTTTCCCAATATAAAGCCACTTAATCTCCTCTTTCTTCTAAATGACGATCCAAAGCATTATAACAAAAATTTAATTTCCCATCTCTAAACCAATCATAAAAATATTCATCTCTCTTTCTCAATATTTCTTCAGGTTTTTTTATCCAATCAACAAATTAGCTTTGTTCACGCCTAACTTATTAATTTCTAACTTACCAATAATTTATCCTCTCTTCCTCATCGATTGCTCTACTTACTGCCAATTCATACTAATTTTACATTTTATTAAATTAATTAATGTTTTTTTTTTATAATAATTATTTGCTTTAAAGGTGTCAATTCAAAGAAATTTTAACAGAATCAATAAGAATATCAGAACTCATCAAAATATCCTTACAACAAACATGCTACTCAACCCATCCATCCTTATTAAGTATCTCTCATTAGGATACCAAGAGCTTCATCACCATTTTTCTTCATTTGTATATGTCTACTAACGACTTTTTGAATTATTATAATTTTAGATACAAAAAATGTTTTTCTCATTTATTCTATATCCATCTCAAGAAAGTATTGAATACAACAAAATTGTTTAATACCTATGTAATTTTATCATCTTTCAGAAGTTTACTCTAAAAAGATAACCAATCCTCTATATATAAATCTTATTTTGAATATATCATGCATTCTTACAAATTTATTTTCTTGGAATCAAAAACGATTTGATGTAAATACTTTATCTAATTAGGAACTTCTTATTATCAATATTATGTGGATATTAATTTATTATGATAATATCATTTGATGGATATTCACCTTTCAACTCCTTGCATAATTTTTTTTTTGGAAATATGCCCATTCATTACTATAATTGTTAAGTTAATAAAACATAATTGAAATCGATAATCTTCTGTATGTTTATTACAACCAAACCAATTCAAGAAATTCAAGAAATTTTTCATTCTTTTGCTAAATATAATAATAGTTTTCTAATAATGGATTAGCTTATAAGAATAAAATACGATATCATTTATAAAGATTATTCAATTAAAGAAGTTATTATTTATGAATTCAATTAATCAAATTTCAAATTACATAGTTTAGTGAAGTATCATAAAATATAACTTCCTTTTAGAATTACTAACACTATGAAGAGCTTCGAAATTTAAATAAGTAATAAACAAATCCAATCAATTATAATTGAAACATTAGCCATATTATTAAAATTTTAACTTTAAGTGATATAAAATTAAATAATCAATTTTTGAGTCTTTATATCACATTTCTTCTGACAGAATAAAATGAAGAAGGAATAGAAGGCCTAGTACTATTATAAGAATCTGAAAATTTGGTTTGTTCTTAATAGAGTTTCATCTTTAATTTTAATTTCATCGTTTCAAAATTAGTTTAATTATTATTCATAATTGTATTTCTAACATTTGCAGTGATTTGAGGAGGTGATTTAGTTAAGTTTCTTTTGATTTCTCTAGATTGTTTTTGTTTTTTTGTTGTCAGATTACTTCTAAGTCTTGAATGACGTTTAAAGCCAGCAAAAAGGCTTTGATTAAGTCCTTGAATAGGAGTTAATTTATCATCTTCAATCACTTCTAATTAAGATGTAGATGGTCTTGGCATCATCATCTGAATACTCTTTTGTATAGATTGATTTACATTAGAATTATCAAGAAAATCTATTGTAGCATACTATTATTGATTCATATAATTGGTGATATAATTAGTAAGTTTATTTTATTTTTTTGATTAAGATAGTGATGTAATCTTTTTCAAAATCATTCTTTAAGCAGCTGATTGATAAGGTTGATAATTTTTATTTTAGTTATGTTCTAGAGAAAGCATAAGTGTTTATTTTAATAGTGGTTTTTAATTACTAGGACTACATTTTGATTCTAATTTAGATTTTTAACTTTGATAAAATATTAAAGGTTTTGATTGGATAGATTTTGATTTATTAACTTCTTCGGATTTATTTTCATTTGCTTCTTCTTCCAATTCATCACCATCAGAAGAATCTGAATTTCCTTCTGTACAAGATAGATCCATCTTTTCTTCATCTATTTTTAATTCTTCAATTAATTTTTAAAATTTAGTGTTTTGAAATGATATTTAACAATTATCAACTTAACTTTTCTTTTTAAGAAGTGTATAATTTTTAGTAAATCTATTGGATCTTTTTATATCGTCATTTTTGGTATTATAAATTGAATCCATTTCACTCTAAATATCAATCATTTCAACCAGACTTTCTCCAATAATCCAACCCATTTTCAACCAATGTTTTGTAGTAAAATCAAATGTTTATGTTTAATTGTAATAATTACCATTAGATGTTTCTATAGTGAAACAATTTACTATATCATATAAATTAGCAAAAACTCCACGAGCTGTAGATTTTTTAGATTAACTAATTCTGAATATCGAAGAATAGAATCGAAACATTTCAGTTTTTTAACTAAGTAATTTTGGAAGTATACGACACTTATAATAATTATAATTCCAGAGAGCATATTCTGGACCATATATAAAAACATTCTTTTTGACTAGTTTAAATGTTATTCATACTAGAATGTCCATGTAAATCTATAAAGGCAATAAAATTATTTCCAAATTTTTTATATTATTCCTTAACTAGTTTCTTCATGGCTTAGACAGTAGGAAATAGAATTGCATCATTCTATTTAAATTTTCTATTTAAATCTTTTCCTTATAGACAAGTTCTATAATTGCCTAGTATAACTCCGTCAGGATTCATCATCGGTATTACTTTAATAACACATCTAGATTTATTATTGTTGATACTTCTCAAAAAGTTTTTAGGCTGATTAACTTTATAAATAATCCATTAAACCTTGTACAACCCATGAACCATTGGATTCTCCAGGATGAATACGTGCTTAAATAATTAAGCATTTCTTATTAGTACTTTTGCCTTTATGGAAGGTTAACATAGGTAATTAAATTCCTCCAATAGATTCAGAAAATATAGTATATTTTACATGATTACATTTTTTCTGTAAATCATTACAATAGTTTAATAATTAAGAATAGGTATATGGAACACAATAAGCAATTTTTATGAGTTCATTATCTTGATTGCAACCAAGACTAAAACTTAAACAATTATTATTATTTTATGATGTTTTATATTTAATATTATCTCCTTCTTATAACCATTCTTAAGTGTTTGACCTCCATATATAAGGTTTCATTCCTCTTTCATAAAGACTATGAGATTTTTTGAAGTTACAAATATTTAAATGTATTTTTTCTCCTTTTTTCATTCCAGTTAATTCAAAATAGTACCAAGATGTATGTCCTTAAGTATTAGAATCAACTCTCATGTATAAATCATACTCAAATTCTGAGACTTAAGTGACTAAATCTAGATTGCCACTCTCAAAAATGGAATTGAATGAAATTCTACTAAATCTCTAAGGGTTCATTCCTAGAAATGGAAATTAAGGTTTGGTTTTTATATTTTTGGTACGTTTAAATGGATAAGTGGAAATGTTAGAATATTATTTGTGCAGTTATATATTATTTTGAGGTCTAAATCCTACATAAATAAGTGAGTTGTTTTATAAAGCATCTGCAATAATTGAATCATTCAACTAAATATTAAAGTCAAGTGTAAGTAATTTAGTAGGATCTAATTTAGGTGCCCAACCAAGTAACATGTCATTTTCAAGACTAATAGTTTCATCGGTGAGAGCAATAGGTTTAGGAATTTGATTATGAAATGGTTATATGTTCAAATCTACATCCTAATTTAACATAAAGAATTATATATATATTTATATATAAAATATGGGGAACTGTCAAAATTGTTTGTAATAAGAATAATAGTAAGTGGAAATCTAATTAAACAATCATACTGAAGAGGAAATGTCATAACCTATTGAATAAATTCCACTATTAAATTTAGATGTGAAAACTTGGTAGAAAGATTCTTATAGTCTTTATGATTATGAGAACAGTAACTTTATTCACTCCTAATAAATCCCTATAAATGGTACTAGCTATCTTACTTGCAGAGCTAATAAAGTTTTAACTTATGAAGGGAGTTATTCTAGAAAAAAGTAAATTATGTTGTTATATTTAGTGATATCAATGATGAAACACTTCTCCTTCCACTTGAATATGAAAGTGATACATTCTAGATATTAAATTTACGTTTCAACAGAAGACTCTAAACTTAAGAACTCGTTGAAGACTACTAAAAAGAAGTATAAATTCTTAATTGACATTTATTTTAGGAAGGTGATAAACTTTTATCTGAAAACCAAACCATTCATGCTGATTTTCAAATGAGTTTCAATATTTAGAAATTACGAACTACCACTAATAGATAATTAGTCTGTGGAGTAGATTAAGGTCCTAAAATTTGGTTGGTCACCAGATCTATTTAAACTAACAGTATCAATGAAGGTTTGGTTCTAAAGGTTGGAGATGAGATTAAATTAGGAAGAGTTAAATTAATTATTAAAGAAATTCAATTGTAATGTGATCCTAACTAAAATTTATTGGATGAACCATCCATCTGTTCAGTCGAAGATAAAAATGAATTTACCAAATAATGTCGAATCTGCCTATCTACTGGAGAATCAACTACAAATCCATTAATTGATCCATGCAAATGCATTGGTAGTACTAAATATGTTCATATTAATTGTTTACTTAGATGGTACTCATTCTTATTCTATTTTATTTTAGGATTCAATAAAGTTCTCATTTTAATAGTAATGCTTATTGTACTAGATTTATATGGAAATCTTTAGAATGTGAAATCTGTAAATCAGTCTATCCTCCTATATTTGATAGAAATGGATAAAAATTCAATCTAATTGAATTAAGTAAACCAAAAGATAAACCATACATTATGATGGAATTTCATCAAAAAAGGCAACATGATAATCCTTAACCAAATGATAGTAATGGATTATACATAGTCAACTTTGGAACAAAAAAAGAACTTAAAATTGGCAGAAATCATGAAGTCGAAATAAGTATTGCTGATATTAGTGTAAGTAGAGAACATGCACATATCAAATTAGTTGATAATAAAATCATACTATCAGATAAAAAATCCAAATTTGGAACCTTAGTTCTATTACAAAAAAATATTACCCTCACACCTTAATTATCTGGACTTGAATTACAAATCAAACGTACTCTTGTTAAATTTAATAACAATTTAATAACCTAATCAAATCAAAAACTAAGAGACTTTGAATTATACTTAGGAAGAAATCAATGATAAATCTATTATTATTAATATGATTGTTGTTGTATTAAAATATGTATTTCTATTTAACCTTATAAATAATCTCAAAACCTTAAACATAAAAATTTCAACATATAAAATTAACTATGCTATATATGTTTCAAATCGATTTTTCCTTATAAAAATTAATGTTTTTATATAACCATATAAATTATTTTATTAAATGGTAAATATTAATAATGGTCAAAAAAAGAAAAATCAGAGAAAGAAAAACAATCAAAGAAGTTGGTAAAATTATTCTTATAATTCAATGATTTTATACTGTTTCTAAAAATTATTAAACTTTTATCATTTTTATAATTTATATTATGAGTTTTTAAAAATAAAATAATTTGAAAGAAAAATAAATAGCTTGATTTTTTTCTACCTTTTTCAAGAAAAAGTAAATATTTTTTTGAATGATTTTGAAAACTTAAAATTTATATTTCGAAGCAAAAATCATCGTTTTACTGTCCTATTTAACATGTTCAAAGTGAATATTAAATAGTAAAATAATTTTGAGTAAGTAAATTCTTTAGATAAATATTATTTTTTATCATGAAGTAGGATATCAAATTGGTTTTTATGAATTAATAATTAATGCCTATATTTTTTTATATAAAAATTATAAAATAAAAGGTTATTCAATTAATTAAAGCCCTTCAAAATAATAAAATTATCAACAAGAATGCTTAATATTATTTTCTATGATTTTATCTTATCCATCAATAATATATAATGGTATTTTAAATTTTAAATAACACTCCAAATTGAATTATTTATGAATAAAACAGAATTTCGCTTTAATCCATTTAATAAAGGGAAGAGTTAATCAATCTATTCGTCTCATTTATATCTTTTAAACATTATAAATGAAGAGTAATCATATTTAAATAATTAAGGACAATACCATTTAATTTGCCTTAAATTCTCTCTTTAAAATTGTAAAATTGTATAATTTAAAGAAAAGTTTAAATATTCATGACAATAATCATTTTAGGGTTAATTGAACCTAAACTTTGTGTCAGGAATTATTTTAACAAAGAAATTAGATTACATTGAAAACCAAAGAATTACTTATAAAAGTGTTTTACTGACCATAAAAAAACAATTACTTAAAAATCATGTTATTCATTTGATTTATATTTGGTGTATTTTAGTTTATTCAAACTGATTGCCTTTAAGTAAACTGACTTTAGAAATTTGGTAAAGAAGTAAAGAATACTTAAACAAAGGATTATATCTATAATAATTACTTATTAATTATCCACTAAATAATAAATAATCTTTAAAAAATTTAAAAATGGTTTAAATTTTTTTTTATAAAAACCTTGAAAACAATCAATTGTAGGTAAACTTTTACTTCATTAACTTAATCTATTCCATTAGAATAGATTTCACTAATTCGAATTATTTCTATTTTTCTTATTGAAGTTCCTGTTAGTAAACTTAAAGTTAAAAATTAACATCATTTGTATTTGTAAGCTCCTTCTTTTTGTTTTAAGGTTGAATAGTTTTTATTTTTTAACTCAGCATCTGGAATTCCTACTCTCTCTTTTACAATTTCTCCTATTTGATTACAGATTTAATAGAAGAAATTTCTTTAAGTAACTCTATTTGTTTTTCATAATCTATTATATGTGTGGTATATAAACCTTGATGTGAATTTTTAATGGACCCGAATTTACGAAACTTTTTTAAAATCACCTTTGCTGTTGCAAAATTGATTTTACTAAGAGCAGCTGCAGCTTTTATAGTTGAGTTGTGGCAAAGGACTAATTAGAGAAAGGTAATTTTCCTTTTAAACTTATCTAGTTGAGTATTTTATGACACTTATTATTGAAGATTAATTTTTCCTTTCTCTATCATTAATTAAACAAATATGAAATAATTATTTTAAACAAAAATTCAAGTAAGTTATCAACTCAAAATATAATAGTAAATTCAATTATATAGTTTGTACTCTATAATTCTTGATTAGGCATTTACTTTAGAAATAAATCAAAATTATTAATGAATATTTATAATTACTGGCTATAATTGAAAATATTGTTTTAGAACTAATGGACTGGAAAAGAAATAGATACAGTTTAATACCATGTATAATGATATATCCATATCAAAAATAGTTATTTATTTTTATATTAATTATCTTTGATATCCAACTAAATTATTTGTATAATCTATTGGAAAAAAAATTTTTGACTTATTTTTTTGAGTCTCAACCTAAAACTATGAATTTCAACTATCCCACTTGCTCAGAAAATTTTGATTATGGCTTATTTGAATCCATATACTTAAAAATTAACAAAATCAAAAAATTTTTCAGTTTGATTGAATTAAATTGTTTCTATTCACGAACAAAGGGAACTCTTACTAATTTGTTTTATAAATCCTTCTAATTTAAATCAACAACAAAATTATGCATCATGAAAATTAAATTCAATAATCAATCAGATGTCTTTTAATTGCAAGCTTAACTTTTTTTCAGTTGAGGATAAACTTTGAATTATTTCTTTTGGTTACTTTTAATTTCGAAGCCACGAAATTGTAATACTTTTTAAATTTTAGACAATGCCTATAAAATAATTTCTAAAATAAATAATTAAAAGAACTTTGATCTAACTTAATAGTAATTATTAAAAAAAAGCATTATTTCTTTTAGTATTAATTAACATATAATTATATAAAAAATCAAATATAAATGAAGGAATAGAAACATGACCCAAAAGTAGCGCTGAAAGTTCTAAATTTTTTCTTAAGAGGAAGAGGATAAGGAACTATAATTCCAGAACATTAAGCTATGACTCCAGAAGACATTAAATAAATCTTCCATCGAGCATTTATTAGATTAAGAGCAATCTATTTACTTAATAAATTATCTTAAGAAATAATCATGTATGGAACTTCATCTAATTTGTTTGATTTATCAACAAGAGATAGGTATCTATTGGATGATTATAAGACCTGCTTTATAAAAATACCTTTTTCCTCTTAATAAATCAACAGAACATAAAGATTAAAGTCCATACTTTCCTATAATTCATCCAGATTCTTATCTAAAATTGATATGGAATTTAATATTTACAGTCATAATTTTATACACTTCTTTAATATTACCATTTAGAAGTATTGGATTTGATTGATTATAGTTTCATTTTATGTTCACCATGAAGAATAATATTGGTAATAAATAGATATAGTTACAGATGTTTTATTTTGGATAGATTTATTGATAAATATGTTTAGTGGATTTTATGATGAAGAAGGAAGATTGGTGGTTGATTAAAAGATAGTAATTGTAAAATATTTGAAAGGATGGTTTTTTCTTGATTTAATTTCTTGTTTGCCTTTGACTTATATGATTGATTCATCAAATTCAAATGATGGTTAAGAGATAAAACTAGTAAAATTAGCAAAGTTGCCAAGACTTTATAAATTAACAGGATTAATGAAAATATAAAAATAATTTAGGATGACAAATAATGACATATTTTAATTTAATTATGGTATGACAAGATTAACATCATTATTTTTATCGGTAGTATTAGTAATTCATTTATCAAGTTGTGTTTGGCATTATGTTGCTGCATATAATGATTATGAAATTAATAGTTGGGTATATTAAAATAATTTATCAAATTCATCAATTCAAACTAAATATATAGCAGGAATGTATTATGCTTTTACTACTTTAACAACAGTAGGATATGGTGATATTCATGCTTATTCTCCATAAGAAAAAATATTTACAATAATTTTGATGATTTTGGGAGTATTATTTTATTCAACTATTATTGGGTTATTGTCATCGGTGTTATCTTAGATTGATTATAAAGCACATATTTTGAGTTAGAAAAAGGCAATAATGAGTGAATTTTGTGTAGAGAAGAAAATCTCTAGATAATTAAGAGATTGTTTAAAAGAAACTTTAGAATATAATTTTAGTAAGAATGGATTTGTTTGGGCAAATGATACTAAAATATTTTAGGATATTCCAATGAATTTAAGATATGAGATAATGATGTCTATGCATAATGGAGTTTTTGGACATTAAGCATTATTTTAGTTAGTTGAAGATAAAGCATTTGTTGTACATGTTGTACCATTATTAAAACCATTATTTATGTTAGAGAGCGAGTATATAAAAAATATTATTTAATTTTAGAGTCATTTGGGAAGAAAAATCTAATCCAGATGCAATATATTTAATAGATATTGGAAGAGTAAATTTTAAGACGAATTTTACTATTTAAGCTACTACTAATTAACTTAAATTATTTTCATTTAAATCTATGATTAGTGGTTCATATTTTGGTGAAATAGAAATCTTTTTTCATACTACAAGAGAATATATTGTTTAATGTGAATCTAATTGTGAATTTTATTATTTGACTTTATAAGCATTTGAAAATGAAATTTATGATGATTTTCCACATATGATGGATAAGATGAGAAAAATTGCAGAAGATAGAAGAAATAAAAATCTAGAAACTATTGATTAATTGTAAAAGTTTATTTTAGATGAAACTACAAAGCCAGAAACAAGAAGTAACCATTATATTTATTTATTATTTAGTATCAAAGAAAAAGAAAACTATTCTTTTAAGAGAATATTAGAATGATAGTCAAAGCAATCTTAATGATATAACAATTAGACAAAATACTAGTAAATAAAGTAGAAGTAAACACGAAGCAGCTTTACTTGAATTAAGGAAAAAAGATTAAAATTAAAAGCATGATCACTCAAAGACTATGTTTTAGTAAAGAAATCCTTTTACTTAAAAATAACATTAGAATCAAAAAAAATAAAAACTCTAAGAATTAGTTTAAATTGCAGAAGAAATTTCTGAACTTTTAGAAGAGTGATTTTTCATATTTTCTATTTTAAGATTTATCTTAATTAAGGTTCAATTTTATATAAATAATCTAATTTATTTGATGTTAACAATTATTATTTGATTTTAAATTCTTCAAAAATAAATTGATCTTTATTTAAGCTATATTAATTTATTTAACTAATTAATATTTCAATTAATTCATTTAACCGAATGATAAATCAACCAATATCTTATCTTAAATTTATTATTATATATGATTAATGAAGTAGCAAACTTTTTGTAGGTTTTTGAATTTACAAGTTGTTTTAAGACCTTCAGCATTTGCTTTAACCAATTCATTTAAATTGTATATATTTTCATAATTTATTTGGTAATCTGATTTATTCTATTGTAAGAGATTTAATCAAAATGAAATTTTAGTTCAGGTAATTAAACATTTTGAAAAGTAGAATAAATCATGTAGATAATCATTATTCAAGAAATAGTTAGGAATATGATTAAAATTTTGTGGATCTTATAAAATCCTCTCTTGAATAATTAAATGATTTGTTTGAAAGGTTTATCATAATGAATTGTAACTATAATCTAATGAAAATATAATATAGATTCATTTGATTAATGATTGAAATCAGGATTAAGAATGTATTAAAAATTGGTTTATATGAATATGAAATCTTTTACAAATGTATTTACAAAACCAATAATAGCCATTATCCATAATAATTTTATTTTAATTGATTTTATTTAATTCTATTTCTAAGATTCTATATTAAATGTTAAGTAGCTTTCTTCTTAAATACTAATTGAATTGTAACTTTTGTTTTTTATAATTTTTTCATTAATATAAAATTATTTTATAGAAATGAAAGTGAAAAAAGCAACTGATAGTGCTTAATGTATATCTTGAATCTTTATAAATAGATGAGAATGAATACCTTGCTTTTTAAGAAGATAAGTTGTAAGCTAAAATGAGAAAAAAATAAGTATGACATTAATTATAATTGAGGAACGAGAATTAGAATAATTGAGATTGTATGAATAATAAAAAGCAGAATAGGAAAGACGTAAATTTTCAATTCTAGAACAAACCAAATCAAAATAATAGTAAATAGAATAGGCTTTGAAGGAGAAGAAATTATTGGTAAAAAAGAGAATCATTATTGTATTAGATAGAATTAAAGAAGAAGGAAAAAGAGAAAGAAAAGATGCTCTAAATTTAAAAGATAGATTAGGAACGATTGAAAGAGTTAGCATAAAATGATTTATCAAAAGATTAAGTCATAGAGTAACTTAATGCTAATAAAAATAATAATAATAATTAAGAAGTAATCTTGACTGATAGAAATAAGAAATCTAATGTTAAAAAGTAAGAAAAAGAGATAAATATTAGAATAGCAGAAGGAATAGTCAAAACACAACAGGAGCAAACTCTAATTAAAAAAATACAATTAGATAAAAATTAAAAAGAATAGGAAGATATCTGGAAAGAATTAAATGATAAAAAAGAATTACTTATGGATGAATTGAAATAGGCAAAGAAAAAATAAATAAAAAAAATTAAATAGAAAAATGAAGAAGAAAAAAATGCATATTATTAAGAGAAACTATAAAAGATAAATTAACATTAAAAGAAATTAGATGACATTGAAGTTAATCAATAAATTAAATAGATAATTTTGGAATAGAAAAAGAAGGAGAAATTAGAAAAGTTGAAAAAGGTTATGGTATTAAATATTTCAATAAAATTAATTAGTAAAATTATAAAAAAATTATGTCTGAAAAAAGCGAAAAGGCATAATTAAAAGTTTAATAAGTGGAATAAAAAATAAATTTGATTTAAGAGAGAATGAAATAAGTAGAAGAAAAGATAGAATTATGTGAAAAAGAAAAAAATAATCATAGAAAAAATGTATTAACTATTACATAAGTAGATTAAATCAAGGAATGGTAATATTCTTAATAATAAAAATGAAACATTTTAAGAGAAATTAAGATTAAAAGAAGAAGATCACGAAAGATCATTAACTGAAAATTAATCATTATCAAAATTAAAATAAGAGTTAGAAAGATAGAAAAAAGAAGAATAAATTAAAGAACATAAAAAAAAGGCTGCAGAAATGTTTTAAGAAATTGTAGAAACAAAAAATAAAAAATTATAAGATAAACTAGAAAAGGCATAGCAATTTAAAGATGATAAAGAAAAATTGTTTTAATAATAATAACAGTTATCTAAGGATATTGAACGCTAAAAAAAATAATTATTACTAAAAAGTCCTAAAAAAGTAGTAGATTAATGAATTATAATATTAGTTATATATTAAATTGTATAAATATAAAAATTAATGTAGTAATAATAATAGCAATAATAACCAAGACCCAGAACAAAGGAAAGATATGTTTGCGAAGCTATGAATTTAGTTAAATTGTGGAGGTTTCAAATTTTATTAAGTTTTTTTAGAGAAGTTTATTAAACTGAGACTAAAGTAGTAGATGGAAGAACAGTAAGGATTACATTGGATCAAGCAGCAGAATTAGTTGGATGTCCAAGAAAGACTTTGGAAGATTATTATTATTTATTGAAGAAGGCTTAAAATTTAGGTATTTTTGAATTCAATCATTTTTAGTTAATTTAGAAGAGAAAAAAAATGAAAAAATGGGTTTTATTAGAAAGTTATGTCGGGATAATAAAAAATAACAATAATTATTAAAGTAGGAAGAATTTTATCAAATAAATTAATATTAATTAGGTGATATTCATGATGACTGATATTAATATGAAATTATTATAATAGTTTATTTCTTTTAAAGTCAATTATAATTATTAATATTTTGATTCTTAAATTAATAAAATATTTTGTTAAGAAATACCGTTTGAGGGTTTTAGGTTTTTAGAAACTAAAATAAACTATAAATAACAATCTATAAATGGTATGAGTGAGTTTTATGCAATTAGAATTATAAAATATTGATGAGAATATTAAATTCTAAAGTTTGTTCATCAATCATCAAACTTCATAATAGATATGTTAATTTATGAATTTGATTTTAACCTTGATTTAAGTGATTCCTATAATCAATATTACCTTAGATTAAATTAATCAAATCCAAATAATATTCCATAATCTACTTAACTGATATTAAAAATACCAAGTTCTAACTTGATAATTAAGTCATTAAATTCCAAAAAGTAATCAGTATTGTTTTCTTAAAAGTGATTTTTTCTACTTTAGAATATCAACATCAAAATCATACACTAAATATGTTCAAATATAATAGCAAGATTAAAAAGAATCAAGGGAATCCAAAAATATTTAGTGATTAAAAATATGAGAGAATCTTTCTTGATAATTTATCAAGATCAAATAACTCTATAAATTTTATTGATAATTATGATAACTTTTTGAGTGGGAAATTCTTCCTCATAATGAAAAAATAGTTAAATATACTTTGAAAAGATAAAAAAATATTTTCCAGGCTATAAAAGTTAAATTATATCATTTCGAATAAGTTAAATTTTCTCTAGATGATTTCTTTTTAGATACAATTTATCTCTTATAATTAGTACAGAATCCTTAAGACAAACTTGAAAATCCTATCAATTTCATCTTTAATTCAATAAAAATAATTATTGAATCAATATGTTGGATAATATCTATATTAAATAAATTGAATGAATAGAGTTTAAAGATATTGATTTTAACATCCTTGCAACTTAAATTTAAAGAAAATTAATAAATTCTTTAAAATTAAAGAAGATAGAAGTCAATAGATGATTTTAATAATTAGCTGTTTTAATAAATAAAAGTCATTAATTTTTCAGTTACATTAAAAATAGATTTTAATAAATCAGTTAAGAGAGTAAGATAATTTAGAATAGACATTATAAAAATTTTAACATTAAACTGTTTTGAAATTAGTTATATTAGGAAAATTTATCAATAGATATAATAATTTGTTTTTAATATGATTAAATAAAATATATATTTATATATATATCATTGTTATACACACTCTAAATCACCTTCTTTAGGTTTCTTTTTGTTAAATTTATCAAATTCTTATCTAATTTAATATTCCCTTTCAAGTATTTGATCTGGTTTTGGGTACTAATTATTAAATTAAATAATTTACAGAAACAATTAAAGTATTATTCTTGTATACATGAGTTACCTTTCCTTATTCAAGTTTAAGATTTGCTCTTCTCATATCAGGAATAGAGAATCTTTTATAATATTTTTTATTTGTTGTTCTAATAACAATTTCTTAAGTTTTTTCATCTACTTCCATTTAATAAACATCTTCTGGATAAGTAAGATTACGAACTCTATATTAGAAATGTTATGGAGTGTCTTTTCTAACAAAAATAGGCTGTTATAATTTGAAATGGTTACATTTGTATTTGATAATTTCAATTCACTTTATTGATCAATTGGTGCTTCTCCAACTTCATAAACCCATTATGATTCTTTAATATTAGATACTCTTTTCCACTTTCTAGCTATTTTTTACTTAATATTACAAAATTTACTTATTAATTCATGATTATTGATATCATATTCTTCAACAAGTTCACTTTTGTCTTCAAATGTATAATTCACTCTTCTTCTTCCACCTGCAATTACAGCTGAAATATGCGGTTTACCAACAAATTAGAGATATTGATTATTTTGAGATTGCATCTCTATAAAATAATTTATAATGAATAAAAGAAAATTTCTAGATTAAAAATGAATAAATATAAATTAACTATAAGTAAATGCTCTACCTCAACAGCCAATATAAATTTATATATATCAAATATCAAGTTATTTTATTTTATTTCTGATTTCAATATAGTGTCCGAAAGTCAATCTCACAGGTTTACCATCAGCAATTTATTCTATTTTCGAATCTACAGCAAATCCATAATGATCTTCGAAACATTCTTAAATGAGAGATGCCAATTAAAAGTAAGTTATCAAATAATCTAACAATATTACACCTCCTTCAATATCTATTGGTAATAATTATTGAGCATCTTAGAAGGTGATCTTCTATTCGAGTTAACATTCTATTTCTTTTATAGCACTTCTAAGAATAGAGTTGAGAATTATGTAAAATGATTCATATTCAGTAAAATTATCATCAAATACAGCATCAAACTTTTTATCGACTATTAATAATTGTTTTTATTCTGGATTTTACAAGGATAACCAGACAGTGTTAAATTATAACGTATATTTTTGATTATATTAATTAATAGCAGCACTCAATTTTCCAAATTAAGGATTCTAGATGTATTATTAGAATTTATCTAAGTTAAGAGTATTTTAGCCATCAATTAATTCTTTAAGGTTATTCATTTTAATCATGATATTTTTATTAACCAAAAACAATAACTTTTCTCTCAAATACGGAGTAGTAACAAATCTATATTTATCAATCAAAGCTGCTACTCTGTATAAATATCTACAAAAGTTCATTTAAGCTACTAAAATATAGTCATTTTTTTTATTATCATTCCATTCTTCTTCTCTTTAACTAGAATATTCTTGATTCATAGATTGGTTTACCTAAGATTCTTTTTTTGATTCTGGTGCTCTTTTAATTGATTTTAAAGGTTATTACTAAATAGATGTATGATGTTATTTAGAAATGGAAGCAGTATTTTCTTTTCCATAATTACTTTCTCTAGGTTACATTTAGATTAATTATTTATTTTATGCTTCCCCTAAAGGAGATGTTGTATTTAAACAAGCATTGCTATGAATATTATGAAATTATAATTAATTTGGTTGACAACCATGACTACCTCTAAACATACTTGAGAAACCATTTCCTTTAATAACTTATAATTCTTATTTTTATAACCATTGATGTCTTTCTAATTCTTCAACTGTAGCTCTTCTATTATCATCTACAATTAAACATCTCTAAATAAAGTCTCTGCATTCATCAGATAAATGTCCTGGAAAATATACAGGCACTGTTGCCATCTTTTAAGCTAATTCTCTTTCACTTCCAGCTTACCATGGAACTTAGCCAAATAACAATTCAAATAAACTTACACCTAATGCCCATATATCAGATTTCTCAGAATATCTATTTTTAAATGCCTATGGACTCATATATAATGGTGATCCTACATTTACATTTGGCATTGTCGATACTGTCTATGGAGTTGTTGCAAATCCAAAATCTGCTATTTTTGGAACTTATCCTTTTAATAATATATTTGCTGGTTTCAAATCTCTATGTACAATACCTATACTATATAAATTTATATTTACCCTTTTATTTCATCTATTTATACCCTTATATTATTCCTTAAAATAATTTTTATAATTATCCTTCCTTCTATGCTCCTTATTTACTTATTAGACATCCCAAATCACCTGAATCGCAGAATTCAGTTATTAGATAAGTATTATTCTCAGTGTAATAAACTTTATATAATCTCATAATATTATTAGAGTTTAATTAAGATAATGCTTCCACTTCTGATGTCAAAAGTTAGTAATGCAATGGTGTCTTAAGTCCCTTTTTATCAATAACTTTTATAGCAACAGTCTCATTTGTTTCATCATTTCTACCCCGATACACTATTGAACTGAAACCCTTTCCAATTGCATCTGTTAGTGCATAACTAAAGTTTTCAATAACTTTTCTTGCATTACTCGGAAGCGGTGTCATCGGCATTTATCTTTATTGCTGTTAGACCAACATTCTATTTTTTATTTTTTAATTTTTTAATTTCAACGGTAATATATTAAACTCTTATAAATATTAAATTTCTATAAGTCATCTCAAATTATTTATGTAAAATCTTATATATCCACTTTCTTAATAACATATGACTATTATTTTTTTTTTATTTCTCATTTCTAATCTTCAGAATCCATCCGTTGAAACTAATATCCATTATTTTATACATTCCACTTCATCATTTTTTGATGATATTAATGATCTAAACCAAATCTTATTTTTAACCATACATTATTCTTTATTTCACCTTCCTCAACGATTTTTTCATAAATAATCAACCTTATTTATCCAGATCTTATAAATTAATTTAATCAGAATGCAATTATCACATCTCATATTTTTACGATTAATAATATTATTACTTTCACATTCTTGATTTTATTATCATCATTCTCATTCTTGTCTATTTCTTGTCATTCATTTTAGCGTTTTTACCAAAGATTTATTATAAATAATTTGTGTAATCAACATGAGTTCTATAGATGTAGAAATATTCTATCATGTTTAGAAATTTATTTATGCATAAACTCTAAATTCTATCTTATGCCCCTTAATAATAGAATTCTAATATATAAATAAGTAACTTAATATTTTTGTAATTTAACCACAAACTTCACTTCCTCTTAAAAAAACTTAGCCACAACTCTGTAGTTTTCTTAAGGAAATAACATTCTAACATTCTTATACGTTGACATTAATTTAAAGCACTCCATTGTTGAATTTCTCTTCTAATACTCTGTAGAAATAAAATAAACTCAGTAGATTCAAATAAGAGAAAAATTACAAAAATTCGGATTCCTCGAATAGTCTATTAGTTTTAACCAAAACTGTAACATTAGCATAAACTATTGAAAAGTGTTTAATATGCAGTCATAATTACTGCCTTAATTTCTAAGATACTAAAATATATTAACATCTAATTTTAATAATGCTCTGCTTATTCAAACAGATTATTTTAATTGTGTTGATTCTAAATAAAAAAGTGAATTATAAACAATAAAAATCATTTTCAAGAAAATTGATAAAGAATTCTTAAATCATTCTTATCATTTTCGATAATTCAACTGATTTGTCTAAAATTGACTTGAGTGTTAAAATGAGGATGTTTTAGGGGAGTTATTATAATTTTGGAAATAAAATAATGACACTATTCTCATTTATGAAATAATAAACTTAATCTTACTTTAAAAGAAAAAAGTAATTAATAATAGTAGGATTCATTATAAAAGGATTCATATTGATTGGTTACAATAAATTGAAGTCGCTTCTTTACTTTTGAGTAGTAACATTAAATAATATCACTCAAATGAATAAATATATAAAATAATGTAAGTGTATAAAGAACTCTAAAATTTAATATACATGAAAAAATATTAGTGAAAATAAGAAAATTAGATTAAATTAAATCTATAAGGGATAGAAATTAAATTATTAGAGGTTAAGATAGATTAGAAAAGAATTGTAATAGATGAATGGTTTGTATAAAAAGGAATAGTACGAATTATAATAATTATAATAATTATAATGATTTTTAATAAATATTATAAAATTGATACATATAAATGATATGGAGATTATATGATTTGTAAATAATTAAAAAATGCTATAAAAACTTTGTAAACTAAGAGGAAGATTTTCTTTGTTAAATTATAACTTCATAGCAAATTTGTCACCTGAAGTAGAGGAGTTAAGGGGTCATGTAGCAAAATTTGCAAATGAAGAGGTAGCTCCTTTAGCAGATAAGGCTGATGAAGAAGGTAAATTTCCTCCTGAATTATGGAGAAAGATGGGAGATTTAGGATTGTTAGGTGCTACAGTTGATCGTAAGAATTATAATATTAATATTATAGCTAGTTTTGGTGGATCTGGTTTAAGTTATTCCGCTCATTGTATGATTTTAGAAGAGATAAGTAGAGCATCAGGAGGAATAGGTTTAAGTTATTCAGCTCATAGTGCATTGATAGTAGCTTAACTTGAGAGACATGGAAATGAATTTTAGAAAAAGAAATATCTTCCAAAATTATGTTCTGGAGAATGGGTTGGATCTTTAGCAATGAGTGAACCTAATGCTGGATCAGATGTAGTATCAATGAAATCAAGAGCATAAAAAGTAGGAGATAAATATATTTTGAATGGAAGTAAGATGTGGATTACAAATGGTCCAATTTCTGATATTCTTATAGTTTATGCAAAAACAGAACCAGAAAAAAAATAACATGGAATTACTGCATTTATTGTTGAAGCTTCAATGAAAGGATTTTCTAGAGGAAAGAAATTAGATAAAATCGGAATGAAATGTTCTGATACAGGACCTATATATTTTGATAATGTTGAGATTCCAGAAGAAAATGTATTAGGTGAAGTTAATTAAGGAGTCTATGTTTTAATGAGTGGTCTAGATTATGAAAGATTAGTGTTAGCAGCAGGTCCTGTAGGATTGATGTAAGCTGCTTTTGACATTTCAAGAGATTATTGTAACACAAGAGAATAATTTGGTAAAAAGATTGGTTAATTTTAAATGATGTAATCAAAATTAGCAGAGATGTACACAACTCTTCAAGCTAGTAGGGCTATGTTATATAGTGTTGCTAGAGCTGTAGATTAAGGAAATATTACAAATACTGTAGATATTTATTTATATCATAGGATTGTGCTGCTTTGATTTATTATACTTCTGCAAATGCTACTCAAGTTGGTTTGGAAGCAATCTAATGTTTAGGAGGCAATGGATATACTAAAGAATATCCTGTTGGAAGAATTATGCTTGATTCTAAACTTTATGAAATTGCTGCTGGAACTAATGAAATTAGAAAATGGCTTATTGGAAGATAATTAACATAATGAATTTCATATTTCAGTATTAACATATTTATAAATTAATATGTTTTATGGCATATAATTATCTAAATCTCATACATAAAACTATTTACAACATAGAAGATTACAATTAATTTATTTTATCATATGCAATCTTTATTAAAGGAACCTACCTTTATGCAATTATGAATAGAATTGTAATAGTCTCATTGAATCAAGTATCATTATATTGTTCCATATAATCTTTCTAAAAGCAATCTTATAATTAAAATCACACTGTTGGTCTATGTAGATATTACATGCTATTTTATTTATTTAATTAAGATGCTAATTTATAATCAGTTGCCTGATTTTATTACAATAAAATAATTAAAATCAATTCGGAAAGATGTATTATTTTATAAGAGAGTTATTCAATAATATATATATTGAGAATTTTAATTGTATTTTTACTATAGTAAATTGAAATATATTCATATTTTTTGAATGTTTTCTAAAAAATTGAAAAATTTATCCATTTATGAGGGAATTTATGGAGAAGGATTAGTTGATATAGACTTAATTGTCCTACAACTATTATGATTTTTGCCAAATGAAGTTGGTTTGTGATCAATATCATTTTTAGATTCTAAATAATGAGAGTTTACCATCTTTTTATTTGGAGTGGAACTAATTATAATATTATTAAATATTACTATTGATTATTATGAACTACTTTTAAAGTAATATTTTTTTATTTAACTTTTAATTTAAGTTATTCATTTTCGTAATGATTAAAAATATTGTGTAATTTCATATTAAATTTCATCCATTTGCATAAATAGATTTATTCAATACTAGGTCTTAATTATGAATTCTTGATCAATAAAGCCTAAATTAAATTAATTAGTTCTTCATTTGTATCATTTCTACTAGGTATTATCAATTAGTCATATAATATTTATCTTATCAATTAGTCTTGATTATCTCCTTTGAAAGGGAACCTGCCATACAATAATACCTTTGATATAACAATTAAATACATATAAAAGAATTCCTAACGACCAAGTATCCAACTTGAAATCAAGGCAACATTTCGATACAACTTCTGGAGGCATATAATCAGTAGTACCACACATTACATTAGGAACTGGTAGTTGTTCAACTTTGACAGCCCAACCAAAATCACACAATTTTAAAGTACCATCTTCATGAATTAGAATATTTTCAAACTTGTATATACATATGATATAATTACTTTCAAATCTCTATGAATGATGTTATTTTGATGTAAATAATTGACACCACTAAGAATTTAGTGGAATACTTGAAACACATCATCATCATTAAAGGGAGTTTTTGGATCTACAAGATGTCCTTTACTGCAGTATTCAAGAAGAATATAAATGTTAGTACAATCTTCCCAATAAGAATAGAGTTTCACTATGTTTTTATGATTGCAAGAAGCTTGAATTCTTATTTCATTTTATATCATAGAACTGGCATCATATTTTGATATATGATTCTTTGATATCTGATAAATATAGAAATCATAATATATACAATTTTGCATGCGTATTCTTATTTAGTGTTAAGTTCTTTAACCAAATAAACTGATCCGAACGAACCAGAACCAAGTAATTTAATTGATTAGTATAATTAACCAGGTCCATAAATTATCATCTTGTTAATAAAATTTATTTATAAACATGAGTTCTTATGAGAGAATTTATAATTATTCTCTATTAAATTAATGATCTAAATTTAATACAATAATTTTTAATAATGAAACAAAATTTAGTTTGAACATTAATATATTTGCAAAATCTAATATTCTTGAATTAAAAACAAGATTGTAAAAGTTTAGAACTCATTTTGGATTATTTAGTTTGGGTATGAATAAAAAACTGAATAAATATTCTTTAATATAGTAATATTTTAAAATCAAGGGATATTATAGTGATAACAATAGTCCAGATTACATTTCTCCTCAAATTATTTAAGGAAAATCTTCTAATAATTATAGTAAAGATTATTGGAGTTAAGGTGTCCATCCATTCAATAATGTTACGTTTTAGATTATTTTATAATATATAAAATTTAAGAATGGAATGGCAATAAATTAGAGATGAAGAAGATTTTATATCTTAAAATGTTGCAGATTTAATTAAGGAATTGTTAGATCCTGATTTTATCAAGAAATTTTGACATTTAACTATCTAACTAATTAAAGATTATGCATTTTTTAATGGAAATAATTTGAATTAGAAAAATTTCAGGTTTAATTGTTCCAAGAATGGAAATCAAAAACCTAATTCAGATAAAATTGATATTTTAAAAAATGAGATAAACAAGATGAAAAATATTATTTACAAATAGTAATTTCTTAAATTAATGGAATTAATTATTAATTGTATTCAATCACAATCCTGTATTATTAAGATATTCTCATAATAATTTAGTTCACTTAATAATGGAATATCTTGGTTATCAAGCATCCCTTGATTAAAATCAAATTTAGCATTCCTAGTGCAGCATTAAGTCATTATACATACATGGCTGCATCATTTTCATCAATTTAACTCTTCTTATTAAGTGACTAAGGTTCATTATGAGATGACTTATTTGACTAAGGTTCATTTTCAGGTAACTAATTTGACTAAGGTTCATTTTCAGGTAACTAATTTGACCAAGGTTCATTTTCAGGTAACTAATTTGACTAAGGTTCATTTTCAGGTAACTAATTTGAATTGATTTCAACCTATGGCTAATTTGAATTATTTACATTAAGTTAATAAGTTGGAACCGCTGCCTTTTATTTTGAGTCCATAGACGACATAAAATCTAAATAATGAATATTTATAAATAATAATGTATAAAAAATTTATATATATTTTAAGTTAAAAAAGAAGAGTAAAATAAATACTTTTTTTACAAATGGAACTAATTTGTATAGGTAATATATTTTGTATTTATAAACTATGTAGGTAAATTAATAAATGATTTATAAATATATATCTATAGACATCATTCATTTCAATTCTGGTTGTACAGATTTAAGGAATGCCTCTAAATGTTGCCCTTGATATTTAAGGAATTCGATTTCTTATTTTCTTTTTTATTCTTCTATTTGATTTCTTTCTTTAATTTTTTTATCTAATGAATCTTTCTTATTAAGTAGATCGATTCTCTAAATAAATGAAATTGATACTTTTTCTTCTAATTTTTGTTTTCTTTATTCCAGCTAAACAATTTTTTCTTCTAATTCACTTTTTCCCATTTCTGCTTATAATTATTTTCGCATTCCAAAAGTAACAGAAGAATTGTATAATGTTTAATATGCTGCAATAGTCATTTTGAGTTCATCTCTAACTCTCATTAAAAGCAGACCTAAATGATGAATAAAAATAAAGTACCTCTTTCTGAACAGTCAATTGTAACTTGTCTAATAATTTCATCAAAACATTAACTTAACAATTCTTCTCTTATAGGACAAATACCTGTTTCTCTAGAATAGTGTTATTAAATATAAAAATACCTTGCTTATCTAGCTAATAATCTTTCATCTAAGAGTTTTTATAAATTTCCAACATCTTCTCTGGTAGCTGCAACATGTGATACATATTAAATGTAGTGTTTTCCTTCATGATCCCATTCAATAGGTGGCAAAATGGCATTCAAAATATCCTTCATTTTTGTAATGAATTACCTCTGTATTAGGTTTAGATTCTAAAGGTGATAACTATGCTTTCTTTTTTCCTTAAAGTCCTCTGGTGGCTTCATTTATATTGCTAACTTCTATTGGATTCTCATATTTAACTAAAGATTCCCTAGGAGGTTGAACTTCTTGCATATATTTAATAATTAAAATAATATTAAATAATTAATTTCCTTCTTTTATACAATTCAAATTGTTAGATATAACTGATATCTTAATTAATTAATCATTAAATTAGTCTCCTCTCTACTATCTTTAATTTTGGTAGACTTGTTCGTTCTTCTTCAACAGTTCTATTTAATAAATTATAAGAGTTTTTTTTGGATGATCTTGATATTTTACCATTTAATGGCAAAGAAGAATTAAGACTATTTTTGAATTATAACTATTCTAGAAGTTCTAATCTTTCAATTACTCTCTTCCTCTCACTCATTAATCTTTTTTCTCTCTATAACACTTGATCACTTGCCTCAACATATCCCAATTTAGTTTACATTTTATTACCTCTATCCTTATAACGAACAGTTACTTCAGTCTTTTACATATTTGGATTACTCACTATTAATAAACCATTATTCGAGAGTTTTGTCTATTAATATGTATTATATTATTTATCCATTTCTGATTATGACAATCCTTCTTCAGATCCATGTTTCATTAAATGAGAACTTTCTGAATTTTCATGAGATTATGATTATAATTTCTATAATTCTTCTCTCATTTTTCTATTTTCTTACATTAATTTTTCAACTTCATTAACTGATAAATTAGCTTATCTTAACCTTTCATTCTCCTCTTAGATTTTCATTAATTTAAAATGCATATCATTACTATTCAATCCTTTTCTCTTCATATTAAGTAACTGTTTTAAATAGTCTATCTAATTTTAATTAAATTATCATCATACCTCTTTTAACAATTTATTAACCAATTCTTAATCTGTTGCATTAATTGAATTTGCTTAAACTATTTAAGTAATATTTCGAGCTCTTTGAGCAAACTTTAATGAATTTGCAGTTTCATCAATATTATATATATTAGGAGCAACATTGACAAATATATTAGTTAATGTATTTCCTCCCAGACTATCTTATAATAATCTAGTTATTTTTGATTCTCTATATGGAATTGGCAATTTATTTATATTTTTATTATTTTATGATAAATTTTAAATGACCTTTCCTAAAGTCGTAAGTGATTAATTAATGCTTTTCAATTCATTTAGATGAGCATTACTCATTGAATCCTATTTATTAATCTTTTCTGATCCAGCTAAATCACATAAATTAATTTTAGATCTCAATAATTAACCACCTTAATCAGCCTTACTTGTTTCAATCAATAATTAAAAGATAGTATGACTTCTACTAGATTTTAAATTCATTGTTGTTTATCTAATCATCCTATTTTTTTCTCCTCTCTTCATTAATGTTAAACAATCATATAGATTATTCACTGCATATTCAGTCAATTATTCTATTATGTTATAATAATATGATACCGACATAAATTCCCTCTGTTTTAGATTCATGTATTTACAATGCTTATGGAACTTTATTATCTTATAACAAATCGTAAATCTTCTCATTATATATCTACAAGAATGAGCAATAAACATAATAACCCTATTATAAATTATTAAATAAAGTGTAAATAGTTCTAGGTATCATACCTGCATGATTCTAATCTGTTTGTAAATCATCGATAAATGTCGATTAATGTCCCAAACTAATATTAAGTGAATACTCCCAATCACTCCCAAACATAGTATGAGTTTTACCTGTTTAACAACCATAATAATACCACTTCCAGTTTAACCATATGCCATTATCGTTGTATTATATCCTTATAATGCCTTATGAATTGTTGGACTTATGTATTTGAATATTTCTGCCTATGACACTTACTCATCAAACACTTAATCATATTCCTGTTTCAGTATATGTGTTGATTACTCTATCACTACATATTTTTACTATCTCTTTAGAACAAATTGTTACCTAATCAGTCTTTATTATGCATTCTTATCCCAATTCCTTTTTTAATAAAGGCCTTACTCTCACATAAACCTTTATTGATTGTTGTTACAAGCATGATTTATTTAATTTTGATTGTTACATTTAATAAGTAAAATTAATATATAAACTGTTCTTTTTATTCATACAGCCAGATATAAACATTATCATTCATTATTCTGACATTAATCATCTAATCCTTTATGGAGATGTTACTTAACTAATTATCTATTCTAAGTTCTTTCGTTATTAAGGTGATTGAACTCGAGCCAAAAGATTATCTATTACCTCTTCATGTTATCCACTTTCACTTTTCTATGTTCTCCTTACAGGTTAAAGCATATGTTATATTAGATCTTGGATCTTATTAACTTTATTAGGCTTTTTTTCAGAAGAATTTTATTATTATTTATTCCCAATCATCAATCTAGTTTTCAAATAAACATTTTTTATCAATATTCTTTAATCAACCAATAATTTTTAATCAATTACTGATAAATCATCATTTGAATAGGGAGGATATTGACGACATTATTTTTGAATTGTTAGGATTTAATTTCTTTCAAATTGTCCTTCAGTTAACTATTTAGAATTGTAATTTAAATAAAAACCTATAAATTAAATTTATATATACCTATTCCTTAAAAGAATCCATTTTTTAACAATCCATCATATATGTCTCCACTCTTAAATATGATCTTACCCCTACCATTAAGAGATCCATTTTAAAACCATCCCATATCTAATCTACCATTATTATATTGAATCACTCCCAAACCAGTTAAATCACATTGCAATCCATAAACAACCCTATCATTATGCATGTAAATTTATGGTAAATGATTTCTCAAAATCTATTAAGTGTCTTCAATCAATTAAGGTTCTTCACTTAAACATACTCGAATGCCATCTTTATATTATACAACTTCTTTTCCTCTTCTCCCAATTTTAATACCAATGCCATTCTGTTTTCCCTCCTTAAAATTCCCTTAATAGAGCTAACCATTTTAATAAGAGAGTTCGCAGTTCCCATTTGCTTATCCTTCCTTGAACTCTCCTTTGATGTAACCTCCAACATTAAAAAAATAAATTCCAAACCCATGAATCACATTGTTCTTCCATTCCCCGTAATAAAAGCATCCATTATTAAAATGACATGAACCAATTCCATTAGGTTTACTCATTTTAAGTTATCCCCAATATTATCCATTAGATAATTTAAGATGTTAAAATTGTTGAGACTTTTCTATAACAGAATTGATAGAACTATACTAAGTTGAATTACGATTGAATGATTAATTTTCTTTATCTCTCCACTTTTTAGTAATAAAATCGTAACAGATATTTGAGGGTGTATTTTCATCATTGTTCATATTTAATAATCGTTAAAATTAATTATAAAAATGATCATTTAATCCATTTAGTTAATTTGCCATCTAACCAAATTCCTTTTCTACTTTTTCCATCAATAGTAATATAAATACCTTCTCCATTTTATTATCCATATTTCCATTCTCCTCTATATTCTTTACCATCAACCCAACGATAGATTCCATATCCATGTTTTTAATCATTCAAATAATTTCCAATATATTTACGACCATCAATCCAACTATATTCTCCTTATCCATTCATCATTCCATTCTTCCATTATCCAATATACCCTCTTCCATCAATCCAATTATATACTCCTTAACCATGTATCTTATTATTCAACCATTCCCCTTCATAATAACTTTTATCACTCCAAACATATTTACCCTTTCCACATTTTAGACCCTTCACATATTAGCCTTCATAAAATGATCCATCAGCCCATTTCTCCTTTCCAAATCCATGTTATAAATCATCTTCCCATTCTCCTTCATAATATGCTCCACTTGGTGATTTCAAAATACCATATCCACATGCTTTATTATTTCTCCAATATCCAGCATATTCTATTCTATCTGTATGCCTAAACACCCCTTTCCCATTTGCCATATTATTCTACCATTCTCCTTCATATGTGGCTCCATCTGGCCACTTCTAAATTCCATATCCCTATCTCTCATTACCTGTCTATTATCCATTATACAGTCTTGATAATCTATTGAATCAACTCTTTATTACTTCTATGATTTTTACTCATTCCTCAATCTATCAAAATAACTTTCTGTTGATTTACTCACTTAACTACTTACACTTGTTTAACTCTTTATCATTTAATATACTTCCTTCCTTACTTTATATCCTCTCCAATGAGATTATATTTTCACTATTGCATTTCTCTACTTTTACTTATCCTCATCAACTACACTTATTGTTCTTGCTTTTTGAGACAATAAATCACTCTTGCTCCCCATCTATATTGTATTCTATTCAACATTATTTTTTGAACTTCTCTTACTGGATGATTCTATAGGTCTCTCTGATAAAATTTGTTATTGTTCACTTTTCTAAAATATCCACTTATCATTACGACAATTTCTAAGTCCCTCTTGTAGCATCCACCACATTATCCTGTACAATTATTTCCCATTTATTTTATTATTAATAACTCTAAATTACTTTTCCCTTTTTTTTTACTTTTAACCAAATATATATTAAAACTAATTACAATAATGAAAGAACCCATAATTAAAAATATTTATTTTTTATTACCAATATACAAATCTCATTCACTTTTTGTATGATGAAAATATTCGTTATCGGCCTTAGAGCATGCTGTTGTTGCTCACAAACGAACCCGTGAGTAAGCCTGCATGTTCTGTGATTACATTTACCAATCTGATATTTATATTTAATACTCCACAAAGATGGTTTTTTATTATTCTTCCCTTTAAACCTAAAAAATTTAGATTATTTTCCATCATTATATTTATTATACCCTATGGAGATTTCAATTTTTAGCAATCAAACATTTATTCTCTATCATTTATATCTATATTTAATATGAATATATAACATTTTTAGTATCAATTAACTCATTAAATTTATTAATTACAATCCATAATCAAAAGAAAAATGTAGATCAAATGTATCTATCATCTAAATCTTTAAACATTAGAGTTTTTATACAGAGAAAAATGCCAACATTAAAGGTCTTATTTTCATTTTTGTTTAATCAGTCATTTTTAATATTCAGCATCATTAGAATTAATCAATCAATTGATTTATTAACAAATCCTTATTATTAAGAATATATAACAAAATCCTTTGGAATTCAAATTAGCATATGATCTTCCTATTTATTAATTTCTTTTATCAATTTTTTAAATTGAATAGTTATCTTAATTAGTACTTTATTTTTGACTTACATGTAGAATTTTATGTTAGATTTATTTTCTCAGATAAATGTTCCTTTCTCAACTCTTATAATTAATCTGATAAAGGGAAATATCTGGAAATTGATGCTGTGAGTGGTTATAATAGGTAAATTTGGATATCATTTGAATTTTATAAAAGAAAATTTTTTCACTTTCTAATGTAAAGAATATATATATAAATTTATGAATTGAACAGTATTTATAAATAATATGGTAAAACCAAGGAAAATAATTTTAAATTTTATGATGTTCATAAAACGATATCTTTGAATAAAAATTGTAAGAATATTAATTTCGTAAAGTAGTGAGAAAATGGAGAATTTCTAGGTGAATTAAATATTTTATTTGATATTATGTGATAAAAATATAATTGTTTAAATTACTTTTTCCAAGGATTACATCAATAAAAATCCTTCAGTGATATTTCCATCTGATATTTTTTACGTTTAGTCTTATTAAATGAGAGCCTCACTCTAAAATGTATAGAATCGTAAAATATAAAATTAATTAAAAACATTAATTATATTTAAACCATTATACTATTTATATTTTACATTCGTTTAATAAAACTTTTAGATAAGTTGCTTAAAAGATGTTAGTTAATTTAATATCAGCTTTAATTTAAAGTTTCTATTCTTAGGTGACCCCTAATTAATAAGTATATCGATAAAAAATATTTATCTCTATTAAAAAACACATTTCTTGAAAATTTTCTATATGAATTGAATTTTATGAACCAAAAAAAATATTAGAATCATTAATGAATACATAGAAATAGCATTTTTATTTATTTTAAATATGATAAATGCAATACATTTTTTTTTTTAATATTGGGTTTTTTTACTATTATTTTAAGCCTGATATCAAGAAAAAAACCTGATTTAGAAATGAAAGATTTCCTCTTGAAAATTTAGATTTGATTATTTATGATGTAAAATCTATTAATTTGAAATCAAAAAAACTTTGCATAACTTAATATTTTTAAGAATATATAATTAAACATGAAACTATGATGTGAAAATTTACATTATTTATTGATATATTAATTCATTCTATTGGAATCAAATTTAAAATGAAGGATTCTGTATCTTATCAAATTGATTAATAAATATTGTTTAGAGGAGAAGTTATCGTTTAATAAACATAGTTATTTAGGAAATTATAAATAGATGTAAATATTTTAAGTGAATATAATAATAAAGAATTTGAGTTTTTATAGTGGGACAGTATTATTGGTCATAAATAATTAAATTAGAAATTTGAATAAAGTTTGTTAAAGTGCTTTGTTTTTTAGTATGTTATAGATGATAAATAAAATAGAATTGTTTATAAGAGTTATTCTTAACATAAGTAAGTTTGAATGTGTTTTGCGAAAAAAATTATAAGGATATCAATTAATAAAAGGATGATTTATTTGATAAAAGAAGAAAAAATAAATAATGTAATACGTTCCTTTGACTACTCATTTAAATGCTTTGGCTCAATTATATTAGCAATGTGCTAGTTTATCTGAGAGATGCGATAAATTGGCAAGAGGAGAGGAAATTATTAATGAAGAAAAATAAATTCTGATAAATAAAGATTAGGAGAGAATAGAAATTGATTGTGACCAAGGAGTATTGTCAACATAGGGAATAAATTAATTAAGATAGATTGAATCTAATTCAAATACACCTATAGAGATAAAGTAATTTGTAGTGAATAACATAGTATAGTTGATGAGGAAGTAGAGGAGATTGAGAGAAAAAAAGAAAATCCGATATCGAATTAAACTAAAAAGATAAAGAGAATCTAAAACTAAGGGGATGAAAAAGAATAATAAATTTAGTGTTCAAAATGCCAATAATTATTTAAGAATCATAAATAAATGAAGAAACATATGGAAAGATAACACAACAATATATGTGTAAAGAAGAATAATAAATTATTTTAGGAAGTTATGATTTAAATTTGATGTTTTTTATAAAATATTGTTTTTAAGTGATAGAATATTTTATTTTAAAATTGTAGTTTGTTATTTATAATATTGAGAGATTTTTAGAAAGAAAACTTTGGAGGATGAAAATGTTAAGACTAGACAAATTGTGACATAAGGTAAATGTGTAAAGAAAGAAAAACTAGAAATAAAAAAAAGTTTATGCAATTAATAACTGATAATATATTTAAATTATTGATATGAAAAAGTATAAAAAATAAAAGAGTATTTAGGATACATAATAAGATAAATTCTGTATAAATGCAGCAGCACTATAAGATCATTTAAGTAGATAACTTTTTAAATTGCCTAAGATAAATTAAAAATAATTGTCATTAGCTTAAAAATTAGGATTAGTACCATCTCCTCCAAAACCTTTAAATTAAGAGGAATGGGCTCAGATTGAAGAACAATCTCTTAAAAGGGAAGATATATAGAATTGTGTATGTCCTATTTGTTTAGAGAAATTCAGAATGCAATAACATGTAATTTTGAGCTGTAGTCACATATATCACAAAGCATGTTTAGAAAGTTTTGAGAGAGTGTCTTAAACAAAATAATGTCCAATATGTAGAAGATAGGATTATGAGAAAAAGCAATTTATGATGGCTAATAAATAATATAAGATCTAATCAATAATTAAAATATAAGCATTATTTCGATAGTTTAGATGCAGAAAATAGTTTTATGAGAGGATGATAAAAATGTAGTATAGACCAGAAAATAGTTTACTTAAGAGAAAATTATTGTTTTATAAATTATCAAGGATTTCTACTAAAATGTCAAAGACAATTTAATAGTAAGGTAATTAAGTACAGAAAGAGATAAATGAATTAGGTGAGAATATTCAAATAAAGTAAGAGTAAATGGAAAATAATTTAAATAAGATATATTAAATGAAGCACAACAATGAATAGATGGTTAAATTATAACCAATAGTGAAAGTGGATTGGATTAGTATTAAAAAGATAGCATTAGAAAGAAAGGAAGTAGATTGTACTATTTGTTTATAGAGTATGGTAAATGGAAAAGTGTTTTTATTGAGTTGCACACATATGTTTCATGCAAATTGTTTAAATTCTTTTGAGAGATATTCGATGTCTTAAATTAATAATTGTCCAATGTGTAGATAGAGTTATCAAAAATCTCATTTTTAGTTATAATAATGATTAAATATATTATAAAAATGTTAGTATTCTCAGTTAAGTATTAAAAAAGGATTCCAGTGATTAAATGTAATATTCATAAATATTATTTTAATTATAAGTCATAATAATATGGATATAAAAGAGTAATATGCTTAATATACTCAAAAAAATTATACAGCTAATGTATTTAAAGTAGGGGATCATAATTTTATACTTGATAAAAGGTATAATCCCACAAATCAACTGGGAAGTGGAGCTTATGGTGTGGTTTTATAAGCAGATGATTTGAAAGCACCTCCAGAAGGACCAAAGAAAGTGGCAATAAAGAAAATAGAGAAGACATTTCAACATCGTTTTTATGCTAAACGTACATTAAGAGAATTGAAAATATTAAGGAATCTTAAACATGAAAATGTAATTCATAAATATAATACTTAGATTGTTAATTTAATTACTATAGCATTACCTAAATCAAGAGTATCAATGAATGACATGTAATTTGAATTTATTATTATAGTTATTTGGTTACAGAATTATTAGATACAGATTTACGTAAAGTCTTAGAACGTGAACATGCTAAATTAACAGAAGATCATTATAAATTGTTTCTATATTAAATTTTAAGAGGAATTAAATACATGCATTCTGCTAATATTTTACATCGAGATTTAAAACCAAGAAATATTCTTTTGAATAAAGAAGATTGTATGTTAAAAGTTTGTGATTTTGGTTTGAGTAGAGCTTTACTTAGTCAAGGACTTAATGGATAAAATCCAAATGTTATGACAGATTATGTTGAAACTAGATATTATAGAGCACCAGAATTACTTTTGGGTTTAAAATAATATACTAAGGCTGTTGATATGTGGTCAGTAGGTTGTATTTTTGCTGAAATTGTACGTGGTAAAGCATTATGGAGAGGAGCATCTGCAGAATCTTAATTAAAATTAATCTTTGAAACTATGGGTACTCCAAATAAATCAGAAATTAAAACATATAAAGATCCTTTTCTATAATAAAAAATGTTAGAAGCTATTGTTCATTTAGGATAATTTTAGAAAGTACCACTAGATAAAATCATAAAAGGAATATCTCCTTAAGGATATGATTTATTAGAAAAACTATTAGAAATTGATTTTAGTAAAAGAATCACTGCTGATGAAGCCTTAGCTCATCCATATTTTGAAGATCTTCATTCACCAGAAGATGAACCTTTTCGTTAACCTGTTAGTGATAAAGAATTTGAATTTGAATTATATGAGTTAACTACAGAATAATTAAAAGGTATCATTATTCATTTCAAATAATTATAGATATGGTTTATGAAGAAATCTTATTATATCATTTCCCTGAATTTAGAAAAGAATATGAAAGAAAAATTGCAGAAAATGAAAGTGTTATTAAGCATATCTTAACAGGATAAAGTGCAAGATTAATTGATCCATTAGCAGATGATGATTTTCCTGATTTTTAATGATAAATCATTGAAAAAATTTCTTAAACATTTTTTCAAAATCTTTAGTATTATCTAACTAACCTTTTTATTCAAAATTTGGCTTCATTTTTTTATCTGCGTTATGCATTTCATCATGTATTATTCTATTCGTTTTCTCTAAAGATATTTGAGATATGAAATCTTGAACAGCTATAAATTTCTTTCTAGCTTCTAAATTCTCTTTTAATTTCTAAAAGCTTCCTATTTCTTCAATCATATTTTATTATTCTTCATTCATTAATTATTTTGCTTTAACTTCAAAATCAATCTTTGGGATCTTACTTATTATTTATTTTTTACTTCAAATTATTCATAATTTTTTAAGTTCTACTTTAATTAATTGATTATAACTTAATCATCTTCTTCAATGTAACGAAAAATTTTTGGTCGTAGAATATCTAAACATTTTGGACAAAAAAATTATTCATCATTATAAAAAGAATAAGGAAGTTAATGATCTTCACACATTTTACATGGATCAAGAAGAGCACCTAATTCTTTCTCTATAAATGAGTATCCATTTGAAGACAATTAAAGCATTTTATTAATCATTTCCTTTTCATCTTTTGTAAAACTAAAATAACTTGTTGTAGCCATTTTTATTATTATATTTTATCAAGCTTTTATTTCTTTTTTTTACGATATAAATGACAATAAAAAAAAATCTATCTAGTGATTATTTAAAATATTTATAAGATTTTTAATCATCAATTACTATTTATATTCTTACTTCTCTAATCATAATATATTTCTATATTGCATTTAAATCATCAAAATAAATAGATTCAAATTTTTATAAAACACTTTTCAAGGCTTTTGATTCAAATCTAATAACCAAAAATAGCATAATATATTATCCATTTAAAACATATAAGAGAATGTCTTTAAGAAAAAATACAATTAAGTAGTAATTAAATATTTATTCAGTTAATATATTACACTAAATAAGACTAATCATAAGAGAAGATTTTTTCATTCTAGTTGATCAAAGAAGCTTTCTAGATCATCATCTTAATTGTCCACAAAATTTTTGATCATAGGATTTTAAGGTCTTTCAATATCTGTCAAATGAGACTCATAAGATTAGGTTGACGAAACACTGGAAGCATCTTGTTTTGAATGCTGTAAAATTCGAATTAGAGGTTTTGGGTATGTAATTGTATGAGTGTTCATTTTTATACTAAAATCTTCAAAAAAAAAAATATTAAAAATACATTTTTTTCTCATCAGGTATTTATAAAAAAAAATTTGATGAAAAAAAAACTTACAATTCGAGAACCTAAAAAAAGAATAACAAAAATTATACCGAAATTCTTTAAAATCTTAACTTTTCGAATGTTTCTTTTCGTTTAACCTATTTTTATGAAGAACAAACTAAAATATGATTAAAAAAACAGTTAATCTATAATTTCAATATTCAATAAAAATCCTTTAGTAATTTTGTTTTAGAGTGACTTCCTGAATCAAGAATAAGCATTAAAGAGTAAGTGATTAGTTAAAAATTATTATGACATTTAGTTTTACAAGAAACTAGCTATAAGTTCAAATATGGCTTCTTTTATTTTATAATTTAGATTGGAATACCATTTATGACCCTTTGAATTAATAAGAAAATTGTAGAATTTTTACATGATGACAATTATACCATTGATTATAATATTTTAGAAATTTATTAGTACTTTTATATATATCAAGATCAAATTATTTATATTAATTATTACATTTAAATAGTGGAAGAGCTCATAGAACATTAATTATTTATTTTTTATACAAATTTTTTAACAAAAGTTCAATCAATAGACTGAAATTATGTAGAATATTTTGAAATTTGAAAAATATTTCAATTTTATACAATCTTAATATAAATAATTTTCATGTTTAGATTTCATTATAATGAATTCTTCGATATAATTAATTTAAAATGTGTGTATATCTTTTTTTTATTATTCTTTTTTTTTATTCTTTCTGAATTTGTATACGTAAAATAAGAATAGAAAATTTCGTTTCTAATGGAATTTTATGATGACAGTTTATTGCTTGGATTGTGAAGTAATCGAAATGATTTGTATATGTTAAATTAAGAAAATTAGAAAAACGTAATTATTTAATACTTATGAGTTCTAAAGTGAAGAACCTGTATTTAGCATTGCGTCTGCGTTTGGATGAATTCAGAGTGGTGACAATAAAAACGTGTTAGATTGGAATAAATATTTTATTGTTTGCATCTCTTAGAGGAGATTAAAAAGCAAAAAATCAAAATTCACTATAACAATATGGTCTTACTTCTTAAAAATAATTACAATAAGCTTAATAAATCTCATCTTCACTTTATAATCACAACTTTGGTAGTTTTTATCCTGAAGTAAGTAAGTTTGAGCTAATTTGTAGTTTATAAGAGCATCAATTACATTATATTTGGTTGGATTGGTGATTAATTTACTTCATACTGAAATCTTGAATGTAATTAACAAAAAATTCGTTTTACAAAAATGTGTAGGTACAATAGTTATAGTTTTCCTTCATATCTTAGACTTAATGATTATTAATGATTATCTGATCTTAAATTCGGAATATAGTAATCTAACTTAAGCGGTATCTGATATTTATGTAGATTCTGTAAGAAAACAAAAAGATATGATTTAATTATTTGAAGCAGTTATCAGATAATTGGTCAACATTAATAGGTATAACAATTTTATTATATGTAGATTTATTTCATTATTTTTTTAAGCATCTGCTCTTTGGGGAGAAGGAATAAGAAAATTGATTAAAAATAAAAGAAAGACTTTAGGTACAAATGATTCTCAATTATCATCTCCTTAAACTTAAGAAAAGACTTAGATAAATAATATTCCACCAATCAATAACATAAATAGTAAAATAAAAGGTTAAAAGAAAGAAGTTGTTTAACATTCTGGAAAGAAAAAAAAATCATAATGGCAATACTAAATTGAAAAATCTGAAGAAAGAGGATAATCTATAGAAAAAAAGAAAAAAAAATTTTCAGAAAAAAAACCATCAAAATTATCTCCAAATTAATATGAATAATAAAATGAACCAAAGATAGATGAATCTTAGCAATTAGCTCTTTCTAAGCAAGTTTCATAAATTCAAAAAGATGAATAAAACAATTCCACTTAAGCTTGTTCAAATGGAACTAAATCCTTATTTGATCATAAAATTAAATCAAATAGAAGTGAATCACTTCCTATTAAATTATGTTAATAGGTTGAAATATTATAAAAGTATCAAAGATATTCTTCTTAGAGTTAAAAGAAATAAATAGAGCAAAAAAAATAAATAAGACCCTTATATGATAAACTATATAAATTCAATTTATAAACTAATGTTGATAAATACGAAATTAAAGTTCATAGTATAACTGAGATGAATAATTCAATAAATAAAATTGCATAAGAGAATTCTTGGAATTCATTTTTAACAATAAATGTAAAGTTAAATTATTGGAAAGAAGCTTATCAATAAATGTAAACTTAAGAAATTAAAGAAGAATTATAAAAAGTAATAGCTTAATATGCATTATATTTAATGAATTAACATGCTTAAAATTAAGAAATAGTAGAATGAAAATTATTATTTATATTGTGATAATATCATCATATTTATTTCAAATAAATTGTCATTATTTATAAATTATAAAAATTAGAATATATCAATTCTTTAGTTTTAATTTATAGAAATAAAAATTACTAATTAAAGTGATTATGATTCTAGAATAATTAAGATTAAGATTTTTTTATTTTAATTGTGTTTTTGAGGATAATTTTAATTGTTAATAAAAAAAATTATCAATTGGCAGTTATCTAATCATATGCTTTCTGTTAATTTATTCAGTTATGAATATTTAATTTTTGAAAAATGAAATCATCTTAATAGGTCTCAAATAAAACTAAAATATAAAGTATATATTCATATAATTTAAATATTTTTTTCATATTTTACTTATTGAATAGGGAGTATACTTAATAGGTAATTTAATAAATATTTTAATATAAGTATAAATGAGTGATTTAGCGTTTTTAAAAAGAAAATTTGAAAGTTTGAGTATTGTTGATGATGAAGCACCAAGAATTTCGAAAAAGAATTTTATCTAAGATGGTGAATTTTACATTTTGGGCAAAAAAATCTCCTCCATTCATCTGGTTGCACCTCTTTAAAACATAATTAACAAGCCTGACATTGTTTAAACTTGTTTGCAATTAATGACAAAAGATAAATACAATCCTTTTTTATATATTGATAGGCCTATTAAAAAAGCTAATGATGAGTAAAAATGACATATAATAAAATAAAAATAATTATAAACTTTATAAATATATCTATGTCAAGTGATTCTAAAATCAATAATTTATTTGAGAACCAGGAATGTTTAAATTGTAAGAAAGTATCATATATATTTATATAAAAATTTAAGTTAAAATCCAATTACGATATATTGAGAAAAGATCATTTAAAACTTTAAGATTAATATGAAAAATTAGAAAAAGATAAGGAGATGATTCTTAGAGATTCTTCATAAGTAATAAGCATAATTTTTCTTATAGAATGATAGTGATTTAAGAAAAAATAGATAAAAATTTGAGGAATTGCAAAATGAATATAATAAGATAAATGAAAAATATATAAAATTACAGGGAGAATTAGAAAGAAGTAATGCAACAATCTAGCAATTAAAGGCTATAAATTAAAAAATTTAATAAGAGAAAGAGGATTTATTGTTTGTAAAACCAGCTGAGAATGTTTAATAAAATTAGACTCTAGAATAAATAAGTTTATTATAAGAATAATTAAGAAAGGCTTAAAATTAAAAAGAATAAGCTCTTAGCATTAATACAAAATTAACATTAGAATTATAACAACTAAAGAATTAATAAAAACCATAATAAACTATAGTATAACCAATTCAATTTTAAAGAGAATCAACTTCAAATGATAAAGTGTTATAAATAGAAATACAAAATCTTAGATAAAGAATTGATGAGATGAATGATGCTCTTAGAAAATATTAATAAGAATATTAAATTTTATAAAAGGAATCTAAAGAATAAATTGAAAGTTTATAATAACAATTGGAACAATAAGATAAGAATATTGATTAATAATAATCATCAACTATATAATTAAAGTAGCTACAATAATAGTTAAAGAAAATGGAAGCTTAAAATAAAGTTTTATAAAAATAATTGGATTATAAAACAGAGAGATATAATGAATAAGTAAAGCATTTCAAAAATTTATTAAGATTGATGATATTAATAAATTGCAAGAGGAATTGAATGTGTGCAAGACAAATTAAATAATTTCCGTTTAAGGTGAAGAAGAAAAAGACTATAAAGAAAAATATAAAAATATATTACATTAGAAATAACAAATAGAATAAAAATTTTAAGAGAGAGAAGCTAATTTAATGTAGAAAGTTCAACAGTATGAATAATATATCAGATAAAGTAAAATTAAATATGAATAATATTAGAATAAGGAAATCCAGGATTAGAAAATGTTAAATTAAAGGAATAGTTAGAGGAACTAAAATAACTTTAAGGAAAATAAAAATAAATATAGGAAGAAGAAATTACATAAAAAGTTAAATTTTATTTATATATAAAGATGATTAATTCTAATTAAAAGAAATAATTGGATGATTTAATAAATACTCAATATTAGTATAAATAAAAGGTAAAGGAATTAGAATCCTAATTAAAATAATGTGAAGATAAATTGATATCTTCCAAATACAAAATAGCAGATATGATGAATCTAGCAATGGAGCTTGGTATGACTTAACTAGTAGATAAATTTGCATAATTATAATAGTGAACAATTTTATTCATTATGTAATATATAAATTAAATAATTATGGGTATATAATAGTATCTTTCAAATTAGATAGCTGTTCAAGTAACCTATTTATTAAAATAATATAATTATCTAATAATTTCAACACATATCTTGCTTCTAATATATTAAAAATGGGCAAGAAGATATTTCATATCATTTATACAGATCTGATTTTACAAAAATAAAGAAAATTTGAAAATGAGGTTGTGGAAGAAAAAAAAGGAAAATAAAGTATATAAAAAGACAAAAACAAAAAGAATGAAATTTATCAAATTATTGCTAACTTAAAATAACTAAACTATTTTCAAATTTAGTCCTATTTTTAAAATAAATTAGTTCAGAAGATAAAGTTTATTGATTTTTCTTATTTTTTATAAAAACAACAAAATTTTAATATTATACTAATTAAACAAGCTTAAAAAATTATAGAAACTCTAATAAAATATATTATTTAGAAATTAAATTATTTAATTAAGTTTATCCTCCTATTCCATACTTTAATAATGATAATAATAATAATAATGATCATTCTGATTCTTATTTAGGAACTTCAGCTGGGAAATTTGGTTCTGGTTATTCAGGGAGATCAGGCTATTCTGTTTATACTTATTATGGTTATTTTGGATAAAAATGTTTCGTTGTTGCCTTAAATCCATAACCATAATATAATTATGATAATACTTTATTCTAAATTTATAAATTGTATATAAATACAGAATAAACTGTGACTAATCCTGGCCAAACTAAGGATTTGATAATTATAACACCATTATTTACTTTATTATTAGTATCTTTAGCTAAAGGATTATAATCAGTTGTATCTCCAACTATTCTAATTTTCCAAGCAGGTTTATTATTTGGTAATTTATCATTTTAAATAGGTTTTAATCTATTTTCAAATGGATCAGCAGCTTCAATTTATTTTTAATAAGCTTCAGGTTCAACACCTTCTGGTAATTCAGATGGAATTAAATGTACTAATCTTCCACACTATTAAAATAAGATAAAAATAGAATTTACATTTAAAATGTTTTGATTAAAATGCATCCAATCATTTAAAGTTTTTAGATCATGAAAACCTGGTAATTTATATTCAGGAGCTGGATCAATTTCTCTTGGTTCACCTTCTCTTAAAATATATTATCCTTTAGGAATAATAACAGTAGATTATGTTATTCTAACAATTTAAGCTTTTAATAAATGTTTTTCTTTTCCAAAGAAATATGGATTAGTAATAACATCAGCTTCTAAATTACCCGTAAAAATGTATTTAATTTATCTAGCAACATTAATTTATTAAGGTGTAACTAATGGTAATTCAATCCAATCTTTATCATTTAATACTAAATACATAATAAATAATAAATAAATACAATCAGTGCATGCCCAATAAGATTTAGTATTAATTCCAGATCCTCTAGGTTCAACTTCAGGTGGTAATTCTCCATCTTCAACAGTACTTGCAGCAATTCCTTCAGCAATATAATAATCTTTTTCTCTTCCCATTATCTTTCCCCAAAATCTTAATTTAGATGCTTGTTTTGTTACAGATAATAACTATAATATATAATTATTTATTAATTACTGTCAATGCTTTAAATATTTTATAATTTTCATCAATTCCTACTCCTGCCCATTCATATAGATAAGCTTCTTCTGTTAAATTAGGTAAATATCCAGTTTAAGTAGATTCTTAAGGTTCTTCATCAGTTCCAAGATTTATTTTATTTATCAATTTCAAAGTCTTTTATTAAATACCTTAATCCATTGTAACTTTTGTCCTTTCTGCATTATCAAATTCATTGTATTTTTCAAATGTAAATCCGCTTTATTTTACTTAAAATGAATAATCCTCAAATAATTCAAAAGCATTCTATAAAACTCATCTTAAATTCATACTTTTGGATTATCTAGTAAAATCTTTGTCAATACATTATTCAAGTGTTAATATAAATTTGTATTTGTATCCTTTATTTCTTGCAGTTTCTCTTTTAACATTTTATCAAATTTTTTTAATAAAAAACTTTTATATTAAAAATTAAATTAATTTTTTTATAATTTTTCAAGTTTTACACTTTTTCAAATGATTTAAATTTTTAAATTAACAAAATAATATATTTAACACAAAACCATTTCCATCATATTCTTCTGCAACAAGATATAATTTTCTAATAAATTTTTTGCAATATTCTCTTTAAATATCTAAAGAATCCTATAAATGATAGAGTTAAGACTATATCTAATAATTCTATTATAAATGTTTTCTTTAAAACTCCTTCACCATACTACAATGGTTAAATGCAAGCTACATCTCCATTTCTCAGCAAAAAAAGGATGACATTATTATTTATTTGATTTTTTTAGATGAGAAAATCTATAGCTTGAATTCCATATTTAAAATATGGCATTCTTAATTTCATTAAATCAAGTTTATTAGACTTATTCTCTAGATTTTTCAGATCCACTAAATGCATTTTGAACTTTGATTAAGCACTTTCAGATAACTAAATTTAATTGAAATAAATATTACTATGTAGATAATTTGATCGGAATGATCATAGATAATTTTTTTAAATATTTCCCTTTCTTATTCAAATATGTTTAATTTAATTTTCTTTGGATTCCATTAATCGAATTATTTGGCAAACATAAATGGTTTTATTTTTAAATAGTACAAATATTTCTTCCCAAAAGATACTACTAAAACATTTTGTTCAACATGATAATCATGAAGTAATTCAATCTATTAGATTTACTCAATCCTTATCATTTCTTCGGTAATATCGATATTTAAAAATACATTCTTAAATTCATTTAAAGCTACACCAATTATTTTATATTTATCGTTAGTAACTCTAAGGGTAATTAGTAGATATACTCTAAATAAAATACAACGATTGTGTTTTCATTAAGGAAAAATAACTTCATCACTTGAAAATATAAGACATTATTAACTTGGAATTATTGTATTTTGCTAATTTATTATGAATTGACTACACTTATATAAATATAAATTGATTACAATCATATAAATGAATTTCTATATCGTGTTAATAATTAAATATGATTTAGTAATTTTTGGTTGCAATATTTTATATTAAGCGCTTAGAAGTATGTATGATTTCTAAGTCATTATCTCTTAATATTGCAATTTAATAATCATTTGTGCTATAGTCATATAAGACAAAAAGAATATAGTTAAGTTCTTCTATAAAGGTTGTTACAATCTTATTTTTCAAACTAAATTAAAATTCTTCGTTCCAAAAATTATTTAATGTGATGGCTTAGGATAAATCAAAAAAGTTGGTTCCAAAATCAGAGTAAATAGTAATATCTAAAAATTATTAATGAAGATCTATACCAACTTATGCTATATCAGTATTTATAGTATTCTTAATGTTTAATAGATAAATGGAATCTATGGAATTATTCATTTTATATCTTAAAAACATTGATTAAGATATGAGATTAAAGGATTGTCTATATTGATTATTTAATTATTGCAAAGAGAAATCTTCTTCCTCATTAATTTGATAGTTGATTTTTTTATAAATCTGTTCAATGGTACTTTACATATTATTTTGTAAGGTGAGAACTAATGAATTAGTCTATTCAGTGACTTCATTTAATTCTATTATCATTTTATTATTAGTTTAATCTAATATAAGGGATGAAAAGTACCAACTCTTTTAATGAAGACAATTTCAGTTTCTATAACAGTATAATCATAGAATAAGTTGTCTAGTATTTGTGAAAATAAAAATAAGAAGCCAATAATAACGCAAAAGACAACAGTATATTTAACACTGATGGTTCGTATTGAGTGTTCTGAATTCATAATATTTAAATTATATATTAATAATATAGTTTGATAATCATTAATCATTAAGATGAGTCTTAATTCTTCTGGTTGATTTAAGTTCTTTATCAATGAAATCATAATACAATCCAAATGGTTTTTATAAACTTTTACCAAAAATGATTAAACTCTACATAGCTTCATCAAAGCTTTCAGTATACATATAGGTAGGTTAAACAGTTTAAATAGGATAGCTACGATCAGCATGAATAAAGGGATCAAACTTTTCATATTTAGCTTTAGGGAAATGCTAGATTATATTTAGATATATAATTACATCACATTCTCCAATAGAACTAGCTATACCTGCTCCATATCCTTTAATTAATCCATTTTCTTTATAAGCACCAAATTCAAGAGTAAACCAATATAAAGTACCCAATCTTGCCAAATCTTGTTTTTTTGCTCCACATGATAAAATACCAATTTCTTAAGAAAGATCAGCTACTTCTTTATCTGCAAACAAAGGTACATGACCAACAAGTTCATGAACAATATCAGGTTCAGGTGTATATTCAGGAGTTGAATGATGTCTTATGTATTATGTACAACAAAACACTCTATGTCCAAGAGCATTTAAGAACTCTCTTTAACTAAGTATTCCATGAGTTGCTTTTATTCGAAATCCTGTTTCTGCTCTTAAATATGCATCTATATCTCTTAATTAAGGAATTTTATATTTAAATCCAAGAGCTTATTCTATTTTTACTAAATTATTCAAATATCTTTAAGACATCACCAAATTCACTTTTTCTCTTAAAATAGAATATATTTTTTTCCATGTTTACTCTTCTTATTCTGTATAATTTATATAAGGAACTGGTTCTCCAATTAAATGAGCTTAAGAAAGTTTTGCAATTTCTTCTCTTCTCTTTCTATACTCTAAATCTTTAAATTGAGGATGATCTTAATTATTTTCTTCGTTAACTTCCATTATTGTTCCAACTAACTGTCATAACGTTTTATTACTTGTTTTAAGATCTTCATCAGTTCTTGGGTACCATGGCACCATAGGTACTGCCATATCATTATTTATTAAAATCTAATCGTATCTCTACTGCAAATCAAATATTAATTCATTGTACTTTTTATCTTCAACTTTCTCAAATGTTAATTTTACTACAATATTCTAACCTCTATTATATACATTTATTATTTTTACTTATGAGTTCTACTTAATTTTAGAGCTTCGATGTCTGTTAAATTTATTTTGTGATTTGAAAATGATTTAAGAATATTTCTCAAACTTCCCCAATAATCTCTGGTTATGATTTCAACATCTTATAAATTCTCATAGCTAAAGTTTTTTTTCATATACGAGAAACGACATAGAGATTTGAAAATTGGATTCAAAAACATTTTAACAAACTAATTTAATTAAATTCAAATTATTTTGTAGTCAACTATTCATAATTGCTCAAGATTTTTCAAATTATTCTTGATTTTGCTTGCAATCTTTGGATAAGTTTATTATTCGTAAATCTTTTCTCTGATTGTCATCACCTTAGGATTGATATCTTTAGTAAGACTCTCTGGAGTTTTCTAATAAAAATATTGAATATATATTTGATACCTTAATTATAGGAGATGCATAATAAGATGAATTATTTGAATCTACAGCTTATTTGAGTTTACCAACTAATTAGTATTATGGTAATTTATGAGATTGTGGTGATTCATCATCGAAAATCATATCTGTAAAATCATCATCTAAATTTTTAATAGAAATTTATTCTTCATAAAATTATTCTTAAATCTATTGCATAATTGCCATTTAAGGTGTGAATAGATGATTATTATTTTTTTAATTTCCAATACTAGTTTATTAAGGAGTCATAAATTCCGGTTTATCTAAATATGATGGGCCAATAAAATTTTTCATAAATCCACAACTACCTACATCAGTAATACTTGATTTAATAGTATCTTTAGTATCATAAATAATATCTTCTTATTTATTTAATTCTGAATATCTTTATTTATCTAAATTGATCATAAACCATTCATGTCTCAAAGCATCTCTTGGTGATGGTCTCTATGAAGGTCGAGGATGCAATAATAACTTTAATAGTGATAATCCTAATTATTAATCATAATAAATACCTTAACTACTAATAATTGTTTCTATTGAAACATAATCAATTTTACAATGATAATTTCTCATCACAACTTCATCATATGTAGAACCTTTAAAAGGAGATTTACCAGCAATAAGGAGAAACATTAAACAACCAACACTAAATATATCTATTTTTGAATCATACACCTTATCTTATAATACCTCTGGAGCAACGAATCCAGGTGTTCCACATCTTTAAAACATATAATTACCTAATGGATCATAAAAATCAGCTAATCCAAAATCTGCTATTACAACATCTCCTAAAACTCCTTTTTTACGTAATAACATATTTTCTGGTTTAAGATCTCTATGAAGAATATTCTTTTTATGTAAATAATCCAAAGAATCTAATAAAGTACCTAAAATCATTGCCACTGTTGGCTCGGATTACTTTTAATTCTTCTTTATTTATTAATATAATTCTCCTCCTTATAAATATTCTTAAACTATAAAGATATGAGTATCATCTTCAAACACTTCATGCATTTTTATTAATCCTCTATAGTTCACCTTTCTCATTATTTACATTTCTTTTATCAATGCTTTCTTATCTGTTTCATTATTCACCATTCTACTCTTTTCAAAAGCTTTTACAGCATATTATTATTTATCCAATTTCTTTGTACAAAGATACACCTTCACTTATTTAATTTAAATACTTTTGCAAAATTACCTTTCCCTATCATTCTCTCAATTACGTACTCTTCCTTAAATGCAAGTTAAAGACATTGCTTTTTCAAAATATCCCAAATTTATTAATTTAGTTCTTTTGATCTCAAATATAATTCTCTAAATTTCTAATTATGAATTATTCGAAATCCATATTTCTTCTTAAATTATATATATATAATTTCTATACTTTGTTTAAAACATCAACCTCCTAATCATTTTTATACTTTATTCTCTCTATTCTTGATGTGCCCAAATCAACATAATGAATATTTTTCTTATTAGGCTATATATTTTCTTATTTTTTCAATACCCTTAACTTCATCAATTTGCTATCATAAATGATATAATTTTTGCTAGTCCAAAAACCAGTTTTTTTGCTTTTCTCGAAAAGAACAGATTCAAAGTCAATATTTTATTTCTCGATTTAAATATTTACTTTCTCCCAAAAAGACTTTGATATATTTACATCGTCAAAAAAGGATAACTTTACTTGCATTGATAATATATATTAAATAATAATAATTAACTTAATATTCTCTCTATTTTTCAACTATTTCTAATTTCATAAGATTCTCTTATTTTTCAATCAAATTTAATATTTAATTATATTTTCTTTTAATAATTACAGGTGTCTTATCTTATTATTACAGCATTGTCATAGAATTAACAATTCTAATTCTAATTTCAAATAATTTCGAAATTATCTCTCCATTTGTTTTCTTTTTCAATATTTTTCTATCTATTCTTTTTCTAATATTATAATCAAAATTTATCATTTTATAATTACTTTCTTAAATTCTTTATATGAGCATACATTAAATACTGAAATTAATTAAGTCAAATAAACATATAATAATAATTATTATTGATTTAAATATAAATCTCTAAAAAACGCTATCTTACGCCAATATTTTCTAAGTCTTTTTCCTAAAATGATCACTCTATAATTAGGGTTTCAGATCTGGAACATTAAATTGAAAATTTTTAAAAATTGATTAAATTTAATTTCCTGAATAAATTGTGATTATTTTTATTCAATAAATTAATTTTAATATAAAAATGTTCAGTTCATGAGTAAATTTTCTAAATAGTCAACTAAGTTGTATTTCTTGAGAGAATATTTCAAATGAGAAAATACTTCCTTTCTGTTCCATAATCAAAAAGAATTTGGAGGCTACTATTATAATTCATAACTCATTCTATTTACTTATTATGTATTATTCCTTATTTGAAATCGATATCAAATTTTAGTATGACTGTCTTCCAAACATATTTTTTTCATTGATCTTTTAAATATAAATGAATCTGTTATTTTATTGATTTTTTTTATTATTTGAATAATCTTTAAATATCTAATAATTTAAATAATTTACTTCATCAATTTGTTGTATTTTTCTTGAAATTTATGAAGTCGTATATTTCTGTATATATTAAAAGCATATTCTTAAAGAAAGATAGTTTATAAATATACTCATATATATTATCATTACAATGTAAAGAGAGCATACGTATGTTTTTGAATGAAATAAATTTGAATTAGAATATACATTTTGTTTCAAAGCAAATAATTATTTAAATTCTCTAGGAATATAATCTTGCTTTGGAAATTTTTGTAATCATTATAGACTAATTATTATAATAATAAGAATTATCATAATAGGTATTAGAATTCTATAAGAATTTTGATATTAAATTATTAAGTAGAATAACGAAAAAAAAAAATGAAATTTATTGAGATATTAAATAAATTTATATGTAGTTGAATTAAAATAAATCAAAAAAAAGAAAAGTAACTCCAAGTGACAAACATTAATTATCTATATCTCAAGAGAGATATTAGATACCTAAATATTTGACTTTGAATAATTAAAACCTTAACAAATCATAAAAATATTAAATATTAGAATAGATTGGATAGGGTAGTTATAGTACTATTTTTATTGTTGAAAACAAATTGCATGGTGGTTATTATGCAATGAAGAAAGTATTCTAAGATCCAAAATAAATAAATAGAGAACTGGAAATACATATGATAATGAATCATCCACATATTGTGCCATTAAGAGATCATTATTATACAGTAGAAAATAAAATAAAGTATTTACATTTGGTTATGGATTTATATTAAGGAAATTTAAAGAATGCAATAAGAGTACCATTAAAAAGCGTGGCTAAATAATTATTTTAAGTATTACAATATTTAGAGTCATAAAATATTATACACAGAGATCTTAAACCAGCTAATATTTTATATTAGAGTGGAAACATATTTCTAGCTGATTTTGGAAGTTCTAAAAAAATTAATGGTTCTAAAAGTTTGAGTTATGTTTGTTCTAGGGCTTATAGAGCACCTGAATTATTATTTGGTTAGATATTTTATAATACTAAAATTGATATTTGGGCAGCAGGTTGTATATTAGCTGAATTGGAATTGGGAAAATTATTGTTTTTTGGATAGAATACTGTTGATTAAATTGTAGAAATCTGTAAACTATTAGGAACTCCTAATGAATTAGAAAAAGCAGAATTGGGATGCTAATTCTATATTCCTAATTTATAACCTAAAAAATTAAGTATGATATTTAATAATATTGTTTTGAATTAGAAAACTGATCCTTTATTGATTGATTTATTATTAAAAATATTTGTTTTTAGTCCATCCAAAAGAATTACCTCAACTGAAGCACTTGAACATCCTTATTTTTTTTCATGATTGTACTTAACAATCTTTGATATTAATATTATTTATTTATATTTATTTAAGGTTATTTATATATTTCATAAATTAAATTATCATATGAAACATTATAAAAGTCTTTTACATTTCTCATAATAAAAATAAAATAATTCTCCAAAATAGTTGGCCTTTATAGTAATAGGAACTTTATTTGCATTTAGTGGATATTATGTGTATTATAATGTTAGATATATGGATTAAATTGCTGCAGAACGAATTTAAGAGTTCGAACAGAAATCAGGAATGAAGATTTCAGAATTCAAAACAGAAAATCCAATAAAAGAGGAAATCAGACCTGAGTATGTAAATTATTTTTTCCTATTCTTTTAGATTGAGAGGTAAAAGAGAATTTATAGACAAAGAATGGAAGAAACTAGAAAATAACTATAATAATAATAGAAATGAATTTTACAATAATACATTTTTATCATTCAGTAATTTGAAATCATTTACGAGATCTCTACTTTAATTTTCTTTCTATTAGTTTATTCTAATAATGAAGCATCTTCTGTATCTGTTGATTATGAATTATAATTTGATAGTTGCTAATTCAAATCATTTTAAATCTTTTCAATCTTCTTTATATATGGAGATGATAAGAACAATTTTTTATGTTAATTTGACTAAGTATGCTAATTAATTTTAATTTCTATATTAATACAGTTAAGTAATCCGTATATTTAGTCTTACAAACCGAACAAATCTAAACTCGATGTTTTGGCTTTGGAATCAGCTAAAATACTCATTATAAGTCCTACCAATTATTTATTTTTTATTTTTATTTATTCAATTTTTTGATTAAATAATTGTTAATGATAGTTTAAATTGCTTTCATACGCAGGCTAAATTTACATGCAAATTATTATACTTTCTCATATTCTATTATAAATCCAGGAGTTGTTACTTAATGATCTTCATTGAAAATTGGAAAGATATTCAATTTTTATTACAACTAACTAAACTTATATTCAATCAATATACATATTAAATACTGGACTATAATCTATGTTAACGTTGCGATCCTTTTAATACTGATTCTTATTGCTTAGAATGAATTTGTAAGACATTATATATATTATATATAATTTATTATTTTATTTCATTTAATTTTATTTCAACTACGACTCTACAAAATATTACACTTATTTTTAATACTTTCATTCCTTATTTTATTATCATTATTTAACATTCATTCCAAATCAAATTAATTATATCTAATAATCTATCCTTATTTAGGATAAAGCATATCAAAATAATAAAACAATAAGAAATAATTCTTAATAATTTAATTACATTCAATAAATAATTCTATATAATAAAGCATAACAAATAAGATATTATTATAAACCAAAAATAGTTAAAAAAATTAATTATAAATCAAGAAAAAAGATAATTTTATCAACAATAAGAATGTGAAACTTTTCAATTAATTAGTATTTATTAAAATTTTAAAATATTGATATATAATTAACTAAATTTCATTAAGGATCAATATAAAAGGAGAACATTAATCGAATAATTTCTCTATTTGTTCTAACAAATTCAAAAAAGAAAGTTCCATACCATTTATGCATTTGAAAAATAAATTCAAATGATAAACGAATTCCTAATTTTGTTATTAAATTTATGATATTCTTAATGAATAAAAGTATTACAATCATAATTGTAGTAAGATAATTAAAATTTATCAAATAAATATTGAGGATCAAACTAAAAGAATATAATTTAGAAATTCTAAGAATTCAAAATTTATTAATTTTAATATCTTAATTAATTTTTTGAAGTAGATTTATAATGTTTAAAGAATATATATCAAACTTCTTAGTTGCAAAATTTTCTTCGTTAAGATTAACTATTTAAGAAAATTCTTACTCCTTAAATTTCTTCTTTATCATTAGAATTACAAGGTGATAGATTAAATTTGGATTCAGAAAGATGATAATTTTAATCAACTAATATTTTAGAGTTCCTCTCTTCTGAGAGTAATTAAATAATTTACTTTTGTTCTGAATCCAGTTGGTATTAATAAAATAGTTTAATCAAATCTTAATCTAAAAAATTTATTATTTTTTATCCAATATTTTCTGTGACATCAGGCATATCATTAATTTAATTAAAAGATTTAAATGCATCGATAAATTTTTCAAAATTATCTTTATTTTAATGTTAATTGATATCAGTGGTAATCTTTTTACTTGAGTTTAATCCAGTATCAATTTTATTTGGAATTTCTCCTTAAATAAAAGGGATAGGAATAAGGTCAAATAAAATTCTTTAATTAGCAGTCAATAATACTTATTTTAGATTATCAAATTCCTAAAATTTTCTCATAATTTAAACAATATCTAAACTTTCATGTATTTTTTAATTTGCTTAATCCAATTACTTTATTCTTTTTTTATTAAATCCAAACAAGAATTAAAGAATATTTAATACTTTATTTGGTAATTTTTATTCTGGTTTTTAAATATATTTATCTATATTATTCCTTATACATGAATCCTTTTTTAAACTTTAAGTTAAATCACTTTCTAATTTTTAAAATCGAAACAATTTATTTGCTAAATTGAGTCTCATTTCAGTTACTATATATGATTTGCTAATTATTCCAAAAATTACAAAAATTAATTACCATAAACCTCCAATTTTACTCAAGATTGTTAATAATTTAATATAAGATCTTGAATAATTAGTATATTTATTATCAAGAATTAAATAATGTTAAACTATAAAATCTTAATTATAAGCAGAAGTTGATTCCTAATATTACTATTAAACCAAAAACAAATCTTCTTTAATATCATTGGTTATTATTCCAGTATCAGTCTTTGATTAAATGATTCTAAATCCTTATTAAATAGTTTTAGATGCTGATATAGAAAATGTAGTAAATTATAGTTTAATGAAATTTTATTGAATATTTCCAGGATTACTCATTTGAATTAAAGAATCACTCATGTGTACTACATAAAAACCATTTATTAATTCATTTTTTATGTCATCAATTGGAGCACAATCAAACTTTTCTGTAGTATTTTTACAAGCTGAAAATTTTATTTATATATAAGAATATCTATTTCCAGCAGCTATTCCTTAAAGTATCTAAATATAAATTAAGATTATTACTGGTGGATTAGTTTCTAAAAATTATTTTTTTATACATTATACTGTTCCTAATCGAATTTTACTAAAATATTCTTTTTAAATTTCTGTAACAAAATTCTCAGAAGTGCATGCTTCTGTTGGATAAGTTACACATCTAAAAATTATCGTTTTTAAAGATACGTATTTATGACATCTATCTTATTTGTTGTTGCATTAAGTTCTCTTGTTCTTAAACAATTATCTACTGTGATTGTAAAATATTTATCAATAGTTTTCAAAGGATTTTGTTGCACATTAGTAACAGATATTGTCAGAGTAAAATTTTGATTTGACAATGAAAATGGCTTTTAATGTTATTAATTTTTACTGCTGTCTCTTAAACTAAATGCTCAGATGAAATTGTTTGAGGAAGTTATTTTAGAGCTAATTCTTACACTTCTTAAACTAAGTAAAAAAAAGTGAATGCAGAAGCTATTAATGTCAGGACAATTCCTAACATACTTGTATATTTTTGATTCCCAAATATCATCAAACTTGGATAAGCACCATATAAATCGATATATTGACCAATACTCTTACATTTTTAAGCCTAATTCAAATATATATTTACTATAGGATGATCCATATTTAAATTACAATAATAATAATAAAACGAGTTATTAAACAGAACAATTAAATACGTCAATTAGAATTTGTTTAGTTAATTTATATTTAACATCAAATTTTAATAGAGAAATCCTAAAAATATTTATAAGATCAAATTATTTTAATAAGACATAAAACGGGTTTAGTGTTTTAATAAAAATTCCTCTAATCATCATTTATAAATATTAGTTAGATAAATTGAGGTTAAATAAATATATGTTTAAAATTATGCTTTTCCAATTAAACTAATATTTATTAATCTAATTTATTAAATAAATATATTTATTTAAAGTATTTAACGTTATTGAAATAAAATATTAAAATTAAGAATTTTAACATTCATTTCATTTTGAATTTAATTTTATTTTGAATCATTACTATCTTATTATATGAGTATTTTTTATAAAATAATATTTATTTTTAAGTATATTTAATTTTCAAACAACTATTTCTGTTTCTTTGAATCTATCAATTTCATCAAAACATAGAATGGATATAATCATAACACAAAGATCTCCTAATAATTTAATTTCATTTTATATCTATAATTTATAATTGTAAATTACATTTTATATTTTTTTTTTCTAAGATTTATTCTTAATCAATATTTGTTCCTTTAGAAAACATGGATTTAAGTGTAGTTTTACCAGCCTATAGTTTCACTAGTATTTTAGTCACTTAATTTTTATTATGCAGAAGATCTCAAATTATCTTACATATTTCTTTTATTTCAAGGTTTCTTGAAATGCTTCCACTTCTCTACATTCAATTCTTAACAAATCAATTTAATAATCTAAATTAATTGTTTAAGAATTTTAATCTTTTTGAAATAGTAAATAAGTAATACTATTTCTCTTGCAGTAACATTTACGTCATTCTAATTTGTAAAAATTAAATTCTCTGTTTTATTATTCATATTCAGATAATGTAGATTTTTTAATCTTAAAATATAATTTAATACTCTTTCAAGAATTAAATAAATTAAATCATAATATCTTAAAATAGAAAAGAGTTGAATTACTAAATTAATCTGTATATTGGTTTTTAGATACAGCTAATACTTTCACTTATTCTTTAAGACTTTCTAATTATTTAGTACTTTTATTTAAATAAAAGGAAAAGCTAAAAGACTTTCAATAATAGATCAGAATTCACTTCTTTTCCATTTGAATGAGGGAAATTTTTCTTAAATTTTTCATAGACATCAAATACAGATTATTTTGGTAATCTTTATAATGCCAATTAAATTATATTACTTTCTCCATATCAGTATTCTATGTTCTTAATAAGGTTTAACATTAATCAGAAAAATATAGATGTCGTAATTTAGCTACTTATTCTAGGAAATATTATAAGAATGTTTTAAAATCCTCAACAACTTTTTAATCACTATTTCCCTAAACTATTATATATATTCCATACTAAAGCTTATTTTGCTGGAATTGGAGGAACATAGCATCCTGGCCATCTTTGTAATAAAGTTACTCTAAGAATATGAGAGTCACTATAATGATATAATGCTTCAAATTCACTAATTCTATCCTCCCCTTTTATAAGATATGAAACATGCTTTGATGAGATTGATTCTATAATATTGATAATTATTAGTGTTGAATACTTATTAGAAAATATTAAATTTAATTTATATATAATTAATTAATTTAAATTTATCCTCTTACTCCATAACTTAATAATAATAATGATCATTCTGATTCTTATTTAGGAACTTCAGCTGGGAAATTTGGTTCTGGTTATTCAGGGAGATCAGGCTATTCTGTTTATACTTATTATGGTTATTTTGGATAAAAATGTTTCGTTGTTGCCTTAAATCCATAACCATAATATAATTATGATAATACTTTATTCTAAATTTATAAATTGTATATAAATACAGAATAAACTGTGAGTAATCCTGGCCAAACTAAGGATTTGATAATTATAACACCATTATTTACTTTATTATTAGTATCTTTAGCTAAAGGATTATAATCAGTTGTATCTCCAACTATTCTAATTTTCCAAGCAGGTTTATTATTAGGTAATTTATCATTTTAAATAGGTTTTAATCTATTTTCAAATGGATCAGCAGCTTCAATTTATTTTTAATAAGCTTCAGGTTCAACACCTTCTGGTAATTCAGATGGAATTAAATGTACTAATCTTCCACACTATTAAAATAAGATAAAAATAGAATTTACATTTAAAATGTTTTGATTAAAATGCATCCAATCATTTAAAGTTTTTAGATCATGAAAACCTGGTAATTTATATTCAGGAGCTGGATCAATTTCTCTTGGTTCACCTTCTCTTAAAATATATTATCCTTTAGGAATAATAACAGTAGATTATGTTATTCTAACAATCTAAGCTTTTAATAAATGTTTTTCTTTTCCAAAGAAATATGGATTAGTAATAACATCAGCTTCTAAATTACCCGTAAAAATGTATTTAATTTATCTAGCAACATTAATTTATTAAGGTGTAACTAATGGTAATTCAATCCAATCTTTATCATTTAATACTAAATACATAATAAATAATAAATAAATACAATCAGTGCATGCCCAATAAGATTTAGTATTAATTCCAGATCCTCTAGGTTCAACTTCAGGTGGTAATTCTCCATCTTCAACAGTACTTGCAGCAATTCCTTCAGCAATATAATAATCTTTTTCTCTTCCCATTATCTTTCCCCAAAATCTTAATTTAGATGCTTGTTTTGTTACAGATAATAACTATAATATATAATTATTTATTTATTACTGTCAATGCTTTAAATATTTTATAATTTTCATCAATTCCTACTCCTGCCCATTCATATAAATAAGCTTCTTCTGTTAAATTAGGTAAATATCCAGTTTAAGTAGATTCTTAAGGTTCTTCATCAGTTCCAAGATTTATTTTATTTATCAATTTCAAAGTCTTTTATTAAATACCTTAATCCATTGTAACTTTAGTCCTTTCTACATTATCAAATTCATTGTATTTTTCAAATGTAAATCCACTTTATTTTACTTAAAATGAATAATCCTCAAATAATTCAAAAGCATTCTATAAAACTCATCTTAAATTCATACTTTTGGATTATCTAGTAAAATCTTTGTCAATACATTATTCAAGTGTTAATATAAATTTGTATTTGTATCCTTTATTTCTTGCAGTTTCTCTTTTAACATTTTATCAAATTTTTTTTAATAAATAAATAAGATTATTTTAATAACTATCATAGGAAAATAAAAATTCACTTCAAGAAACTTAATGAACTCTATCATAATAATTTTCATTCTTTTACATTTAACAATGATAAATATCATTTTAACAATTTATAATTAAGAAACTCATAGTAAAGTTTATTAAATTTGTTTTGTAAAAATAATGAATTAAGAATATAACAGGATATTTTGATTTTAAGTAATAAAACATATCTAAAGATGTTATGAGATTATTGACTTAAGCATTTTTGTAATGGGATATACATGTATTTTTTTTGATTTAAAATCAATATTAAATTAATAAGTAATAGGAATTATTGAATGTTTATCTCATACAAATATATGCAATTGAATTTTTTAACATATAAATAAAAAAATAGCATTTAAGAAATAATTAGAAAAATTTAACATAAATTAATTAGATTCACTTTTAAATGGTATATTAAACTTTTAGTAAATATTTTCTTTTAATAATTTTTCTTCAATAATTTTCTAAAAAATCAAAAATGTTAGTACTTCATCAAGAAATTTGAAAAAATCGAAATTGTAATAACTAAATAAGGTTAATTAAAATAAATCAACTAAAATATTTATTTATTATAATTAAAGAAGAGTGCAACAACAACTCAATAGGTAATCTTAAAAATAATAAAATAGTTTGGGATAGATTGAGATAGAATTTGTTTAAATTAACATATAAGAAAAGACCAAAAATTCTGAGAAGAACAAATTTTGGAATTATAAAAATTTTCTAATTTTAATAAATTAATGAATAATAGAGAAGAAATAATAAAAGATATCAAAATAAAGGCTTGATAGAGTGAATAAATGGTAATTAAATAAAAGAGAAGAATAATAATACTATTTAATGAATGGCAATAAAAAATTTTAGAATGTTCGCAACAATTCTAATTATGTTTTAATTGGCAGGTAATAAATATTTACACAATTAATATATGAATTATTACAATATTCTTGGTATTTCAAATAACTCGACACATGAGCAAATAAAACAAGCATACCGTAACCTTGCAAAATAGCACCATCCTGTAAATTATCACTATATGTACAGGATAAAAATCCTCAATCAGCTGAATTCAGAATAATTTCTGAAGCTTATCGAATACTTTCTAATCCTGATCTTCGCTCTCGATATGATTAGATTTAAGCTCAAATGGATAGACAATTAAGCTTATATAAGATGATAAGAAATTTTATCAATGGAAAATAAGAGAGAACAGAACTTAATAATGATACCAATACTAGAGACACCGAATTTATTGGCGATGAATCCAAGAATAGAGAGGTTACTTAAATACAAAAGAAAAAAATCAGAAAAAATTATCATTGATAATGTTGTATACCTTTCTATGAATCATTTTCCATGATTTTTTGTTTTTTTAAATCTTTAATTACAATTAGAAACCTTTAATTTTATATTAATTTTATTTTATAATGTCAATGAAATAAAATTATTATATTTGATAAGGCAACAAACACAGACAAAAAATAATAAGAAAATAAAACGCACCTTTCTTACTGCATTCTAATTTTAATTAAGAATATGAAAAATTTTTTAATAATTAATTGTTAACACTAGTGATTTTTTATTCATTATTTATCAATAAATTGTTAAGTAAAATTGTTTCTCATAAGAAAAAGAAAATTGAGTTAAATATCAATTCTATTACATAAAAAAATATTTTAGTGGATAATCAATATTCCATTATTAAGAATATGGTGATAAAATATATAGCTAAAATTATTATATATACTTTAATAATTCTTAATTTAATGTATAAAATATTTGTACCTAAACTATTAAAAATTTTCGATAAAGATTTTGAATAATAAAATCGTAAAAAATATTCTTAATAATATCAATAGTCAATAAAATTATGAATAATTTATTTTTTATTTTTTAAATAATAACTTTCACAAATCATCTAATTGTTTTTATAATCTAATTTGGAAGGTCTTTTATTCAATTTTTATTTTTTATAAGTGTTTAAATAAATCATCTATTTTAATTTTATATGTTTTTTATCTTATAAACATTAAAATATCCTAAATTATAAAATAAAATTTTACTTCATATTCACATTTCAATAAATCTGTTTCAAGATTTGATAATACTGATAGTGTTAATCTTATTAAAAATAGATCTCCTTCACATAAAAAATAATCCCAAACTTTGCTTGATGTAATTAAATTGAATGCTCTTGAAAAAACAGTATAAAACCATTCTACCAAAAATGATTATTTTGGTAATTTAAGTTAATTAAATTTATTTGCTAATATTGGTAATTTTTCTTATAAAAAAGAATCAAATATTAAAAAATAAGCTTCTAAATAATGACTTTTAAATTAATAGAATGTTCTTAACAATTAACTTTTGAATAACATATTAGCTAAACATTTCAAAGCCTTTTGTTTTGGCATTCTAATTAGAAACATAAATGCTAAATAAGTCATTCCTTAAATATATCCCATATCTGGTCTATAAATCTTTAATGATATATAATTTTAAATACATGAAAAATGATGAGTATTTCTCTTAATTCATCTTTCAATTTATCTGAATTTTCAAAATCATTGATAATAGTAAATGTTCTCTAAAGATCACTTAATAACAATTAAAATACTTATTAATCAAATTTATTAATTCAGGTGTAATTAATGGATGGTTTGGAATAGATTAATATAGTTTCTCATACAGTTATTTATTGATTTGTAATTGATTGCCAATTAACTAATTTAAATTAAATTATATATACAAAAGACCAAATTTTACCTCTATGTTATTCAGGATAAGAATTTTTAAGTAATTCTCTTAATTTTCCATTTATAGTCTTTTCATTTTTATATTTTTCATTAAAAAGTACCATAACTTAATCTTGCCAAATCTTCATTTCAAAATTTTTATTTGATATATCCTTATTTTTGATAGTAAATATACTTTAATTTTCTTCATTTCTTCTTCATATAAAATAGTATATTCTGATTTTGGTATATTATCAATAATTGATTAAATTTCAGGTTTATTATGTTTCTAAGGAGTATGAAATTATTCTATATTAGAATTAATGTAAATACTTTTTAAATATATAACTTATTCCTATTTGATTTCAATACTTCTTTAACTTAATTCATCTTAACTTATTTAACTTAAATTATCTGGAGAATCCTAAAGAAATGAAAATTCAATTACATATTTAATACTTTCCTATTCTTTTAAAGCTTGTTCTTTTTGATGATTTTATCTTTTTAACTATCTAATTTCTTAATTCAATGTCTTTATTTAAATAATATTATACATCTAAAAGTAATTCTCTATTTGCTCTTTCCACACTTAAATTAACTAATTATAATTCTAGATCTCTAATTTGAGTGGATGCATATTCTTTATATTGAGTAAACATTTCACTCAAGTTATCATTATTTTCTTTAAGAATACAATTTTATTTTTCTAATTGTTCTATTTACTAAAAGATAATAGATATTTATACTTAAGTTGATTTCTATTTATATTCTTGTAATTACATATTTATTTCTTTTAGACACACTAATTCATCTTTATAAAAATTAAGTAATTCTTCATCATAATTCATTAAAATGAATTGTAATTAAATATTTATTGATTAACTTAGATGTCCTGATTTTTATACAAAGAATTAACATGCATCATTAAATTGTCCTCCAAAATACTCTTAGAATTTTATAATGAATCAAATAATCCATAAACCAAGAATTTTAAGAAATTAATATAGTGCATAAAAATACTCTTCATCAATTGATGATCTTGCTTAATCATTTGAATAACCTTAAGTTTTGAGTCTAACAATAACTTAATTAAGAAATTTAAAATCAATAAACCAAACTAAGAAAACTAGTTTATATTCAAAGTCAAAAAGTAATGAGAAGAATATATTCATGACTAATCAACCTCATGAAAGGAAAAGATCAAATACATACTAAATTAATTCTTTAGCTAAATCAGCTTTGTTATTTGTAAGTCGTTAAGAAAAGAGAATGAAAACAACAGAAAATATAGATAATTAATTCGACATAAAAAATTTAGATTTATTATAAAATACGTAATAAAGTATCAAACATAATCATTTAAATACATCTATAAATTTACTAAATTACAATATTGAATCAACTATACATTCATATGTATCATAAACAAACATTTCTTTAGCAACTTAAATCAATTTGGTTAAAGAATATGTCTCTGATACTAATCAATACAATATAAAATGGGAAGATTCAGAAAAAATAACTAAAAATATACCTAAAAAATTATTAGAAAAATATGCTACTTCAGATGATACATCTTTGTATTTAGAATCTTCTAGATTTAAAATTGAGAGAAATTTTAATTAAGTTTATAAATCTGGTAAGTTTAGATGGCTCTATCCTGGAGAAGAAGCTGCAATCATTTAAGGAATCGAAACATTTCTTAATGATTGTTAAAAAAAGGTATCATAGTTGATGATGAGCATATAAAAGATTTTGAAAACAATAATCAGTTAAAAAAGATTAGAGTATTTATTTAATTATCCAATTTGTATGAAATAAATAGAGGCTCATTGGAAAATTATGGCAACCTTATTTAAATTAAAATAATAGCATCATAGCTATAAAAATTAAGTTACAAATAGATTATGGAAAGAAATTTAAGCTTCTAAAACTTTATTTATAGATTTAAATCTGGATAATAGTAAACTGGCTATATTTATCAAGTAATTACAACATTGATTAATTATAGTATTTTTCAATATTTTTCATTTTTATCCAAAATAAAACATAAAAATGTTATAAATTTTATTAAAAATAATAAATAGTGAATAATCTTTTGGAATTTAGAATAACTTCTTTATCTCTATATCTTCTAAATTAATTGTTTCCTATGCTTAAAAATTGACAACATTCTCTATAGTAAAATTGATTGGAACTTCTATTCTTACAGAAAAATCTTTATCATTAAGAAATTCTTTACTACATTCATCAATATCTTTAAAAGATGGATTAGAACCATTTAATATATTTTAGATATGTAAATTTAATTATAAAATATATATATTCGATTTGCAATAACAATACAATTTTAGTTAACATTTAAATATTTCTAGTAAAAACTGATATTAAAATAGATATGAATTAATAAGAGATATAAAAATAAATAAAGTAAATTTAATATAATTTATAAAAACAAAAATAGATTTTGAAGATACAGACTTTGAAAATTACAGGAAAATGATGATAATATAAATAAAAATTAATGACCAATTATAAAAATGATTCAATCATTTAATGAATTTGAAAGTTATTTCAATTAATTAAAATAAAAATATGTAATTTTAAAAATTAAACATCATTTATATTTTTTCTAATTTATCTAATAATTTAATCCTAAATTACATTGTTTTATATACATTCTCTTACAATCGTTTACTTTAACCATCAAGTATTATATTCTTAATAATAATTAATTAAATAATTTAAATTATTTTCTTAAGCTCATTTTGAAGTTCATTTTCAATTAAGTTAATTGATAAACATAAATTTATAAAAATACCTCAATTCACTGAGATTATTCTTCAAAAATGAAAATAGTTTTTCTATTTGCGTTTCTTTATATAAGATAATTTGAAAATGAATGATTCTATTATTTTAATAATATAATATATATTTATATCATGGTTTTGGTTAATGATAATTAGTTTTACATCCTTCACTACATCTAATACACTTATTACAACAAGTATAGTAATCATCAGCTCCACATTTCTTACAAGAATAGAACTTTAATTTCCCACTATGAAAAAGACATGAATCCTATTTAATTTATAATAATTTATACTATATAATTAGTTCTAGGATTATATAGAAGATGACATTATTAACATTCTTTTTTTGAACATTTCTATAATTATAATTCTGCATATTTAGCTATTGATTCTAATATTTATGAAATTAATTAGTTTTTTTAATTTCCTAATTCTTCTTTTTATTTATGTAAATCTTTCAATAATTAAGGATCATTTTATTCTATTCTAGGTGATATCTCTTCATCAAATTGCATTAATGAATTTTATGTATCCATTCCTTAATTATGAATTATATTAGTTTAAGATGGTTATTTTTAATCTTGGTGTAAAAATTCATATAAATAGTTAACTGCATTTGGAACCAATTACTTTTATTATTCAAATATTTAACTATTAAATATATGTTCTCTTTCTTAATCTATTAATAATTATTATTATTTCAATTATTCCATTCTTGTTATTTATTTTTCATATTGATGTTTAGTTTATTGTAGTTTTTGTTCTTCTTCTTTCTCATTTTGTACATATTCATCTAATTTCTTTTATAATACATCATTCTCTTTAACAAGCGATTCTCTCATAGATACATAAATATACGAATAGTTGAATTGTAACTTTAAACTATCATTTAAGCATCCTATTCACTCATCATTGGATTATCGGATAAAACACTACTAGTAAATGAATTTGTCTCTTCGTGCATATTTAAAATATTATTTAATTAATTTATTAATTATTTATACACGTATAAATATGTTTAAGCTATTGACTTTCCTATTATTAGTTCTTACCATCTATACTAATGATCTTAACACCTAAAATCTTGAAACTGAATCATAACAATCCTAATAGTAATAAGAAATAGAAACTGAAGGCTAGAAGTAAATCTAATTATTATATCATTAGAGTTATTGCTAAACTCACTGCTTGTTGGGTTTTATCAGTCTAAGAATTGTCTGAAGAATAAAAATAAATTAATGAGATTATTAAAACTTAATCAACTTTGAATAGAGAAACTATCTTTTATAAGATTTAAACAACTTTGTTAGAAGAATGTTATTCAAGAGCACCTGATGAAGAATTGAATAATGTTATGAAATCTATTTAGGAAGACAAAAAGAATTACAAAACATTCAAATAACAAATACCAGATTTTAGTTTTGATTTATTTTATACCAATACTTTTGATTGGACTTTTACCAAAAATGATGAAACTTTAATGAAATATATTAGAGTAAATCTATTTAATATATAATAATAGAGATTTGAAGAATGGGTTACTAAAAAAACACCAACTACTAGTACAGTCTAATAACCTAATTAATAATAAAGTGTTTTTGCTGAATTAAAAAAGAAGATATAAGATATGAGTAAAAAAAGCTAAGCTAAAGATACCGAATCTGATAATAAGGAATAATTAGAAAGATATTAATTTTATTTGTCAAAATAATAAGGTATGAAGGATCCAATCAATTATATATTTGCAGGAATTGCAGTATTTAGTTTCGGTTTAGTTTTTTATTTAGGTATTAATTAATATCATATTTAAGTTTATTCCAGAGTTAAAAATGCTGATGTAGATCCAAGATAAGATAAAAAGAATAAGAAATAAAAATCTAAAAAAGATTGATGAGATAATCAAATATTTATTAATAATTTATTTAAATGCAATAATATACACCAAGAGCTATTATGTGGATGACTTATTTAAATTATCTACCATAAGATTAGACTCAATAATTGGCATTTCTTAAAAAATAATAACATCTCTACAATTTGTATTTAGATGAATTCATTCATAAAGAACACTTAGAGATTTTCAATATTTTAGACAATATAGACTCTGATCAGAATTCTCTCAGTTTTAATGAATTTACAACCATTAAAACATAAGTTGTCAATTCATGTATGGATTATCATTAATATATCCAGAATGAGTAGTTATTTGAACAAATTGAAAAAGATGTTCCGTATCTTATTATAAACTATATTTTTAGTCGAACTTTACCAAAATAATCAATCTTAAAGGAACAAATAAATGCAAAATTCTCTTAATACTTCTTTACTGATTAGTACAAGAGAAGAAAACTATTAAGTAATATCGCTCCAACTCATTCAGATATTCTTATTAGAATTTTATATGTTTATGGTAAATTAAACCCAGCCATTAAATATATGTAGGGAATGAGTGATTTACTTGCTCCATTATATTTAATTATCAAAAATGAAGCAGACACATTTTTTTGTTTTACTAAAATTATGGCTCAACTCAAAGATGCATATATATCCACTCTTGATTTTACTAACACAGGAATCAGAGGATTACTTCTTAAATTTGAAACCTAATTCCAATTAAAAGAACCAAAGTTATACAATTATTTGCATAACCTTGGAATTCACCCATATATGTATGGCTATAGATGGATTATCACCTGTTTGACTCGTGAATTCTATCTTGATTAACTCTATTAGATATGGGATCTAATGTTACATGATCGTAATATACATGATTTCATTATCAAATTTGCTATTGCCATTCTAAAATACTTGAAACCTTAGTTATTTGAAGCTGATTTTAAATTAGCTTTTGATATTTTGATTTACAGTGAAAAAGATGTCAATCAAATTCTCAATTTTATGTGATTTATTAATTTATACATGTCGATACTAATAATTAAACTCTTTATTTTTATTATATTATTATTATCTCTGCTCTTGAACCATTATAATATGGTTTCATTACCTTTTTTTTTTCATTTTTTCTTTTCCCACTAAAGCAATACATTCCTTATTTTAACATCAAAAATTAAATTAGATCGAAAAATTATTGAATCATCATCAATCTATCACTTAATCACATTTTTGACTTAAAGTTTAGAAAAATACTAATTAATAATTAAGAATATTGAAATATATTATAAATAAGAATTAGAGAATGATAAAGAGGAATTCCCCCACTAAAAATAAAAAAGTATAAGTTAAGTAAAGAATAAATATAATTGAAAGAATTTATTAACTCTAATTTTATCAACAATCTGCTAATTATATTTATTTTAATTATATTAAGCTCTATGGCAATCGAACATATTCACTAGTTTTAAATAATATCACTTTTTACAAAATGATTTCATTATTAAAACAGAAGTATTATGTACAAAATCAATGTATGGATAGATTCATATAGTTCTTTAATAATCTAAAAAAAAGAGATGGATGAAATGAAAAGCCACTTATGAATTATTATAAAATTAGTTTAAAGATAAATTAGGGGAGTATTCCACAGAAATATTAATTATTCATCTATATAAGATGGTTGAATAAAAAAAAAGTGGATAATTATGATTAATTTTATATTTATCTATATTAAAACTTAATAAAGCTGTTAGAATAACATCTGAAAATTTCACAAGCAACATTAATTAATTTCTAAAAAATAAATATACCATTATTTTTTGAGTAATTAAAAAAAAAAACATTTATTACCTAAACTAATTTATAATTATGTTCATCTATTTAATTACTAAGTTTTAAAGGAGCTCTTAAAGTAATTTTCTTATTTTAGAATTAATAACAATGCAAATCCAGCTATTAAGTAAAAATAGGTTTATAGCATGTAAATATTAACCAAAACTTAATGTTGTTCTATACTTGTATTTCTGTTTCTTGTTTCATAATCCACTCTTTTAATTTATGACTCAGGATTTTTTGATGGATTTTCAGCAAATTGCAGAGTTAATTATTAAGAAACAAAAACAACCTTATTAAATTAAAAATTTATCTCACAATAATAAATTTTTTCTGCTAAACGTCTAATTGACTAAATTAGATTACTATTTTTGCTCACATCACTAGAGATTAGAAAGGCAAATAATGTTTTAGAGCATTATTTTTAGATTTGATTATGATAGTTTTCAGGTATCAGAATAAATACAATTTTTCGCTGATTAAGATGTATTAAAATATATATTTATTTTGACCAAGTTACCTTAAAATAATTAAAACATTGTTTATTGTTTTTCTTTCTTTACCGATCGCCAAAAAAAATTAAATTTTTTTTGGATTTTTAAAACAAATAAATTTCATAAAATAATTTATATTTTTCAAATCCCTCTTGTTAATTAATTATTATGTTTATTAGATGTTATAAAATTTGCATTTGAAAGATGGACTTATTCTATAAAATTTTAATTTATTTTAGATGATTGATTCTTTAGGTTAATATACTTGTTATTTTTTTCAGAAATAATCAGCCAATAACTACATAAATTTATGTATAATGTAAAAACCAAAAACTGAAAAGTTTTTGTTTATATTTTTATATTAATGTTTCAATTTTATAAATAATTTTATGTTTTGCAAAATTGATTTAAATATAATTTGTGTTCAATAATGAATATATGTATTTGATTTAATCAATATATTATTCATAAAGCTTAAATTTAGATTTCTAACAGTATTTTATTCGACACTTGTTGGTTACGTAATATCTAAGTAACGGTGATTTTATCAGATGATATGACAATATTTATTTCTTTATAAGCTGATTAGTTTAATTGAAATTTAGGGAAATAATTGATCTCATTAATAGTTCCATGACAATAATGTTAAAACTAATAGTAATTTTAAGTTGAACAAGCCTCACATTTTAAAAATTTGCTAACTATTTTTTTGGATTTAACACATTTCATATATGTTCTCACAGTTAATTTTTTAATAGGTTTATCAATAATTAAACTTGATGATGATGAAAAAGATTAATTAATTTCATTAATATCAATATAAATTTAAGGTTTAATTGACACTTCTAAATCAAATAACTATGAGATTCTAATAGTATAACATTCAAATGCCTTATATGTTGTAAATTAATAAGTTATCCAAGTTCTGACATGATAAGCTACTATAAAAGGTCCATACCCTAAACAATAATTGATGCAATAATATACATGTGTTTACTTTATAAGATTAAGAAATAGATGTTCGCTCAAATTGTTATCTAAAGCCACTGCCTGAGGCTTATGTAATACCAGAATAACCCAAAAACAACCAACTATTTGGTTATTAAGTCAAAACACCGCTGTTGTAAGTATTTGTGTGATGTATAATCTAGGTATCATAAAAGGCTTCTTCAACTCCTAAAATAACTTAATAACCAAGCGATTTTAAGTTTAAATTATTTGTAAGATCAACAGATACTTAAGTGCTTGTTATAGAGGTAATCTATTTATTTATTTATTTGAAAATTACAGATAATTAGAAATCGATACCACCTTATACTCCAAAACTTATAATTGAAATTATGCCTTTATTTGCATTTGGAATTTAGTGATTAAATGTTTAATCATCTGGAAGTAAATTATTAAAACTATTAATCACCTGTATTCTATCATCATCTATTGCATACCAATAATATTTAATATGATAAATTACCAGCGTTGTGTAACAACTTACAGATATATCGAAACCTTAAATAATTAATTATTTTTTACTTGTTTTTTGAACATTCTAAATTGTGATTCTAAATTCAGTTGGATGCTAAGAATCAAAACATTCCAGACCCAAAAATACTTAAGGAATATTGTAAAAAGCCCCATTGAAAGTGATTGTTTTTGTTTCTTAATAATAAACTATGCAATTTGCTGAAATAGCATCAAAAAATCCTGAGTCATAAGTTAATAGCGTAGATTATGAAACAAGAAACAGAAATAAAAGTAGCATCATTGATCTTTTTTATTAAAAATATATTAATAATAAACAGAAAATTACACTTTCTTTATATAATTGTATAAAATAAGTTCTCTTAATAATAATATTATCATATTTTTTTTGTTACTTTTTTTTATTTGATAATTACATGCTTTTATTGCTTAATGCATAAAAAAGAACCCATAAATCAAATTTATAAACAATATTTAATGATGATAATTTTTGTGAATTAATATATACACTACGTAAAAACACAAGTACTTTTTTGTCACATTTTTTGAATAATTTATGTTTAATCTTCAAAATTGTGATGAAAGAATTCCTTTCTCACTGAAGGATAATTGAAAAAAAAGAAAATGGCTAGTTACGATTGAAATGATTAGTGCAACTTTCAATGTATCTTTAAAGTTAAATTGATTTAAAAATTTTATTGCTCTATATTATTCTAAAATTTATTTAAAATTCCACTTTTATTCCTTTAGTCTTTAAATAGTAGAATCAATATATCAATAAGCCAGATTTATAAAATTCTTTTTAAAGATAATCTGAGAATTAATTCTGGCTAAACCAGGCGATTATTTTAGTTAAATTGCATTTTAAAAAATAAACCTTATATTTCTTGATTATTATACTTTAAATTACAGTACGTCAAAGAACGATTTTCTGATTGTTTGACAAGGTATGGAAATTTTTATAATTATTTCTATCTACCGATTTAATAATTTAATAAAATATTCAGAAATATCTCAGTAAAATAAATTAAGAAAAGATTGTCATGGATTTTTTAGCACATTTATCTTATTTAATTATCTCCAGTCTTCTGAAGCTTATATAGTAGATTTTCTATAAAAATTCTATCAGGGAAATTAAATATTCATTTATGCCTTCATATTGAATTTTCAAGAAAATTTTATTTAAGAACAGAATATTTATTAGATTAATGAAGGAAGAATAACTTTTAATTTAGAAATAAATGTTTTTTTGATAACTAGATTTTAAGCTTGGCAAAATATTTAAAAATATTTTTTTTTTCTGAGGTGGACCCTCTTAATAAAACAATCAAATTAAAGAATAGTAATTATTATTTTTTTGATAAAATAATTTAATTTAAAAAAAATAATCTTTTAAAAATTTCATTAATAATTTAAATTTGATAAGATCAAGTAAAATTTAAAAACTAAAATCATATAAAATAAGATCATTTATATTTATATAAATACTCTTGAAGTTTTTATTAAGTTAAGTTTTCCGCTAAAAAATTAATTAAGAGGGTTGTTTTATTAAATTTTTTCATTTCAAACTTGAAACCCTTTGAGACTTGAGTTTTAAAGATGATCAAAACGTGAAAGTGGTTGATCTGAGCATTTTTTTAATAATTAATATAATTTAAGGTCAAAACTTATTTTAATAAAAAATTCGACTGTATCTAATCAACTACAATTATCTAAAGCTTTAAAAAATTAAAAAAATTTAGTATAATTTTTAACATGATACTTAAACATTTAAATTTTGTATAAATTTGAAGAATATATAAAATATTTAATATTTATAAGTTTCATTAAATTTTATGAAAAATTAAAATCATTAAATTACTATAAAATATACTAAAAAATTTTGAATCATAAAAATCATTTATTTTTATAAATAATAAAATAAGTCATTTTAAAGTCTCATTAATTTTCTTAAAAAGATCTTAATTTAATAAAAATCAAATCATTTAAAGTTTCATAAAATTTGTTAAAATTTCAAAACACAAAAAGATCATTATTTTTTGAAAAAATATCAAGTCATTTAAAGTTTTATTTAATTTTATAATAACTAAAAACCATTAAAAGATAATTAAATTTAAAAAATATATCGATTATTAAAAGTTTTCTAAAATTTACAAACACAAAAAGCCATTTAGTTTGATAAAATATCAGATCATTAAATTATTTGGAATTTTATGAAAAATAGAAAACATAAAACGATCATTAAATTTAAAAAAAAACAAATCGTTAAAAGTAACAGAAATTTTTTTTAAAAAAAACAAAACATAAATTTATAAGATATTGTTTTTTTAAATATTAAATCAGTTTAAGTTTCATTGAATTTTATAAAAAATTCAAAACATTATAAAATTCAAAACATAAAAGATCATTAATTTTTATATAAATAGCAAATCATTTAAAGTTTATTTGTATCGTATAAAAATATAAAAATAATTTTACTCTCCTTTTATAAATTAGAAAAAAAAAACTTGATTTGAATTGCATTTAAAATAAAACAAACCAAAACAAATCATTAATTTAAAAAAAATATTTTATATAAAAATTGCAAAATATAAAAGGATCATTTCTTTTTAAAAAAAAAGGAGTTGAATTTGTTAAAAATACAAATCATCAAAGATCATATTTATTTGTTATAATATCATTTTATAAAATATATTAGATATTCTTTGTGTTTTTTAAAATAAATTTTATAAAAAATATATATAAATAATTAAAGTTTCATTAAATTTTATAAAAAGTTAAAATCCGATAAAATAACACTAATTTTTAAACACAATTCAATCATTAAAAGTTTCATGAAGATTTATAACAATATAATTCATACAATAGCCATTATTTATAAAAAATTTAAATCAAAAAAAGATTATTCGTGCTCTCATTAGCGCTAAAAAATCAAAATTAATGCCAATCATATTTTTATTGATTGTGATTATTATAAATCAATCCATGATCTTTTTACAGACAAGGAATCTAATAAAAGCATTTCTATTTGTGGTGATGGAGTTCTTGTTTAATCATATGAGTAATGTGATGATAATAATCAAAATAATGGAGATATCTATGATTCTCGCCATAATTTAAAACTTCCAGATCATGATTTGAATTAAATTAAGCATTATCAATCATAAGTAAATAAAATATAATTTGAAAGAAAATGTTGTAAATCAACTCTAACTTTTAGGCAACTCTATTAAAATAACAATTGATAATATGGATATCTAATTATAATTATGATGATACCTATTTTTATCATTTTCAAACTTCTTAACTGTTAAAAGGGCAGTTCTTGAAATATTAACTGGGATCGATAATTTCAATTTTATTTCTTTTTCAATGTAAAAATTGATCTTCTTAAATAATGATTGGTCAAAAATATTAGGTATGTCAATTTATTAAGGATTGAATCAATCTGGTTGTAATTATTCCTTTAAAGTGGAAGGAATAGACCCAATATTCTTAAATAATATATAAATTGCATTTATGTTTTACTTACTTCTATCATCATTTTTCTAATAAACTCTATGTTTTATTGATTCTTTTCTCTACTTGATAAAATAAACAATACCTATAACAGACAAACCCTTTAGTATTTTTCATATTCAAATAAAGAAATAAAGCTGTTAAAGTTCAATCAAAATTTAACAATAAATGAGAGTATCAAATCCATATTTGAAATATATTACTAATCTTTTGAAGTAAAATACAATTAACCTCATAAAATAATTTAAATAAACTATTTCTTTATGTTTATTAGATATTAGAGTAAAAAATAGTTAGTTGTTATTTTAAATATTCATTTTTATTTTTTTTAAGGAAATTATAGAATAAACCTAGCAAAAATCTTAAAATTTTCCCTTAATTAGCTATTTGGCTTTAGTTATCGTATTCAAATAACAATTCCAATATCATAGTAAATTTGAATCAGTTTTTTCCAATAATAAAAATTGGTATATTAATATTTTAATAGTACAAAAAATATGCTGTTTTCGTATTATATATATCCTTTAATAAAAATGTTTTTTGTTCGGCTGTTTTATATCCCTTAAAAAAATAGATTTATCTTTGCAACTAGATGCCAATTTATTTCCATCTAGATAAAAGCATACTGTATGAACATAGCTTTAATTTCCAATTAATAATCTTTATTCTTCTCCTCCTGATTTATATTCAATAATCGAATAGAATAATCCAAACCTCTAGATGATACACAAAACCCAATTGTTTATTATCTTGACCAAGATACTAACTTTGCACCATCTAGAGAAAAGCATATGGAATGAGCATAGCTCAAATGTACTGGTAATTATCTCGAGACCCCCCCAGATTTTACATCCCATAATCAAATAGATTTAACTTAACTAATAGATGCTAAAATTATTCCAACAAGAGAAAAACATAACGAACATACGATTTCACTTTGACCTTCTATTGTACATCACTCATTTATTTAGAGACTTTTCAAATATATTTTGTCTATAAAGAATATATAAATTAGTTTTGATAAGATAAATCATGTAATATTTTTACATAATATCAATATATCAGACACATAATTAAATATTATGTTGATTTATATTCATTGAATAACTTAAATCTTATTTAGCTCTAATCTTTTTACAAAAAATCAATTTTAACAATTTTTGCATCTTAGAAGGGCATCATTTCATCAATCAATAATAAAATTTGTATATTAATGCAGTATTAAAATTTAATAAATAGGAAGGAATCATTTTAATACTTCTTGTTTCAACCAGTCTATACTTAAATCAAAATATATGTATGAATATGATTAATTTATTAGCTTTCTTAATATACTTTTATTTTTTATTAATTCTATTAAACATTAAAAAATTTAATATTTTTATAAAAATTAATGATTTTTTTATTTATAATTTTTTGATACTCTTAGAGTTTTTTATTTAATGAATGAAATTGTTCATTTTTTCTCTGATAATGTTAGCAGACTCTGACGTAATGGAAATCATTATAAAATTTGAATATATAAATTTGAATTTTTATACATCTTAAAGTATTATTCTTATCTATTTATTTTTATGTTTACTTTATCTATCATACCGTTTATGTCTCTAATTTTCTATATGGATTAACGATTAGAGTTTATTATCCTAACATATCACATTTACAGAGTATGATGGTTAAAATGTTACTTTTTATTCAGGTGATTTTGTTAATTTTGACAATAAGTCTAAACTAGCAAATTTCATAATTTGTGTTAATCCATCTATAAGCTATATCACAATTGTCCAATAGTTAAATTTTATGATGTCTATAATCTTAATGAAATTATAAAATAGGGGAACTTATTTTTATTCATTTTTTTTTCTCAAGTTACATTGTCAAATGGTTTGGTTTAATTCCAATTTGGAAATTTTCTTATACTTTTAAGTATAGTTCACCAATTGATAAATGGCAAAGCAATAATTTTTTGGTAAGTTAACTTTTTATTGCTATATCTATACTCTGAAAATTTAATCATACCATCATCAAATGTTGGAAATGGTTAAGTTTCAATTAAAAATTATAGAATATTAACATATTATTGCCATCCATTTTGTAATTGGAATTAAATAAAGCCAATCTATAAGTTGCTATTTTGAAACTCCTATTAATGTGTTTGTTCTTCTCATCCACCAAGATATTACTTTTAATCAGGTTTTTCTATAGTTCCTAAATGCAACCTTATATTATAGTCAGACCTTTTATTTATTCTACTAGTTTAAATTGAAAAAACTTGGACATCTTGTAAATTTTGAGGAGGTAAATTGTTTTTTAACTCTAGTAAATCAAATTTTTTATAATTTGATTTAAAACATAAATCAAGACCTTACTAATTTTTTAAAGTGGATCATAATTTAAGATCCATTGTTTATTGACTATCTTTAACTTCATTAAATTATTAAAATAGTTTCATTTTCAAGCTTTAATCTCTAATTACTAGATATCTAGATCTAACATACAAAGATAGATATTATTTTGTATTTATAATTAGTCTTTATATTTTCAATGACATTCCATTTTGATTGTGGAATTTAAATTAACTTTACTTATTATGGATCAATCTGTAAACAATTCAGGAATATAATTACATAAATTTAGGTATTTAGATATAATGCCTCTTAGTAATATTCAACATATTCTAACTCATATTAATTTAATTTATATGGATATTTTGACATTTCAATAAAACCTCTTTAGTTTACTGCAATATTAGTAAATCAACAGCAGGTTGAGGATTAAGATATATTGAATATTAGTCTCATCTATATACAAATTATTTTAATTGTGTGATGTATCATATAAATGCATGAAATATTAAAATGATTATTATTTAGATTGAGACAATATTTGTATTTACAACTACAATACCAAATTATATTAAAAGATAATAAAGATAGGGTGTTAATACTTATTGTAAGGACTTTAATGATTAGATAAGATGTATTCAAATAAATATATAATAGATATTAAAATTCTTGTAGAAGATTTTCAGAATAAATTAGATCATTACGATTATTTTAATTACAGTTTGATTTCACGAACTGGGGCATAATTCTTAAAAGGCTAATAGAATTTTTATCTTCTTTTAATTACACTGCTAGTAAAGTAACGTATATCAATAGCAAATTGGGATGTTTTTGTAAACAAAATTAATATGAAGAGACAAATTAATGCTTTGTTTGTCCTTACAATTCAATAATGTTAAGTTCTTCATATTGTCTCGATTGCTCTAAAAATGATATGAAAGGATAATGTTCATGCTAAACTGGATATTATTCTGTTATTTAAGTAGTTAAATGTTTGATTTATGATAAAATATGTGAAANTACATTGTCAAATGGTTTGGTTTAATTCCAATTTGGAAATTTTCTTATACTTTTAAGTATAGTTCACCAATTGATAAATGGCAAAGCAATAATTTTTTGGTAAGTTAACTTTTTATTGCTATATCTATACTCTGAAAATTTAATCATACCATCATCAAATGTTGGAAATGGTTAAGTTTCAATTAAAAATTATAGAATATTAACATATTATTGCCATCCATTTTGTAATTGGAATTAAATAAAGCCAATCTATAAGTTGCTATTTTGAAACTCCTATTAATGTGTTTGTTCTTCTCATCCACCAAGATATTACTTTTAATCAGGTTTTTCTATAGTTCCTAAATGCAACCTTATATTATAGTCAGACCTTTTATTTATTCTACTAGTTTAAATTGAAAAAACTTGGACATCTTGTAAATTTTGAGGAGGTAAATTGTTTTTTAACTCTAGTAAATCAAATTTTTTATAATTTGATTTAAAACATAAATCAAGACCTTACTAATTTTTTAAAGTGGATCATAATTTAAGATCCATTGTTTATTGACTATCTTTAACTTCATTAAATTATTAAAATAGTTTCATTTTCAAGCTTTAATCTCTAATTACTAGATATCTAGATCTAACATACAAAGATAGATATTATTTTGTATTTATAATTAGTCTTTATATTTTCAATGACATTCCATTTTGATTGTGGAATTTAAATTAACTTTACTTATTATGGATCAATCTGTAAACAATTCAGGAATATAATTACATAAATTTAGGTATTTAGATATAATGCCTCTTAGTAATATTCAACATATTCTAACTCATATTAATTTAATTTATATGGATATTTTGACATTTCAATAAAACCTCTTTAGTTTACTGCAATATTAGTAAATCAACAGCAGGTTGAGGATTAAGATATATTGAATATTAGTCTCATCTATATACAAATTATTTTAATTGTGTGATGTATCATATAAATGCATGAAATATTAAAATGATTATTATTTAGATTGAGACAATATTTGTATTTACAACTACAATACCAAATTATATTAAAAGATAATAAAGATAGGGTGTTAATACTTATTGTAAGGACTTTAATGATTAGATAAGATGTATTCAAATAAATATATAATAGATATTAAAATTCTTGTAGAAGATTTTCAGAATAAATTAGATCATTACGATTATTTTAATTACAGTTTGATTTCACGAACTGGGGCATAATTCTTAAAAGGCTAATAGAATTTTTATCTTCTTTTAATTACACTGCTAGTAAAGTAACGTATATCAATAGCAAATTGGGATGTTTTTGTAAACAAAATTAATATGAAGAGACAAATTAATGCTTTGTTTGTCCTTACAATTCAATAATGTTAAGTTCTTCATATTGTCTCGATTGCTCTAAAAATGATATGAAAGGATAATGTTCATGCTAAACTGGATATTATTCTGTTATTTAAGTAGTTAAATGTTTGATTTATGATAAAATATGTGAAAGCTGCAATGGTCCAACTGGTACGAATTGTTTATATTACAATTCAAATGATTTTATTGGATAATGTTAATAAGGTTATTTTTAGTCATAATTATATTTAGATTGTTTTTTGTGATAATTAAATGCATAGAATTATTAATGTTTAGATTGCCCAATAAATGAAGATTATGATATCAATACTGTGAATCAGATTTGATTGGCACATCTTTGAGTACAAAATTAATAATGTCTACCTACTTGTGGAGATTCTCTAATTTAAGGATATGAACAATGTGAAGATGGAAAAAAGGATATGGATGATTTATGTTATAATTGTTAATTTAAATGTCCAAAACATTGTTTGACAAATGTAATTAATAGACAACCTTACCATGTCTTGAGATTTGTGGAGATTAATTAGTTACTGGTTTTGAAAAGCGTGATTTTGAATTTGAATATGATGGATGCTATAATTGTTAATATTAATGTTAACCTTAATGTACAAAGTGTATCAAAGGTTAGTGTTAAGAGTGTGAAACTAAAGGATGGTAATTGATCCATAATATAATTCATGGAGATGTAAAGAAGTTTGTGAAGATTAAATTATAATTGCAAATGAATAATGTGATAATGGTAATTTAAATGATTAAGATGGTTGCAAAAATTGTAAATATTTTGGTAGGATTGGATGTAATAAATGTGATTATAACACAAATACTTGTAAATAAGTTGTGAGTTTTATGGATTTAAGCCTAAACTTTATTATTGCTTTCCTCTTGTCACTTGATCCTTATAGATATGTTAGAGAATTATTTGATTATTCTTAAGACTTTGTATAATCTCCTATCTATGGTTAATATAGATGTTTAAAATCTGATATTTGTTAATATTGTATCAATAATACATGTATTGGATATAAGATCTAATAAAATAATATGTTCAACCTAAATGTGGAGATTCTATTAATTCTATTAAATTACCATAATGAACATTGCTAAAATGGCCTTATTTTATCATAAAAAGGATGTCAAAATTAATTCTGGATATTCAAAAATTGATAATTTATGTTATAGTTACCTTAAATGAAGAATGTGATGATGGCAATTTTATTTAGGAAGATGGATGTCATTTTTATTAATTCACTTATCAAGATTTTTATTTAAATTGTATTCAGGGATAATGTTATGATTGTAAAGAAGGTTATCTTTTAATCTAAAGAAAATGTTATC